AACGGGTCTGGAAAGCTAATGGGGAGCTTCTCCCCGTAACCCGACCGCCTCACTGCACTGCAGCTCCGCCTCCCACCTGGGAGTTTCCTCTGCCGGCAGAGAGCCCGTGTTCCTCCTCTGCTCAAGAGGATGACTGGGGAGTCGTGTCCTGGGGACTGCCAGAGCGGGGTGCTGCGGGGGGGGGGGGGGGGGGGGTAAGTGCCGTGAGCACCCTGAGGACCTGACGCTGCCTGTCAGCCTCCAGCCACTCCCCGGAGCCAACCTCTCCAGCAGTTTCCCAAAGTGTGGTACGCGTACCCCAGGGGTACGGGAAGGGTTTGGTGGGGGTACGCGTTGCACCGGAGTTTGGTGGGGATATGCACTGCACCGTGCTTAGCTGCGCCTAATTCTACGTTCTCATGAGTATGAGGGGTACTCAGCGTTAGGAAATTATAGAAGGGGCATACATGTCAAAAGTTTGGGAAACACTGCTCTCCAGCAAGGATCTCAGCTTCCTCATGCCGCGACCCACAGGCTGAGACGCTAGCAGGGCCGCCTAAGACATCGGAAAACATTTACATTACAGCTGTGAAGTGGCAACGAACATAATTTTATGGTTGGGGTCACCACAGCATGAAGAACTGTATTAAAGGGTTGAGGCATTAAAAAAGGTTGAAAACCAGTGCTCTGCAGGAAGCTGTTGGAAGGACTGGTTTTTGTGGGTTTTCGGTTTGTCATTGGAGATGGGGATGGATAAGAAACGTGTGGAAAGATAGTTTTCTTCCGAATTGAACACATTTAAGGAATCTGGAACAGAGCTGGAAAGGGAGTTGTGTTGTTATTAGCTTGCTCTGATGACAAAGTGGGCGTCTTCTGCTTTCACAGTTTAGTAAGTAGGAGACCCGGTTTGTGCTGGGCACTAGCAGTCTCACCATGAGTCAGTCTGGAGGTTCCTTTGGAATTGCTCTTATTCATGAGGTCTTCTCAGTAGAAGAGAGTGAACCACCTTCTCAGATCTTGGGAAAGGACGCGTGTGGCCAAGCATGTCAGAGCGCCACCTTACTGAGAGAGCCGGGAATGACAGGATTGTGCTCATCCTTAGAGCTGATTGCCTGTTGTGTGTGGGAACTCCTTAGCACATGCCCTCCCGAGTGCTGCTCTCATGATGAGAAGGTAGTGCCAGGTGAGAAATGAGAGCCTTTGGCCCTGGCCGGCAGGGCTCAGTTGGTTGAGCATCGACCCATTAACCACAAGGTCACCGTGTGATTGCCGGTCTGGGCACATGCCTGCATTGCGGGCTTAATCCCCTGTAGGGCTGTGCGGGAGGCAACTTGATCAAAAATCAATGGTTTTCTCTCGCATCAATGTTTCACCCTCCCTTTTCCTTCCTCTCTACATGTGGTAAATAAATAATAAAAACCATAAAGCACTTATATACGTACATCGAAATGACGGGACTTTTTTTTTTTTAATAAATAAATGGGAGATGGCGACGTAACCGTGAAACGATGTACGTCTAGTCCGATGTGACCCGAGGGCGGCCTGTGCAGATATGTGCCACGTGGTGGTAACAGCAGACCACAACGTGATGCTGTCCCGTGGGTGACAATGGAAGTGAGACGCCTGTCGCCTGGTGACCTCAGCCATGCTGCCGTCGTGGCGCAGCACGTCACCCACGTTTGTGGTGGTGCTGGGTAAACAGCCAGCTGCCAGTGCATTAAAGAAGTTACATGCGGTTGTGTACGGTGTGTGATGCTTAGCAAGATACTGAATGACGTCACTGGTTTCTATATGAACTATGCTGTACTCTATCATTATTTTAGAGTGTACTCTTTCTGCTTATTTAAAAAAGCACCAAGGTTTTCTGTAAAAGTATACATATTATGCTGGCAGCAGCCTCAGACATCCTGTGTTTACAGTGCTTCTTGATTACATAATTTTCTTTTTAAAAAATGTTTTTATTGATTTTAGAGAGAGAGGAAGAGAAAGAGAGATAGAAACGTTGATAAGAAACACCTTCTGCACACCCCCTACTGGGGACCAAATCCACAACCCAGGCATGTGCCTGACTGGACTCAACTGGGGGCTTCCTGAGCCAGTCCTGCAGGGCGCGTAGTTTTCTCTTGGGTGTGATTTATTTATTTATTTATTTATTTAAATATTTTATTGATTTTATTTCATTTATTTTAATATATTTTCTATTGATTTTTTTACAGAAAGGAAGAGAGAGGGACAGAGAGCTAGAAACATCCATGAGAGAGAGACATCGACCAGCTGCCTCCTGCACACCCCCTACCAGGGATGTGCCCACAATCAATGTACTTGCCCTTGACTGGAATCGAACCTGGGACCTTTCAGTCCACAGACCGACGCTCTATCCACTGAGCCAAACCAGTTTCGGCCTTGTGTGTGATTTAATCTCGCACTGCCTTGTACGTAACATGCTGTGCAGGCTGTAGCCGGGAGCAATAGGCTGTACCATATAGCCGAGGGGTGTGGGGGCCGCACACCTAGGTTTGTGTACGTGCACTCTGACGTTCGCACAGTGACAGCATTGCCTTGCGATGCATTTCTCAGAATGCACGCTTGTTCAGTGGCGCAGGGCGTGTTTTAGAAATAGTACTATAAATACATAGTGAAAGCCGCTCCGAGGACAAGCTGGTGCCCCAAGTATGAAGGCGTGCTATGTCAAGGCAGAGACCCTGGCCTAGTGGCTGCCCTGTGGGAGACCAGCAGATTGAGGTACATTTTGTACATTTGGAAGCTGTGCCTTATTGTTTCTCTTTAAAAATATATATATATATATTTTTTTTTATATATATATATTTTATTGATTTTTTACAGAGAGGAAGGGAGAGGGATAGAGAGTTAGAAACATCGATGAGAGAGAAACATCGACCAGCTGCCTCCTGCACACCTCCCACTGGGGATGTACCCACAACCAAGGTACATGCCCTTGACTGGAATCGAATCTGGGACCTTTCAGTCTGCAGGCCGACACTCTATCCACTGAGCCAAACGGTCAGGGCGCACCTTATTGTCTCTTAATATGGTTGAGTTTGCTTTCCTCCCCCAGTCACCTGCATTGTTTGCAACAGGGAGAGTAGTATCCACCTCGTAGGAGGGATTGTGAGGACTAGATGAGGTTTGAGCCTGCAGTGAGCCTGGCACGTAGAGGACAGTGGGCCCTTTTCCAGCCGGCCGCCATCACCACCACCATCTCGGTGGGAGTCATGGGAACCCTGAGCAGATACTGAAGTGTAGCCAAGCCCTGGAAGTAATGCTGGTACTGACTGTAGTCTGTCAATTCCAGACGGAACAGACGTGCCCTATCACTGCTGACGGTTACACAGAGGAGGCTTTGCTGGACCCAGTGTGTTTGGGAATGCGAAGTCGGGTGTGGGGCCCCGACCTCCGTGTGGGAGGGGAGCGAGCTGTGATTGCCCCCGAGGACAGCTTCGGTGTAAGGGCCGGTCCAGCTCTTGGAGAGCAGGGAGAACTGATAAAAATAGTTGGTGACCTAGAACACGGTATCTTTTAAAGGGAGTTAGACGGCCTTGATCAGTTGTTTTTAGATACAGACGTTAATCATTAAAGCGAGGCCCCAGCTCCACTGCTAACAAGGGTACTGGGGCACGCATTGGCCTTGGATGGGGCGGTGTGTGCATGCCCTGGGGAAGTACATCTTACTAGATGACGGGGAAGCAGTTTTTCCTTTAAGTGCATTTTATAAAAACCCCATTAATGAGCAACAGTGAACACCAATGTAAGCCGTGATGATGTAGGTTTATCATCATCCATAATAATAAAAGGGCAATATGCTAATCATTCCGGAGGGAAGTCAACCTTGTCCCGGGGCCTGCAGGCGGCCTGAGGGAAGCAGCCGGTCCGGGTGCCAGCAGCCTGGAAGGAAGGCCTATCCTGCACAATTCGGGCCTCGTTTGTAATAAACGTACTGCACTGGGAGTGTTGATCATGAAAAGTCATGCACATATGGGGGCAGGTGGATATATGGGAAAGCTATTTTCTTTTTTTTCTTTGTTTAATATTTTTATTGATTTTTTACAGAGGAAGGGAGAGAGATAGAGAGCTAGAAACGTTGATGAGAGAGAAACATCAACCAGCTGCCTCCTGCACACCCCCCACCAGGGATGTGCCCGCAGCCAATGTACATGCCCCTGACCGGAATCGAACCTGGGACCTTTCAGTCTGCAGGCCGACACACTACCACTGAGCCAAACCGGTTTTGGCGGAAAGCTATTTTCTTAAGTTTAACCTAAAACTTCTCTTAAAGGTAGTTTATTGAAAATTATATAATTAACAGAGACTTGGACATCAGTTACCTTCAGTTTAACAATTTTATTAGAAAATAGTAAGATTTAGCTCTAACCAGTTTGGCTCAGTAGATAGAGCATCAGCCTTCGGACTCAAGGGTTCCAGGTTCGATTCTGGTCAGGGGCATGTACCGTGGTTGCGGGCACATCATCAGTAGGAGGTGTGCAGGAGGCAGCTGATTGATGTTTCTCACTTTCTATTCCTCTCCCTTCCTCTCTGTAAAAAAAATCAATAAAAGATATTTAGAAAATAGTAAGATTTATCCGAATATTAGGTTTGAAATGATGACTTTCCCTCATTGTGGCGTCACGTTTTGCCCCGGACTAGGACTATGAAGGACTGTTCGGAGGCGCCTGGAGCCAGTCCAGACCGAGCTTAGGGCGGCGCCCACAGGCTTTGTCTGTCTGCGGGGAGGCGGGGTGGGGAGATGTGGGCGGAGCTCTGGTGAGCTCAGGCTGTTTGTGCTGCTGCTGGAGGTGGAGGGCAGATGCGGTTCCCCGGGTCACTTCCAACTCCTGCCGCTGTTTGCTTCCGCAGAGAGCCCTGTCGTGCACAACCAGGAAGCCAAGGCCGGACACCCAACTGACAGCGACAGACAGACGGAGGACGCTCTGGCCGCGTCGCCCGGCCGCCTCCCCCTCCTCCCTGTTGCTTGCCCCTGGAGGATGAGCCCAGCCTTCAGGGCCATGGACGTGGAGCCCCGCGCCAAGGGCGTCCTGCTGGAGCCCTTCATCCACCAGGTCGGGGGGCACTCCTGTGTGCTCCGCTTCAACGAGACGACGCTGTGCAAGCCCCTGGTCCCGCGGGAGCACCAGTTCTACGAGACTCTCCCCGCCGAGATGCGCAGGTTCACGCCCCAGTACAAAGGTGAGCCCCTGCTGCTAGGGGTCGCCACGCCTCACCTCGCTGTGACAGTGCAGCCATACCCAGAGCCTTCACCCTCCCGCTCCCCGTGTTCCCTCCGCCTCCTCTCCTCTTGGCCCTCAGCCCAGCACCTCACACCCTCAGTTTCAAGCCCTGGTAAGATTGCTCAATTGTCTTCTGTTTTGTGGATTGATTGAGCTTATTTGGTTTTTGGTGACAGTGTAGTTGTGTTTTATGTTCAAGTGTCTCTCGGTCACAGTGACCCATAGTCTCCATGGAGGGCCAGCGGGGAAGACTGGGAGGATATTTCCCAGAATGCTTGCTGCCGGCTTTCTGTCCAGAAAACCAGAAGCCCTGGTGATCGGTAGGCTTGGGGCAGGTTGAGTCAGATGGAATGCAGGAGTGGGAGGCTGTGCTGATGGGCTGAAGCCCAGGCTGTTACGGAATGTCCCTGAAATGGTCGTCACAGCAACTTCTGATGCACACACAGTGTCTCTGCCTTTCTCTAATGCACTTGGGGGCATCAGCAGCCGCCAGCATGGCGTGTTCTTCCCGGGAGGCGGGTCTTTGGAAATAAGGAAGAGTCCCTTAAGGAAACTAATGTGGAAAGTGTATTGTCTGATTAAACAAAAGACTGAACGACGTGGGCTCTTCTGGAGCTCAGAAACACTCAAGACAGCGCCGGGCACCTCTGTCTGAATGTGCATGTGTGCTGGGGGAGTGTGGGGGGGCCCTCACTTGGTCCTTCTCTGTTGTTTTTTCCAGGACAAAGCCAAGGCCCTTTGTTAGCTGGCCGCCCCTGCCCCTTCCCCCTGGTTCTCTGCCCATGGCCGCAGGGAGTGTGGCCCGTGAGCCCCCCACCCCGGGGGCCACCTCAGAAGTGTCGTCTCTCTGAGCACGCTTTCCCCTGCAGCGGGCGGGCAGCAAGGACGCACATTGAGTGATCCTGGGCCAGAGGTCTGGGAGGAGAGTGGTCAGCCTACGGCTGTCAGGCGCTCGTCGACACCTGCTGAATGCTGCCGTGGGCAAGCCCCTCCTCAGAGACTGACAGTGCACGCAGGCGCTAGAGCCTGGAGGGGGAGCCGCTCGCCAGGCCACGTCTGTACCGCCCAGCCCTGCTGCCTCGTTTACTTTGTTCTTTGTGACCTGAGATCTCAGACAATAAAGTAACTTTGAGGAGGACCGAGAGGCGTGGGCCCCACCGGGACGGGGGTTGCAAGAAGCCTCTGCTAGGTGTCTGTTGTGCTGTGTGGTTTGTTTTGTTTGCTCCTTTATTTTGTTTTGCTTGCCCAGCCTCTCCCTCCCTTGGATGCTCTTACCCTCAGGCAAACCTGTGTTCCCTTCAGGCTCTGCTATAAAGTAAGCCTGAGGCCACAGAGTTTCTGTTTAGGACATTAAAAATCCTCATAAGATATAAAGAGCAAATGTGTTTACACCTCTCAGGATTAGAGGATTACATAAAAATTAATAAACGTTTTCGATGATGGAAAAAATGTGTCTTGTAATTCTTTGGCTCTTGCCTTGCTGAGTGCATCAGAGAGGACGCCTCGCTGTGTCTGCTCCCTAACGCTTGTCGTGTGTGGTGTCATCTCTTCTAGTGTTCTGAGATTTGTTAGGTTTGCAGATGAGTTTGGGGCCTCTGGCAACATAGAGACTAAGGAACAGGGTAAGAGAAAACCACAAATGTTACAATCGTTATTTATAACATATGTGGAATACGTTCTCTCTGCTTCTGTGAAATGAAAAGTCCTCTCTGCTCCTTCCCCCTCCTAGGTGTGGTGTCTGTGTGCTTTGATGAAGATGAAGACAGGAACTTGTGCTTAATAGCATATCCATTAAAAGGGGACCATGGAACTGTGGACAGTGTAGACAATTCAGACTGTGAACCAAAAAGCAAGCTGCTAAGGCGGACAACCAAAAAACATCCTGTCCTGGAGACAGAGAAGAGCCCCAAGGACTGGGTGCGGCAGCACTGGAAGGAGGAGAAGACGAAGAGGTGGGTGTCAGCTGAGGGAACCGGACTGGGGCGGGGGCGGGGGGAGAGGGGGAATCCTAGTTGCAGCTCAGTGCCCTGGACCTGAGGACGCACTTCACGCACTTAGTAGGTGCCTTGTCACTCAGTGGCCGTTTCCCTCCGGCATGCGTAGCTCCTCTGCCCTTGACTGCATTACAAGGCGGCGTCTGGATAAGTGGCTGTGGTGACAGCTGTAGAAGGACTTCAGTCCCATGCTGCGTCCTGGGGTGTGGCAGTGCTAAGACAGCCATTGGTTCAGGTGGGTCCCTGACAGTGGGAGAGAAATGGTCTGCTGGGCCTCCCCGAAACTTAGGACTGCGCCTAGGCAGGGAGGGCCTTCCAAGTGCCACACCGGCAGAGCTTGTAAACATACACGGTGAGGTCTGGCTTATCGCCGAGGCATTTCAGTTCCCATTTCCCCAGCCTCCAGCATTTGGAGTCCGGGAACTGGACGTACCAGGAACCACGTGGTGCTCCTTGAAGAAGGAGGCTGTGGAGGCTGCCTGGGGGGGAGGGGGAAGGCAAAGGCTGGTCCTGCGTCGTAGGTCCTCCTTCCTGTAGAAAAACAGTGAGCTGCCTCTTAATGTAAAAAAAGAAAGAAGTCACTTTTCTTGAGATATAATATACATACAGTGACGTGTACCTTTTTTTTTTTTTTTAATATATTTTATTGATTTTTAACAGAGAGAGAGAGAGCTAGAAATGTCCATGAGAGAGAAACATCGACCAGCTGCCTCTTGCACACCCCCTACCGGGGATGTGCCCGCAATCAAGGTACATGCCCTTGACCAGAATCGAACCCGGGACCTTTCAGTCCGCAGACGGACGCTCTACCACTGAGCCAAACCGGCTTCGGCCAGTGACGTGTACCTTTTTAAAGCGTCTGATATGTGTGCCATATCAAGACATCAAACTTCCCATCACTCTAGAAAGCTCCTTCGTGCTTCCTTTGGCCCTGAATTTTGGTAAGACAATGTGATTTATTGATTCTTTATCTCTTCATAGCCATAAGCTAGAAGAAGAGTTTGAGTGGCTGAAGAAATCGGAAGTCTTGTACTACAGTGTAGAGAAGAAGGGGAACGTAAGTTCCCAGCTTAAATACTACAACCCTTGGAGCATGAAGTGTCACCAGCAACAGTTACAGAGAATGAAGGAGAACGCCAAGCATCGGAACCAGTACAGTATCCTTTGTGCACGGGCGCCTCTGCCTCGGCGGGGGTGGAGTGGGGGAGCCCCTGGGAGTTGGAGAGGAGGTGTGAGCTGTCAGTCCTGGTTGTGCCAGGACACTACTGTGTGACGCTGTGGACAGAGTCACTGCCCTCAGGCCGAGGGCTGCTCTGGGAATGCAGTTGGGGGGCAGTTTGAGAGGTTTGGGGGGGTGAGCCGCTTCTCAGTTAGGGACCAGTCTGCATCAGGAGGCCTTTGGCCTGGAGTGCAAGGCGCGGGTTCGTATTAGACTCCTCAGAGCTTCCCTGCCAAGGGCCAGGTGGGCTGACCATCCACGTCTCCAGGCCGGCCCAGGAAGAAAGCACAGGCGGTTATCTCCTTACCACCAGGCTAGGTGTTAATTTAATTCTTTAAAAATACGTGTTTAATGATTTCAGAGGAAGGGAGAAGTGGGAGAGAGAGAAACATTAATGATGAGAGGACATTGATCAGCTGCCTCCTGCATGCCCCCTCCTGGGGACTGAGCCTGAACCTGGGTGTGTGCCCTGACCATGAGCTGGTTCATGGGTCAATGTTCAATGGCTGAGCCACGCTAGCTGGGCTCGATTTTTTTGTTTTAATCTTATGGGGGGAAATTCCTCAGGATTGAGTGTGTGAAGAAAAAGAATTATGTTTCATTTATTTTTAACATTTTATTAGGGAATAACTTAAACCTGTTAAAAATAATACATGTTGAACCTCTAAGTACCAGTTACCCCGGTTCAGCAGGAAGCCCACTGTCAGGACTGTCCACCCAGCCCGACCGCGGGCCTGCTTCGGAGGAAGGCTCGGATGTAACGCTGCCCCCTGTGCACCCCGCATGCATCTCTAGGAGAGCAGGGCCTTCTAAAACATTATTACCATTGCCACTCCTTAGCCAGGGGACAATAATTCCTCCCTGTGAATCCCCTGGTTTCTGCCCGGTTTCCCCAATTGTCTCATGAGTAAGCTTGTATTGATAGTCTCCGTGATTGGGGATCTAGATGAGGCTCACGTGTTGCTTTTGGTTGAAATGTTTAAGGTTTTCTGAATACCCTTTTTGTTTTTTCTTAGAAATTTCTTGCTAAAGAAACGAGGTCTCCTAGAGTTTCCCACTCTGGGTTTTACTGATTACATCCTTGTGGTGTCTTACAGGTGACTCCGTCTCCTCTGGTCCATGAAGTTAATCAGGTTCAGGTTCAGGTGGGGTGGGGCCAGAGCCTCAGATGGTGGTGTCCGCAGGAAGCATGCTGTTCAGTTGTCTGTTTCTTTTGTCTTTGTCCTTAGATCTGCTTTTCTCATTGGGTGATTTTCTGATTTTGACATTCATTCATGAGCTGGAATCCTACTATAAAGGAAAACTTTTCCTCATATCCTGAGGTATAGTTTATATAGGAAAAGCAGATTAAATTCTCCCTCTATTTATTAGATATGTATTTAATACATATGTATTTAATACATATCTAATACACATATGGAATAATGAGTCAGTTTCTTAACATCCTCCAAAGGTTTCCAGGGAGTTTTTTAACATAAGTATGAATCCATTAATTTAAACATATTTGACATGTCTCAGTTCCTTGCAGTTGTCTTTATTGATGCTCAAAGTATCATACCTTTGCCAGTTGGAAGACTTTTTTTTATTTTTAATATTTATTGATTTTTTACAGAGAGGAAGAGAGAGGGATAGAGAGTTAGAAACATCGATGAGAGAGAATCACCGATCAGCTGCCTCCTGCAGACCACCCACTGGAGATGTGCCCGCAACCCAGGCACATGCCCCTGACCGGAATCGAACCCGGGACTCTTCAGTCCGCAGGCTGACGCTCTGTCCACTGAGCCAAACCAGTTTCGGCAAGGGGAGACTTTTAAAAGCAGCTCCTGAGTCACTGGGACACAGTTACAGTAGTCTGTCATGGCTGTCTTCCTTTCTGGTATGGAACAAGTCCAGGCTCGTGTGTGTGTGTGTGTGTGTGTGTGTGTGTGTGTGGCTCCGAGTGTGAATGTAACCATTCCTCTGAGGCAGGGTTGCACGCCTTTCCAGTTAACGCTCCAAACAGTAAACATGTTAGGTCTTGTAGGCCACATGCTCTCAGTCACAACCTTGTCGTAGCACGATAGCAGCCATAGACAGTAAACGAATAGGTATGGCTGCATTCCAATAAAACTGTTTATGGGCACTGAGATTTTATTTCCTTTTCACGGTTCATGATGTGATGGAAGTGTGTGTGTGTGTGGAGTCATTGTTTCTAGACGGTTTTAGTATATGCAGCTGGGAAAGACACATTTATTTTCTTTAAATATATTTGTATTGATTTCAGAGAGAAATGGAAAGAGTGAAAGAGGGATATCAATGATGAGAGAGAACCATTAACTGGCTGTCTCCTGCTCGCCCCACACAGGGGAGTTAGCCCACAGCCTTTTAGCCCAGTTGTCAGCTTGGGCTCCTTGTTGGGAGATGGCAGGACTGGTGGCCCTCTGTCGTGTCGGGCTTCTCTGGGCACGGTGTGTGGCATTGTGCCCTGGGAGTGGAGTGGCCCTTGCAGAGCACCTGCTCTTTAGAGGTGTTTCCTTAACGACGCAGAATTCATCTTACTGGAGAACCTCACTTCCCGCTATGAGGTGCCATGTGTCCTGGACCTCAAGATGGGGACACGCCAGCATGGTGACGATGCTTCAGAGGAGAAGGCAGCCAACCAGATCCGGAAATGCCAGCAGAGCACCTCTGCGGTCATTGGCGTGCGCCTGTGCGGCATGCAGGTGAGGGAGAGCTGGTGCATGGTGTGGGCTGGCCACGGCGTCCAGCACCTGCCGCGCCCCTACCTTGTCACAGTCCTATTTTTTCTCAAAAGATACCAGATTTGACTAAATCTTACACTTTCTGGTTGGAAAGAAAGCACACATGCCCGGGTCATCCCCTCTGGGCTGGCCTGGCTGCCGAGCCCAGCGTCTGCGGACAGGAGGACAGGCAAGGCAAAAGGGTTAGGTCCTCCATCAGCCCCATACAGAACGCGGAGCTGGGGCAGAGCCCGCGCCAGAGGGCTGTAACCTGGGTGTAGATGGGCACGCACAGTGTCTCCTGTGACCCAACCAGTTAGAGAAGACGGTTGGCCCAGGACTGCTGTTACCAGCCTCGCCCAGGGCCCGGCTGAGGCGGCTTCAGCCTGACCTGCTGGTCTCCCTCCACAGGTGTACCAGGCGGGCAGTGGGCAGCTCATGTTCATGAACAAGTACCATGGGCGGAAGCTGTCGGTGCAGGGCTTCAAGGAGGCGCTTTTCCAGTTCTTCCACAACGGGCGGTACCTGCGGCGCGAGCTGCTGGGCCCGGTGCTCAAGAAGCTGGCGGAGCTCAAGGCCGTGCTGGAGCGACAGGAGTCCTACCGCTTCTACTCCAGCTCCCTGCTCATCATCTACGACGGCAAGGAGTGGCCCGAGGTGGCCCTGGACTCGGATGCGGAGGACTTGGAGGACCTGTCCGAGGAGTCGGCCGACGAGTCCGCGGGGGCCTATGCCTTCAAGCCCCTCGGCGCCAGCTCCGTGGACGTGCGCATGATTGACTTTGCACACACCACCTGCAGGCTGTACGGCGAGGACAGCGTCGTGCACGAGGGCCAGGACGCCGGCTACATCTTCGGGCTCCAGAGCCTGATAGACATTGTCACAGAGATCACCGAGGAGAGCGGGGAGTGAGCTGGCCGCCTGCACTGCCCTTGACCCTGTGCCGGGCACAGCTGTGCTGTGTCGGAGGAAGCCAGTGTGGCCAGCGGGTGGCCTCTGCAGCCTGGAGCTGACGCACAGAGGCCCGCGTCCCCGCCTGAGCCAGCCACCGTGCTCCGTCTTTATTTATTTTACCTGTTTCTTCAACATTCCATGTTCAATGATGCAGATACCTCCTCCCTGAGTGTAAATGTCCTACCTAATACAAAGCCTTTTGTTAATTGTACACAGTGCTGCTGTCATTTTTTTTTATTGAATTTATTGGGGTGATATTGGTTAATAAAATCATATAGATTTCAGATACACAGTCTATAACAACATCATCTGTATAGTGTGTGTTTTTACCGCCCCCAGTCGAGTCTCCATCACCATTTACCCCTTCACCTTCTAACCCCCCTAACCTCCCTCCTCCCCCCGTCTTTCTTGCCAGAGGCAGGCAGCCATCTTCCCTTCCGACCCTCAGAAGCCGCCTCACCTACTGGCCCCTCCATGGTCCTTAAAGTCACCACAGCCTCTTGGCTTGGTCTTCAGTCCCCTCACCTAGCCCCTGAGGTAACCCCCAAAGGACCCCGAGGCGTGTCACCTTAGCCCATGGCTCTGGGCTCTGCTCGCCGAGCGTCCCAGCACCTCCCCTGGGGAGAACGACACTGGACTGACGGGTCCTGCCCGCCCTCGGGCAGCTTAAGCCAAGCCTGGCAGCAGCTCATTGGCTGGACATTGTGATGTCAGAAGACCTGGCTGCTCCAGGCTCTGGCTGCTGGCAGCAGTGGCTCTGTGGTGAAGGGGTCCCAGAGATGGCTGTGCCATGAGGGGTGTCCTGGGCAGGTTGGCTCTTGGCCTCACCACCTGTCACCATAGTATTCAGCCCTGAGCCCCACACCCGTGCCGTCCTGTCTGCAGCCGGGGCAGCCCGGGAGAATCCCCGTGCCCGGTGCTCGGCTTCTGGGAGGAGGTGTGTGTGGCAGGAGGTTCTGAACTACGGAACCAGACACCAGGGAGCAGGGCTCGGCCTGGTGCCAGGAGCACAGGTCTGTGCCATTTAGCAAGTCTCCCCCCTCTCCTGGCCCCGGCGTGTCCTCTCTGAGGCCCAGCACTCCTACGTCCACCGTGTCCACACAGGCCCCCTGCACACCCTGGTTGGGTCGGCCCCCAACCCTGCTCCTGGCTTCCAGTGGGGAATGAGATGGGAGGTCCCCAGAGGCCCCTCCTTCAGACCCTCTGAGGGACGGTGAGTGGGTCAAACAGCCCTAAGGCTACGGCACCTGCTCAGCCTCAGCGTGACACCTAGAGGCAGCGGTGGGAGCTGGGAGGGCCTGTGCTGTGGAGGAGGGAGGTGTCCCAGGCAGAGGACACAGACCACGCCCTGTCAGGGCCCTGCCCTGCTCAGCCGTTAGATGCTGGCCAGGCACCCAGGGGTCAAAGGGTCGCAGGTTCTGTTTCCAGTCAGGGGCCTACCTGGGCCTCGGTTCCCTCCCTACCTCGGGTTGGGGTTCATGTGAGAGGCAACCAGTCGAGATGCCTCTTTCGCATCCATGCTTCTCTCTCCTTCCCTCCCTCTCTCCCTTCCACTCTCTGAAAAGGGAAAAAATACCCTCGTGAGGATTAAGAAAAAAAACAGCGTGAGAGAGGAAGGGGATAGCCGCTGAGGGAGGCAGTGGGGTGTGTAGCAGGATGGGAGGGTTTGGGACGGGTGATGGCCCAGCATGGTTTCTGTTTTTATTGTTTATTTTTTAAATAATACACTTTTATTGATTTTTAGAGAGAAAGAACGGGAGAGAGAGAAACGTTGATGATGAGAATCCTGGATGGGCTGCCTCCTGCATGGCCCCCTCTGGGGATGGAGCCGCACCCTGGGCCTGGGCCCTGACCGGGAATCGAACCGGGACCTCCTGGCTCCTGGGTCGATGCTCAGCGGCTGACCCACACCAGCCGGGCTGGTTTGTGCCCAAGGCCCCTCCTCGCTCTCGCCCCCACGGCCGCCCCGGGGAGCCACTCCAAGAGGCCGGGAGACCCCAAGGCTGAGGAGCCGTGGGTCCGAGCGGAGAGGCTCAGCGGAGGCACCGCGCCCTCGAGGTCGCCGTCCGGCGATGAGATCCGGACCCCTCCTCCCGGGCGGCCGTCGGGCGGAGGCTCTTCCGGGGCCAAAGCGCCCGGGCTGAGCGGGGAGGGGGCGCGGGCAGACGGCCCGGAGCCGCGGAGGCCCCGGCCGCGGGCTCGGCCGCGGGGCCGCCAGGGGGCGCCGGCGTGCGGGCCCCGGGGCGGGCGTGCGGGCGGGGCGGGGCGGCGTGCGCGCTCCCGGCGGTGTCACGGGGCCCGCGCGCTCGCGGCCTGGGTCCCGGTTCCGCAGCCGCCGCCTCGCCCCGGCCCGGCGGCCCGGCGGCCCGGCCCGGCGGCCCGATGTACCGCGCGCTGTACGCCTTCCGCTCGGCGGAGCCCAACGCGCTGGCGTTCGCGGCGGGCGAGACGTTCGTGGTGCTGGAGCGCAGCAGCGCGCACTGGTGGCTGGCGGCGCGGGCGCGCAGCGGGGAGACCGGCTACGTGCCGCCCGCCTACCTGCGCCGCCTGCAGGTGAGTGCGCGCCGCCCCGGCCCGACCGGCCTCCCGCCGCTCCCCACCCGCCCCGGGCGCCAGGGGGCGGCCTCCGCGGGAGGGCGATGGCGAACCTGACCCACGGGCACCGGGCCCCCTGGGCGCTCACCTCCGCGGACCCAAGACCCACCACACCCGCCTCCGGGACTGAGACCCTTTGGGGCCCCGGGCCCTGGGACCCGCTATCTGAGCCCGATCCCAGCCCCACCGGGCCTGCCTGGCTAGTTCTCCAGATCCCCGACTCCAGGCTCTCCATCCCCCCGTCCCCCTGGGTCCCCAGGAGCCTACGTTCCCCCCTTCCCTCCTCAGGCCCCCAAGTGGAGCCCCTGAGACCCCACCTGCTTCCCCGACTCCCATGTCCCACCGCCGCTCACACCCGGGAGACCCGGAGCCGTGACCCCCCGTCCCCGGTGACCCCAAAGCCTGAGACCTCAGCGTCTTCACCGTCTCCTCAGCCACCCCAGGCCTGCCTAGGGCCACCGCCTCCCTCCACTGTGAACCACCGCCCCCGCCCCCCAAGCCTCAGGCCCTGCCTCTGGGACTCTCCATCCCTCCTGAGCCCAGCCTGGGGGCGCTGCTGCTGGGGAGGAAGTGACCTCCCATGGCCTCCCCGGTCTGACCGCGGCCCCGGCCCCCTCCTGTGTCCCCAGGGAGAGCCTTGCTCTTGGGGTGCAGCTGGTCCTCTCTGACCCAGGGCAGGGCGGCCTGCAGCCTCGGGCCCGCCCCGGCCCCCAATCCCTCCCTGAGAGGCAGTCCCCCCAGCCCAGCCGGGACGGAAATAACGGGATAAATTTGGAGATGCCGTCTGGCCGCACCAGAGGGAAGGGCCCGGCCCGACCCTCCGCCTGACGGTCCAGCGGCGCCTGCACTGGCAGTGGGGTGGGACGGCGGGCGGACAGCAGAGAGAGTGGACGGCGGGCGGACGGCAGAGAGAGGGGACGGCGGGCGGACGGCAGAGAGAGGGGACGGCGGGCGGACGGCTGGGGTGGACGGCGGGCGGACGGCAGAGAGAGGGGACGGCGGGCGGACGGCAGAGAGAGGGGACGGCGGGCGGACGGCAGAGAGAGGGGACGGCGGGCGGACGGCGGGGGTGGACGGCAGAGAGAGTGGACGGCGGGCGGACGGCAGAGAGAGTGGACGGCGGGCGGACGGCAGAGAGAGTGGACGGCGGGCGGACGGCAGAGAGAGTGGACGGCGGGCGGACGGCAGAGAGAGGGGACGGCGGGGGTGGACGGCGGGCGGACGGCGGGGGCTGCTGGGCTGCACCAGCTCTCGGGGCGAGGGCTCTGGGCCTCGGAGGACAGTCCTGCCTCCTGTCGTGGCCCTGTGAGCCCGCCCCGCCCAGGGCAGTAGGGCTGAGAGCTTGGGGCGTCAGGGAGGCTCCCGTCTTCTCTGCTCAGCCCCCTGCCTCAGTTTCCCCGTGTGTCTCCTCCTCCGGCCCTCAGTCCGGCTGCCTCCCGCGGCCTGTCTCCCCGCCCCCGTGCCCCGCCTCCTCTCCATGTCTTTCTGAGCCTCTGTGAGTGCCCCTGTTCCCCCCCTGCCGTTCCCTGGGTGGCTGTGCTGACTGCGTCCCTCTGTCTGTCCAAACCTGCCGTGTAGTGATGCAGCCTCAGTTCGGAGGCTCCTGGTGGCCTGATGGACATGTGTGCCGGGAGCCGGGGCGGGAGGGGCCAGTCCTGCAGCTGCCCCCTGCGCCCGCCCCGGCCAGGCAGGCTGGGCCTGTCGGGCCTGTGAGGTGCTGGGGTGGCAGCTCAGACTCCGGGCAGGGCCAGGCCTCTCGTGATTATGTCCGTCCTTCGCCACAAACAGAACTGCTGCTCCCGTGTGTGTGTGTGTGTGTGTGTGTGTGTGTGTGTGTGTGTGTGTGTGAGAGAGAGAGAGAGAGAGAGAAAGAGAGAGAGAAAGGTTCCTGGAACAGCTCGGGGAGATGGGCCTGGGAGCCGGGGGGGAGGGGCGATCCGAGGCCCGTGGTCGCTGCCAGGGCCTGCAGGTCTCCATGGAGACAGGGCTGCACTGGGGTGTGACCTTGGTTTTGTGAAGGGTCAGCAGGACCAGGGTGACTTGTTCAAGGAGCCTGAGCTGGAGTCCCCCGGGGAGGGGCCAGGCGTGTCCCCCGGCCTCTGCTGGGGTCCCCGGGCTGTGTTTTTGCCCCAGGCTCCGGGCTTTCATAGACATCTTAGCGGGAAAACCTCCGTGGGGTGGACACTTAGGGGACCCCCGTGCCTCGCCCAGCTCCCTAGGGTGCAGCTTGAGGACCCGGTTTCATGTGCCCCGACTCCGGCGGCAGAGGTGCCCGCTCTGTCCTGGCTCCATCCAGGCTGGGCCTGCGGTCAGTGCCCTTCCGTGGCCCCTGGGCTAATCGCCTGCCCCTCCCCCCAGGGCGTGGAGCAGGATGCCCTCCAGGCCATTGACCGGGCCATCGAGGCCGTGCACAACGCGGCCATGCGGGAAGGGGGCAAGTACAGCCTGGAGCAGCGCGGGGTCCTGCAGTGAGTGGCCCCGGGGTCCGGGGCGGAGCTGGGGTAGTGCCGAGGGGGGTGGAGGTGCCGGAGGGGGAAGGTCCTGGCTGGGGGGGGCAGCACCCCACAGGGCGCGTGTGAAGATGGGGAGCTGTGAAGTGACCCCCAGGCCCCGTTCCTCGGCAGGAAGCTGATCCACCACCGGAAGGAGGCCTTGTCCCGCAGGGGCCCCTCGGCCTCCAGCCCTGCAGCCATGCCCCCGTCCACCAGTGACCACTACCTGGACGCCGCCGCCCGGCAGCCCAACGGGGTGTGTCGCACTGGGCTCGAGCGGCAGCACAGCCTGCCCAGCTCCGAGTACCTGGGGGCCGACGGGGGCCTCTACCAGGTGGGTGGGGAGGCAGCCTGGGGGGGCTAAGGACTCTGCCGGAGGCTTGAAGGCCCACGGGGTGAGCAGGGCCCCCGTCCTCACACCTCGGTGCCCCCCCAGATCCCGCCCCAGCCTCGCCGCGCAGCGCCCGCCACACCGCCTCCACCCGTGAAACGCCGAGACCGGGACCGGGAGGCCCTGGCGGCCGCGGGGAGCGGTGAGAGGCAGGGGTGGGGGTCGTGGGTCCCGTGAGCTGGAATGGCTGCTCTGCTGGGTCAGGCCTTTGGGGCTCTGGGCCTGGCGGGTAGGGCCCCCGGGGGCCCGGCACAGCGTCCCCTCTGCCCGCAGGCAGCCGCCACGCCACGGCCTCTGCGGGCAGCTCGGTGTCCGGCGGCTCCTCCGTCAGCAGCACCTCCCTGGACACGCTCTACACCGGCTCCAGCTCCCCCGAGCCCGGCGCCAGCTGCTCCCCCACGCCCCCGCCCGTGCCCCGCCGCGGCCCGCACACCGCCGTGTCCCAGGCTCAGCCGCCGCCCTCCCAGGGGCCCCTCCCCGAGCCCCCTGCCGAGGAGGGGCCCGGCGAGGCGCCCGCGGCCCCCGCAGAGCTGGAGGCGCTGGGCGCGCTGAGCCTGGGCACCGGCGAGGAGAAGGCGGCGGCCGAGCCGGCCGTGCCCCGGACCATCGGGGCGGAGCTGATGGAGCTGGTGCGGAGGAACACGGGGCTGAGCCACGAGCTGTGCCGTGTGGCCATCGGCGTGGTGGTGGGCCACATCCAGGCCTCCGTGCCAGCCAGCTCGCCCATCATGGAGCAGGTCCTCCTCTCGCTGGTAGAAGGCAAGGTGAGGGCGGGCCACCCTGCTGCTCCCGCCCCGCCCTGCCCCTCCCGCTGGTGCCCGCCTGTCCTGGGCAGGCGCTGGGTGAGCTCTGGCTGGGGCCTCCGCTCAGCTGGGCGCTGCGGACAGCGGGGCTGAGCCTTGAGGAGACGGAGGAAGGGGGTTCCCCAGGGCTCCCTGCACAGGCCTGGAGGCAGGGCGGCTGGGCGGCTGGGACAGGAGTGAGCGCAGGGGGTGTGGGAGGCGGGGGCCCGGGCGGGGGACAGGTGAGACGGAGGGGGGGCGGGGGGGTGGTGGCGGCCAGGGCTCTGGCTGCGGGAGGCGTGCACGCAGGGCAGGGTGAGGGCTGCCTGCTGGCCTGGGCGGTGGAGAGAAGGGGCTGCTGCGGAGCTCTGAGGTGCAGGGACACGGGGTGGGGGCACGGCCAGGGAGCAGGACTGGCAGCGGTGAGCCAGTCCACACCGCGGGGCCTCGGGGTCGGGGTGGGGGGGCAGCGGGCCGGAGAGCTTGTGTGCGGGCAGGTGTGCGTGCTTGGCCGGCAGGGCCCACGGGGAGCGGAGAACTGGGGGAGGGGCCTCAGGTTTACCCAGGTCTGAGCTGCGAGGCAGGCTGTTGGAAAACTCGGCACACGAGTTTCCTGTTTTTATGTCTTTTTATCGGTTTTAGAGGACGGGGAAGGGGAAAACAGAGAAATATCAGTGAGGAGAGAGAATCTTGTTCTTCCTCATCCAAGGACATTTTCCCGTTGATCTTTTAGAGAAAGAGCAAGAGAGAGGGAAAGCCCTGGCCGGTTTGGCTCAGTGGATGGAGCATCGGCCTGCGGACTGAAGGGTCCAGGTTTGATTCTGGCCAAGGGCACATGCCCAAATTACAGGCTCAGTCCCCGGTGCGGGGCATGCAGAGGCAGCTGGTTAACGATTCTCATCATTGATGTTTCTCTCCCTCCTCCCTTCCTCTCTGAAATCAATAACAATAAGAGAGCGGGAAAGACAGAAACATCGATGTGAGAGAAACATCGATTGGTTGCCTCCTGCAGGGGCCCTGACCAGGGCCTGGGCTGGGGAGGAGCCTGCAACCCAGGTGCATGTCCTTGACCAGAATCGAACCCGGGACCCTCTGGTCTGCCGGCCAACACCCTATCCACTGAGCCAAACCTACTGGCCCCACATCAGTGTTCCGTGCGGAAGCCTGTGCCGGGGGTTATCCAGAGGGGAGGGGGGGGTGACCCGGAGAGGGCGGAGAGCTGGCTGTGCCCGCCACGCTGTAGAGGGACCAGGTCTTGGTGGGGGCGTGACGGGGACCGGGTGGCGGGCGGGCGGGCCCCTGGTCTGGTTCCCTCGCCGGCCCCAGGAGCTGCCTCTCCCCCAGGACCTGGGCTCGGCGCTGCCCTCGGGGCAGGTCTGCCATGACCAGCAGCGGCTGGAGGTGATCTTCGCGGACCTGGCGCAGCGGAAGGACGACGCCCAGCAGCGCAGCTGGGCCCTGTACGAGGACGAGGGCGTCATCCGCTGCTACCTGGACGAGCTGCTGCGCATCCTGGTGCGGGGCGGGCCCCAGCCGCCGGCCCCCGCGTCCCCCTCCGCGTCCCCCGCGCCTCACCTGCCCGCGGGCTCACAGGGAGGCCTCACACGCCCTCCCCCGCAGACGGACGCGGACCCTGAAGTCTGCAAGAAGATGTGCAAGAGGAACCAGTTCGAGTCCGTGCTGGCCTTGGTGGCCTACTACCAGATGGTGCGAGGGCGGGGCGGGCCTGGGGGGGCATGGCAGGGGGGGCCGGAGGGGCGGGGCCGGAGGGGAGGGCGGGGCCGGAGGGGCGGGTGGGGCCTGAGGGGCGGGGCCTGAGGGGCGGGGCCGGGGGCTCGGCGCTGAGCACGCAGGTCCCTGCCAGGAGCACCGGGCGTCCCTGCGGCTGCTGCTCCTCAAGTGCTTCGGCGCCATGTGCAGCCTGGACGCGGCCATCATCTCCACCCTCGTGCTGTCCGTGCTGCCCGTGGAGCTGGCGCGGGACATGCAGACGGACACGCAGGGTGAGGGAGGGGCGCTCCCAGCCATGGGGGGGGGGTCGTGCCGCCTGCGGGCCTCTGACGGCCGCCTTGTCCCCCCCAGACCAGCAGAAGCTGTGCTACTCCGCGCTGGTCCTGGCCATGGTCCTCTCCATGGGCGAGGCCGTGCCCTGCGCCCACTACGGTAAGGGGAGCCCGCCGGCCGGCCGGGGCTGGGGCTGGGAGCTGGGGGCCGGCCGGCCGGGCTGGGGCGGGGCTGGGGGCCGGGCTGGGGCTGGGGGCCGGGGGCCGGCCGGACGGGGCTGGGGCTGGGAGCTGGGGGCCGGCCGGGCTGGGGCTGGGGGGTGGGGGCCGGCCGGCCGGGCTGGGGCGGGGCTGGGGGCTGGGGGCCGGGCTGGGGCTGGGACTGGGGCTGGGGGCCGGCCGGGCTGGGGCTGGGACTGGGGCTGGGGGCTGGCCGGGCTGGGGCTGGGGGCCGGCCGGGCTGGGGCTGAGGCTGGGGCTGGGGGCCGGCCGGGCTGGGGCTGAGGCTGGGGCTGGGGGCTGGCCGGGCTGGGGCTGGGGGCCGGCCGGGCTGGGGCTGAGGCTGGGGCTGGGGGCTGGCCGGGCTGGGGCTGGGGGCCGGCCGGGCTGGGGCTGGGGCCGGGAGCCGGCAGGGGTCCCCCGGAGGGGCTCTCATTGGGGAGCGGGTGGCGGCCGCACTGCTGTGTCCCCCGCAGAGCACCTGGGCACGCCCTTCGCCCAGTTCCTGCTGAGCGTCGTGGAGGACGGGCTGCCCTCGGACGCGGCGGAGCAGCTGCCGGACCTCTGCACCAACCTGCTGCTGGCGCTCAACCTGCACCTGCCAGGTGGGGGGCCGGCGGGGCCGCCAGCCAGGCTCCGCCAGCCCCGCCCGCCTAACCCAACTCTCCCCGCAGCCCCCGAGCAGAACGTGGTCATGGCCGCCCTGGGCAAGCACGCCAACGTCAAGGCCTTCTCCGAGAAGCTGCTCCTGCTCCTCAACAGAGGGGGTGAGGCCCCAGGGGGCGCGGACCGGGCGGTCACCCCGGGACTGGGCCTGACCCCCCTCCCCGCCCCCAGACGACCCCGTGCGCATCTTCACGCACCAGCCGGCGCCGCCGCACGCGGTGCTCAAGTTCCTGCAGGACGTGTTCGCCAGCCCCGCCACCGCCAGCATCTTCTACCACACCGACATGATGGCGCTCATCGACATCACCGTGCGCCACATCGCCGACCTGTCGCCCGGAGACAAGGTGCCGGGCCGGGCCGAGGGGGGAGTGACCACCGCTGGCGGGAAGCGCTGGAACCTGGAGGCAGGAGGCCGGCGCCCCAGGGTGGGATGGGGGAAGCGGGGCCTGGAGCCCTGAGGGGTGGGGGTGGGGATGGGAGTGGAGTGGGGGTGCAGGCCGTGCTCCTCCCAGGAGGGGCCCATAGGAGCGCTGGGAGTGCCGGAGGGGCCCGCGGGGCATGGGGGTGGTGGGAGGCGCGGGGCGGTGTGGGGCTGGGGCTGCAGGTGCTGAGGTGCCAGGTACCTGACCCGGGGCGGGGGTGGAGTGTGGAGGGTTGTTTTTATGTTTTAATCCTCAGCCGAGGATATGTTCTTACTGATTTTAGAGAGAGGCAGAAGGAGAGAGCGACAGGAAGAGAGAGAGGAACATTGATGAGAAAGAGAAACATGGATTGGTTGCCTCCTGTAGGCCCCGCCCAGGGATTGAACCCCCAACCTGGATGTGTGCCCTCCCGCACCGCAGCGCAGGGATGAGCTCCAGCCACCCGCGCCGGGCGGGGCCTGGGCGGACTGCACGGAGGGGAGGGCTCAGCCCGCTACGACCTGCCTGTGGCTGCCAGGACCCTGCTCAGCTCCCCTCCCCTCTGGGCACCACGTCCCACCCTTTCTTGGTGAATTTCAGGGGCTCCCCGGTGCTTCTTGCCACCGCTCTGAGCCAGAACTGCTGCAGGCAGCCGCCTCCCGGGACTTTCTGCCTCGGGGGATTCACTCACTCTCTCACTCACTCACTCACCCGAACTACGCAGGCCAGCTCTGCCAAGTGCATTCTGGGAGCCTCCCTGTGTCCCAGCCCGGGGTCCCTGAGCTTCGCCTGCTCCCCCCGCAGCTGCGCATGGAGTACCTCTCCCTGATGCTCGCCGTGGTCCGCTCCACGCCCTACCTGCAGCACCGCCACCGGCTGCCGGACCTGCAGGCCACGCTGCGGCGCATCCTGGCGGAGGAGGACGCCTCGCCCCAGTGCCAGATGGACCGCATGATTGTCCGCGAGATGTGCAAGGAGTTCCCGGCGCTGGGCGAGGCCCCCAGCTAGCGCCGCCCTCCCCGCCCTTCCCTGCCGCCCTGGCCAGCGATGGGGACTTGGGGCTTGGCCCAAGAATGTTTTGCTCGGACGAGGGAGTCAAGGGGTGCGGAGGCGGAAGGATCCTGAGCAGGGCCCGCCCCCTGGCATCGGGTTGATGCGAGGGGCCAAGTGCAGGACTGGGGACCAGGCTCTGGGAACAATGCCGGGGCGAGGGAATGTGCGTGAGCTGAAGCCCCTCCGCGTCCTGGCTGCCTCTCCAGCATGTCCCCCTCCCCCTCTCCGTGCACACACGCACAGGCACACGCACACTCAGAGTCCTGCTGCTGCTTCAGGCTGGGCCGGGGCCCCATCCCCAGCCTGTCTGGTCTGTGTCCTGGGCTTCAGCCAGCCGTGTCCTGGGGGAGAGAGGAGACCCCCGCTAGCTCTGTCTTTTGCCTTAGCTTTGCAATAAGTGCCGCTCATGTGCTTCCCCTCTCCCCCCCCCCCCCAGGGGTCAGTCCCCCCATACACACCCACACCCTCAGGGGCCTAGATCAAGATGCTGCTTCGAAAGCAGAACTTGGGAGACCGGTGCTTGAGCCTCAGCATGGGGTGATGGCGCCGAGAAAGCCTGTGACAGATTCTGTTTTCTCTGTAAACACGCAGACTGAAAAGCCATGTGAGCTTCCTGTGTGCTGCTGCTCACCTTTGGAAATAAATTGCCTCTGGAAACAAGCTTCCTTGTATGATCCTGGGGTGGGAGGAGGATGGTGGGGACCTGGGGCTTGTCCTGCCCTCTCCAGCCCTCAGAGGTGAGGACCCGGACAGCTTGTCCACCGAGGCCTGAGCCCTTGTCCAGCCTTGCTTCACGGAGCTCCCTCCTCGGAGCCACAGCCAGCCGGGCCTGGGGTCCTTGCAGGTGCTGCCCCGCAGGCTTCGCTTCAAATGTCCCTTTGAGCGCTGACCCTTTCCTCCCTGTGGGAACCCTGCTCCGGCCTGGGCCCTGCCCAGCTCCGTGTCTCGTTGGTCACGAGGCTGGTGAGATGCCGCATTTCTCAGCTTCGGCAGAAGTTTGGGAATTACGGTGGGACAAGAGAGTGAGCAAATAGGGGGTTCGGTTTGCACACTCCTTGTGGGCTCCCACGTTTAAAAAATTCCCACTGGAACTCAGTGCCAGACTCCGACCAGTCAGTGGCTTTCATCATTTTTTTTTTTCCTTTTTTTAACCCCAGATGATTTTAAAAAGAAATTTATTTCAGAGAGGGAAAAACATCAATGATGAGAGTCATGGCTGCCTCCCGCACATACTCCCCCCCCCAGTGGGAATCAAGCCCACAACCCAGGCAGGTGTCTGTGACCAGAACTGAACTTGGGACCCTACCGCCCACAGGCCGGTGCTCTGCCCACGGAGCCATGCCAGCCGGGCTGCCCCAGATCATTTCTGTCAGGTGACCCCACACATTCAGACTCATCCCTGACACTGACTTCCGGTCACGACCTTTAAGTTCTCATTGGGATGAAAAAGGCAGAGACGCGGGGAGGGGAGGGGAGGGTCCCTGGAAACGGGTCCCCAGGAAGGCGAGGCCAGAGCACCGGACTGCAGCTCCTGGAGCCGCCCTGGTCACCCGGAGTCAGTGGCCGGCTCCCAGCCGCTCCCTTCTCCCGGGAGCGGAGGCGGAGACCCGCGATTCTCTTCCTGGGACTCCGACCTCGTGGGCAGCGCGGGGCGGCCGTGCCCTCTGGACCGAGCTGGCCCGGAGGGGCCCTGGCCGGGAGGCAGGAGCACCGAGGCCGCTGCCAGTTGTCCTGGGGACTCTGCCGTGTTTGTAGGGGAGGCAGACGCTCCCCCCTCACGCCCTGGGGGACCCAGACCCGCATGGGCCGAAGCTCCGGCCGCAGGGCGTCGGCAGGTGCAGGGACGGGGCAAAGCGCCTCTGGGCTCACCCGCCTCGGGCCCAGCGGGCGGCGCTCGGAGGAGGAGCCCCCGGGAGCCCCGCCTCCCGGAAGCGAAGGTGTCGAGCGGCCAACGAGCGCGCCGTCTGATTGGTTGGTGGTGATGTCATAGTTACCATTTGGGCGGGCGCGAGGCCTTAGGCCCGGGTTCTCCGCTGGGTCCCAACGGGAGCCGCACCCCTGGGTGTTCTGGGCCCCAGAGCGACCCCGCCTGGGTCCGGGGGCGCCCCCGCCCTCTGCCCGGCGCTGCAGGCCGTGGTCGCTGCCGCCTGTGCGGGCCGCTGGGCGGAGCGTCTCCCGGAGCATCTCTCCGCCGGCGCCGGGACCACGAGCCCGGGTCCCCAGACAATGCGTCCCGCGGGGCAGAGCCTCACGTCGTGCCCACGGAGACGGGGCCCTCCGATTGGCGCCCGGCGCCCGCCCGCCGCCCGCGGTCCCGTGACGTCGGCTCTGCCGCGCCTGCCATTGGCCGGAGGCACCGACCGCGGGGTGCCTGACTGCGCGGCGGGAGGAGGGCTGAGCTCCCGTTAGTCCCCCCGAGGGGGGAAAGGCTGGTCTTAGGGAGGAGCCGCCGGGGTCCGAGGAGCCGGGCCGCAGCCGCGGGGGATCCCGCCCTGGAGGGAGGGGTGTAGCCTGGGGGGGGCCCAGCGCCGGGAGGCCGCGGGGGCTGCCAAGGCCGGGCAGGGGCTGCCTCCGCTCCTGCCCCCGCAGGTCACCGCCGGTCCTGCCCGCGGGGCGCTCCACACAAGGAGGTGGACAGTCGGACGTTTCATGGTTTAAAGTCACTGATGGAAGAGTCAAAGCCATTGTTCGGGCTGCTGCGCCCCGGCGGCCCCACCCCGCCCATCGCCCCCGCTGCCCCCAGGGTTGCACATGGCGCCCCGGGCCGACGCTCACTGTGCCCAGCTGCTCACACCCAAATCCGGAGCGAGGCTCGGAACGAGGGCTCAGCAAGGGGCAAGAGGCCTGTAAGCGCAAGAAAGGATCGGATGAAGTTAAATTTTTGTGAGGGGAAACAAGAAGAAAGGCTGGGAGCCGAAACCGGCGTGGCTCAGTGGTAGAGCGTCGGTCTGCGGACTGAAAGGCCCCAGGTTCGATTCCGGTCAAGGGCATGTACCTTGGTTGCGGGCACGTCCCCAGTAGAGGGTGTGCAGGAGGCAGTTGGTTGATATTTCTCTCTCATCGATGTTTCTAATTCTCTATCCCGCTCTCTTCCTCTCTGAAAAAAAATCAATAAAATATATATAATTTTTTTTTAAAGAAGAAGAAAGGCTGGGAGACGGCCCTGAAGGAGGGAGGCGGGCGAGGGCGAGGGCGGTGCCGGAGCGAGGAGGGCGCATCCCTCGGCGGAGGCCCCGAGCCCGTTCAGCACCGCGGGCAGCGCCCGGGCTGTGCCCTCAGTAAAGATGGCGGCGCCGGCGTCGGCGGCCGGAGCTGCCATGCGCCGCGGCCCGTACCACCGGGTTCGAGGTTTCGGGCGGAGGCGGAACGAACCATCGCGGCGGCCGGGAGCCATGTTGGAGCGGCGGGAGGCGGCGGCGGCGCCCGGGATGCTGCGGCGGGGGCGGCCGAGCCCGGGGCCGCACGCCACGGGGGCTCCGGCGGCGGAGTAGATGGTGGCCGGAGCGGGGCGGCGGGGGCGCGGAGCGACAGGCGGGAGGCGCGGGGCCGGGGCGGCGGCGGGGGCCCGGGAGGGGGCCCGACCGGCGGGGCGGGCCCGAGGCCCGGACCAGGGCGGGGGGCGGTGGAGGCCGTGCGGGGAGGCGGGGGGCGATGGGGAGGCGGCCGCCGCGGCGGGGCCTCGGGGGGCCGGCGGCCTCGCTGCTCCCGCTCCTGCTCCTCTCTTTGTTCCCGCTCAGCCGGGAGGAGCCGGGGGGCGGCGGGGGCCGGGGCTGGGGCGCGGCGGGGGCTGCTGCCCCGGAGCCCGGGGCGCGGGCCGGTGGCGGGGCCTTAGCTCTTTGTGCCGAGCCGCCCGGGGCCCGGGAGCACGGGGAGCCCGGCCTGGGAGTTGGGGAGCCTGTCTTCGAGGGGCTCCGAGGGGGGACGCCAAGCGCCCAGAGTGCCCGGGGGTCCCCTGGGCAGCCGGATGCGGGGCTCGGGGCGGAACGCGGGGCCCGGGCACTCGGTAGCCGCGGGCGAGGGGCATGCCAGGGGCCGGGGTGTCCGCTGTGCTGGCGCCCGGAGGCCTCCTCCTGCGGACGGACAGGACCTTCGCGGAGACGCAGGTCGCCGCCGGAGGCCCCGTCCCCAGGGCTCCCGGCCCCGGGGAACAGCTTGCCCGTCAGGAATGCTGGGAGAGGCGCCCCCAAGAGAGTGGGAGCCACGCGGTGCTGCGGGGGATTGTGGGCGCCGGGGCGCAGGGGCCAAAGCCAGAGAGCCCGGAGCCCCCGAGCCGAGACCACCGCCTCCCGGGCGGACTGTCCTCCCGGGGCCGCGGGCCCGGCTTCAGCACCGCGCGCGGCCGGGACAGCTCCGGCGCCGGGTTCAGCACCGCGCGGCGACCGGACAGCTCCCGGGCCGCCGCCCCGGCGCATGCGCCCCCGCGGGCTCCGCCGCCGCCTCCCGCCGCGCCCCGGGGCCCCGGCCCCGCCCGCGCCGCGGAGGACGCCCCCGGCCAGCCGGGCCCGCCGCCGCCGCGCCGCCAACCGCCACCCGCAGTTCCCGCAGTACAACTACCAGGCGCTCGTGCCCGAGAACCAGGCGGCGGGCGCCGCGGTGCTGCGCGTGGCGGCGCAGGACCCGGACGCGGGCGAGGCGGGGCGCCTGGCCTACTCGCTGGCCGCGCTCATGAACAGCCGCTCGCTCGAGCTCTTCAGCATCGACCCGCACAGCGGCCTCATCCGCACCGAGGCCGCCCTGGACCGCGAGAGCATGGAGCGCCACTACCTGCGCGTCACGGCGCACGACCACGGCTCGCCGCGCCTCTCGGCCACCACCATGGTGGCCGTGACGGTGGCCGACCGCAACGACCACGCGCCCGTGTTTGAGCAGGCGCAGTACCGCGAGACGCTGCGCGAGAACGTGGAGGAGGGCTACCCCATCCTGCAGCTGCGCGCCACGGACGGCGACGCGCCCGCCAACGCCAACCTGCGCTACCGCTTCGTGGAGCCGCCCGCCGCGCACCCCGCCGCCGCCGCCGCCGCCGCCGCCTTCGAGATCGACCCGCGCTCGGGCCTCATCAGCACCAGCGGCCGCGTGGACCGGGAGCTCATGGAGAGCTACGAGCTGGTGGTGGAGGCCAGCGACCAGGGCCAGGAGCCCGGGCCGCGCTCGGCCACCGTGCGGGTGCACATCACCGTCCTGGATGAGAACGACAACGCGCCGCAGTTCAGCGAGAAGCGCTACGTGGCTCAGGTGCGCGAGGACGTGCGCCCGCACACGGTGGTGCTCCGCGTCACGGCCACCGACCGCGACAAGGACGCCAACGGCCTGGTGCACTACAACATCATCAGCGGCAACAGCCGCGGCCACTTCGCCATCGACAGCCTCACGGGCGAGGTCCAGGTGGTGGCCCCGCTGGACTTCGAGGCCGAGCGCGAGTACGCTCTGCGCATCCGGGCGCAGGACGCGGGCCGGCCCCCGCTGTCCAACAACACGGGCCTGGCCAGCATCCAGGTGGTGGACATCAACGACCACGCGCCCATATTTGTCAGCACGCCCTTCCAGGTGTCCGTCTTGGAGAACGCGCCCCTGGGCCACTCGGTCATCCACATCCAGGCCGTGGACGCGGACCACGGGGAGAATGCCAGGCTGGAGTACTCGCTGACCGGGGTGGCCCCCGACACGCCCTTCGTGGTCAACAGCGCCACGGGCTGGGTGTCCGTGAGCGGCCCCCTGGACCGCGAGTCCGTGCAGCATTACTTCTTCGGCGTGGAGGCCCGGGACCACGGCTCCCCGCCGCTGTCCTCCTCGGCCAGCGTCACGGTGACCGTGCTGGACGTGAACGACAACAGGCCCGAGTTCACCACCAAGGAGTACCACCTGCGGCTGAACGAGGACGCCGCCGTGGGCACCAGCGTGGTCAGCGTGACCGCCGTGGACCGCGACGCCAACAGCGCCATCAGCTACCAGATCACGGGTGGCAACACCCGGAACCGCTTTGCCATCAGCACGCAGGGCGGGGTGGGGCTGGTGACGCTGGCTCTGCCCCTGGACTACAAGCAGGAGCGCTACTTCAAGCTGGTGCTCACCGCCTCCGACCGCGCCCTGCACGACCACTGCTACGTGCACGTCAACATCACCGACGCCAACACCCACCGGCCCGTCTTCCAGAGCGCCCACTACTCGGTCAGCGTGAACGAGGACCGGCCCGTGGGCAGCACCGTGGTGGTCATCAGCGCCTCCGACGACGACGTGGGCGAGAACGCCCGCATCACCTACCTGCTGGAGGACCACCTGCCCCAGTTCCGCATCGACGCCGCCTCGGGGGCCATCACGCTGCAGGCGCCGCTGGACTACGAGGACCAGGTGACCTACACGCTGGCCATCACGGCACGGGACAACGGCATCCCGCAGAAGGCGGACACCACGTACGTGGAGGTGATGGTCAACGACGTCAACGACAACGCCCCCCAGTTTGTGGCCTCCCACTACACGGGGCTGGTGTCGGAGGACGCCCCGCCCTTCACCAGCGTCCTGCAGATCTCCGCCACCGACCGGGACGCGCACGCCAACGGCCGGGTCCAGTACACCTTCCAGAACGGGGAGGACGGGGACGGAGACTTCACCATCGAGCCCACCTCCGGCATCGTCCGCTCGGTGAGGCGGCTGGACCGGGAGGCCAGGCCAGTGTACGAGCTGACGGCCTACGCGGTGGACCGGGGCGTGCCTCCGCTCCGGACCCCGGTCGGCATCCAGGTGACGGTGCAGGACGTCAACGACAACGCGCCCGTCTTCCCCGCCGAGGAGTTCGAGGTCCGGGTGAAGGAGAACAGCGTGGTGGGCTCGGTGGTGGCCCAGATCACAGCGGCCGACCCCGACGAGGGCCCCAACGCCCACGTCATGTACCAGATCCTGGAGGGCAACATCCCCGAGCTGTTCCAGCTGGACATCTTCTCCGGGGAGCTCACCGCCCTCGTGGACCTGGACTACGAGGCCCGCCAGGAGTACGTGATCGTGGTGCAGGCCACGTCCGCCCCGCTGGTCAGCCGCGCCACCGTGCACGTGCGCCTGGTGGACCAGAACGACAACAGCCCCGTGCTCAGCAACTTCCAGATCCTCTTCAACAACTACGTGTCCAGCCGCTCCGACACCTTCCCCTCCGGCGTCATCGGCCGCATCCCGGCGCACGACCCCGACGTCTCCGACCGCCTCTTCTACTCCTTCGAGCGCGGCAACGAGCTGCAGCTGCTGGTCCTCAACCAGACCAGCGGGGAGCTTCGGCTCAGCCGCAAGCTGGACAACAACCGCCCGCTGGTGGCCTCCATGTTGGTGACCGTCACAGGTAAGGGGCGGAGGCAGGCAGGTGCCTCGCCCGGGGCTCCGCAGGGCACCTCACAGGAGAGGGGTGCCCAAGCCTTCTGAACGTCCCTTCGGGGTTGGGTTCCTGCACCGCGCGGGACCCGCCATGACCCCAGGTTAGGTGCATATCCGCCCTGCCTGGGCCCCTGGGAAGTCTCTCAGAACCCCAAGGATTCCAGGGCATCCACAAACCCTACACAGACCGCATGAGCGGTCTGGCTGCTACCCTAGGGCGGCCCCTCCCTCCAAGGCTGGAGGTCCTGGGTTAATGGTCTGGAGGTCACCGTCAGCCCGCACCGCGTCGGTCCAGAAGACGGGCTACTTTGGTCCACGCTGACCCTCGCCCCTCTGTGCGGTGGTCAGAAACAGCAGCTCACCCTGGCAGCTCCAGGCAGAGGGGGCCACACTGGCCGGGCTACTACCCGAGGGCCTGGCCGAGAAGACCCAGAGGCTCGCCTGCACAGCGGCTGTCAGAGCCCCCTGGGGAGGGGCCACGGGAGAGGCTCTGGTCACCCCGCTCTGGAGGCTGCAGAGGCTGGACACAGACGTCACTGGCGTTTGCTCCCCCGTCCTGGAGCCTGGTTCCTGGCCCTGCCCAAGCATGCCCAACGCTCACGTGCCACTTGACTACGCACCAGCCCTCACCTCCCGCCCAGTGTGTGTTCTGGGAACACGGCGTATCAGCCCCTCGCCCTCATTTCTGGGGCGGGGGCCCTGAGATCGCAGGGCCGGGTCTGGGATGATAGGCAACTTGCTGACATAAGAATGCTGAGGGTGGGACGGGTTGGGGTGCACGACCCTCCTGGTGGGAGGGAGCTTACTGACCTGGGGGGACAGGGTGGAGTGGTTACAAGGCCCGGGCCATGGGCTTGCTGACAGAAATAGGGGTGGGTGACCTCTGCCTAGAACCCTGTTTTGGAGGGTGTCTTGCTGGATCTGCGATGCTGGGGGGTGGGGGAGAATGGGTGGTCAGTGTCCTGTGTGGGGTGGCCTGCGGGCTAGGATAACTTGGGCTAGGGCAGTGGTCGGCTCTTTGGTCCCTTGAGTGTGGCTCTTCCACAAAATACCCCGGCCTGGGCCAGTCTATTTTGAAGACGTGGCGTTAGACGAAGCTTAAAAAATATGGCTGTCCTCTCCAAAGAAAGTTCCACCTGCCGCAGGGTGAGTTGCACCTACGATGCCGGTGTTCTGGCGGAGGAATGGCCTGCCGACCCACGGCACTGGGATGGGGAGGGATTGCGGGTTGGTCCCTGGCTCAGTCCCCTCCTTGTGTTGGACGGAGACGAGAGGAAGCAGGAACTTGTTGACAATGTGACACGAGACCTGGGTCCCCCAGGGTTACGAGTGTCTTGGCAGGGTCCCTGCTGACTCGGGTGCCAGCGACCTGGGCGGGCACTGGCCCTAGCCCCCTTGTGTCCCAGGGAGGGCAGCCGCTGACCGCAGGCTGACCCTGCCCCTCCCTGCCCGCAGACGGGCTGCACAGCGTGACGGCGCAGTGCGTGCTGCGCGTGGCCATCATCACGGAGGAGCTGCTGGCCAACAGCCTGACGGTGCGCCTGGAGAACATGTGGCAGGAGCGCTTCCTGTCCCCGCTGCTGGGCCGCTTCCTGGAGGGCGTGGCCGCGGTGCTCGCCACGCCGGCCGAGGACGTGTTCATCTTCAACATCCAGAACGACACGGACGTGGGCGGCGCCGTGCTCAACGTGAGCTTCTCGGCGCTGGCGCCGCGCGGGGCGGGCGCGGGCGCCGCGGGGCCCTGGTTCAGCTCCGAGGAGCTGCAGGAGCAGCTGTACGTGCGCCGCGCGGCGCTGGCCGCCCGCTCGCTGCTGGACGTGCTGCCCTTCGACGACAACGTGTGCCTGCGCGAGCCCTGCGAGAACTACATGAAGTGCGTGTCGGTGCTGCGCTTCGACTCGTCCGCGCCCTTCCTGGCCTCGGCCTCCACGCTCTTCCGTCCCATCCAGCCCATCGCCGGCCTGCGCTGCCGCTGCCCGCGCGGCTTCACCGGAGACTTCTGCGAGACGGAGCTGGACCTCTGCTACTCCAACCCCTGCCGCAACGGCGGCGCCTGCGCGCGGCGGGAGGGCGGCTACACGTGCGTCTGCGGCCCGCGCTTCACGGGTGAGCCCGCCGCCCGCGGGGCTGGGGGAGCCTCCGGCGGAGCGCGAGGGCGGGCCGCAGTGCAGGGAGGCCGGGCATGAAGGAACCCGGAGCCGGGACGGGCGGGCGCGGTGGGACCAGAAGCGGGAGAGCCTGGTCCTGGGCGAGTCCAGGGCCGCCAGGCCCCGAGACCCCACGCGGGGCTGAGGCGGAGGGAGGCGTGGCCAGGGGCGGGGCTGTGAGAGTCCGTTAGAGTGAGCGGGGCGTGGTCAGAGCAGGGGCGGGGCCAGGAAGAGGGCGTGGTTAGCTCAGAGGTGGGGTCACTGGCTGGGCGGGGCCGTTGGCGGGGCGGGGCTGGCGCTGGGCGGGGCCATTGGCGGGGCGGAGCTGGAGCTGGGCGGGGCCATTGGCGGGGCGGGGCCGTTGGCTGGGCGGGGCTGGCGCTGGGCGGGGCCATTGGTGGGGCGGGGCCGTTGGCTGGGCGGGGCCGTTGGCTGGGCGGGGCTGGCGCTGGGCGGGGCCGTTGGCCGGGCCGAGGGGCGCCGCGGGCCGGACCTGTCTGAGGGCCGAACCGGAGCCAGCGCCTCGCGGGTGGAGGGGCCGTGGCGCCGGCGTGACCGCCTCCGCCTCTGACCGCGGCTTCGCCTCCAGGAGAGGACTGCGAGCTGGACACGGAGGCCGGACGCTGCGTGCCCGGCGTCTGCCGCAACGGGGGCACCTGCGCGGACGGGCCGCACGGCGGCTTCCGCTGCCAGTGCCCGGCGGGCGGCGCCTTCGAGGGCCCGCGCTGCGAGGTGTCGGCTCGCTCCTTCCCGCCCAGTTCCTTCGTCATGTTCCGGGGCCTGCGGCAGCGCTTCCACCTCACGCTGTCCCTCTCGTAGGTGCCGCCCGCCCGCCGCCCGCCCGCCTCACCGCGGTCCCCTCTCGGGGCTCCCTCCCACCCCGGCGGGCTCCCTCCCCGCCAGCCTGGTCGCAGGGGGGGTGTGAGGAGGGCGCGGCTCCTGACTCGCCCCCTCCCCAGGTTCGCCACGGTGCAGCCCAGCGGGCTGCTCTTCTACAACGGGCGTCTGAACGAGAAGCACGACTTCCTGGCCTTGGAGGTGGTGGCTGGGCAAGTGCGGCTCACCTACTCCACAGGTGGGTGCCCCCCGGCACCTGCACATCCGCCGCCACGATGGCAGCAGCGAGGACCTGGTTCCGGGGGGTGGGGGTCAGCTGTCTGCCCGGCTCGCTGGGCCCCCGCGTGGGCCCCTGTGTGGGGTGACCTGGGGCCGCAGGGTCGCCCTGGGGAGCTGTGCCTGCGTGACTGGGGGGTCAGCGCAGCCGTGGCAGACACCCCTCCACGCCATCCTCCACAGGCGAGTCCAGCACGGTGGTCAGCCCTACGGTCCCCGGCGGCCTGAGTGACGGCCAGTGGCACACGGTGCACCTGAGATACTACAACAAGGTGGGCGACCCTCGGCCGGGGGGGGGGGCTGGGGTGCCGAGTCTGCCCCTCAGCGGGGGGAGGGGGGCGCTGGGGTGCCGGCTGGGGTGCCAAGTCTGCCCCTTGGCAGGGGGGGGGGGCTGGGGTGCCGAGTCTGCCCCTCGGCCTGGGGGGGGGGGCTGGGGTGCCGAGTCTGCCCCTCGGCGGGGGGGGGGGGGGGCTGGGGTGCCGAGTCTGCCCCTCGGGCCCCCGGGGTCCCGCTGAGTGGTGTGCCTGGTCTCTAGCCCCGGACAGATGCCCTGGGGGCTGCTCAGGGCCCCTCCAAGGACAAGGTGGCTGTGCTGAGCGTGGACGACTGTGACGCGGCCGTGGCTCTGCAGTTTGGCGCCGAGATCGGGAACTACTCGTGTGCAGCTGCGGGCGTGCAGACCAGCTCCAAGAAGTGAGGCCCAGCCCCGCTGCCGAGCCCTCTGCTGGCCAAAGCCCACCCAGTCCCTCACACACCCCGCTTCTCCCGCCACCCAACTCCCATCCTTCCCCAGCCCCTCAGGACCCCGCAACCCACCTCACCCCTTCTCCGCCCGCCACCCAGGCACCCTCACCCGCCCTGCCCCTCCCCAGACTCGCCCATCGTGGGCTCCTTGGCTCCCCCCTGAAGCCAGGCCTCCTCAGTGACCTTGCCCTCTAAGTCCTGCCCCCACACTTCCCGTGACCCCCCAGGAGCAGCCCTCCCCTGGCTCCAGGCCCACCAATGACCTGGACCCCTGACCCCCAGGTCCCTGGACCTGACAGGCCCTCTGCTCCTGGGGGGGGTGCCCAACCTCCCCGAGAACTTCCCCGTGTCCCACAAGGACTTCGTCGGCTGCATGCGGGACCTGCACGTTGATGGCCGCCGAGTGGACATGGCGGCCTTCGTTGCAAACAACGGCACCGTGGCAGGTAGGCAGCCCTGTCCTCGGGCGTGTGGAGGGCGCCTGGAGAGACCCCAAAGCTGCCTGCTCCCTGTCGCCTCTGGTGGCAAGCACGGGCACCGGTAGCTTCTACCATGGGCGTGGGCACAGGCCCGCCTCCTCCCAATCTACCCCTAGGGGACACGGGGCTGAGATCGGGGTCACCTGCGGTCCCCGTGGACCCCCAGGTCCTACCCACTGGGGCCCCTCGTCTCAGTCCCTCCCCGTGCCTGCCCTCCCAGGCTGCCAGGCCAAGCTCCACTTCTGCGACTCGAACCCGTGCAAGAACAATGGCCACTGCGTGGAGCGGTGGGGTGGCTTCAGCTGCGACTGTCCTGTGGGCTTTGGCGGCAGAGACTGTCGGCTCAGTGAGTGGAGGCCTGGGCGGGGCAGGGCGGCCTGAGGGCCGGCCCTCCTACTGAGGGGGGCCTGTGACCTCGCCCCTTCCGCCTCCGCAGCCATGGCCCACCCCCACCGTTTCCGCGGCAACGGCACCCTGAGCTGGGACTTCGGGAGTGACGTGATGGTGTCCGCGCCATGGTACCTGGGGCTGGCGTTCCGCACGCGGGCGCCGCGCGGGGTCCTGATGCAAGTGCAGGCCGGGCCGCACTGCACGCTCCTCTGTCAGGTGTGTCTGCCCGACCCTCCCGACCTCCAGCCTCCGCCTCTGAGGCCCCAGCATACTTCTCCGCCGGGTGCACTGGCCCTCCTTGACCCAGCCTGGCCCCTGGCCCCTGACCCTCTCCCACCGGGCATCCTCCGCAGGCGCAGGGCGTCAGCATAGCTCTGTGCTGGCTGCCCCACTCAGCGACCTCTGGCCTGACCTCTGCCCCTTCACCCATCTCCGGCCTCGGAGAGGCCCTGGGCGCAGGGGTAGCCTGGCTCCTAGTGTTCCGCCCTCGGTGTTGTTGGCCTCAGAGTGCCCGGCCTCACCTCCGACACCCCCAGCCCCAGCCAAGCGGGCCCCTGACCAGGTCTGTGCCTCTGTCCCCACAGCTGGATCGGGGGTTGCTGTCCCTGACGGTGACCAGGGGCTCGGGCCGTGCTGCCCACCTCCTCCTGGACCAGGTGACTGTCAGTGACGGCAAGTGGCACGACCTTCGGCTGGAGTTGCAGGAGGAGCCAGGTGGCCGGCGGGGCCACCATGTCCTCATGGTTTCGCTGGACTTTAGCCTCTTCCAGGTCTGACTTCTAACCCTGCAATAGTCCCTTCGTAGTCTTCCAACCAGCTGATCCCGCCTCTAATCCAGCTCCTCCCCTCCCTCCCCTGCATGTAGTTGATATTCCCCCGCTGCCCCCCACGTCCGGCTCGGAGCCCTCCCTGCCAGCCCTCCTGCGGGGCGGCTCCTGATTCTGGCCGGTCTCAGTCAGCACTCTGCCGGACTCCCAGAACCTCCTAAGGGCTGCCCAACCCCCAGCTCAAGTCGTGGGATGTCCTGGTCCAGAAGGCCTATCTGAGCCCAGCTCTTTTTTTTTTTTTTTTTTTTTTTAATACATATTTTTGTATTGATTTCAGAGAGGGGAGAGGGAGAAATAGAAGCATCAGTGATGTGAATCATTGATTGGCTGCCTCTTGCACGCCCCCTACTGGGGATGGAGCCTGCAATCCGGGCATGTGCCTTTGACCGGAATGGAATGGGACCCTTCAGTCCGCAGATGGACTCTCCATCCACCGGGCCAAGCCAGCCAGGGCTGAGCCCAGTGGAAACCTTCCTATCCACCCCCCCAGGCTGTGGCAAGTCCCATTCTCGAGATCAGCTCTTCCCAGCCCATTCCCGGTACAAAGGAACAGAGTGGAGGTTGTGCAGGGCAGGGCAGGGCCAAGACAGACTCGGGGGTAGGGCAGGGGTCCTCCCCCCGCTCCCCAGGGCTGACTGCCCCCTCCCCCAGGACACCATGGCGGTGGGCAGTGAGCTGCAGGGCCTGAAAGTAAAGCGACTCCATGTGGGGGGCCTGCCCCCCCGTGGCGAAGAGGAGGCTCCCCCCGGGCTGGTCGGCTGTGTCCAGGTGGGGTCAACATGGGAGTGACCTGGGCCTCGGGTGAGGGGGAGAGAGCAGGGCCTGGGGACCTCAGCAGCTGGTCACCTGGCGGGGGCGGGGGGGGCACGCAGAGCCATCAGAAGTCAAGCCTCTGTGCTGCTGGAGGCGAGGGTCCCAGGTCACGGGCCCTGCGAGGTCAGTGTCAGGGACAGCACACTCGGGCCCCTGTGCTGACGTAGGGACATGGGGTCGGGTCGGGTAGGGAGCTGCGTGTCAGGGGTCATCAGACCAGCTGTGTCCACAGGGGGTATGGCTCGGCTCCACGCCTTTGGGGTCCCCAGCCCTGCACCCCCCCACGCAGCGAGTGAATGTGGAACCTGGCTGTGTCATGGACAGCGCCTGTGCATCCGGGCCTTGCCCGCCCCACGCTGACTGCCGCGACCTCTGGCAGACCTTTTCCTGCACGTGCTGGCCAGGTAGGGCCCGGGGGCGGCATGACTTGGGGGCTGATGGACTCGGGGACCCAGAGGAGACCGCGGACAGGCCCTCCCTCCCGCCCGTGCCCTGTGGTCAGTGTCCTGAGCTCTCTGACCCGGCCTGCAGGTTACTATGGCCCGGGCTGCGTGGACGCCTGCTTCCTGAACCCCTGTCAGAACCAGGGGTCGTGCCGCCGTCTCCCAGGGGCCCCCCACGGCTACACCTGTGACTGTGTAGAGGGCTACTTTGGGCAGCACTGTGAACACAGGTAGGGGCCAGGGGCCGAGATCATGGAGGACCTGGGGGTGAGGAGGGCACTGAGACATCGGGGCATCTCACCTGGCTGTGCACCCCCAGGATGGACCAGCAGTGCCCACGAGGCTGGTGGGGGAGCCCGACCTGCGGGCCCTGCAACTGTGATGTCCACAAGGGCTTTGACCCCAATTGCAATAAGACTGATGGGCGGTGCCACTGCAAGGTGAGCCGGGCCCTGACCCTTGACCCCTGGCCTTTGCACTCTTCCCTAGCCATGATTGGCGATTCTTTTCCAGCTTGCTGATCTCTGCCCCCTGACTCAGGCCTGGCCCTTTATTGTCCTGTGACCTTTGTCCTTGACACCTGACCCCTCCCTTAAGTTTCCCTTCATGCCCGGCTTCCTTCTGGCCTGTGAGCATTGTTCTCTGACCTTCTCCTTGGTTCTCCTCCTTCCCCAAGCAAGCATTGACCTCTGACCTTGGCCCTGACCCTTTCTCAAACAGGAGTTCCACTACCGCCCCCGGGGCAGTGACACCTGCCTCCCGTGTGACTGCTACCCCGTGGGCTCCACCTCACGCTCGTGCGCGCCCCACAGCGGGCAGTGCCCCTGCCGCCCGGGCGCCCTGGGCCGCCAGTGCAACAGCTGTGACAGCCCTTTCGCCGAGGTGACGGCCAGCGGCTGCCGAGGTGAGTAGCTCCCAGCCCCGCCCCGCGGAAGGCCAGCTCCGGCTGCTGCCTGAACGGGCGGTGGGCCTTGGCTCTCTGCGGAGACCAGGGAGCCTCACTGCCCAAGTGCTTGGGTGGCCTGTCCCGAGGCGGCCAGGCAGCTCCGAGAGGCCCGGGGAGGGCGGTGGCGTGGCCCTGCCTCGGCCGCCTGGCTCAGTGCCCGCCTCTCCTCAGTGCTCTATGATGCCTGCCCCAAGTCCCTGCGGTCCGGTGTGTGGTGGCCCCAGACCAAGTTCGGCATTTTGGCCTCAGTGCCCTGTCCCCGGGGGGCCCTGGGTGAGTACCTCGGAGCAGGTGCAGTGCTGAGGGGTGGCTTGTCCTTGGCCTGCTGTGGCTCTCTTCCTGAGACCGGTGGCCTGGTTCCTGCACAGGTGGGAGGCGGGTAGGGTCCAGGCGGGCCCCTCACTGCCTCCTAGGGGTTCCATGTCCCTCCCCTCACCTCACTGAGCCTCCGTCTGTTTCTCCTGGCTTCTGGGCAGGATTGCGGGGTGCAGGTAAGGGGTACGTGTTTGCTCAGGTGCGCTGCCCCTCCCACTGCCAGAGCTTTTGCAGATCCCCTGCCTGAAGCCCCTGCAGACCCTCCCCTTCCTGAGGTCTCTGAGAGTGACCCCGAAGGCTCGGAGAACCGGGCCCTTCTGTCTGAGGACCCGGGGCCCCTTCTCTGCTGCCCGTGTCCTCAGAGACCCTCCCCCTCCTCAGGTCCTGAGGGCCCTGCAGGTTCCTGTGTCCCTGCTGCCTGAGCCCTCCGGGGCGACTCCGCCTTCAAGGCTCCTCCAGGCTCCTCCCCATGGCCTGAGGTGTCCCCCACCCTGCTCCTGACCTGAGGTCCCTGCAGTGGCTGGACAGAGATCGCCCGTGTGCATGCACATGTGTGTGTCTCTCTGTGCCTGCGCACGTGTCTGTGAGTCTGTCTTGGGGGGAGAGGACCCTGTGCTAAGGTTAGGGTCCCTTTCGCTGGTGGCTGCAAGCTCCCTCCTGGTCCAGGTCAGTTCTCATACAGCCCACCCTGGTCATGGACAGTGAGATGGCAGCAGACGGCCTGGGCAGTTAAAACCTGCGTGGACACTTCCACCCCCACCAGCTGGGTCACAAAGTGCTCCTGGAGAATCTGGCCTGTGTGTGTATGTGTGTGTGTGTGTGTGTGTAAGAACATTGTATGTCTGTGTACTTTTCCTGGTCCCCACACGTGTGTGTGCAGATAGGACCATTGGGGTGTATATGTGCGTGCATGTGTGCTTGCCCTGGACCACATGTCCGTGAACCTTTTCTGGCCTGTGTGTGCATGTGTGTGTGGACGTGTGCCCAGCCCTGCCCTCACGCTCACCTTTCTCGCTGCTGGTTTGGTTCAGAATGGCGCAGGCCTTCAGGAGCTGGCTGGCAGCAGCTCCGTCCAGGGCCTGACGGCTAGTCCTCTGGTCTCTGACTCAGCTTCCTCTGAGGTGGAGGACGGCCAGGCCCAGGCCTGACCAGGGCTCCCTGCCCCCAGGTGCTGCCGTGCGGCTCTGTGACGAGGACCAGGGGTGGCTGGAGCCCGACCTCTTCAACTGCACCTCCCCCGCCTTTCGCGAGCTCACGCTGCTGGTGAGACTGCCCGGCCAGGCCCCGGCCCCAGGCCTGCGGGAGGCCCCGGACGCCATGCCGCCTTCCCTGGGCGCCTTCCCTGGGCCAAGCCCTTCCTGTGAGGCTTCTGAGAAAGGCCAAAGGGACCCAGGGACCCGACCCCATCTTTGTCCTGCAGTTGGATGGCCTGGAGCTGAACAGGACAGCGCTGGACACTGTGGAGGCCAAGAAGCTGGCTCAGAGGCTGCGGGAGGTGACCGGCCACACTGACCACTACTTTAGCCAGGATGTCCGCGTCGCTGCCCGCCTGCTGGCCCGCCTGCTGGCCTCTGAGAGCCACCAGCAGGGCTTTGGGCTGACGGCCACTCAGGACGCCCACTTCAATGAGGTGGGCTGTGCCCTGTGCTCGTCACCCATCGCTGGCCCTGGGCCCTGGGCCCCGGATTCCCCTCAGGCCCCCTCCCCGGCCCTGGGGAAGGGAAGGCCCTGAGCTCCCTCTTCCTCGGCCCCCCAGACCCACCCCTGCCTGCTGGGGCCTCTTGAGTCCTGGCCAGATGCTCTGCCCGCCCTGCCCATCCACAGCCTCCCCACTGAGCCCGCTCTCCCTCCTCCCAGAATCTGCTGTGGGCAGGCTCTGCGCTGCTCGCCCCGGAGACCGGGGACTTGTGGGCCATGCTGGGGCGGCGGGCGCCCGGGGGGTCCCCCGGCAGCGCGGGGCTGGTGCGGCACCTGGAGGAGTACGCGGCCACGCTCGCCAGGAACATGGAGCTCACGTACCTGAATCCCGTGGGGCTGGTGACGCCCAACATCAGTATGTGGGGCGGGGGCGGGGCTGCGGAAGGGTGAGGACCTGGGCCTGAGGCTCTCTGGTAGCAGGGAGGGGCTGGGTGTGGGCAGGAAGGAGCGGACCCGGCCTGGGGAGGAGTCCCTGACGGCCTCACCCCTCTTCCTCCCTGGTAGTGCTCAGCATCGACCGCATGGAGCACCCCAGTCCGTCCCGGGGCACCCGCCGCTACCCTCGTTACCATAGCAACCTGTTCCGTGGCCAGGATGCCTGGGACCCTCACACCCACGTACTGCTGCCTTCCCAGGCCCCGCGGCTGTCCCCACGTGACGGTGAGGGCCCTGGGGTGCCCCTGGGCCGGACCCCACGTCAGCCCCCCGCCCGGGCCGAGCACTCGCCGTGCCAGCTCCCGTCACCTTGAGGACCTTCCCAGGCCCGATGCCCAGGCCTGTCCTGGGCGCCCTCGTTTCCTCCTGGGCTCCTGCTCCCCAGCCCCAGCCTGGACCTGCAGGGAAGGAGGCCCCTTGCTGGGTGCAGGGTGGGTTGAGAGCTGGGTTTGTGGGTGCTCAGGGCCGGAGGTCACTGACAGTGGCTCCTCCCTCCCCGGCAGCTCTGCCCACAGGCAGCAGCGTGGAAAATTCCAGCTCCCCAAGCGTGGCCCCCCCGCCGCCCGCCCTGGAGCCAGAGCCGAGGACCTCCATCGTCACCCTCCTGGTCTACCGCACGCTGGGAGGGCTGCTCCCCGCCCAGTTCCAGGCCGAGCGCCGGGGGGCCAGGTACGGGGTGGAGGCGATGCCGGCCCCTCACCCTGAGCTCCCTGCAGCTTTACCCAGCCCCCTAACCCCGTCCGTGGGCGAGTGAGCAGGCTCATGGCCACACAGGGGAGCCTGGACCATGCTGCCTGGTCCTCTCAGCGCTGCGGGGTGCTGGGGGACGGTCCTGAGGCAGAGGGCGGGAGCCAGGGGGCAGGGGAGCCGCCGGGGGGGCCAGTGGGTCCGAAGCCCCTCGCTGGAGAGAACCTGCATTTCCGGGGAACTGTGACCGCAGAGGCTGAGGGATCTCAGAACAGCGTCCACTGGGTGCTCCCCAGATGGGTCAGCCCCGACGAGTGGCACCAGGGCCCGGAGGCCGCGGTGTGAAGCCCAGCGGTGTCTCCTCAGGCTCCCCCCGCACCCCGTCATGAACTCCCCGGTGGTCAGCGTGGCTGTCTTCCATGGGCACAGCTTCCTGCAGGGCCTCCTGGAGGCGCCCATCAGCCTGGAGTTCCGCCTGCTGCAGACGGCGAACCGGAGCAAGGCCATCTGCGTGCAGTGGGACCCGCCTGGCCCGTGAGGACCCTGTCCGCCCCTGGGAGTCCCTCTGCCCCGGGCCCCACTCGCCCTGTGCACCCAGCCCCGGGAATGCTGCTCCCCAACTCCAGACACCGGGCCCCTCCTGCCCCCTCGCTCCTGCTGGGCGCCAGGGCCTCCTCAGAGCCGCTGGTGGTCTCACTGCCCGTGGCCGCAGGGCGGACCAGCATGGAGTGTGGACGGCACGGGACTGTGAGCTGGTGTCGAGGAACGGGTCCCACGCGCGGTGTCGCTGCAGCCGGACCGGCACCTTCGGGGTTCTCATGGATGCCTCCCCCCGTGAGGTGCAGCTGTGTTCAGGGCCCCGAGGAGGTGGGAGGGTCAAAGGGCGGGGGTCGCAGCACCCCAACGGCCACCTGTCCCCGCAGCGGCTGGAGGGCGACCTGGAGCTGCTGGCTGTGTTCACTCACGTGGCCGTGGCCGTGTCGGTGGCCCTGCTGCTGCTGACCGCGGCCCTCCTGCTGAGCCTGCGCAGCCTCAAGTCCAACACGCGGAGGATCCACGCCCACGTGGCGGCCGCCCTGGGCACGGCCGAGCTCCTCTTCCTGCTGGGGATCCACAGGACCCACAACCAGGTGCAGGGTCAGGCGCTCCAGCCCGGCCGGTGGGGGCGGTCCTGGGGCAGGCGCTGCCGGTAGGGTAGGGTAGGGTAGGGTAGGGTAGGGTAGGGGTCGGCGATGGAGAGCAGAGGCGGCGGGCTGGCGGGCGGGTGGCGGTGGCGGCCGAGTGTGCTGACGCGCCCCCTCCTCCAGCTGGCGTGCACCGCGGTGGCCATCCTCCTGCACTACTTCTTCCTCAGCACTTTGGCGTGGCTGCTGGTGCAGGGCCTGCACCTCCACCGCGTGCAGGCGGAGCCCCGCAACGTGGACCGCGGCGCCATGCGCTTCTACCACGCCCTGGGCTGGGGCGTGCCTGCTGTGCTGCTGGGTGAGACCCCCCACCGCCGTCCCAGGGCCCCAGCGCCCGCCCAACCCTCTGGGGACCCCAGCCTCAGTCCCTATGCCACCTCTCTGGGAGGACCTGCTCTGCTCGCCATCCTGCCCTCACATCCCTGGAGGTTCGGAGACTCTAAAACACGCCCCTTCTGTCCTGGCCTCCCCGCCCCCAGGCCTTGCCGTCGGCCTGGACCCTGAGGGCTATGGAAACCCCGACTTCTGCTGGATCTCGGTCCATGAACCCCTCATCTGGAGCTTCGCAGGCCCTATGGTCCTTGTCATTGTGGTGAGTGCCCTGCATTCGGTGCCACCGTGCGCTCCGCTTGGGGGCAGCAGGTGAGGGATGCCGGGGAGGCGTGCCGGTGGCAGTCTGCAGGCTCCCTGGCTTGGCCCACTGGTCCCATGCAGCTGGCATGGAGATGGAGGCGGGTCAGAGCTGGCTGCCCCAAGGCCTCGGCCTCCGTGTCTCTCCACCTCAGTTCTTTCTGGTTTCCTGTCTCTGCCTCTGACCTGTTTCACGGGGTCTGCCCCCAACCCCCGAGGAACCGTGGTCTCTCTCTCTGTCTCTCTCGGCCTTGCCCGGGTGCCCGCGTTGGCCGTGGTCCAGATGAACGGGACCTTGTTTCTTCTGGCTGCCCGAGCGCCCTGCGCCCCCGGGCAGAGGGAGGCTAAGAAGACGTCTGCAGTGTGAGTTGGCTGCCTGGGGGCCCTGGGGGACCCTCCTGCTTGGGGCCTGGGGTTCCCGGGACACTCGGGTGCAGGCTGGGCTCCAGGTTCTGGCGGGGAAGAAGCAGCTGCCCGGGGCTGCCATCCCTCTCTGGCCCTGCTGCCTCCCCAGAGCCTCCTCCCGCCCATGGGTTCCCCCGTGCCCTGCTTCCCTCCTGCCGGCTTCCTGCTGCTTCCCCTGGCCGCATCCCTCAGCATCTTCCTTCTACTCCATGTTCCTGTGTGAATTCCCTCCTCCCCTGTCCCTGGGGGGCCCCGCCCGGCCCCGTGCTGCCTCCTGTGGGACCCCCGTGTCCCCCCATGAGTCCTGTGTGGCCCCGTATGACCCCATGTGACCCCGTGTGTCCTGCCCCCCACGCTCCTGGCAGGACCCTTCGGAGCTCCTTCCTGCTCCTGCTCCTGGTCAGCGCCTCCTGGCTCTTTGGGCTCCTGGCGGTCAACCACAGCGTGCTGGCCTTCCACTACCTCCACGCCGGGCTCTGCGGGCTCCAGGTCAGCCGGGCCCTGCCCCGACCTGACGGCGCCGCAGGGCGCTCCCGGGCGGGCCTTGGCAGCAGGCGGGTGCCGCCTGGACGGGCCTTCACCCATACCGGCTCCCCGGGCTCCTGCCGCTTGCCTCCTGCCACCCTGACCTTCCCCGCCGTGTCCCTCGTGTCCCTTGAGTCTGGGCTGACGCCTGGCTGGCCCGGGGCGCCTCTCCTGTCCTCGCTCGCTTTAGTCTCCACCCTCGCTGCCCGCAGGGCCTGGCCGTGCTGCTGCTCTTCGGTGTCCTGGATGCCGACGCCCGGGCCGCCTGGGCACCAGCCTGTCTGCGCAAGAAGGCAGCGCCCGAGGAGGCCAGGCCCGCGCCTGGGACGGTAGGAGGCTCTCAGGGCCGGGAGGCCGGGGTTCGAGGCTTCTCGTGGGTGGGCTCACCTCCGTCTCCCACCAGGGGCCTGGGGTTTACAATAACACGGCCCTGTTTGAGGAGAGCGGCCTCATCCGCATCACGCTGGGCGCCTCCACCGTCTCTTCCGTGAGCAGCGCCCGCTCCGGTCGGGCCCCGGACCAGGACAGCCAGCGCGGCCGGGGCTGCCTCAGGTGAGCGGGACAGAGCCCCGACAGCCACGCTCCCCCGTCCGAGCCTGCTGCCACCCGGCGCCCTCGGAGCCACCCACTGCACCCACCGCTCTCTTAATGGAGGGCCTGCGTTTCCAGGGACAACGTCCTGGTTCGACACGGCTCGGCTGCGGACCACACTGACCACAGCCTCCAGCCGCACGCCGGCCCCACAGACCTGGACGTGGCCATGTTCCATCGAGACGCCGGTGGAGGTGGGGCCCTGGCGGGTGGAGGGAGACACATCCCCGCCTCCCCTCTTCGGTCCCAGATTGGGAGCCAGCTCCCAGGTCACCGTCCCGGGAGGCCCCAGCACCCAGCCTGTTCTCCTGACGGGCCCGCCCTCTGTCCCTCCGCCCCTTCCCTCTCAGGTCCCCAGTCCTGGCCCCTTCCTTCCCCACGTTCCTCCTTCCCCCACCGCTACCCCGGGCCTTCCTCCTCTGACCTTCCTCCTCTGACCTCCCACCCAGGTGCAGACTCCGACTCCGACAGCGACCTGTCCTTGGAGGAGGACAGGAGCCTGTCCATCCCGTCCTCGGAGAGCGAGGACAGCGGCCGGCCGCGGGGGCGGCTCCAGCGTCCACTCTGCCGGGCCGCCCAGAGCGAGAGGCTCCTCAGCCACCCCACAGGTGACCTGGAGACCCCTTCCCCTCGGGTGTGACCCGGGACCCTCCTGTCCCTGAGGCATGGGACTGACCTGCTGGGAGCCGGGCGTCTGGGCTGGCGCTCCCCTCCCCCCTCCGAGTGTCCAGTGGCTGGAGGCCCACGCAGCCGGTGGTGAGGGCAGCTCGGGGTTCTGGGTATTGCCATCCCTCCAGCCCCCACGCCCCTGGGGTGGGGCTCCTCTCAGCATCAGGTCCCGTTCCCCCCTCCCCCGTCTCTGTCCGCCTCCAGCTGAGGGGGGGGGTGCATTAGTCCCCCCGAAGTTTCATCGACCTCAGAGCTGCTCCTGTTTGCACCTGTGCTCACAGGACAGCCAGGTTTTAGGAGCCATTGGGGTCAGGGGTCAGAGTCGAGCTGCAGGGGTCATGAACCACCGGGTCCTGTCACGGCCCTGGCTCTGCAGATGTGGACGGCAATGACCTCCTGTCGTACTGGCCCGCCCTGGGGGAGTGTGAGGCCGCGCCCTGTGCGCTGCAGGCCTGGGGATCCGAGCGGCGCCTGGGGCTGGACACCAGCAAGGACGCGGCCAACAACAACCCGCCGGACGCAGCGCTGACCAGCGGCGACGAGACCTCCCTGGGCCAGGCCCAGCGCCAGAGGAAAGGTGTGAGCCGGCACTGCGGGGCCCCATGTCCTGACTCGGGGTTCCGCCCTCCCAACCCAGACTGCTCCAGGGGGCCCTGAGTGCTCCCTCTGCTCCGATCTGGGGCTTTCTACTCCCAGCCCTGCTCCACAGTCTCTGGGGGCGCCCTCATGGCCGCGCAGTGCCTGCCCCGCCCTGGGGTGGACCACGGAAACCCCAGGGCCTCCTGCCCAGCCCAGGGGGTCCTTCCCCGGCCCGGCTGCGTCCTGTAAGCCCCAGGATCTCCTGTGCCTCCGGCCTCCATCCTGCCCCCCTGCTGGACAGGGGCCCCAGAGATGGCCCCGCTCACCCAAGGGCTCGGGCCTGGGGAGTGCCCCTGCCCCAGCCCAGGGAGCTCTGCCCTTTGACCCTGTCCGCATCACCAGCCCCGGGGCTGCCCGCACCCCAACCTGGTGGGGAGCTTTATCTCCACCCCACACCTGGGGACTGTCCCGTCCTGGCCCAGGCGGTGGCCGCCCTCCCAGCCGGCCTGTCCAGCTGCCTCGGGCACTCCTCCCACCGCGTCCCAGGGACGCCGAGGCTGCCATGTCCTAGACCCAGGGAGTCCCTGCCCCGTGTACACTTCTCCCCCATTGTTCCCACCAGGCATCCTCAAGAACCGGCTGCAGTGCCCGCTGGCGCCGCAGCCCCGAGGCACCCCGGAGCTGTCCTGGCGCCGCGCAGCCGCCCTGGGCCAGCGCGCCGTGCCGGCGGCCTCCTACGGCCGCCTCCGTGCCGGACGGGGCTCGGGCAGCCTCTCGCAGCCGGCCAGCCGCTGCTCCTCCCGAGAACAGCTGGACCTGCTGCTCCGGCGGCAGCTGAGCCGGGAGCGGCTGGAGGAGGCCCCGGGCCCTCTGCCGCGCGCCCTCAGTCGGCCGGGCTCCCAGGAGCGCCTGGCTGCCGGGCCCGGCCGCCCGGAGCCCCGGGCCCGGGGCAGCACCCTGCCGCGGAGGCAGCCGCCCCGGGACTGCGCCGGCGCCGCGGCCGGCCGCTTCAGGTCACGGGACGCGCTGGACCTGGGCGCGCCCTGCGAGTGGCTGCGCACGCTGCCTCCGCCCCGCAGCGCCCGCGCCCGGGACCCGCAGCCCCCGCCTCTGCCCCTGTCTCCCCCGCGGCAGCTCTCAAGGGACCCCCTCTTGCCATCCCGGCCCCTGGACTCTCTGTCCAGGAGCTCGAACTCAGGGGAGCGGCTGGACCAGGGGCCTAGCCGGCACCCCTCGCGGGAAGGCCTGGGGCCTCCCCTGCAGTTGCTCCGAGTCCGGGAGGACCCGGCCCAAGGCCCCTCCACCGAGCAGCTGGACATCCTCTCCTCTATCCTCGCCTCCTTCAACTCCTCGGCCCTCTCCTCCTCCGTGCAGTCCTCCAGCTCGCCCTCCGGCCCCCACACCACTGCCACGCCTTCCGCCACCGCCTCCGCGCTGGGGCCCTCCACTCCGCGCTCAGCCACGTCCCACAGCATCTCCGAGCTGTCGCCCGACTCAGAGTAAGCGGGGCCCATGGGCTCAGGACCACTTCCTGTGCACGCCCCATGTCTGCCACGGACAGGGTGTAGGGCCGAGGCAGAGACCCGCAGGCAGGGGGCTGTGATGATGGGCGCTCGTGGCTGTGATGGGCCAGCACCCTCCCTGCTCCCTCCGGGTGCACACTCATCCCTCACTGAGCCCATGTCAGCTTCCTCTACAGAGGGCACTGGGGGCTGGGCAGACACTGAGCTGGGGCCTGGTGCATCTCGGTGCGCCTGGGCGTCTGAGGGTGGGGGACGGCGGACACAGGTGTCAGGGAGGCTGTGGGGCAGAGCAGGCCTTGCCAGGCCTTAGCAGTCAAAGGGAGGGTGCCGAGCCCCATCTGGGTTCTGCAGCCTCGCCTTGGGGTCTGGCTGTTGGGGGCAGGGAGCTGGGGGACGGAGCAGGGGTTCAGGCTTTGCAGTGACTTGGCCCTCAGCCTGTTTGCTGACCTGCTCAGTGTGCCCTAGTGACAGGCCCCGAGAGCTGGGGGTTTGGGATACAGTCTGTTCGGGCCTAACTGGGTGTCTGTGCGCGGGCGGTGCTTGCTCCAGCCTCAGAGGCAAGGCATGCTGATGGGTCTCCCCGTTCGATTCTGCAGAGTCCCCCGAAGTGAGGGCCACTCCTGAGGGGCGGCCGGCAGCTGAGGACCACGGGCGGGGAGGATTCGGGCTGACGCTGACGGAAGAGCCCCAGGAGTTGGCGGGCCCCCGGCGGCCAGCTCCCCGTGGCTGCCGGCTGAGCTGGCGCCCTCCTGAGTGTGTGCGGGACTGAGGGGCAGGCCGCGAACTGAAGACGGACTTTTATACTTTTGTACCTTTGTAACCAGAGAGATATGCCTACGTTATTTTTTAGCTTTTCTGTTGCCTGGGGTTCTGAGGCTGGGCAGGGGGAGGGGGGCGAGGGGGAAAGGTGCAGATTTGACTCCATTGGGGTTCCCGCAAACTACTACATGCTCTTTTCTCTCCGCTTCACTGGGCTGGGCGCGGGCAGACCCTCTTGCCCCCCACCCCCACCCCGGTGGATCTGAGTGTGGTCGGGGCCCCGCGGACAGAACTGATTTTTGCTTTTTCTTGGATGCAAACTCCTGAGACCGGGGGTGGGGCTTGGAGACAAGGGTTCCCGGCCTCCTCACAGGAGCCCTCCTCACAGGGCCCGCTCGTGCGGCCCCTCCCCACAGGTTTGGGGTTTGTGGTGGGGAGCCCCTGCCATTACTGCCTTATGACCGAGGACTGCTCTGCGGGCGGGCGCAGCCGTGTTTACAGAGCAGGCTTCCTCTTCCCAGCGGGCTCAGGCCTCGATCACACGCTCACACGTCCTGCAGAGGGTGCCCGCCGCCGGGGGCAGAAGCTGTCTGTGGTGCCACGTGGGTCCCGGCTCTGCCCCCAGCAAGGACTTACCTGAGGGGTTGGGGTAGGAGGGAGAGCCGGGATCAGAAGCATGGGCTGACATGCCCAGCGCCAGCGCCCATGTTTACAGAATGCCGGCCTGGCACCGGGCTAGGACGTGGCTCCGCCCCCCCTCCCTTCTAAGGGAGACATGACTGTTAGGACCCTGTCCACAAACTTCTGTTTTATTCGTTGTCTGAGGTCCAGAACTGGGAACTTTAACATTCTGTTACTTTGTTTACAGGACAAGATGGAAACCGTTTTAAACCTTTGTTTACAGCAGTAAAACCTGGAACTTTTTACGCTTTGTTTACAGTTTAGAGTGTTCCCACCCCTTTGTTTACAAGTGGGAGGTAGGAAAAGTGGGCGAGGGGTGTGGGGGAGCCCCCCTAGAGGGGCCCTGGCCTCGGCAGGGGGTGAGCCTCGCTCTCCCAGACCAAAGGTCAGCCGAGTGCCTGCTGGACAGCGGGCGGCAGGCAGCCTCCTGCCACCAGGACCGGGTCTCACAGGGTGGGTGGGGGGTCGGGCACAGCCCCTCCTCCACGGAGACTCTTGGGGGGCAGTTTCCAAGGAGACTGAAGGTTCTACTTTGCTGATGGTGCCAAACCCCGCCGGCCAGGACCTGCTCTCCCTCCAGAGGGACCCCCGCCCTTGCAGGGTTGCGGGGTGCGCTGTGGGGAGAGGGCTTGTCCTCGCTCTGTCCTAGGTTCTGTAGGTGCCCTCTCTGGGGTCGCCCCCTCAGCCGTGGCCCCGCTTCCTGTCTGTGTACATTGTTCCGTGAAGCCGCGCTCTGTTTTGGGAATAAACTTCTATAGAAAATGGTTATTGTCTCTCTCTTTCTTAAAAATACTGATTTTAGCCGGGACCGGTTTGGCTCAGTGGATAGAGTGTCGGCTTAGGGACTGAAGGGCCCCGGGTTCGATTCCGGTCAAGGGCATGTACCTAGGTTGCGGGCACATCCTCAGTGGGGGGTGTGCAGGAGGCAGCTGATCGATGATTCCCTCTCATCGATGTTTCTAACTATCCCTCTCTCTTCCTCTCTGTAAAAAAATCAATAAAATATATAGTTTTTTAAAAACTGATTTTAGAGAGAGGAAGGGAAACATCAATTTGTCTCACTTATCACTCATTGGTTGCTTTTTTTTTTTTAATATATATTTTTATTGATTTCCGAGAGGAAGGGAAAGGGAGATAGAAACATCAATGATGCAAGAGAATCATGGATCAGCTGCCTCCTGCTCGCCCCCTACTGGGGATCACGTCCACAACCCAGGCCTGTGCCCTCGCCGGAAATCAAACTCAGGACCCTTCAGTCCACAGGCTGATGCTCTATCCACTGAGCCACACCAGCCACCAGGGCCATTGGTTGCTTCTCCTCCGTGCGCTGACCCGGGATGGAACTGCAACCTCCGTGCACTGAGCCACAGGCGGGCTGACCTGGGGAGAAACCTGAGCAGGGCTTCTGAGAATGGCAGCTATTTTTACCCCTTTCATGGGAGAGTTCCCGTCCCCTTTGCCCTCCATTCTGGCCTCACCTTGGGATTGGGGCCCGAGTGAGGCCGCTGGGAACCCTGACATTCGCCTGGCCTGGGTCAGAGCGCCGGGAGCTGCCCTTGCTGACCGCCGGCCGTGGACAGCACCGCCCTGAGCCGCGGGGTGGGGACATCCACGTCCGCGTCCCGCGCAGACACCTGGCCGGTGGGGCAGGATTCCGGGCTGAGCTTGAGGCGGGGGCAGCCTCCCTTCAGGCCTGGGTGTCTGTCCAGAGTCTGGCACCTCCGCGTCAGAGACAGCCGGCCGCAGGGCACCCCACAGGGCCCTCCCCCAGGAGCCAGGGCCTGGCACCACCCGGTCCCGGCAGGAACCTGCCCGCGGGCCCGGCCTGCAGACCCGCCGGCGCGGGCGGGAGGGCAGGGCGGGCGGGAGGGCAGGGCGGGCGGAGCGCCCAGCCGGCCGCGGCGGCGAAGGAGTTAAATCTCCCCCCGCTGGGCCCGCCCCGCCCAGGGAGCCCCGCCAAGGCCCCGCCCAGGCGCGCTGATTGGCCCGAGCCTTCCCCGTCCTGCCCGGGGATTGGCTCCCGGGCGCGCGCCGCTGCCCTTCCTCGCGTCCGGGCCCCGCCTCCCGGCCCGTAGCGGCCTCGGCCCGCGTGGCTGGAGCGGCGGCGGCGGCGTCGCGGTGAGTGCGGGGCGCGGCCGTCCGGGTCCGCGGGCGCCGCTGGGGCCGCTCGGGGCCGCCGCGCCGGAGCAGCCATTTCCCGCCTGCACGGCCGCTTCCCCGCGGCAGCGCCGCAGCTGCACCAGGGATGGCGGGCGCCCGGACCCGCCTCGGGGGCTGCCCGGGCGGCTGCAGGCGGCGGGAGGTGCGCGCGGGGGCGCCGCTGCCGGGCGGGCGCAGCGCCGAGTCCGCGGGGAGGCTGGCCGGCCCCGCCGGGCCCCTGGCGCGGTCCGGGGCGCTGGGTTCGGGCCCCGGGCTCTCCCCGCAGGAGGGGCCCCGGGCGCCGCCCCGCCCGCAGGCGCCGGCCCCGCCCGCGTGGGGAAGACCCGAGTGACTCAGGCGCAGGGCGCGGGGCTCAAAGATCTCCGAGCGAGTGCCCGCGCGCCTCCTCCCGGCGCCGGCGCAGGCCTCTCCCGGCGCGCCCGCCCCGGGGACCCTCCCGGCCAGCGCGGCCCTCCCCGCCGGGTGCGGAGCCCCGCGAACTCTCCTCCCTCCGGGCCAGCGCCTCCCCCGGGGAGGACCGTCCCGCCTGAAACTCTCCAGCTGCTGGGAGCTTCGGGCAGGCCTAGCGAACCCCCTCTCGTAGCTCCCGTTCCAGGGGAGCCCCCAGGTAAGAAGCCCTGCTCCTAGGGAGGTCGTGCCCCCTCTTCCGGTTGGAACTGCGGGGTCAGATTGTGCCCAGGACAGAGGGTCTGGCTGGTGGAACGTCCCTGCGGCCAGGCTGCCCCTGGGGGGCCCCCACTTCCGGTAGGAGCTTCCTTCCCTTCCGCGGGAGGCCCCCTCTGAAGAGGGGTGTCCCTGAGGACCAGTTCCCGGCGCTGGGTCCTTCCTGTCTGGGCTCCCGACCAGCCTCGGGAGCTCGGGGGACAGCTGGGAGCGAGGACTCGGCCTGGGGTTGGCCTGGGGGCTCAGGGGAAGAGGCTGGAGGGGCAGCTGGGCTGGGGGCGACTGGGACTGAGCGGACGCCCCCCTCCCCGGGGGCTGGCGTGAGGCCTGTGCTCATCCCGCTGTCTCTGGACGGGGGACTTTGGCCCAGGAAGAGGCTCCAGCAGCCAAGGTTCGGGGACTGCCTGGCCGGGCACGGGGCCAGCTGGAGGTTGGACCCACCTGGGTCTTGGGGCCTCCAGAAGTCAGACGGGGGACGCTCTGGTCCCACGGGGCGGACTGGGGGTGGGTCTCACTGTGTCTCTGGTCTCGCCCCCCCAGACCGAGAGGCACCCCCGCCCACGACGGAGGCATGGAGTGGAGGAGGCGGGACTACCGTGTGGAGCGGCCGCTGCTGAACCAGGAGCAGCTGGAGGAGCTGGGGCGCTGGGGCCCGGCCCCCCGCGCCCGCCCCTGGCGAGCCTCTCTGCAGTAAGACCCAGGGCGGGGGAGGGTCCCGGTGGGCCGCGGCAGCCCCTGTGCCCGATGCCGACCCCGTGTCCCCAGGTGCTCCCGGGCCCGGGCCCGCGCCCTGCTGCTGCAGCGCCTGCCCGTCGCCGCCTGGCTGCCCCGGTACCCCGTGCGGGAGTGGCTCCTGGGCGACCTGCTGTCCGGCCTGAGTGTGGCCATCATGCAGCTGCCACAGGGTGAGGCCCTGGTGCGGAGCTGACCCCCAGCCTTCGGGGGGTGACCCTGACCCTGGCCTGCCCTCCCCCCCCCAAAAAAAAAAAAAAATAACCCTAGCCCTAGCCAGGGTGGCTCAGTGGGTAGAGCATTAGTCTGTGGACTGAAGGGTCCTGGGTTCGGTTCCGGTCAAGGGCACCTCTCCAGTGTGGGGTGTGTGGGAGGCGGCCAGTCAGTGCTTCTCTTCCACCATTGATGCTCCTTGTGGATGCTTCTCTCTCCCTCTCCCTTCCTCTCTGAAGTCAGTAAGCACATAGTCCACCAAAAACAGCCCTGAAGCCGTGACTCCTGCCCCTGCAGCGGGGGCCCGTGACCTGGTGCTGGGCTTCCCTCCTCCTCTCGAGGCTCAGCTCCCAAACCCACATGCTCCCCCCGCAGGCCTGGCCTATGCCCTGCTGGCAGGGCTGCCCCCCGTGTTTGGCCTCTACAGCTCCTTCTACCCCGTCTTCATCTACTTCCTGTTTGGCACCTCCCGGCACATCTCCGTGGGTGAGTGGACGATGCCCAGGCCCTCCGTGGAGGCCAGCGTGAAGGAGGGCCGAGCAGGGCGGGAGCTGGGAGAGGGCACCTGGGAGACGGCCTGAGGGCTGTCCCCCGGCAGGCCGGGGCCCAGGAGCCGCCTGCTCGGAGCCGTGGGCGCGGGGGGCAGGGCGGAGGGCGCAGGGCCGGCACATCAAGCCCCCGGAGCCCCGGAGCCCGGCTCCCGCCCGACCCCCCTCACGGCCTCCGCCGCCCAGTGGAGTCTGGGACGTCCGTCCAGAGGGGTGTCCCCGCCGCTCCCTGAGGCCAGGCTCCCCGGGGGCGGCGGCCGCGCCCGTCAGACCTGCCTGGCCCTGCAGGCACCTTTGCTGTCATGTCCGTGATGGTGGGCAGCGTGACCGAAGCCCTGGCCCCGGATGAGAACTTCCTGCAGGACGCGAACTCCACCGTCAACGCGACCGAGGCCAGGGACGCCGAGCGGGTGGCGCTGGCCTCGACTCTCAGCGTCCTGGTGGGCCTCTTCCAGGTGCGGAGCGGCCAGGAGTGTGTCCCCTGCCCCCCCTGCCCCCTCCGCCCCCCACCAGTTCCCCCGAGCGTCCTCCTCGCACCCCCTCCGATCCCTCCTGCCCTGGGCGCTGGCCCAGCCGCCCAGGACCCTGCCCCCGTTGACGGCTGACTGCCGACCGCCGTGGCCGACCCGCAGGTGGGGCTGGGCCTGGTGCACTTCGGCTTCGTGGTCACCTACCTGTCGGAGCCGCTGGTCCGCGGCTACACCACGGCTGCGGCCGTGCAGGTCTTCGTCTCGCAGCTCAAGTACGTGTTTGGCCTCAAGCTGAGCAGCTTCTCCGGGCCGCTGTCCCTCATCCACGTGAGTGAGGGGGTGGGGGCCGGGGGGCGGGGCGCTGTCCCTCACCCACGTGAGTGAGGGGGGTGGGGGGCGGGGGGGGCGCTGTCCCTCATCCACGTGAGTGAGGGGGGTGGGGAGCGGGGGGGGGCGCTGTCCCTCATCCACGTGAGTGAGGGGGGTGGGGAGCGGGGGGGGCGCTGTCCCTCATCCACGTGAGTGAGGGGGGTGGGGAGCGGGGGGGGGCGCTGTCCCTCATCCACGTGAGTGAGGGTGGTGGGGGGCGGGGGGGGCGCTGTCCCTCATCCACGTGAGTGAGGGGGGTGGGGAGCGGGGGGGGGCGCTGTCCCTCATCCACGTGAGTGAGGGGGGTGGGGAGCGGGGGGGGGGGGGGCGCTGTCCCTCACCCACGTGAGTGAGGGGGATGGGGGGCGGGGGGGGCGTTGTCCCTCATCCACGTGAGTGGGGGGCGGGGGGGGGGCGCTGTCCCTCACCCACGTGAGTGAGGGGGGTGGGGGGCGGGGGGGCGCTGTCCCTCATCCACGTGAGTGAGGGGGGTGGGGCGGGGGCGGCGCTGTCTCTCACCCACGTGAGTGAGGGGGTGGGGGCCGGGGGGCGGGGCGCTGTCCCTCACCCACGTGAGTGAGGGGGGTGGGGCGGGGGGCGGGGCGCTGTCCCTCACCCACGTGAGTGAGGGGGGTGGGGCGGGGGGCGGGGCGCTGTCCCTCACCCACGTGAGTGAGGGGGGCGGGGGCCAGGGGCGGGGCGCTGTCCCTCACCCACGTGAGTGAGGGGGGTGGGGCGGGGGGCGGGGCGCTGTCCCTCACCCACGTGAGTGAGGGGGGCGGGGGCCAGGGGCGGGGCGCTGTCCCTCACCCACGTGAGTGAGGGGGGTGGGGCGGAGGGCGGGGCGCTGTCCCTCACCCACGTGAGTGAGGGGGTGGGGCGGGGGGGGGCGCTGTCCCTCACCCACGTGAGTGAGGGGGGTGGGGCGGGGGGCGGGGCGCTGTCCCTCACCCACGTGAGTGAGGGGGTGGGGCGGGGGCGGGGCGCTGTCCCTCACCCACGTGAGTGAGGGGCGGGGGGCGGGGCGCTGTCCCTCACCCACGTGAGTGAGGGGCGGGGGGCGGGGCGCTGTCCCTCACCCACGTGAGTGAGGGGGGTGGGGCGGGGGGGGGCGCTGTCCCTCACCCACGTGAGTGAGGGGGATGGGGGGCGGGGGGCGGGGCGCTGTCCCTCACCCACGTGAGTGAGGGCTGGCGTGACCCCGCTCCCCTCAGACGCTGCTGGAGGTCGGCTGGAAGCTGCCGCAGAGCAAGGTGGGCTCCGTGGTGACGGCCGCCGTGGCCGGGCTGGCGCTCGTGGCCGTGAAGCTGCTGAACGACAAGCTGAAGCGATACCTGCCCCTGCCGCTGCCCGGGGAGCTGCTCACGGTCCGTCCGGGGCGCGGGCGCGGGCGTGGGCGAGGGGCGCCCTGGCAACAGCACCCCCTCCCCTCTCCCCGCCCCCGAGGTCTGGCTCTGGACCTCCCCGTCCCCGCGCGGCCCTCCAGCCCGCCCGCCTCTGTCCCCGCAGCTCATCGGCGCCACGGCCATCTCCTACGGCGTGGACCTGGAGGCCCGGTTCAGCGTGGACGTGGTGGGCAGCATCCCCGCGGGGTGAGCTGTGGCCCCGGGGGGGGGGGGGGGTGCTGGGCCCGGCGCTTCCCTGGCCTCACAGATGCCCCGCAGGCTGGTGCCTCCCGTGGCCCCCAGGCCCGAGCTGTTTGCCAGCCTCCTGGGCAACGCCTTCGCCATCGCCGTGGTGGGCTTCGCCATCGCCATCTCGCTGGGGAAGATCTTCGCCCTGAGGCACGGCTACCGGGTGGACAGCAACCAGGTGCGGGTGGGGCGGGCACCGAGGGCAAACGGCTCCGGAGGCCAGGGCCTGGGCTGCGGGGGAGCAGGGCGGAGGCCGCTGGTGACGTCTCCCTCCCCCAGGAGCTGGTGGCTCTGGGCCTCAGCAACCTCGTCGGGGGCATCTTCCAGTGCTTCCCCGTGAGCTGCTCCATGTCCCGGAGCCTCGTCCAGGAGAGCGCCGGGGGCAACACGCAGGTGGGCGCGGGCGGGCGCGGGCGGGCGGGCTGAGCTCTGCACCCAGACGGCCTGTGACCCTCACTGCTACCCAGGTGGCTGGGGCCGTCTCCTCCCTCTTCATCCTCTTCATCATCCTCAAACTCGGGGAACTCTTCAAAGATCTGCCCAAGGTGAGCCCCACCCACACCCAGACCCAGACCCACACCCAGACCCAGACCCAGACCCACCCCACCCACACCCAGACCCACCCCACCCACACCCCACCCACACCCCACCCACACCCAGACCCACACCCAGACCCACCCCACCCACACCCCACCCCACCCACACCCACACCCAGACCCACACCCCACCCACACCCAGACCCACACCCAGACCCACCCCACCCACACCCCACCCCACCCACACCCACACCCACACCCAGACCCACACCCCACCCACACCCAGACCCACACCCAGACCCACCCCACCCCACCCACACCCCACCCCACCCACACCCACACCCAGACCCACACCCCACCCACACCCAGACCCACACCCAGACCCACCCCACCCCACCCACACCCAGACCCACCCCACCCACACCCACACCCACACCCCACCCACACCCAGACCCACACCCACCCACACCCACACCCCACCCACACCCAGACCCCACCCACACCCAGACCCACCCCCACACCCACCCCCCACCCACACCCACACCCACCCCCCACCCAAACCCACACCCCACCCACACCCACACCCAGACCCACCCCACCCACACCCACACCCACACCCCACCCACACCCAGACCCCACCCCACCCACACCCACACCCAGACCCACCCCACCCACACCCAGACCCACACCCAGACCCACCCCACCCACACCCACACCCACCCCCCACCCACACCCAGACCCCACCCCACACCCCACCCACACCCAGACCCACCTCACCCACACCCACCCCCCACCCACACCCACACCCAGACCCCACCCACACCCACACCCAGACCCCACCCCACCCACACCCAGACCCACCCCACCCACACCCAGACCCCCCTCACCCACACTCACACCCCACCCACACCCTCACCCACACCCACACCCACACCCAGACCCACCCCACCCACACCCAGACCCCACACCCCACCCACACCCAGACCCACCCCACCCACACCCAGACCCCACACCCCACCCAGACCCAGACCCACACCCAGACCCACCCCACCCACACCCAGACCCACCCCACCCATACCCACACCCACACCCACACCCCACCCTACCCACACCCCACCCACACCCAGACCCACACCCAGACCCACCCCACCCACACCCAGACCCCACACCCCACCCACACCCAGACCCACCCCACCCACACCCAGACCCCACACCCCACCCAGACCCAGACCCACACCCAGACCCACCTCACCCACACCCAGACCCAGACCCAGACCCACACCCCACCCACACCCACACCCCACCCAGACCCAGACCCAGACCCACACCCCACCCACACCCACACCCACCCCACCCACACCCAGACCCACCCCACCCACACCCACACCCACACCCAGACCCACCCCACCCACACCCACACCCACACCCAGACCCACCCCACCCACACCCACACCCCACCCACACCCACACCCACACCCAGACCCACACCCACACCCACACCCACACCCACACCCACACCCACACCCAGACCCACACCCACACCCACACCCACACCCACACCCACACCCACACCCACACCCCACCCACACCCACACCCACACCCAGACCCACACCCACACCCACACCCACACCCAGACCCACCCCACCCACACCCACACCCACACCCAGACCCACCCACACCCACACCCAGACCCACACCCACACCCAGACCCACACCCACACCCACACCCACCCCACACCCACACCCAGACCCACCCCACCCCACCCACACCCATACCCACACCCACACCCACACCCACACCCAGACCCACACCCACACCCAGACCCACCCCACCCACACCCACACCCACACCCACACCCCACCCTACCCACACCCCACCCACACCCAGACCCACACCCAGACCCACCCCACCCCCACCCACACCCAGACCCACACCCAGACCCACCCCACCCACACCCACACCCACACCCAGACCCACCCACACCCACACCCAGACCCACCCCACCCACACCCACACCCACCCCACCCACACCCAGGCAGGCCCGTCAGGTCCCACGTGAGATCTGGGGGTGAGAGTGGAGCTAGGTCAGGCTCAGGAGTGGGGTGGGTCAGCGGTGACAGCCCGCCCGCCCTGCAGGCTGTCCTGGCGGCCATCGTCATTGTGAACCTGAAGGGCATGCTCCTGCAGGTCAGGGACGTGTGCGCCCTGTGGAAGGCCAACCGCGTGGACCTGGTGAGCGGCGGGGCCGGGAGGCGGGCCGTGACCCCGCGGTCCGTGACCCTGGCCCCCGTCTCTCTCCAGCTCATCTGGCTGGTCACCTTCGTGGCCACCCTCCTGCTGAACCTGGACGTGGGCCTGGCCGTGGCGGTGGGCTTCTCGCTGCTGCTCGTGGTGGTCCGCACACAGCGGTGGGTCTGCCCGCCTCCGCGGCGAGGGGAGGGCACAGCCCGCTCCCCACGTCGGTGACCCCCGCTCTGCGCTCTCCCCTCAGGCCCCACTACTCCGTCCTGGGGCAGCTCCCAGACACCGATGTTTACAGAGACGTGGCAGAGTACGCGGAGGTGAGGCCGGGCGCCGGGGCACAATGGGCCTTTGTGAGTCCCTTCCTCCCCAAGGACACTCTGGTCCTGGAGTTGGGGGGAGGCGTTCGCTCTGTGACCCCACTCCGCGTCCAGGGGCCGGGAAGGGCCGGACGGTGATGGAGCCGGGCCCGGGCCCGGGGTCTCCCCAGTGCACCAGCCGCCCCGCAGGCAGGGCTGGCCCCGCGAGGCCGCTCCCTGGTCCGAGCAGGCCCAGGCCAGTGCTGGCACAGGGAGGGGCTCCGACGGGGAGCCTTGGGGCCGAGCACGTGGGACGGCAGAGGGGGGCGGGGTGGGCACACAGCGTGCAGGCTGAGCCCGGCAGAGCCCTGGCCCGGCCCCGCGTGGGTGGCAGCCGGCGACGGTCACCGTGGGCAGGCGGGTAAGGACACCGCGGCCCGGGCGGGGCCGCGGGGAGGCCCGGCAGAGGGCGGGTGCGCGACGGGCGGGGCCGCCGGCCGGGGAGAGAGGCCTGGCGAGGCCGGGAGGGGAGGCAGACGGTGCCCAGGGAGGGCTCAGCCGCCCGTGCCCCCCAGGCCAGGGAGGTCCCGGGAGTGAAGGTCTTCCGCTCCTCGGCCACCGTGTACTTCGCCAACGCAGACCTCTACAGCGACGCGCTCAGGCAGAGGGTGAGGCCCCCGCCCCGCCGTGCCCCAGTGCGGCCCGTGTCCCCAGTGCGACCCTTGTCCCCAGTGCGGCCTTTGCCCCCAGTGTGGCCTTTGTCCCCAGTGCGGCCTTTGCCCCCAGTGCGGCCTTTGTCCCCAGTGCGGCCTTTGTCCCCAGTGCGGCCTTTGTCCCAGTGTGGCCTTTGCCCTCGGTGCAACCTATGCCCCCGGTGCGACCTTTGCCCCCGGTGCGACCTTTGCCCCCGGTGTGACCTTTGCCCCCGGTGCGACCTTTGCCCCCAGTGCGGCGTGGACGTGGACCACCTCATCTCCCGGAAGAAGAAGCTGCTCCGGAAGCAGGAGCTGAGGCTGCGGCGCCTGCGGAAGGAGAAGCCCCAGCAGCAGGCAGGGACCCCGTGGCCCCCTCTTCCCTGACCCTGCTCTTCGGGGCCTGGTTTCCCCACCTCTGAGCCTCTCCCGGTGCGGCTCCCGGGCTGGTCAGCGCCAGCTGCTGGGGTGACTCCTGCCCCCGCCCCGCCCAGGCCGCCGCCTCCACCGGCACCTCCATCCCCATCGACGTCAACACCAGTGACGGCGCCATCAAGAGCCAGGACGCCGACGGCCCCAAGGCCCAGGTGAGGCCGCGGGCGGGCGGGCGGCCGGAGGGCCCCGGCGCTCGGTCCGGTGCTTGTGGGCAGGGGAACGGGCGGGGTGTAGGTTCTGCCTGCGGCTTCCTCTGATCAGGCCGGAGCCTGTGCTGGGGGAGGGGGAGGGGGCGCCCGGCTCCCTTAAGGCGCAGTAGGGGCAGGGGTGTGGGGTCTGGGTCTGTCAGGGAGGGGACGTGGCCCCCCAGCACCTCCCTTTGCAAGCGTCCCTCCTGTCTGCATACATGTCCGTGTCCCCTGCACACCCCGTGCGTATGGGTACATCCTGCTTGTCCCACGTCTGCCCATGTCCCCGCATGTCCGCCTGTGTCCCCGCCCGTGTGTCCGCCCGTGTCCCCGCGTGCCCGCCCGTGTCACCGCGTGTCTGCCCGTGTCCCCGCGTGCCCGCCCGTGTCCCCGCCCGTGTGTCCGCCCGTGTCCCCCTGTGTCCCCGCGTGCCCGCCCGTGTCCCCGCCCTCCCCGGCAGCCTGGAAGGTGTCTGGCTCCCAGCAGGTGAGCTCGGAGCGGGGCCCCGCGGGGGCGGCCGGCGGGCAGGACGACGCGCCAGCCCCGGGCGGGTGCTCGCTGCAGGGCCTGGGCCTGGCCCCGCCCGCCTTCCACAGCCTCGTGCTGGACCTGGGCGCCCTGTCCTTCGCCGACACCGTGTGCATCAAGAGCCTCAAGAACGTGAGGGCGGGCGCCCGGGGGGGGGGGGGGGGAGGGGGGGCCTCTCCGGGCCTCAGCCCACTCCCGGCCCGTTCCCCAGGTTTTCCGCGACTTCCGGGAGATCGAGGTGCAGGTGTACCTGGCCGGCTGCCAGGGTGCGTGGGCCGGACCTGAGGTTTGGGAAGGGGGCGGGCTCCAGGGGAAAGGAGGCTCTCCCGGAGGCAGGGTCAAGGGTCACCAGTGACACGGCTCTTCGCTGCTGCCTGCCGGGAAGGGGGGAGGGGGACGGAGGGGGACAAGGGGGAGGGGGAAGAGGAAGGAGGGGAGTGGGAGTGGGGAGGGGAGGAGAAAGGGGGGAGGGGGAGGGAGGGAGGAGGAAGGGGGGAGGGGGAAGAGGAAGGGGGGAGGGGGGGAAGCCGGCTGCGGTCCCATCCCGCTCCGAGTCAGGACGCCCGCCCGCCCGCCCGCAGCGCCCGTGGTCGCCCAGCTGGAGGCCGGGGGCTTCTTCGACGCGACCATCTCGAAGCAGCACCTCTTCGCCTCCGTCCATGACGCCGTCCTCTTCGCCCTTCAGCACCCGCGCTCCGGCCCCGCCAGCCCCGTGCTGGTGAGCCGGCCCCTCGCTCCGCCTGCTCTCCGCTCCCCCCCCCCCCCCGTCCCTCCCTGGCTCCGCTCCCCCCCTGGTCTTCCCCCCTCCCTCCCTGGTCCCTCCCTGGCTCCGCTCCCCCCCCCACCTCCCTCCCTGGTCCCTCCCTGGCCCCGCTCCCCCCCTGGTCCCCCCCCCTCCCTCCCTGGTCCCTCCCTGGCCCCGCTCCCCCCCCTGGCCCCTCCCTGGCCCCGCTCCCCCCCCCCCTCCCTCCCTGGTCCCTCCCTGGCCCCGCTCCCCCCCCACCTCCCTCCCTGGTCCCTCCCTGGCCCCGCTCCCCCCCCACCTCCCTCCCTGGTCCCTCCCTGGCCCTGCTCCCCCTCCCTGGTCCCTCCCTGGCCCCGCTTCCCCCCCCCCCCCCCCGGTCCCTCCCTGGCCCCGCTTTCCCCCCCATCCCTCCCTGGTCCCTCCCTGGCCCCTCCCTGGCCCTGCTCCCCCTCCCTGGTCCCTCCCTGGCCCCGCTCCCCCCCTGGTCCCTCCCTGGCCCCGCTCCCCCCCTGGTCCCTCCCTGGCCCCGCTCCCCCCCTGGTCCCTCCCTGGTCCCTCCCTGGTCCCTCCCTGGCCCCGCTCCCCCCCCCATCCCTCCCTGGTCCCTCCCTGGCCCCGCTCCCCCCCCCCATCCCTCCCTGGTCCCTCCCTGGCCCCGCTCCCCCCCCTGGTCCCCTCTGGTCCCTCCCTGGCCCCGCTTTCCCCCCCCCCCGGTCCCTCCCTGGCCCCGCTTTCCCCCCGGTCCCTCCCTGGCCCTGCTCGGGGTCGGCCTTCCTTGCCTCTGTCCTGTCCGGACCAGGAGCTGGGGCCAGGTGGGCGGGGCGGAGTGCCCTCGGTGCCTGACCGCGCCCTCCCGGTGCCCTAGGTTACCAAGCTCTGACCAGGCTGCCCGTGAGCCGCACCCGCTGCCCGCGTCACTCGGAGCCCCTCCGCGCTCGCACACGCACTCAGGGATGAGGCGGCTCCGGACGCAGCTGCCGCCAGGGCTGGGCCTGGCCGGCCGTGGGGGCGGAGTGCTCAGCCTCAGGAATAAAGACTCGTTTGCCCCACACCCGCTCGCTGGCTGGTGGGCGCCGGGGCCGGGGGCCTGGCTCCGACTTCGACGCCCCAAGTGGGAACTGGCGGGATGAGGCGGGAGCGGGCGTGGAGGAGGCGGGAGGCGGGGAGGGCCCATGGGCAGGGCCGCTCCGTGGGCAGGGGCTCCAGGCCCCTGTTTCTCCCCCACTCAGCCTGGCTGGGCCTCCAGGGCCAGTCACTAGGATCGGCCGTCTCAGGAAGGATCAGCGGCCTGGGGGGCCGGGCAGGGGGGCCTCTGGGCAGCAGGGAGGTGTGTGTGTGTGAGAGCCCGGAGGTGGGTGAGCAGCCGGCAGGTGGGTGAGCAGCCGGGGTGTGTGTGTGTGAGAGCCGGGAGGTGGGTGAGAGCCGGGAGGGGGTTGAGAGCCGGGAGGTGGGTGAGAGCCGGGAGGGGGTTGAGAGCCGGGAGGTGGGTGAGAGCCGGGAGGGGGTTGAGAGCCGGGAGGGGGTTGAGAGCCGGGAGGTGGGTGAGAGCCGGGAGGTGGGTGAGAGCCGGGAGGTGGGTGAGAGCCGGGAGGGGGTGAGAGCCGGGAGGTGGGTGAGAGCCGGGAGGTGGGTGAGAGCCGGGAGGGGGTTGAGAGCCGGGAGGTGGGTGAGAGCCGGGAGGTGGGTGAGAGCCGGGAGGGGGTTGAGAGCCGGGAGAAGGCCCAGGTGCGCACACGTGGGAGGAAGAGTCCACGCGCTGATCTGCGTGGGAAAAGCCTGCTGTGTTCGGCCGCCTGGGCTCTGCCGGGCAAGGTCAGCCAGGAAGCACCTACCGATCCGCCTGCAAGGCTGTCTGCCCCGGCTGGTGTGGCTCAGTGGGCAGAGCGGCAGCCTGAGGACTGAAGGGTCCCAGGTTTGATTCCGGTCAGGGCTACATGCTGGAGTGGAGGCAGCCAATTAATGATTCTCATCATGGATGTTTCTCTCCCTCTCTGAAATCAATAAAAACATTTATGTTAAAATAAAACGCTGGCATCTGGGCCTGTGGCCGGTGGGCAGTGGGAGGCCCTGGAACCCAGGGCCGGTGCTGCTCCGCAGCCGGGCGGGCTGTGCCGGCTCCCTTCCCGGTGCCTCCGGGCAGCTGCGCGGCCAGGCCAGGCCTGGGGGGCACGGGCGCGGGCAGGTGGGCGGGGCCCCAGTCACCTTGCCGGGCTCGGCTTCCCGCTCCGTGAGCGCCTCGCACACCGGACGGCGGCTGGCTGCCCGCCCGTCCTGCTCCGTGTCCCGGCCGTGCCTGGCGCGCGGCGGTGCCTGGTACACTGGCTGGGTGAGGCGGACGTGCCCATGGAAAGGCAGCCTCCGGGGCTCCGCGCCTCAGAAGCCAGGAAGGAACGGTCACGTGAGGGCGAAGGGACGGTCATGAGGGAGGGCTGACGGGTCCACGTGAGGGAGCCAGCTGCCCGCCTGAGGGGACAGCAGTGCTGGGAGGGGAGGCACGCACACGGGGGTGGAGGGGGATGGATGGAGGGCACACGGTTTTTGTTTTTTTTATTGTGTTTATTGATTCCAGGGGGAGAGAGAAACACGAATGAAAGAATCCCCAATCGGCTGCCCCCTGCCCGCCTCACACTGGAGATTGCTGGGCTCATCAGGGACTGAACCCTGACCTCCTGGTTCATAGTCGATGCCCCACCGCTGAGCCACGCCCCCTGCACGGAGCAGGCGCTAGAACGCGGGGTGTTCGCTGGCGCGGGGAGGGGAAGGAGCTGTGCCCGCCGTCCTGGGCCCCAAGCCTGCCGCCCGCTCCGGGCCTGGCACAGCCCCCCATTCTCCTGGAGGCCCCGCCCCCCGGAACCCCTGCCTCTGGTTGCCAGGCGCCCGAACCCGGGTTCCACGGGCACTCCTGTGGCCATGCCGTCCCTCCTGCTGTGGCTCCTCGTCCTGGCCGTGCCCGCGGCCGCCCTGGCTTGGTCCCGGCCGCTGTGGTACCAGGTGGGCCTGGACCTGCAGCCCTGGGGGTGCCAGCCGAGCAGCCTGGACGGCTGCGGGGTCAGCCTGGGGTGCCCTGGCCACTGGCTGGGCCTGGGCTCGAACCCCGTCTACTCGGTGGCGGGCGTCACGCTCACCAGCGCTGTGGTGCTTGTGGTGGGCCGCAAGGTGCTGCGCCGGCGGGGCGCGCCCGGCACACAGAGCGAGGTGAGGCCCGCGCCCGCCGCCTCCCTGACCCCTGACCCCTGACCTCACCCGGTGAGCCCGCCTCCCTGACCCCCTGACCTCACCCAGTGGGCCCACCTCCTCCGCCCGCCTCCCTGACCCGACACCCTGACCCCTGACCTACCCGGTGAGCCCGCCTCCCTGACCCCTGACCTCACCCCCTAGTGGGCCCACCTCCTCCGCCCGCTTCCCTGACCCGACACCCTGACCCCTGACCTACCCGGTGAGCCCGCCTCCCTGATCCCCTGACCTCACCCAGTGGGCCCACCTTCTCCGCCCGCTTCCCTGACCCCTGACCTACCCGGTGAGCCCGCCTCCCTGACCCCTGACCTCACCCAGTGAGCCTGCTTCCCCCACCTGCCTCCCTGACCCCCTGACCCCTGACCTCACCCGCCTCCGGCCGCACCTGAGGCTCCCCACACCCCACGGTCTGTACAGACATCACACCCATTGGTCCCTGACCAAAGCCCGGGGCCAGGATCCTGCCCCTCCGTCTCCCTTCAATGCCTGGTCCTCATCCAGCCCCAGGGCCCCACAGACCCCCACCCCCAGCTCCCACTCCGAGCCCAGCCCCTGCCCTCCCCGGCCCAGCCGCCTCGGCTCTCACCGGGCTCCGTCCCCTCAGCTCCTGCAGGTGACGGCTCAGCCCCCCAGGCCCTCCAAGCGGCAGCCCCCGGCCTCCGACCACGCCCTGCTGCTCACCGTCCTGCACATGCTGGACGCCCTCCTGGCCCAGATCCAGGGCCACCTGCAGCGCCTCGCCACGCAGCAGCCCCGGGCAATAAAGGGCACTGCCACCCCGAGCGGGTGACCAACCACGCCTCCGCTGGCCGCTGGGGGGGGCACTGCCACCCCGAGCCGGGACCGACCACGCCTCCGCTGGCCGCCGAGCGGGTGACTGACCACGCCTCCCCTGGCCGCTGGGGGCGGGGGGGGGGGGCCCGGGACTGTGCACCCCGAGTCGGGACCGACCACGCCTCCGATGGCCGCTGGGGGGGTGGGTCTGGACTGTGCACCCCGAGATGGGACCGACCACGCCTCCGATGGCCGCTCGGGGGGTGGGTCTGGACTGTGCACCCTGAGCCGGGACTGACCACGCCTCCGCTGGCCGCCGAGCGGGTGACCGACCACGCCTCCGCTGGCCGCTGGGGGCGGGGGGGGGGGCCGGGACTGTGCACCCCGAGATGGGACCGACCACACCTCCGAGGCTGCGGGGGGGGGGGGGGTGGGACTGTGCACCCCGAGACGGGACCGACCACGCCTCCGCTGGCCGCTGGTTGGGGGGCACTGCCACCCCGAGACGGGACCGACCACGCCTCCGGTGGCCGCCAGGGGGGGGCCCGGGGCACTGGGCAGGCCGGCACTGCCACCCCGTGTGGGTGTCTGTCCTCCCTGCATCCCCTCCTATGCGTAGAGCCTGCAGCTGACTCACTGCTCCACTGACCTCTGCTCCCTGAGGGTTTCACCCACAAATACACGGCTGTTCTGGGGCTCCCCGGAGGCCCCAGGGGGTGGAGGAGACTTGACCGTCGGTTAGACTTGGGAGGTCCAGGGAGGGAGGCCCAGAGGTGAAGACCAGCCATGGCTCCTAGCTGGGCCGGGGCCTGAGCCGGGGGCCCTGTGGTGCCTCACACCTGTGCTCTGGCACCCGCGTGGCCCCAGGAGGCGAGGGAGGGCAGCGCAGCCCTCCCAAAGGGCCGCCCTGCCCCTCCCTTCTGCTCGCAGCCGGCATGGAGCTGCTGAGCCTGCGCACTCCAGGGTCTCCGTTTTAGAAAAAGACATTACAAACTCAAAAACAAGCCAGTGAGCTGGAATAAGGAGAAGAAATGGCCTGCCCCCTGGGGGCCAGTGCACACAATAGCAAGTGGTTGAACAGTCAGCTGCCCCCTGGTGGTCTGCGCGTGTCATAGCAAGCAGTTGCGTGGCCTTAGCATATTAGGCTTTTATTATATAGGACAGTGACCGGCTTCATGCGTTTCCTCTAAGATCAGGAACTAAAGGATTCCACTCGCCCACTCGTGCTCCCAAGGCCCGGTTTGCTGAGCTCAGAGTGTGAGGGGCTGCTGGCTCCCAAGAGGGGAATGGGTTTCTCTGTCCGGGTCCGCGCACACAGGGGCCTCTGGCCGGGCATGCCTGCAGGGGCAGCTGCCAGGGACACACGCCATCCTGCCACCCCGGCCCAGCTCCGTCCTCCCACACCCCCCCCCCCGGCCCAGCTCCGTCCTCCCACCCCCGGCCCAGCTCCGTCCTCCCCCCCCCTCCCCAGCCCAGCTCCGTCCTCCCCTCCCCCCCTGGCCCAGCTCCGTCCTCCCGCGCCCCCCCCCCCCCCCCCCCCGGCCCAGCTCCGTCGCCAGCCTGGCGGCGGAGGGCGCCTCCTTCCCAGAGCTTCCAGGGAGGGGAGGGGAGGCCGGGGAGCCTCCGGGGAGGGGAGGGCCGGGCCTCAGGGCCTGCGTCCAGCCAGCGGCGTCCATGCTGGAGGGTGGCCTCGTGAGCGGGAGGGGACATGTGTGTGGTTCCCGGCCATGTGTCGGCCGAGGCTGAAGCAGAACACGCAGTGCTGGGTCCGGAGCAGGGGCACTTCGACACGTGAGGCACGAGGACCCGGCTCCGGAGCCGGGCAGTGGCAGCCGGCGTCCCCATGGGGTCCCCGTGGGGTGCCCGACGGCGCGCCCTGGGGTGTCTGCTCAGCACGTCTCACCCAGTCCTCGCTCTGCCTCCGAACTCTCGTGCTCGAGGCGGCGGTCATGTTTCTGGGGTTCCAGGCAGTGGGGTCGGAACCTGGTCGTCTCTCGTTGGTCTGCGTCCTGTGGGTTCAGCCAAGTTCTCGGGGGCGGGGATGTGGGGGGTGTTATGGGCGACCCGCGAATGACGGCCACCCGTCAGCCACAGTGGAATTCAGGAAGCCTTTACTACGAACCGAGTCCGGGCTCCCGTCTCAACTGACACAGCAGCGAGCCACGAAGCCCCGACCCATCTAAGCACGCTGCTTCCATCCCCGTCTGAGGGCTGCCCGGCAGATCATGATTGGCTAAAGTTTTAACAAAGAAAGGTCAGTTCTAAGCGATAGAAAATTCCACTAGTACAGTAACATTTAAAGTTCATACAACACCTGGGGTGGGGTCTCTGTGTGACCTGGTCTGGTCTGTCTGTCCTGCCTTGCGGCTCCTGGAAACAGGACGTGCCTGCCTGGGGGCTGAGCCTGCAACGGAACTATTTCATGGCCAACAGTCATGCCACATTCTTTGTTGTGGGTCTGTTGCTCGTTCCTTCCCTGGCCTGGAGTCTTGCTAGCCATCTGGAGCCCGGCCTCCACCGGGCCCTCCGGCCACAACAGGGAGGAGGGGAGTCTCCCGTGCCCCCCCACCCACCCCGCGGGCAGGAGGATGCTGATCCCGCCCGGGGCGCTGTCGCTGGAACATCACCCCGTGGGTCAGGGCCCGGACCCAGGTTGCAGGGACACAGAAGGGAGGCAACCCGTGGATCTCTCTCTCCTCCCCTCTCTCTTAAATCCATGACAATCATCGGGTGAGAGTTTAAAACTAAAAATACAACAAAAGGGAATGCTGCCAGCCAGGGCCCAGGAGGAAATGGGGAATTCTGCTTTCCAAACAGGAACCCTTCCCACGCATTCATCGCCGCCGCTCTTCCTCCCTGAGCAACCGTGTTCCTCCCGCCCACCCAGGCCTCCTGGGGCCCGGGCGCCGGGCCGGCGCTGAGCCCGCTCCGGGCGCAGTGGCTGGGGCGACCGGCCGGAGGGAATCCTCCCGGCTTCCGCCAGGGGGCGCCCGCGCGCCAGGGGCGCCACTGCGCGTGCGCCTCGCGCGCCGCCGCGCCGCGCCGCTCCGCGCCGCTCCGCGCATGCGTGGCGCGGCCCGGGCTGACAGGACGGGAAGATGGCGGCGTCCGCGGTCTGCCGGGCGTCCGGCGCGGGGGCGCGAGTGCTGCTGCGCGCACGCCGACCGGTGAGGCGGCCGCGGGGGCGCGGGGCGCGGGGCGCGGGCCGGGGTGCGCTGTTGGCGGCGGCGGGAGAGAGCGCGGCGGGCGCGGGGTCAGGGCCGCGGGAAGGTCACGGCCCAGGGCGGCCGGGGACGGGGCCGGGCATGGCGGCCGCGGGAGGTCACGGCCCAGGGGGGACGGGGCCGGGATGGCGGCCGCGGGAAGGTCACGGCCCAGGGCGGCCGGGGCCGGGGCCGGGATGGCGGCCGCGGTGCCGGCGGGCGGGCGGGGACGGGGATGGCGGCCGCGGGAAGGTCACGGCCCAGGGCGGCCGGGGCGGGGCGGGGACGGGGATGGCGGCCGCGGGGCCGGCGGGCGGGCGGGCGGGCGGGGGGGGCCCGGGCCGCGGAGCGATGCCGACCCCGACCCCGGCCCGGCCCCGCCCGCAGCACGCGGCCCTGCTGCCGCCCGGCCTGCGGAGCGCCGCCTCCCTGGCGCAGGCCCTGCAGCGCGCGCCCGAGACGCAGGTGAGCCAGCTGGACAGCGGCCTGCGCGTGGCCTCGGAGCAGTCGGCCCAGCCCACCTGCACGGTGAGTGCCCACCTGCACGGGGCGCCCGGGCGGGGGGCCGGGGCGGGTGACCTTGGGCCCGGCCTCCGCGGTTTGGGCCGCGGACGATGCCCCCCAAGCAGGGGCCGCGCGTCCCCCCAGCTTCCCCGTTCGCAGCTCACGGAAGAGGACCCCCAGCCTCAGGGCGACGCCGAGGAAAACGGGGTTCAGAGACATGAGGTCACACTCCCCAGGTCACACACACTCAGACCAGGAAGGCATTGAGGGGAGGGTGGTTTTCCAGGAAAAGTGCACATCCTCACATTTGACTCAAGGATAGAAATCTTGGTTAGACACAGGCATAGGTGAGAGTTTTCTCAGGAAGTGACCCTTCGCCCTCCTCCCCACCCCAAACGCCGGGGCGAGATGGTTTGATTGGCAAAACCTTTCCGTTCAGGAACGGAGGTGCCCCGAGTGGCGTTGGTACAGAACATAGCAAAGGGCAAGGGCCACTTCCTTACCACATGGCACCTGCATAGACCACGCCAGAGCCGCCCACAGGCTCAGCTGAGACACCTGTGCTAGGTGCGCCGGCTAATACTGCGGATTAACCACTCGCGCCCGGTTAATAATCAACCCTTTACCGGTTAATAATCGGATTTCGTGATCAAAGAAAACACGATAATTTCAAGGGAAACATTAGAAGTGCTTTATTCAAAGCAATGTCCATCGCTAGCTACCCATTTCCCCCATCCTTCGGGTCATTGGCCGGTACCGTCCCAATAGAACTTTTCTTGTTTTGAGGCAGACCATTCAGAGACCCGATCTTCCACTTCTTCGTACGTTTCGAAGTGCTGCTCAGAAAGTGCGTGTGCCACCGATACATATCAAGTTGCACATACATATCAAATCACATAAATATCAACCACCTATTGAAAAAACACGCGCATTGCTAGCCGGTGCACCTAGGAGTTCCCGTGCGAGAAGATGCTCCAGGTTGAGGAGAAGCCGGAGAAAGGGTGCTGCAGTTACTGTCAAAGGCGCCGTGGGTTTTAAACGCACCTTCCCACGGTGTTACGTGTGGGACAGATCTTCACGGAAGAATTTATGACATACTGGCCCTGACCAGTTTGGTTCAGTGGATAGAGCATCGGCCTGCGGGGTCCCGGTCAAGGGCATGTACCTTGGTTGGGGGCACATCCCCAGTGAGGAGTGTGCAGGAGGCTGCTGGTCGATGTTCTCTCTCATCGATGTTTCTAACTATGCCTCTTCCTTCCCCTCTGTAAAAAAAAAAACACACAATAAAATATTAAAAAGAAAGAATTTATGACATATGGATGTACATTAATATCTCTTAGGAAAGTAGATGTGAGAATTTTTTTAGATGTTTTTTATTGACTTCAGAGAGGAAGGTAAAGAGAGAAACATCAGTGATAATCATTGATTAGCTGCCTCTTGTACGCCCCCTACTGGGGATTGTGCCTGAATTCTGGAAGGAATCGCAACCCTGGGACCCTTCAGTCTTCAGGCCAACGCTCTATCCACTGAGGGAACCAGCCAGGGCAAGGTGTAAAGTTTCCAGTGAACCCTGAACGAATAGTAAATTAAAAGACCAGACCTGTGTGACCTCGGGGTGAGGGGTGGCGGTCTCACAGCTCACAGGAGCTGCTCAGAAAGCGATCGGTCCTGTGATTGGCTAGCAGGGAGCACGGTGAGCTCAGTGCTGAGGGAGCTGCTTTTCCGTGTGAGTGAAGGCACTTCCTCAGTGTGAACGCCCGCGTCTGAGCGGCAGCCTCCTTCCTCAGCACGGCAGGAAGGGCAGTGGTTAGAGGAGAGGAAGGTCGTTGTTGGCAGATGCCTTGCTTCCTAAAAGCAGTCCCTGACAGTCCAGAGGAGCCTCAGCCCTCCCTGCGGTGCGGGAGGGGCCGGTGATGGCCGCAGTCAGGGACCCTGGGAGCGCGGGCTGACCTTCAGACGCACAGCGGGAGGGGGAGCGATGCAGCGACTGGGCCTGTCCCCCCTCCACGCACCGTCCTGCTGGGAGACAGCGTCCCCGCTGGGCTGTGAGCCTCAGCCTCGCCTGTGGTGGGGGTCCCGGGCTTTGCTCAGCGCCAGGGTGGGTACCTGGGCTGGAGTGACTGTTCCCTCCTGTCCAGGTCGGGGTGTGGATTGACGTTGGCAGCCGCTACGAGAACGAGAAGAACAACGGGGCGGGCTACTTTGTGGAGCATCTGGCTTTCAAGGTGAGCTCCCGGCCGGCTGCCTCTTCCCGGGCTCCCCGCCCCTGCCGCCTCTCCCCGGGCCCCGGGCTGCCCTCCTGGGAAGCCACTCCTCGGACAGGCTGCAGCTGGGCAGCCTCCAGGTTGGCCCCTCCCGGGAGCACCTGTGCTGAGCCCTGCACAGGCCCCGAGTCAGACCCGGGAGCAGCAGGAGCCCCTTCCCCAGGAGGCTGGCTGGCTGCGTGGCCCCGCGCGGAGCGGCCATAGGCACACGTGCTGTGACCCCCCTGGGCTGAGGCGTTCGGGCGGCGCTCTGCCTCTGGGCCCTGGGCCTGGGGCTCTCCTGAGGGGCAGTCCCACGGCGGCCCTGCCGGCCCGGTTGGCACAGAGCAGACGGCGTTTTGAATGAATGGAAACACGGAGTGGGGGGCGTGGGGCGGCAGCCTGGCCGTCTCCACGTCAGATGTGTTGTCACTCTCCACGCCTGTTGTCACTCCTCACGGAGGGGTGCTGTCTCTCGGATTTTCAGAGGATTGGGCGGGAGGGGGGAAGAGGTAGGGGGAGAAAGAACATCGATGTGGGAGACACATCAATTAGTTGCCTCCCACATGTGCCCCAGCCAGGGTGGGGGATCGAATCTGCAACCCAGAATATGTGCCCTTGACCGAGGATCAACCAAGACCTTTCTGTCTGTGGGCCAGTGCTCTAACCACTGAGCAACTGGCTAAGGCGTAGATCTTTTTGTTTTTTAATTTTGTTGATTTCAGAGAGGAAGGAGGGGAGGAGATAGCAATGATAGAATCATTGATCAGCTGCCTCCTGCAGGCCCCCAACGGGGGATCTCCTCCACAACCTGGGCCTGTGCCCCTGATTGGAAGCGAACCTGGCACCCTTCGGTCCGCAGGCCCTGCTCCATCCACAGAGCCACACCGGTCAGGGCTCCTTTATTTCTCGATTTGAGAGAAAGATACCAATTATGTTGATTCTTGCTTGCTTGATTTTTTTCCCCCTCATCCGAGGATTTGGTTTTATTTATTTTTTAAAATATATTTTATTGATTTTGTACAGTGAGGAAGGGAGAGAGATAGAAACATCGATGAGAGAGTCATCAATCAGCTGCCTCTTGCACACCCCCTACTGGGGATGTGCCCGCAACTAAGGTACATGCCCTTGACTGGAATCGAACCCAGGACCTTTCAGTCCCCAAGCCAATGCTCTATCCATTGAGCCAAGTCGGTTTCGGCCCAAGGATTTGGTTTTAGAGAGCAACATGAGTAAGAGAGAAATGGCCATTGATTGCCTCCTGTGTGTCCCTGTTTGGGAATCGGACCCACAACCTGGGGTACCGGGACGAAGCTCTAAGCAGCTGAGCTACCTGGCCAGAGCGCCGCTACCTGGCCAGAGCGCCCGTACACACACACACACACACACACACAGGACAGGCCTCCGCACACAGTCAATGCGTGGTGTGGGGAGTGGGCAGCGGCAGGGTCCCTGAAGGCAGGTGTGAGCTGGCCTGGGCTGCCTGTGGGTGAGGGGAGGGTAAGGCCACTGAAGGGGGTGCTCCGGGCTGCAGGCCACGTCTGGCCACGGCCTCCTGGGCTCGTGTCTGTGGCCTCAGCGCGGAGCCGCCTTGCTGGGGGCACAGATCCTGCCCCGCACCCGGGCTCTGCTGAGGGCACTGCTTCTGCCGGGACTCCGTCTGCGAAGCCGGGGGCCGGGCTCGGCGGCTCCTGACGGTGCCGATGGGTCTGGCTCAGGGAACAAAGAACCGGCCTGGCAATGCCTTGGAGAAGGAGGTGGAGAGCATGGGGGCCCACCTGAACGCCTACACCACGCGGGAGCACACGGCCTACTACATCAAGGCGCTGTCCAAGGACCTGCCCAAAGGTACGCCGCGGGCGCGGGCGGGGGCGGCTGCCCTAGCGGACGGCCTGGCCACCGGCAGCGGGGCCGCCCGTGCCCACACCTGCCCGCCCGCCCGCCCCCAGCCGTGGAGCTGCTGGCGGACATCGTGCAGAGCTGCAGCCTGGAGGACTCGCAGGTGGAGAAGGAGCGGGACGCGATCCTGCGGGAGCTGCAGGAGAACGACGCTTCCCTGCGGGACGTGGTCTTCGACTACCTGCACGCCACGGCCTTCCAGGGCACGCCCCTCGCCCAGCCCGTGGAGGGGCCCAGCGGCAACGTCAGGTGGGCGGCCGCGCCGCGCCGTGGCGGCCCCGTGCCCGCCCTGGAGCACTTCCCGTGCCCGCGGCCCCTGTGCTCCGCTGGCACGCAGGGCTTGTCCCCGGCGTCTGCCCTGACCGCGCGGGGGAGGGTGGTGCCCGTCCCAGGCCACGGGCCAGCCCCCCTCACGGGCCTCTGTGCCCGTCCTGAGGTCAGGGGTGAGTTGGGCCAGGCAAGGGCTGCCCTTGGGGAGCGGAGGGGGGCAGGGACGGGGAAGGGACCGCCCTACGTGTGGCCATTTCCGCAGGAAGCTGTCGCGGGCCGACCTGACGGAGTTCCTGGGCCAGCATTACAAGGCCCCTCGCATGGTGCTGGCGGCCGCGGGAGGTGAGTGCTGAGCCCGCAGCCGCCGGCAGTGGCGGGAGGCCGGCTTGGTCACCGGCGCTCGGGTCCCTGGTTCTGAGCGGGTCATTTTCCACTCCTGGCGACCCTGTTGTCCTCCCTGCCCCCGGGAGCAGCCTCTTCCCGGCTCAGATGGAGTGGGATCCTGCAAGGCCTCGCCTCCCTCAGCCACCTGGTCTGAGAGGCCCGGCCGCCCGCGGGGCTCTGAGGCAGCGGGTGGTGCCTGCAGAGGAAGGCAGAGCGGCAGGGACCCGAGCTGGCGGCCGGTGACACCCTGTCCGGCCCTGTGCCCGTGCCCGGCGGCCGGTGACCCACCATGTGGCCTGTGCCTGGCGGCCGGTGACACCCTGTCCGGCCCTGTGCCCGTGCCCGTGCCCGGCGGCCGGTGACACGCCATGTGCCCGTGCCCGGCGGCCGGTGACACGCTGTCTGGCAGGGGTGGAGCACCGGCAGTTGGTGGACCTCGCCCAGAAGCACTTCAGTGGCGTCTCTGGCTCGTACGCCGAGGACGCTGTGCCCACGCTCTCTCCGTGCCGCTTCACTGGCAGCCAGGTAGGCTCCTGGTGGCAGGGCAGTGCTCGCCCGGCCCGGAGGAGGGACCCTCATGCACACGGGACCTTCCCAACCCCGGAGGTGCCGCGGCAGTGGGCAGGGCCAGGGCTGCCGCCTCACAGATGTGCTCGCACTCGCACCCCCTCCCCCACCGGCACCCCTCCCCCACCTGCACCCCTCCCCCACCTGCACCCTTCCTGGGCGCCTGGGTCCTCAGCGCCCCTCAGCCCTGCGTGCCCATTTCAGATCGCCCACCGTGACGACGCCCTGCCTTTCGCCCACGTGGCCATGGCCGTGGAGGGGCCTGGCTGGGCCAACCCGGACAACGTGGCCCTGCAGGTGGCCAACGCCATCATCGGCCACTACGACTGCACCTACGGCGGCGGCGTGGTGAGTGCCGGGCGGGGGGCCTGGTCTGGAGCAGAGGGTTCTGGGCGGCAGGCCCTGCCCTGTGGGGAGGGTGGCTGCTGACCGCCTTGGCCTCAGCATCTGTCCAGCCCGCTGGCTTCAGTCGCCGTGGCCAACAAGCTGTGCCAGAGTTTCCAGACCTTCAACATCTGCTACGCGGAGACCGGCCTGCTGGGCGCGCACTTCGTCTGCGACCGCATGAGCATCGACGACATGGTGTTCTTCCTGCAGGGCCAGTGGTGAGGGCAGTGTGGGGGCGGGAGCGGGGGGGGGGCAGGGAGTAGGAGGAGGGGTGGGGAGAAGGGGGGGCGGGGAGCAGGGGGGGCGGGGAGCAGGGGGAGAGGGAGAAAAGGGGGCCCAGACGGCACCTCTCAGTCACTCACACCCCCCCCCCCCCACTTCCCCGTCAGGATGCGCCTGTGCACCAGCGCCACGGAGAGCGACGTGCGCCGCGGCAGGAACCTCCTCAGGAACGCCCTCGTGTCCCACCTGGACGGTGAGCTCTGCCCGGCGGTGACGGCCCCCCGCCCACAGCAGCGGGCCCAGACCCAGGGCGGGCGGCCGGGGGTGGCCATTCCCAGGGACAGTGGGGTCGGGGGGTCCAGGACGGACCGGGGACCTGTAGCCTGCCCTCCCGGCAGGCACCACGCCTGTGTGCGAGGACATCGGACGCAGCCTCCTCACCTACGGCCGCCGCATCCCCCTCGCCGAGTGGGAGAGCAGGATTGCGGTACGGCGGGCGGGAGGGGCTCTGGGCTGGCTGACTCCGAAGGGCACCCCTGGGTGCAGGCAGAGTCCTGGGCCCCCGGGGGGCTGGCGGGGCTGGAGGGAAGGGACAGGCAGAGGCCTGGCTGTGGGGTGGACGAGCCCTGCCCTCCCCTGCAGGGCCGGGGGCAGTGCCAAGGTCTGTGCCGAAGCCCTCGGTCGGCTGGGTCATCCTGACTGGCTGGGGTGGTGCCCAGTGCCCGCCCGTCAGGGTGCCCTGCTTCGCCTGCAGGAGGTCGACGCCCAGATGGTGCGTGAGGTCTGCTCCCAGTACTTCTATGACCAGTGCCCGGCGGTGGCCGCAGTGGGTGAGTGACCGGCCGGCTGCTCTCCTCCCTGGGCCTTTTCTCCCCCGTCTGCCCGCCCGCCCACCCACCCGTGCCCCCCCCCCCCCCCACCTGCGCTGGGAGCAGCCAGAGCCCCAAGGGGCTCTGCCATAGTCTGGCTGCCAGGGAGTTCTTGCTCAGAAAACCTGTCCCAGCAGCTCCTTGACTCGCTGCCAAGCTGCCTCCCTCGGTGCCCGACCCTCCAGGTAACGGGCACCGCGGGGTGGGGCTCGGCGGCCGAGCGTGAAGGGACAGGCTCGGCGCCCCGGGACGTCCTCCCCCGCCCCTCCGCCTGCCTGAGCCGCTCTGGGCTGCCCCAAGCTGGGTGCGGCGCAGGGCCAGGTGTCCCTGCACCGGGCGCCCGCCTGACCCCGCCCATCCCCGCAGGCCCCATCGAGCAGCTCCCCGACTACAACAGGACCCGCAGCGGCATGTTCTGGCTGCGCTTCTAGCGGGAAGCCTGCGGGCAGGAGGGCGGGCCGCCGGCCCCGCCGGGAACGCGCCGCCTCAGCCCCCGCCCTGCCACACGGCACCAATAAAGCTGGTGAGAGCCGCTGTCCTCTGGCTTTGCGTGGGTCCCCGTCCTTCCGCCTCCGCGTCCTCCCGCCTCCCCGCAGGCTGTGTCCTCGGCGGGCCAGCAGCAGGCGGGAAGCCTTTGATGCCTCAGGCAGAGGAGGCCAGATGTTCCCACTTAGCCACGTGGGGCGATCCCCGCCAGGACGTCCCGTGTGAGGCAGGGCGCCACGGGAGCTGCACGCCAGCCTCGGCCCTAGGGAGGCCCCGGGACTCGGTGCTCAGGCAGAAACCCCTGGCTGTCACCCTGTGCTCTGGAGGGCTCCCTGGGAGCCCCCTTCATGTCTACTATGGATCCGGGAGGAGGGAGCCTGGGCATCGTGCTCCATTTGGCTCCTCGCTGCTGCCTGGACAGGCAGGGCAGAAACACCCGCTCGCATGCTGGCGCTGACTCAGGCTCCAAGAATAGCCCTGAGCTCAGTGGGACCCGAACCCCCTCCCTGCCTCGGTCGGTCTCCCAGGCAAGTCCTGAGCTGCTGCCGTCCCCTCCCCATCTTCCCGAGGCTCTGGCTCTGGTCCCCTCGCCCCAGGGCCCTGTGCAGGCAGGTAAGGGAGGTCCTCTTCCTGCCCCAGCCCTGGAGTCAGGTCGCGGGAAGGTGTTGCTGGGAGTTGTGAGCAGGTCCTGGGTTGGGATTGCTGGGGACGGTTCAGAAGGCCCGGCCTCAGCAGCCAGAGCACCTGGACTCCCTCCGCCGTCAGGAAGTAACGCCAGCTGCTTCTAGAGCTCAACTGGGGCCCAGGGAGCAGCATGCTCACAGGCAGCTCACCAGGCGGAGCTGGAGCTCCTGAGGGTGAACTGGCTTTCTAAGCCCCGGCCAGGGCCAGGAAGGGCTGTGCAGGGCAGGGCTGGGGAGGACTGTGTCCCAGGTGGGGAGGGGGGCCTGCCTGGAGGCGGCAGCCAGGGGCCCAGCAGACCACACTTGTGCTCTCGAGGCTCCCAGGAGCTCCAGATTCGCACTCGGCCTCAGCCCTGCCTCCAGCGGCCTCTCCCAGCAGGCGGCCTGCCTGCCTTTTGGGGCCCCTCCGGGTTCCGGTGAGGTTTGCCAGCTGGGCCTGTCTCCCCTAAAGGCTCACCCACAGTGTCTATACTGTATGTGCCAGTTGCTCCTGCTCTCACCCACCCTGCTGTGCCAGGGAAGGGGGGTCTGGGGGCAGAGCTGCTCGCTGACAGAAACGTGTCTGGGCCCAGCCGGCGTGGCTCAGCGTTGAACAGCAGCCTATGAGCCAGGAGGTCACTGTTTGGTTCCTGGTCGGGGCACAGGCCCGGGTTGCGGGATCGATCCCCAGTGGGGCGTGCAGGAGGCAGCCGACCCATGATTCTCATCCTAGATGTTTCTCTCTCTCTCCCTCTGAAATCAATAAAAATACATTAAGAAAAAAAAAAAAGCAAACCAAGACTTGTCTGATTCTCTGTTACCCTCACCTGTGGGTCTGTTGGGGGGTGGGAGGTCCTGGGAGACCGCTGAGAGCGTGGCCCTGGGGAGAGGTGTGGGCCCTGTGGTCACAGCTCGGCACCTCAGGAGAACCAGGTCCCTCTGCCTCTGGTGACAGGATGCAGGCAGCGGAGCCACAGACCCTGGTCCCGGGAGACCAGTTCAACAAGCACCACCCCAGCTCTCCCCACGGCCTGGGTCCCCACTCCGCCAGGGCCAGGCATGCTGGGAGGCTCGGTAGCAGCGGCGAGGTTTCCAGAATGATCCGGGGCTGGCAGGGAAGACGGAGGGGAGGCCGGGGCATGCTCTGCCTCTGGTGGACTCGCACATGGTCACCTCCTCTGACGGCCCTGACCGGGGTCCTGGGGGGCCTGTCCAGGCTCAGGAGACGAGTGGGAAGCCAGGCTGGTTCGGGGGGAGAGCAGTGAGGAAGGTGGGAGCTACAGGGCGTGTGGGCAGGGTCAGGGGAGCCAGGTGACCCCGGCCTGGGGTGGCGGGAGGAAGCGGGTCTTGCTATGTCAGGAAGAGGAGGTGGCGGAGGCAGGGGGTCTGGCCTGAGGCAGGACAGGGGAGCAGGCAGGAGGGCGAATTCCTGAGGAAGGAGCTGTCACTGTGGGTGGTCCCTGCAGGCACAGCTGGATGGCATCTGTCTGGGTCAGTTCCGGCACGTGGGGTGCAGGGTGCTGGATGGACACGTATGCATAAGCGTGAGATTCTCTCCTGACCCCTCTCACACGCACGCACTGGAGAGGGCACGCCCTGGGGTGAACTCACAGCCCTTGTTGGGGGGCTGCTCTGCTTGTCCAAGGGATGGGGGTGGCACAGGAGACCCCCCCAGGATGGAGGGGCTGAATCACAAGCAGCTGTCCAGCCCCCGGGGTGGGTGAGTCACTGCCCAGGAGCCTGGGAACGCGCCTCAGTGCCCGGGCTCACGGTGCCGGCTCAGCCAGGACCTCTGCCCCAGGACCTCTGCCCCCCCCGCCGTCCCCACGGCCCCCGCTCTGTCTGCAGACCTTGGGGGGTTCCCAGGAGCCGTGGGAGGTGGGGCTTTAAGGGGAGTCGAGCATCTGTCGGGGCGTTGGAGGCAGCGGCTGCTGAGCTGGTGGGTGGAGGCGGCCCCTGGTCCCCGCCCGCGCCCCGCCCCCCGGGATTAGGGACTTTTCTCGCTGGGGCTGCGGGCTGCGGGACTCGGCGGCGGCTGGCGGGGGAGCCCTCGGACCGGACCAGACCGGACCGGCAGGCAAGACGGACTGGGGGTTAGGGAGCGCCAGGCTCGGACGCCAAGGCGGCGGGGGTGCGAGACCAATGTGGGGTCCTGGCTGACTGTCCCCCACCCCCAGGATGAAGCTGCGGCTCCTGGTGGCCGTGCTCTGCGCCGGGATCCTGGCCAGGGCACCCCGAGCGCGGGCCCAGGCCGGGGAGCGAGGTGGGTACGAGCAGGAGGGACCCGCCCGGCCCTGCGCCCGTCCCCGCGGCCCCACACTCGGCCTTAGTCCCCGGCCCCCCATGCACAGGCCCCTGCGTCTCCCTGGTCTCCCCAAACCCTCCAGGACCCGCCTGTGTCTCCAAACCGCACCCAGCCTGTGCACCCCAACCCGACCCCCAGATGCGCACTGGCTTTCTGCCTGGTCACTCCCGCAGGGGCCGGCCTCAGCCCCCTCCCCACGCGTGCAGTTGTGCTCCGCTCACCACCCTGGGGGGAGGGGGAGGGGAGGGCCGGGGAGAGGGGCTCAGGGGGAGGGCTCCGGGTCTGGCTCCGCTCCTGCCTGTGGCGGCACAGACGGGGCCAGGGGAGGGGGGAAGGGGCTGGGGGAAGGGGCTGGGGGGGAGGGTGCCGGGTCCCACAGGCAGATGGGGGACGGGGAGTGGTCCCGGGCCTGGGGAGGGGGGAAGGGCCTGGGGGGAAAGGGCGGGGGGGAGGGCACCGGGTCCCACAGGCTCAGACGGGGACGGGGAGTGGTCCCGGGCCCGGGGAGGGGGGAAGGGGCTCGGAGAAAGGTGCCGCTGCTCCGCAGTGACCTGCACACGCCTCTACGCCGCGGACATCGTGTTCCTGCTCGACGGCTCCTCGTCCATCGGCCGCGCGAACTTCCGTGAAGTGCGGGCCTTCCTGGAGGGGCTGGCGCTGCCCTTCGCGGGCGCGGCCGCGGGCCCGGGCGTGCGCTTCGCCGCCGTGCAGTACAGCGACGACCCGCGGTGAGCGCCGGCCACCAGCCACTCCCCCAGGGGAGGCCGGCCTGGGGAGCCCGGCCAGTGCCCCGCAGAGAGCTGTGCATGGGGAGCCCAGGGCTCGCCCCTCAGAAGCCCTGCCTGCTGGGCTCCCCCACTTCCCCACCCCCAGCCTTCGGACCCTGAGGCCTCTGCCAGGCAGCAGCCCTCCTCCTGCGGTCCCTTCACTGACCCACAGCCTGGCTGGGGGGGGCGGGGGGGGGGAGGCCGGGAGGAGGGAGGCCAGAAGGGGGAGAGGTGGGGAGGGGGGACCGGGAGGAGGGAGGCTGGGAGGAGGGAGGCTGGAGGGAAAGAGGCTGGAAGGGGGAGAGGCGGGGGGGGGGGGCCGGGAGGAGGGAGGCCGGAGGGAGGGAGGCGGGGGAGGCGGGGGGGGGGGCCGGGAGGAGGGAGGCCAGGAGCACCAGGGCTTGGGGCCGGCCCTGGCCCAGCCACAGGCGGACATGGGACACTGAGGAGTTGGCTTGGGTGTCAGAGGTGGAGGAAGGAACCACAGGGCCAAGAGGACCCCCAAGGTGCCCTGACCCCCACCCTCACCCCAGGGCCCCTGAGACCAGGGCGGGAAAGGGCCCGCCCCGTTCTGTTGCTACCCCCCCCCCGCCCCCACAGGACAGAGTTCGGCCTGGACGCGCTGGGCTCGGCGAGCGAGGTGATCCGCGCCCTCCGCGAGCTCAGCTACAAGGGGGGCAACACGCGCACGGGCGCCGCCATCCTGCACGTGGCCGACCGCATCTTCCTGCCCCCGCTGGCCCGGCCTGGCGTGCCCAAGGTGACGCCCGGCCCCAGGTGCCCTCCTCCGCCCCCCACCCCGGCCCCCAGGAGCCCTCCCCGCCCCCCCCGGCCCCCAGGAGCCCTCCCCGCCCCCCCCCCCGGCCCCCAGGTGCCCTCCCCGCCCCGGCCCCAGGGGCCCTCCTCCGCCCCCCCCCCGGCCCCCAGGTGCCCTCTTCCGCCCCCCCCCTGGCCCCCAGGTGCCCTCCTCCGCCCCCCCCCCCCCGGCCCCCAGGTGCCCGCCCCGCCCCGGCCCCCAGCTCCGGTGTCTGTGGCCGCCCCGCTGACCCCTCCCCACGCAGGTCTGCATCCTCATCACGGACGGGAAGTCCCAGGACCTGGTGGACGCGGCCGCCCAGAGGCTGAAGGGCCAGGGCGTCAAGCTGTTCGCCGTGGGTGAGTCCCAGCGGCGGGCCGGGGCGGGGCCGGGGCGGGCGGGCAGCTCAGCCCACGCCTCTCCCCAGGGATCAAGAACGCGGACCCCGAGGAGCTGAGGCGCGTGGCCTCCCAGCCGACGGCCGACTTCTTCTTCTTCGTCAACGACTTCAGCATCCTGCGGACGCTGCTGCCCCTGGTCTCCCGGCGGGTGTGCACCACGGCGGGCGGCGTGCCCGTGGCCCTGCCCCGTGAGTCCCGCCGTGCGGCTGGCCCGCGCCCGGCTGCTGCCCTCTGGCCCTGACCCGACCCAGCGCCCGCTCGAGCGCCGATCCCTGACCTTGCTGCCCGATCCCCCCTTCCCCAGCCGACGGCTCGCCCTCCGGCCCGCGGGACCTGGTGCTGTCCGAGCCCACCGGCCAGTCCCTGCGGGTGCAGTGGACGGCGGCCAGCGGCCCTGTCAGCGGCTACCAGGTCCAGTACGCGCCCCTGACAGGCCTGGGCCAGCCGCGGCCCGGCGAGCGGCGGGAGGTAACGCTGTCCGGGGGAGGGGAGGAGAGGGGAGGGCCGAGGACTGGGCACTGGGCACTGGGCTGGGCAGGGCTCGGACCTCTGACCCCGGGCAGGTGAGCGTCCCGGCCGGCGAGACCAGCACGCGGCTGCAGGGCCTGCAGCCCCTGACGGAGTACCAGGTGACGGTGATCGCCCTCTACGCCAACAGCGTCGGGGAGGCCGTGAGCGGGACAGCGCGAACCAGTGAGCACCCTGCTACCCCGGCCCACCCCTCCGCCTGCCCCGGGACCCCACAGCTCTCCGCTAACCCTGCGGGCCCTTCCCCAGCCGCCCTGGAGGGGCCGGAGCTGACCGTCCAGAACACCACCGCCCACAGCCTCCTGGTGGCCTGGCGGGGCGTGCCGGGCGCCACCGGCTACCGCGTGACCTGGCGGCTGCTGAGCGGTGAGCTGAGCGAGGGTGTGGGCCGCAGGGCGCTCTGACCCAGACGGGCTGGGGGCCGGGTCAGCCGCACTGACTCTCTGTACCGCCAGGCGGGCCCACGCAGCAGCAGGAGCTGGGCCCGGGCCAGGGGTCGGCGCTGCTCCGGGACCTGCAGCCCGGCGCCGACTACGAGGTGACCCTGAGCGTCCTGCGCGGCGGCAGCGTGGGGCCCGCCGCCTCCCTGACGGCCCGCACCGGTGAGGCCGGGCTGCCCGCGGGCGGGCACCGATCGGGGCTTCCTCAGGCGGGCGGCGGGCACCGGGCGGGGCCGCTGATACCTGTGCCCGCAGACGCTCCTGTGGAGCAGACCCTGCGCCCCACCATCCTGGGCCCCACCTCCATCCTCCTGTCCTGGAACCTGGTCCCCGCGGCCCGCGGCTACCGGCTGGAGTGGCGGCGAGAGACTGGTCAGTGCCGGCCGGAGGGCGGGCGGGCGGCGGCGCGGCTGGGCGTGGCTCGGCGGCTGACCTCGCCGTCCCGCAGGCCTGGAGGCGCCGCAGAAGCTGGTGCTGCCCCCAGAGGTGACCCGCTACCAGCTGGACGGGCTGCAGCCGGGCACCGAGTACCGCCTCACGCTCTACACTCTGCTGGAGGGCCGGGAGGTGGCCACGCCGGCCACCGTGGTCCCCACGGGTGAGGGCTCCGGCCGGCCGGCCTGAGGGGCAGGGACAGCCCCGGCCGCCCCTCACGCTGTGGCCTCCCACAGGGCCAGAGCGGCCGGTGGGCCCCGTGACAGACCTGCGGGCGACCCAGCTGCCCGGGCAGCGGGTGCGGGTGACCTGGAGCCCGGTCCCCGGGGCCACCGAGTACCGCATCGCTGTGCGCGGCACCCAGGGTGAGGGACACAGCCCGCACCCCCGCGCCACTAACGCTCCAGCCCTCAGTCTGACGGCAACGCAGCCCCTCACTCCCTGTCCCTCCCGCGCCGATGACAGCTCTGCTCCGCCGTCTGTCTCCTTCCACCCACGTCCATGTCCCCGGCCGCTGACCCCACCGGCCTGCACCTCCCTTCGCCACACCCTTGCCATCCCGTGTCCCTGTCCATCGCTGGGTCCTGTTTCTCACGTCCTCACCTCACTTCTCTCCAGCCTATGCCCATCCCTCACAGTATCTGTCCGTCACTGATCGCCGCCCCCTCCTCAGGCCCCCCCCGTCCCGGTCTCTGCCTCCCCCCGTCCCGGGCTCAGGCCCCCCCGTCCCGGCCTCAGGCCCCCCCGTCCCGGCCTCAGGCCCCCCGTCCCGGCCTCAGGCCCCCCGCTTCCCCTTAGGAGTGGAGAGGACCCTGGTGCTCCCCGGGAGCCAGACGGCCTTCGACTTGGATGACGTCCGCGCGGGGCTGAGCTACACCGTGCGGGTGTCCGCCCGCGTGGGCGCCCGCGAGGGCAGTGCCAGCACCCTCATTGTCCGCCGGGGTGAGCGCAGGCGGGTGGGGCCAGCCGCCTGGCGCTGACCCTGCTGGTCCTGGTCGTGACCCCTGACCTCTGCTTCACCCCCAGAGCACGAAAGCCCCCTCGCGGTCCCAGGGCTGCAGGTGGTGGCGTCGGACCTGACTCGCGTGAGGGTGGCCTGGGGGCCCGTGCCCGGGGCCAGCGGCTATCGGATCAGCTGGAGGACGGACAGTGGTCCGTGGAGGGCGGGCGGCCGAGGGGAGCGCAGGCTGCGGGGCCGCGGGGCCGCGGGAGCCAGCCCACACCTCCCTCTGACCCAGGCCCCGAGGCCAGCCGGACGCTGCCCCCGGAATCCACGGGCACGGACATCACGGGGCTGCGGCCCGGCACCTCCTACCACGTGTCCGTGCGGGCCCTGCGGGGCCGAGAGGAGGGCCCCGCCGCCGTCACCGCCGCCCGCACCGGTCAGACCCCCGCCTGCCCGGGGCCCCCGGACTCTGCCTCCTCCGCTCCGCCTGCGCCTTCTCCGTCCCCGGCCCCTGGCTGCCCCCTGCCCCGTGGGCACCTCCTCCCTCCCGTCTCGGCCGCCGCCACCTGCCCTCAGCTCCCACTGTCCTGCAGGATCAGATCCCCCTTCTACCCTCATCGGACCCGTTCCCTGGCCCCCCTCTGACACCTGCCTTCTATCGACCCCCGACACTCCCCCATCAGACCCCGTCTGCCCCCCAGCGGACGCCCCTGCCTCCCCCATCAGACCCCGTCTGCCCCCAGCGGACGCCCCTGCCTCCCCCATCAGACCCCGTCTGCCCCCAGCGGACGCCCCTGCCTCCCCATCAGACCCCGTCTGCCCCCCAGCGGACGCCCCTGCCTCTCCCATCAGACCCCGTCTGCCCCCCAGCGGACGCCCCTGCCTCTCCCATCAGACCCCGTCTGCCCCCCAGCGGACGCCCCTGCCTCCCCCATCAGACCCCGTCTGCCCCCCAGCGGACGCCCCTGCCTCTCCGCAGACCCCCTGGACCCGGTGAAGAACGTCCGTGTGACCGAAGCCACCAGCTCCGCGGCCACCATCGTCTGGAGCAGGGTTCCTGGCGCCACGGGATACGGGGTCTCCTGGCGCGCAGGCTACGGTGGGGCGGGGCCTGGGGGGACGGGAGGGTGGGGGCTGGAGGGGCAGGACCGGGACAGGGAGGCCGGGGTTCGTAGGGTCTGGCTAGCCCTGGAGCTGCCCCTCCCGCCCCAGGCCCGGAGCAGTCCCGGCAGGTGTCGGGGGAGGCCGCGACGGCCCGGCTGGACGGGCTGGAGCCAGACACAGAGTACACGGTGCGCGTGTGGGCCCACGTGGCCGGTGTGGACGGGCCCCCCTCGTCGCTGGCCGTGAGGACCGGTGAGCGGACCCCGCCGGCCGCCCGTCGCCTCTGACGGGCCCCGCCCTGCCGTGCGGTCCTGGCCGCTCCGGCCGACCCTGCGCCCCTCAGTGCCTTCTCCCCACGCTCCGCCCCACGCCGACCGCGCGTCCACCCCAGGGCCCTCCGGGGCTCCCGCTGCCCGCTCACAGGCTCCCTGCACTGACCTCTGACCTCTGGGCCTTGGCCAGCCTGCCCTGCCGGCCACTCCGTGGCCCCTGACCCCTTATCCCTCCTCCCCCCCAGACCCCGCGCCCGTGGGCAGTGTGTCCAAGCTGCAGATCCTCACTGCGTCCAGCGACGTCCTGCGGGTCACCTGGGTGGGCGTCCCTGGAGCCACAGCCTACAGAGTGGCCTGGGGCCGGAGCGAGGGTCCGTCTGCCCCAACCTGACCCCTGCCCTACCCTGACCCCAGCCCCAGCCTGACCTCTGGCTGCCCTGACCCCTGCCCTACCCTGACCCCTGGCTGCCCTGACCTCTGCTCTACCCTGACCCCAGCCCCGCCCTGACCCCTGTCTGCCCTGACCCCTGGCTGCCCAGACCCCTGCCCTACCCTGACCCCTGGCTGCCCTGACCTCTGCTCTACCCTGACCCCAGCCCCGCCCTGACCCCTGGCTGCCCTGACCTCTGCTCTACCCTGACCCCAGCCCCGCCCTGACCCCTGGCTGCCCTGACCTCTGCTCTACCCTGACCCCAGCCCCGCCCTGACCCCTGGCTGCCCTGACCTCTGCTCTACCCTGACCCCAGCCCCGCCCTGACCCCTGGCTGCCCTGACCCTGGCTGCCCTGACCCCTGGCTGCCTGACCCCAGACCCAACCTGACCCCTGGCTGCCCTGACCCAGGCCTGGCCTGACCCCGCCCTGACCCCACCCTGACCCCGGCTCCCCCTGTCCTCCGTGGCACCCCTGACGGCCGCCCCTGGCCCCCGCCCCCGCCTCGCCCTCCCCTCAGGTGGCCCCACGAGTCAGCAGATGCTCCCCGGAAGCACGGACTCCGCAGAGATTCGCGACCTCGAGGGCGGAGTCAGCTACGCGGTGCGGGTGACCGCGCTGGTCGGGGACCGCGAGGGCGCCCCGGTCTCCATCCTCGTCACCACGCGTAGGCCCGCCATTGGGAGAGGGCCGCGGGGGCGGGGCCGCGGGGGCGGGGCGACGCCTGGGATAGGCAGAGGGGCCGTCTGGGGGCGGGGCGTGCTCCGCGGCCGGCCTGGGATTGGCGCAGGGGCCGCGGGGGCGGGCCTCCTGATTCCCGCGCTTTCCTGCAGCGCCCGCCCTGCAGCCCGCCGTGGAGGGCCTGCGCGTGGTGCGGAGAGGCCAGCACTCGCTGGGCCTGCGCTGGCGGCCGGCGCCCGGGGCGCACGGCTTCCGGCTGCGCTGGCGGCCCGAGGGTGAGCGGTGCGCCGGGCGGGGCGGGGCGGGCGGGGGCAGCAGAGGGGGAGACGGGCGGAGGGGACCTCGTGGTGAGGAGGCGGGCGAGGTGCCGGCAGGAGGGTGAGGCCCGTTACCCGCGCTGTGACGCGCCGCCCTCCGCGCCCGCCCAGGCGGCCAGGACCAGTCTCGGGTCCTGGGGGCCGAGCTGAGCAGCTATGAACTGGACGGGCTGGAGCCCGGGACCCCGTACCGCGTGTGGCTGAGCGTCCTGGGGCCCTCGGGGGAAGGGCCCCCCACGGAGGTGACGGCGCACACGGGTGAGCCCAGGGCCGTCCTTCCCGGTGCTCCCTTCCCCGCGTGGCCTGCTTGTCTGCACCCTGTGAGCTCGAGTGACTTCCCGCAGCCCCGGCCCTCCTGGCGCTGGGTGACCCCGCACGACCTCCCTGTCGCCGCCTGCGCTGGCGGAGCCTGCCTGGCCCCTCAGGCCCGGCCCCGGGTGCTCCGAGCACAGACTGAGCCGCCCGCTGCCCCGCAGAGCCACTGCGGGTCCAGGGCCCGGAGCTGCGCGTGGTGGGCACGTCCGTGGACTCGGTGACTCTGGCCTGGAGCCCCGTGCCCGGAGCATCCAGCTTCATCCTGTCCTGGCAGCCGCTGGAGGGCCGAGGTGAGGGGGCCGGGGCCTGGGGGCGGCGGGGAGCCCCGGGGACCGGTGCTGAGCCGAGGGCGTCCCCTGCAGAGCTGCCCGGGGCCTCAGAGACGCTGCCCGGCACCTTGAGCTCCCAGCGGGTGACGGGCCTGGCGCCCGGCGTGTCCTACGTCTTCTCCCTGAGCGCCGTCCAGGAGGGCGCCCGGGGCGCTCCGGCCACCGTCACACACAGCCCAGGTAGGCGGCCCGGGGCGGGGCCTGGGGGGAGGGAGCGGCCTCCTCAGTAACACCCCCCCCCCCCCCCGCAGCATGTCCCCGGGGCCTGATGGACCTGGTGCTCCTGGTGCACGCCACGCGGGACAGCGCCCACCGCGCCGCGGCCGTGAAGGCGGCCCTGGGGCGTCTGGTGTCGGCACTGGGGCCTCTCGGGCCACAGGCGGTCCAGGTTTGGCCCCGGAGGCAGCAGCCAGACCCCTGCCTGCTTGTCCTGCTGCCCGCCGCCCCCCCCCCCCTCCCCGGGCTCTGCACCAGCTCCCCGCTCCCCCCGCCCTGTCCAGAGGTCCTCCCAGCCCCAGGCCCCAGGCCTCAGACTGCCCCCTGCTCGGCTCCCCCTCCTGCCATCACTGCGGCCCCTCCTGCTTCAGGTTGAGTCTGCCCCTCGAGCTCCGGGTCCCCCATCCCCGCCCGTCAGTCACCCCTCCAGGCTCTGTGTCCCCTCCCCCAGGTGGGCCTTCTGACCTACAGCTACCAGGCCTTCCCCCTGTTCCCGCTGAACAGCTCCCACGACCTCAGCGTCGTCCTGCAGAAGATCCGAGACATCCCCTACGGGGACCCCAGCGGGAACAACCTGGGTACGGCTGCGGCGGACGGGGTGCAGAGTGCCCCCTGCCGGGAGCGCGGCGCCCTGGGCTCTGATACGGCCTTCCCCCAGGCACAGCCGTGGCCTCTGCCCAGAGGTACTTGTTGGCACCAGAAGCTCCCGGCCGCCGCCGGCAGGCGCCAGGGGTGATGGTGCTGCTGGTGGACGAGCCCTTGAGAGGTGACATCTCCAGCCCCATCCGGGAGGCCCAGGCGGCTGGTGAGCAGCGGGCTGCTAGGGAGGGCGCCTGGCGGGGGCGGGGCGGGCCCCGGGTGCCATCGGGCTGTGCCCCCTCCGTAGGGCTCCAGGTGATGGCCTTGGGCCTGGCAGGGGCGGGGGGCGGGGCGGGCCCCGGGGGCCATCGGGCTGTGCCCCCTCCGTAGGGCTCCAGGTGATGGCCTTGGGCCTGGCGGGGGGCGGGGGGCGGGGGGCAAGCCTAGGGGTGCCATGCGGCTGTGCCCCCTCCATAGGGCTCCAGGTGATGGCCTTGGGCCTGGCAGGGGCGGGGGGCGGGGCGGGCCCCGGGGACCATCGGGCTGTGCCCCCTCCGTAGGGCTCCAGGTGATGGCCCTGGGCCTGGCGGGGGCCGACCTGGAGCAGCTGCGGCGCTTGGCGCCGAGCACGGGCCCCATGCAGACCTTCTTCGCCGCGGACGACGGGCCCGCCCTGGACAGGGCGGTCAGCGGTCTGGCAGCTGCCCTGTGCCAGGCGGCCTCTACGGCGCAGGTTCGGAAGGGCCTCGGGTGGGGACTGGGGGGCCGGGGCGTGGAGAAGAGGGGATCTGGCTGGTCCCGGTAGCACTGCCTGGCCTTGAGGAGACCCTGTGTCCGCCCGCAGCCACAGCCCTGCTCGGTGCTCTGTCCGAAGGTCAGTGTCCGGGGCGGAGGGGGGGCGAGGGCTGTGCCTGTCGCCGGCCACGCTGACCCTTGTCCGACGTGTCTTTCCCCAGGGCCAGAAGGGGGAAGCCGGAGAGATGGTGAGCAGCCTGTGGGGAGCGTGGCTGGGGGCAGGGGCAGGGAGGCAGGCAGCCTGGTCTCACTGGCCACCCTTTCTAGGGTCCGAGAGGACGAGACGGGCCCCCAGGCCCTCCTGGCCTCACGGTGAGTGTGTGTCCCCCCATCCCCCGTGCGGGTGCCCTGTGCCCTGCTGGCCGCCGGCTCACTGCTCTCTCCTGCAGGGCAGGGCCGGCGCTCCTGGCCCCCAGGGGCCCCCAGGGCGTGCCCACGAGAAGGGCGAGAGGGTGAGTGTGGCCCCCCCCCCCCCGAACTCCCCTGTGCCCTGGGGAGAGGGACGGAGAGCGGGCAGTTAGAACCATGGTGCCCTGGGAGCCGGGCTGCAATCCATCGGCCCTGCTGTGCAGTTATGGCGGGACTGGGGAGGAGTCTGAAGCAGGGGGTGGGGAGAGCCATGGGTGGAAGTTCTAAGCAAGACCCACTGCCCTGGGCCCGCCGCTCGCTGGCTCAGCTAGCCCAGAGGGTGTCCCCTCTCCCGGCCTCACCACAGCAGTCCCACAGCACTCACCCTAAAGAGCAGTCAGGGTGCCCCAGGGCCCCGAGGGAGGGACCCCCGCCCTGACCTCTCTGCCTCCTTAGGGCTCCCCTGGGGCGGATGGGGCTCCTGGCAGCCCTGGCCGCCCAGGCACTCCTGGACCGCCTGGCCCCAAGGTGAGTGAGCCTTGCCCGCGCGCAGGGCACGTGGCGGGGCACATAGGGGTGGGGCAGGGTGGGGCACATAGGGGTGGGGGCACGGGGTGGGCCACAGGGCTGGGATGCCCTGACTCTGGCCTCCTTTCCAGGGCTCCCCAGGGGCATCCGGCCCTCGTGGATATCCGGTGAGCCGTGGTCCCTCCCTGCTCGCTCAGCATCTTCCCGGCCCTTTGGGCAGCGCGGGGACCAGGGCCAGGGCTGGGGGTGGGGGGCCGTGGGGGCCCACCGGGGACTCCCCTGAGATCAAGCATCACCCTTTGCCCGCTTTGTCCTCAGGGAGAGCAAGGACCTCGAGGCCCAAAGGGGGAGCCGGTAAGTGAAGGGGAGGAGGCAGGCTCTAAGGCACCCTAAGGACTAGCGGGGGCACCTCCAGGGGCTCCCCCTCCCCCCGCAAGGCTCCTGTGCCCAGAATTGCACCCAGGATCCTGCCGCTCTCTGTCCCTGCAGGGAGAGCCCGGCCGGGTGACGGGGGGAGATGGGCCAGGCCTTCCGGGCCCTCCGGTGAGTTCTCCAGACCTCCGGTGTGAGGGCAGCGAGATGAGGGGGGGTGCCCACAGGAGGCAGCGGGTGGGTCTGGGGTGCTTTACACGCTGTCTCCTCCATCAGGGCCCTCCCGGATCTCCGGGCCTGCCGGGGGACCCAGGACTCCGGGGTCTCCCTGGAACAGCTGTGAAGGTGACAGCATGATCCCCATGGGCTGTGACCCAGCGACCTGGTGACGCCCTTTGAACCCGCTGGGTCGTTCTGTGCCCGGTGAACCCTTGACACCCCCTCCCCCCCATGGGTCCTCAGTTGCCCGTGACCTTCGTCAGTCATCCCGGGGCGCCCGTGACCCTCCTTTCTCCTGTGTGCTGGGGCGTGGGGGGGTGGCCCAGGGTCACGAGGTCCACCACTTGTCTTCCAGGGTGACAAAGGCGACCGTGGGGAGCGGGTAAGCGAGGGGCCAGGCGGGCCGGGGTGGCTCGGAGCCTGGGTCCCCGTGACCGTCCCCTGACCTGCTGTTCCCGCCAGGGCCCCCCTGGACCCGGCGAGGGCGGCGCTGCGGCCGGGGACCCCGGGCTACCAGTAAGGCTGGGCCGGGCCCGGGTGGGCGGAGGGGCTGGGGCGCCGCTGGGGCAGGGCGGGTGCCGGGCCTCAGGTCTGGGGCCTCACATTTCTGATCCCTTCTCCCAGGGCCTTCCTGGGAGCCCCGGACCCCAGGGCCCCGCAGGCGCCCCTGGGGAGAAAGGACAGAAGGTAGGACCCTGATCTCGGGGTGCCCGGCCAGGGCAGGGCCTGGGCGCCGGGAGCAGCTCGTCCACCCCCCGTTTCTCCTTCAGGGGGACTGTGAGGACGGAGCCCCAGGCCTCCCAGGACCACCTGGGCTCCCGGTGAGTTGGGAGCACGGCCCCAGCCCCGACCCTCAGCCCTCAGCCCCTGCGCCGTCCTCTGCCCCAGCCTCACCCTCTGAACCTTCCAGGGCCTGCAGGGACCGCCCGGAGACGCCGGCCCCCGAGTGAGTGCATTTTAGACCCTCGGGGACCCCCATAGGAGGGGGGTGTCAGGGTCGTGGGCTCAGAGTCAAAGTGGGCGGCGTTGGACCATCAAGGCCCCTCTCCTGTCTGTCCTCAGGGTGACCGGGGGCTGCCAGGGGCTGTGGGTGAGACTGGAGAGAAGGTAAGTCAGCCCGGGGCCCTCAGGGCCCGGGGACGGGGGGGGGGTACGAAGGGGGGGGTATATGGGGCCAGACTCCGCTCTGACCCATTCTGTTCCGTCAGGGCCAACGTGGACCCCCTGGCCCAATCGGACCCCAGGTGAGCCCCTGTTAGTGCCCAGTGACCCGGGCTCTGGCCCCTCCTGGTCTGACTTCCCACCCTTGAGCCTCTGCCCTGCCCCCTGACACCCCTCACGTGCTGGGGGAGGGACTGGCCTCAGCCCCAGGGATCTGCTTAGCTCTGACCTTGACTTCCAGCGAGCGACTTGGCTGAGTTTGACCACAGCAGACCCCTCAGCCCCTCTCCCCCTCCAGCCCTGGTTTGCCATTTGCCACAACTGCCCGTCCCCAGCCCGACCAGCATCTCTCCCCCTCTTCCCCAGGGGCTGCCGGGAGTCGCCGGGCACCCGGGCGCCGAGGGCCCTGAGGTGAGGGGGACGGTGGTGGGAGCAGTGGGGGCCTCCCGGCCCCTCCTCCCCGGGCTCACGCTGTCTCCACGCTCAGGGCCCACCCGGACCCGCCGGCCGCCGCGGAGAGAAGGTGGGTCGTGGCTGGCAGCTTGTCCCACCCCGACCCCGTAGCAGGGACTGGGCAGCGAGACACGGGGGCCTTGGGTTTCTCGGGCGGTCTGTCCCATCTCTGCCTCTGTCCCTTCTCCGCAGGGAGAGCCAGGCCGCCCGGGGGACCCTGCCTTGGTGAGTGAGGGGGGCTTGAGCAGGGGAGCCCCTGGAGCAGGAGACGGACCTGCCAGCCAGGGACCCCGGGACCCCGGGGAGGTGCAGGCTGAGGCTGACACTCCTGCTATGAAGTGCCTCCGCCCTTGGCTGGGACCCTGGGACCCCGTGTCCCCGTGACCGCCATGCTGGTCATGAACTCCCAGCAGTGACTCTGAGCTCGGGCATATGAGCTCCGGGGGCCCGGCCAGGACCCCGCCCCACACAAGGCCGTGGTTCTGTGGGGCCCGGCCAGCAAGCTGTCTGTCCTGTTTGTTTGCAGGGACCTGATGGCGGGGGAGTCAAAGGAGAGAAGGTGAGGCTGGGGAAAGCGAGGGAGGCTGTCACAGGGCAGAGTTCAAGGTCACAGGGAGGCCGGGAGGCTGTGGCGTGATTGCTGGTGGTCTCTGTCCCTCCAGGGAGAAGCGGGGCCCAGAGGAGCTGTGGGAGCCAAGGGGGAGCCGGTGAGTGAGGGCGTGTGGGGAGGAGGGGGATGGGGGGTGAAGGCTCCAAACCCCGACTTCTCATTCTCCCACCCCCAGGGCCCTCCCGGCCTCACTCTTCCTGGAGACCCAGGCCCCAAGGGCGACCCTGGGAGCCGGGTGAGTCCTGTGGGGGAGGGGCCAGTGGGTGGGGGAGGGGCCAGGGATGGAGGTGTCTGGGAGACCAGCTGAGTCCTGTGGGCCCCCCCACCCCCGTGTCCCGCAGGGCCCCATCGGCCTCACCGGCAGAGCTGGACCCCCGGTGAGTGCCTGTGACCTGGGTGAGGCCGGGGCGTGGGGTTGCCTCCTCTGGGGCCGGCCCTGCACGCAGCCCCATTCTTGCCCCTTCCCAGGGCGACTCAGGGGCTCCTGGAGAGAAGGGCGACCCTGGGCGGCCTGGCCCCCCAGGACCTGTCGGCCCCCGAGGAAGAGACGTAAGGGGGCCGTGGGGTGTCCCAGGATGGGGAGTCCGGGATGGGGGGTCTGGGATGGGGGGTCTGGGATGGGGAGTCCGGGAGGGGGACTCCGGGATGGGGTGTCCGGGATGGGGGGGGTCCCAGGATGGGGGGTCCGGGATGGGGGGTCCGGGATGGGGGGAAGGGGGTCTGGGATGGGGAGTCTGGGATGGGGGGATGGGGAGTCCGGGATGGGGGGTCCAGGATGGGGAATCCGGGAGGGGGAGTCGGGGATGGGGAGTCCGGGATGGGGAGTCCAGGATGGGGGGATGGGGTGTCCCAGGATGGGGTGTCCCAGGATGGGGTGTCTGGGATGAGGTGTCCGGGATGGGGGGTCCAGGATGGGGAGTCCGGGAGGGGGAGTCGGGGATGGGGTGTCTGGGATGGGGGGTCCGGGATGGGGGGTCCGGGATGGGGGGTCTGGGATGGGGGGATGGGGAGTCCGGGATGGGGGGTCCAGGATGGGGAATCCGGGAGGGGGAGTCGGGGATGGGGAGTCCGGGATGGGGAGTCCAGGATGGGGGGTCCGGGATGGGGGTCCCGGCGTGTCGGGGTCTTGGGACCCGGCTGACTCATGTCTCACAGGGCGAAGCTGGCGAGAAAGGCGACGAGGGCCCCCCGGTGAGACGCCCTGCCTGTGGAGTCTCCCCTTTACCCTGAATTGGGACCCCTGGGCTGGGACCTCCCCAAGGCATCTGTCCCCCCCTCCCCCCGACCTGCGGGTGTGCCCAGTGCCCAGGCCCCGAGCTGGTCAGCCTCACTCACCACCCCGTGGGCTTTCTCTCCCCCAGGGGGACCCGGGCTTGCCCGGAAAAGCTGGCGAGCGCGGCCTGCGGGTGAGGCGTGGCAGGAGGCGGGCAGAGGCGGCCGGTGAAGGGCGAGTGGCGGAACCACCGGGGGGAGAGGGGACCCTGCGGGCGGCGGGCGGTGACGGGAACCCTGGCTGGCTTTTGGGGTGACGGGGAACCTGGGACAGCAGAGGGGGCTGGGGGGCCCTGAGAAATGCCGGGAGGCTTGGCTCTGACCGCCGTCTTCCCCAGGGGCCACCGGGAGCTCGGGGGCCTGTGGGTGAGAAGGGAGACCAGGGAGATCCCGGAGAAGATGGACGGAACGTGAGTCCTCACCTCTGACCCCTGACCCCTGACCTCAACTTCCAGCCCCAGCCCATCCAGATCCCAAGCCCTGGTCCTGCCACCCCAACCCTGAAATGCTGCCCCCTCACAAGCCTCACTTCCTATGACCCCCTTGTCACGACCCTCAAAGGCTCCCGGGGCCCCCTGAGTCCTTGGGGTGCTCCCAAAGCTCCCTGAAACTGAACTGCTGCGTAAACTTGGCCTCTGACTCTGCAGGGCAGCCCTGGACCCTCTGGGCCCAAAGGGGACCGCGGGGAGCCGGTGAGTCCTGGGTGTTCTGGGCCTGGGGAGGGGCGGGTTTGGGGGGTGGTGCTGGAGGTTTCTAGTCTCCATCTGGTCAGTGGAGGCCACACAGGGGGCTGGAGGTCAAGCTGGAGAGCTGAGGGTCCCTCTAGGCCTGCCTGGCCCTCTGGGTTGGCACTGGCTGGCTGCGGAGCAGACCTGAGCCAGGCCTGGGGCTCCGGGCTCCAGGATGACCGTGATTTCCTCTCTAGGGCCCCCCAGGACCCCCGGGACAGCTGGTAAGGGTTGAGCTAGGTCTGGTCCTCTGTGGCCCCTCTCCTACCCCAGTTGGCCCCTCGCTGTGTCCCCTCCTCCCTCCACTGACGCCCCCGCCCCAGTGCCCTCGGTACCTTCACTGACCTGCAGCCCTCCGCGGCCCCCTCTGCCCGCCCGCCGCTTTTCCGCTTGAACCCCTTCCTGTCGTTCCCGCGCAGGTGGACTCGGGGCCTGGAGCCAGAGAGAAGGTACCGGGTCTGTGGGTGGCGTGAGGCGGGGCTTGGGGCCTCCCGGGACCCCCGCCTCTCTGCCCGTGGCTCAGGCTGTGCCGCCCACGTCCGTCTCTGCCGCAGGGAGAGCCCGGCGACCGGGGACAGGAAGGACCTCCGGGACCCAAGGGCGACGCTGGGCCCCCCGGATCCCCCGGGGAGAGGGTGAGTGGGGCTGGCCGGGGGTGGGGGGGGAGGGCCTGGGAAGCCGGCGCTGACTTCTCCTTGCCTGGTCCTCAGGGCGTTGCCGGACTGCGGGGGGCCCCGGGCCCACAGGTGAGTGATGTGTTGGATCCCGTACAATTTCTAAAATAATTGTGTCGACTTCAGAGAGGAAGGGAGAGGGAGAGAGAGAAGCATCTGTGACGAGAGGGAATCGTGGGTCGGCTGCCTCCTACACGCCCCCCACTGGGCATCAAGTGGGCAGCCCCGGCCTATGCCCCGAGGGGGGATCGCACCAGCGACCTCGGGGTTCTGGGATGATGTCCAGCCCCTGAGCCACGCCGGCCGGGCCCTGCGCCCCCGTGGCTCTCCCCATCACTGACCTGTTCCCGCCAGGGGGACCCAGGTGCTCGCGGCCTCGCAGGAGACAAGGTGAGAGGAGGCGGAGGTGCTGGCTGTGGCTGGGCTCCGCCCGGGAGGCCTCTTACCGCTCGGTTCTCCCCAGGGCGACCGGGGCCCCCCTGGCCTGGATGGCCGCAACGGGCTGGATGGGAAGCCAGGAGCCACTGGGCCCCCTGGGCTGCACGTGAGTCATGGGGGTCCCTGCTCGCCCCGCGCCCCTATGAGTGGCCCGGCCTCGCGGGGTCTTCTTGGCATGGATGTGCTCCGGGCGGGCCATGTGCGCCTCCTAGGGCCTGCGGGGGGGGGGGGGGGCGTGCTCTACCCTGCAGGCCGTGGGCCCATAGTGACCACTGTGGGCTCCCTGACCGTGGTCTCTCCTCAGGGTGCTCCGGGCAAAGCTGGGGACCCGGGGAGAGACGTAAGTAAGGGGAGGCGTCAGCGGGGGGCGGGGTTCAGCCATCACCAGTGTCCGTCTGGGGGGAAGGAGGTGGTCGCATCCTGTCCTGGGGGGGCGGGGTCCAGTCCTGGCAGGTGTTAGCCTAGCCCCACCTTCTGGCCTCTGCCCTGGGGTCCCTTTGCATGGGTGTCTGCCTCAGGGATCTCAGTGGCACTCCCAGCTCCGGGCTCTCAACACTGGAGGAGCATCTCTTTAAAAATATGAGTTTATTGATTCGGAGAGGAAGGGAGAGGAGAGAGAAACCTCCATGATGAGAGAGAATCGTGAACCAGCTGCCTCCTGCACAGCCCCCCACTGGGCATGTGCCCTTGGCTGGGAATCAAACCATGACCTCCTGGTCACAGGTCAGCGCTCCATCACTGAGGTCACAGGTCACACTCAGCCCCTGCCAGGCTGGAGGAGATCCTAACGGGGTCTTCCCAGCCCGTGGGCGCCAGGGATTCTGTGTCCCCTCCGTCCTACAAAGGCTTTTTCCAGGGGCTTCCGGGCCTCCGAGGAGACCAGGGACCTCCCGGCCCTGCCGGCCCCCCTGGAGCGCCGGTGAGTCTTGGTTTCCGGGTGTCCTCTGCCCCCCCGACCGCCCGCACCCCAGCTCTGACCTCCGGCCAATGGTCTCTTCCTGCAGGGAAAGCCGGGCGAGGATGGCAGGCCGGGCCTGAACGGGAAAAACGTGAGTGTCCAGGCGACGGCGAACCTGCCGAGGAGCACACGCACACAGCCCGGGTGCAAACGAAGTGCACATGCAGACCACCTGCATACACACACACACGGGACACACAGACCACCTGCACACGCGCACACACACACGGTACACAGGTGGGGGTGCAGACACAGAGGCACACACAGACCACCTGTACACACACACACACACACACACACACACACACACACGGGACACGCAGACCACCTACATCACACACACACACACACACACACACACACACGAAATGCAGGCCACCTGCACATGCACACACGGGACACGCAGACCCATGCACAAGCACACGTGCTGATACACAGAGACCCAGGATATGTGTAGGAAGCCAGAGACAGGAGCACGTGTGTTGTAACGGTGAAGCCAGCAGACCTGCACAGGCCCCAGGCCACAGCCACAGGCCAAGCTCCGGACCACGGGGGGTGGGAGCCGTGGCACAGAGGGCCGCTGCCAGCTGCCCAGAGGGTCAGACGCTGGGAATGTCTGGCTGAGTTGTCCTCCGTCTGCAGGGAGAAGCGGGGGACCCCGGAGAAGACGGGAGGAAGGTAAGGCCCGCCCCTGGGCTTCGCTCGGCTCGGAGCCGGCCCGTGGCTGCAGCGCCCTGTCTTCCTTCCACAGGGGGAGAAGGGAGACTCAGGCGCCCCCGGGAGAGAAGTGAGTGCGAGTCTTCCGCAACCCCTGACCCTGACCCTGGCCCTGGGATCCCACTCCCGTCTCTGGGACCTCAGGGCTGATGCCGGCTGCCTCCTCCCCAGGGTCACGAGGGCCCCAAGGGCGACCGCGGAGCTGCTGGCAGCCCCGGCCTCCCCGGCGCCCCGGGCCTCCCCGGGCAGGTGGGCCCGCCCGGCCAGGTGAGTCAGGGCCAGCGAGGACGTGGGCGCAGCCGCGGCCACGGGGTCTCCGCCAGACCGCCCCCTCCCGGGCGCCCGGCCCCGTGTGACCCCGAGTTCTCACCTCTCAGGGTTTCCCTGGCGTCCCAGGCAGCCAGGGCCCCAAGGTGAGCCGCACGTGCTGGGCGGGAGGGGGTGAGGGCTGCCGGGCTGGCCATCCCACCTGATGGTCCTTCGTGCTCAGGGTGACCGGGGGGACACCGGATCCAAAGGCGAGCAGGTGAGGCCCCCCTTCCCGCCCGGTAGCCACAGGCCCCACATGTGCACACATGCCCCCACATGTGTGAACACGCCTCCCCACGCGACCCATGCGCTCCCACGCGGCCCAGCAGCCTGTCTCTGCCCCAGGGCCTCCCGGGAGAGCGCGGCCTGAGAGGAGAGCCAGGGAGTGGGCCGGTGAGTGGCGGGGCCTCCCTGTCGCCCCTGCGCGAGGTCCCACACGGTCTGTCCGCTTGCTCGGCCCGTCCTGCTGGGATTGCTGTAGCCCCCCTACCCCCTCCTGACCCCCCGTCATCCCCCGGAACCTGGGGCCACGCTGGGCGGGCTTCCAGGGTCCTGCACCCTCCACGGGGCTGAGTCCCTGTGAAAGGCCGGGGCGGGCATGGAGGGGGGGGCATGGAGGCCGGGGGGGGGCATGGAGGCCGGGGGGGTGGGGCGGGCATGGAGGCCGTCCCGGGCACGAAGGGAGGGCCAGGGCTGTCCCCTGCCGGCAGCCCCTCACCAGCTGTGTTTCCAGAACGTGGAGCGGCTGCTGGAAAACATTGGGATCAAGGTAGGTGGTTTGGGGTCTGGGGGGTGCAATGGGCTAAGTACGCCCACGGGGCGGCCGTCCGGCTGCAGCCACGCCCTGCCCTCTGCTCCCTGTCAGACCTCAGCCCTGCGGGACATGGTGGAGGCCTGGCAGGGGGGCGCCAGCGGCATCCTGCCCGGGCCTGAGAGGCGAGGCCCCAAAGGAGACCCTGGCGAGCCGGGCCCCGCGGGCAAGCAGGTGCGTGCGGGCTGCCCGGGGGAGGGGGGGGTGGTGCAGGGCCGCACGGCCACCGGCACTCACGCCTCTCTCCGCCAGGGCCCCATCGGCTTCTCCGGAGACCGCGGGCCCAAGGGAGACCGTGGAGACCCCGGCCCTCAGGGGCCGCCCGGCCTGGCCCTCGGGGAGAGGGGCGCCCCGGGCCCTCCCGGCCTGGCCGGGGAGCCTGGGAAGCCGGGCATTCCCGGGCTCCCGGGCTCGGCTGGGGCTGCGGGGGAGGCAGGAAGGCCAGGAGAACGGGTGAGCCTGGGGTGCCGGGAGCCAGGGAAGGGGGGAGGGAGCCAGACTCCCCACAAACACACCCGCCCCACCATGTGCACTTCAGGGAGAACGGGGAGAGAAAGGCGAACACGGAGAGCAGGTGAGCTGGGGGGCCTCAGGGGGAGAGGGGGCCCCCAAGAGGCCTCGCGGGGCAGCCACCCACTCTCTCTCTCTCCCCTGCAGGGCAGAGCCGGCCCCCCGGGCCTCCCCGGACCCCCCGGACCGCCCGGCGACAAGGTGACCGCCCACTCTGCCCTCGGCCTGCGGCTGCTGCCGCTCAGAAGCCGCCCTTGTGGAGGCCCAGCAACTCCACGTGGTGTCTCTGACCCGTGACCTCTGGCCCCTCCATGCCCCCGTGACAGACCACCCTTCCTCTGACCTTGTGCTTGCAGGTGGACGTGGACAAGCCAGGTCCTGGGCCCTCTGGGGAACAAGGACCCCCCGGACCCAAGGGCGCAAAGGTGGGTGTGTGGGGTCAGCCGGGGACCCGCCTCCTGCCGGGCGCCAGGGCCTGGCCTGACGTGTGTCCTCACAGGGGGAGCCAGGCAGTGACGGCGACCGGGGCCCCAAAGGAGACAGGGTGAGCCCTTCCCTCCCCTCCCCTTTTCCCCTCCCCTTCTCCCTCCTCTGTGGGCCTGCTGGGCGAGGGAGGGGCACCTGGCAGGGCAGTGACAGCTCCTCCTCTGCAGGGGGCGCCAGGCATCAAGGGCGAGCAGGGGGAGCCTGGACAGAGGGGCCTGGGCGGCCTGCCGGTGAGTCCTGACAGCACCAGCGTCTGCAGCGCCTGGGACCCTCGGGGGGACTGGGGGGGGGGACAGCGCGGCCTGAACCCCCTCTCTGCAGGGTCTGCCGGGAGAGCGTGGTGTGGCCGGGCCCGAAGGGAAGCCGGTGAGTGGAGGCAGGAAGCCGGTGCTGCTGGGCACCCGCTCCCGGGCTCGGGATGGGGGGCGGGGGGTGTCTGTGCCCGGGTGTGGGTGTGGGTGTGGGTGTGGGTGCGGATGCAGGGTATGTGTGTGGGGGGTCGTGGGTGCACGTATGTGCTGTCTGTGCGGAGCAGCCCGTGGGCAGGGTGACCTGTGCTGGGGTGGAGGCCGATCGAGGCTCAGCAGCCCCTTCTCTCTCCAGGGACTGCAAGGCCCCAGGGGGGGCCCTGGCCCAGCAGTGAGTACCCAGAATCCCCTTCCCCACCCCTCCTGCCCAGCCCCACAGCGGGCAGCCGGCCTCACCGACCCTCTCTTCACCAGGGTGGCCACGGAGACCCCGGACCGCCAGGGGCCCCGGTGAGTGACAGGCGGCTCTGCCCTGTGGGGGCAGGACAGGGCAGGCCCCTGGAGAAGCAGACCTTGTCTGTTCATCCCTGAGCCCAGGTGGGTGGCTCTGACCCCTGGCCCCTGACCCCTGACCCCTGCCCTTGTCACCTCTCTCCAGGGTCTCGCTGGCCCCGCGGGACCGCAGGGACCGTCCGGGCTGAAGGTGAGGGAGGCGTGGGGGTGTGGTGGGAGGAGGGGTGTGGTGGGAGGAGGGGTGTGGTGGGAGGAGGGGGCGGGCCGCCTGCACCCCTGGCCACCGCGTGTGTGGGGAGGGGTGCCTGTCCGCTCACGCCCTGTCTTCGCAGGGGGAGCCAGGAGAGACGGGCCCGCCCGGACGGGTGAGTGGCCAGGCCCTGGCCGGAGTCACGGGGAGGGGCGGGGGGCGGCGGGGAGGGGGCAGTCGCGCGCTGACTTCTCTCCCCCAGGGCCTGGCTGGACCTCCTGGACCCGTGGGCCTCCCCGGGCCACCCGGCGCCTCCGGCCTGGTGGTGAGTGAGCCCCGCTCGGTCCCCGTCCCTGCCCGCGCGCCCATCCCCTCACACACTTCTCTCCCGCAGGGCCCACAGGGGCCGCCGGGGCTGCCGGGACAAGTGGTGAGTCCGAGGTCGGGGGGTGGGTGGCTCCCGTCCGTCGGTCGGTCCGGGAGGCTGGGGCGGCCCTGACAGCGCCCTTCCTCCAGGGGGAGACGGGGAAGCCGGGAGCCCCCGGGCGTGACGGAGCCGGCGGCAAAGACGGAGACCGAGGAGCCCCGGGCGTGCCGGTGCGTCCTGGGGGGCTCCCTGCATGCCTGCCCGGCTCCCAGGGGAGGGGGGGAGGGGGGAGGGGGAGGGGAAGAGGAGGGGGGAGGAGGGAGAAAAGAGGAGGGAGGAGAGGATGAGGATGAGGGGGAGGGGGAGGAGGGTATGAGGGGGAGGAGGGAGAGGAGGAGAAGGGAGGAGGGGAAGATGAGGACGAGGGGAGGAGGGGGAGGCACTGAGCTCCTCACTGTTCTGCCACAGGGGTCGCCAGGCCTGCCCGGCCCTGTCGGGCCTAAAGGAGAACCTGGACCCATGGGGACCCCCGGACAGGTGACCTTGGACCCCCAGCTTGGTTGGCAGGGCCGCCCGGGGCAGAGTGGGGGCTGCGGCAGGAGGTGTGGGAGCTCACTGGCCTTCCCCGCAGGCTGTGGCCGGGCCCCCTGGCGCGAAGGGGGAGAAGGTGAGTGTGGGGGTGCCCGGGACGTGGGGCGCGGGGCGGGCCCGATCCCTGCTGAGTCCTCTCCCTGCAGGGAGCCCCCGGAGGCCTTGCCCGCGACCTGGTGGGAGAGCCGGTGAGTATGGCGCCGCCTGCCCGCCCACAGCCCCGTGCCCTCTGACCCGGCGCCCCAGCAGGCCCACCTTTGACCTGCACCTCCTGCTGCCCCGCAGGGAGCCAAGGGGGACCGTGGACTGCCTGGGCCGCGAGGAGAGAAGGTGAGGCCTGGCCGGGCTGCGCCCTGGGCGGGGAGGGGGGGCCAGACCCTCACCCCGTTTCTGCGCAGGGAGAAGCCGGCCGCGCGGGGGAGCCCGGAGACCCCGGGGAAGATGTGAGTCGGCCCCGGCGCCTGCCCGGGGGCGGGGAGGGGTGCCATCGCACATGGGCCCGGGTCTGCCTGGGCTGAGCCCACGCCCAGGCACGGCGTGTTCACTCCAGACCGCACGTCCCGGCAGCCGTCTCCCCCTGACCGCCCCGGGCTCGGACGGCAGAGCGTGGCCCTCCCCACCCGGCGGTGCTTCCTGTGCCCGGCGGTGTCTGTGGACTGACATGTCCGAGCTCCACACATCACGCTCACGTCCGTGGCCCCACGTGTCTGTGGTCACCGGAGCGCCCCCTGTCTGTGCCCCCGGAGTCCCTGATCCCCTCTGAGCCCCCGCCAGCCAGTCCATGTCACACGCCTGCGTCCCCGGTGCCTGTGTCACATGCCTGCGTGCCCGGTGCCCGTGTCACGCCTACGGCCCCGTGCCCACGGTCACACGCCTGTGTCCCGGTGCCCACGGCCCCATCTGCCCTCGGCTCCTGGGACCCCTCGCACATGCCCCCTCAGCTGCCTCCTTGCCTTTTCAGGGCTTCAAAGGAGCCCCGGGACTCAAGGGCCAGAAGGTAGGTGCGCCCTGAAGTGTCCCTGCGGGGCCGCACCCTGAGCCGCCCTGCCTAACCGTCCCCTTTCCCTCGAAGGGTGACCCAGGAGTCGGGGCGCAGGGCCCCCCGGGGCCAGGCGGTCCTCCGGGTGCGAAGGTGAGCCGCCGCCCCGCCCGGGGGGGAGGAGGTGGGGGGGGCCGGGCAGGAGGGGGCCGGGCGGGGCCGGGACCGCCCCTCCCGTGCTCTCCGTGTCCAGGGGGACGTGGGCGCCTCGGGACCGCCCGGCGCTCCTGGCATCGTGGGCTTCCCCGGCCAGACGGGCCCTCGGGGAGAGGCGGGCCAGCCGGGCCCCGGCGGAGAGCGGGTAAGGGGCTGGGGTGGGCGGGAGGGGCGGCAGGAGGGGCGGCCCGGCCTGCAGCCGGGGAGGGGGGGAGGGAGGGGGGAGGGAGGGAGAAGGGAGGGGGGCCCCCAGTCACCTGGCTCCTCACTCGCTCTCCCGTAGGGCCTGGCCGGTGCCCCGGGCAGAGAGGGGGCCCCCGGTCCCTCGGGGCCTCCGGGACCACCAGGGCCAGCGGTGAGTGAGGTGCCCACCCGTGTCCGTCCTGAGGACGCCTGTCCGCACGGGAGCCTGGGGGGGGGGGTGCTGCACCACGCTGGGGGGGGGCTGGGGGCTGAGGGTGCCTCTGAGGGGCCCTGACCCTCACCTCCCTCTGTCCACAGGGAGCACCCGGGGCCTCCGGACTCAAAGGAGACAAGGTAGGCAGGACAGTGTGCTGGCTCCCCTGACCCCGTCACCCCACCCCACTGACCCCATCACCCCCCACCCAATGACCCCCCCACTCCACTGACCCCTCCACCCACTGACCCCTCCACCCCACTGACCCCCACCCCATTTACCCATCACTCTCCACCCACTGACCCCGTCACCCCCCACCCACTGACCTACCATGGCCCCCTGCCTGCCCCCCGCCCCCCGATTCCGGGCTCTGACCCTGGTGCCGTCTGACCCGTAGGGGGACCCTGGAGCGGGGCTGCCCGGGGCACGTGGAGAGCGTGGGGAGCCGGGCCTCCGGGTACGTACCTGCCCGCGGCCGCGCCACTGGACGCGCCATCCAGGACCCCTTACAGCTCCTCTCTGTACCCCCACGTCTGTACCCCCACGTCTGTACCCCCTCGTCTGACTCTGAACCCACCGTCACCATCCAGGGTGAAGACGGCCACCCCGGCCAGGAGGGACCCCGAGGCCCTGCGGTGGGTCCCGGAAGGCGGGGGGCGGAGGGGGGGACACACACACCCTGTGCCCTGGGGACTCGGGCCCCGCCCCCTCCTCCCTCTGCCCCGGCTCCTCTCTGGGCCTTTGTCCCCGCATTTCCCCGGGCACCCCCGACCCCCCCACCATGACCTGTGTCCCCCCGGTCCCCCAGCTCACAGGCTTCTCTCTCCCAGGGCCCCCCAGGCAGCCGGGGGGAGCGCGGGGAGAAGGTAAGGACTTGGGGAAGCTGGGGTGCATGCCTGGAGGTGGGGTGGCCCTGTAAGTCGGCTGGGGACCCCTCGGCTGGGGAGACTCACACGCTTACCCCCACAGGGCGACCCTGGAGCCGCGGGGCTGAAGGGTGACCGGGTGAGTGTGGGCCCGGGTGGGGGGTGCAGGGGGGGACTCGGGGCTCCTGGCGCCTCTGACCGTCCGGTCCACACAGGGCGACGCGGCTGTGGTGCTGGGGCCGCCGGGGCCGCGGGGCGCCAAGGGGGACGCGGTGAGTGGCTGCCCCACGTGCAGGCCGGCCTCCCTGGGGGGCGGGGCCAGGAGATCCGAGGGTGAGAGACCCCCAGCCCCTGACTCTGGCCCTGACCCCGGACCCTGACCCTGATCCAGGGTGAGCGAGGGCTGCGAGGTGCAGATGGTGAGAAAGGACCTCGGGGAGACACCGGGCTTCCTGGCGAGAAGGTATGGGGAGGAGGGCTCCCTGGGGTCAGGGTTTCGGGAGGCGGGGAGGGAGGGGGTGATAAATGGGAGGGGGAGGGGAGGCGGGGAGGGAGGGGGTGATAAATGGGAGGGGGAGGGGAGGCGGGGAGGGAGGGGTGGTGAATGGGAGGGGGAGGGGAGGGGGGAGGGGGGAAGGAAGGGGTGGTAAATGGGAGGGGGAGGGGAGGCGGGGAGGGAGGGGGTAGTGAATGGGAGGGGGAGGGGAGGCGGAGAGGGGGGAGGGGAGGCGGGGAGGGGGCAGGGGAGGCGGGGAGGGAGGGAGGGGGTGGTAAATGGGAGGGGGAGGGGAGGCGGGGAGGGAGGGGGTGGTAAATGGGAGGGGCAGGGGAGGCGACTTTCTGGGCCTCAGAGGGGGGTCGGTGGCCTCAGTGGAGGTCATGGGGGTGCGGCTCTGGGAACAGGAAAAGGCTTCTTGGGGTCCGGGCCCCCCAGGTGGTAGGAGGGTGGGGCACAGCCACGCCAGGGCGGGCAGCGGGGCAGCAGGGGCAGTTTCCGTCGCCGCTCCGCCTGCGGTGTGACCGCCGTGTGAGTGTGTGAGTGTGTGTGTGTGTGTGTGTGTGTCCGCAGGGCAGCAGCGGGGAGCCGGGGGACAGGGGCGCCGCCGGGCCGCCCGGAGCTCGCGGACCTGCAGGACCTCAGGCAAGGCTCCCCACACCGGCCACACGCGCACACGCACGCACACACATACACGCACACGCATACACACGCATACACACATGCGCACGCATGCCGCACGCATGCCGCACACGCACGCACACATACACACATGCACACGCCGCACACACGCACACGCGCGTGCTTACACGCACGCACAGGCACACGCATGGGGCCCGGGGGGGCGGGGGAGAGGGGTTGTGGCTCCCTCCCTCCAGCGGGGCCCACAGGGTCGGGTGCAGCTGGGCACTGACCGGCCCCCTGCTTCTGGGGCGGGAGGCCGCGTGGGGGGCAGTCCACTCAGGGCCACCTCCTCCTGTTTCCCCAGGGGGGGCCCGGTGCCGCGGGGATCCCTGGAGACCCGGTAAGGCGCGTCCCCCTCTCCTCCCGCTCTCCTCCCCCCTCATTAACCCTCCACATACCCCCCCCTTCACGTGGCGACCTTTGACTCCATGGTGTCATCGAGTTGCCCGTGGCCCCACCTTCACAGTGACCCTGTCCCCCGGAATGCCCTGCCCCCCAAGGCTGCCTCCCCCTCACTGTTCTGTTCGGACGGGCCCCTCTGACCCTTCCTGACCCCGGCCTTGTGTTGCCCTCTCCCCAGGGTCCCCCGGGAAGGGACGGAGCCCCCGGCCTCCGTGGAGAGAAAGGCGAGATGGGCTTTGTGGGTCCCCGCGGCCTCAAGGTGGGAAGGGACCGGGTGCTTTCCTGGCCGGGAGGGCGTGGTGTCGGGGTGAGGGTCGGAGGTCGGGGTCAGAGGTTGCGGTGTCCGGGTTGGCCGTGGGGATGGTGGTCAGGGCTGGCTGGGCGAGGCCGGTTGGGAAGTGGCTTCGGGGCTCGGGGGCAGAGGGGGGCAGCCAGGGTCCCCCACACCTGCCAGGGCCCCCCACACCGGCTCTCCCCGCAGGGCGAGCGCGGGCTGAAGGGCGCCTGTGGCCTGGACGGCGAGAAGGGCGACAAGGTGAGGTGAGCGGGCGGGGCGGCCGCCGGGCGAGGCCTCAGCTGACCCCCCTGTCCCCGCAGGGCGAGGCGGGGCCCCCGGGCCGACACGGGCTGGCCGGACACAAGGGCGACCAGGGGGAGCCGGGGGAGCCGGGCCAGGCAGGGGCCCCTGGCAAGGAGGGCCTGGTCGGCCCCAAGGTACAGCCTCTCCCCCGCGGGCCGGGTGCCGGAGGGGCAGGGAGCCGGCGGGTCGGGGTGTCGGGGTGTCAGGAGAAGGAGCTGTGGGGCTGGGACACTAGCTGTCTTGGGGTTTCGGGTGGGGCAGGTCACGTGGGTTTTAGGGTGGGGGCTTGGAGGGCTGAGAGTTGGGGGGGCGGGGTCAGAGGGTCAGAGTGCAGGTTACCATGGGGGCGGGTCCTGGGGCACATGGCTGCGGGGTCCAGGCTCAGAGGGTCTCTGGTGCTTGGGCTCCGTGAGGTGTGGCCATGGGGAGGCCAAGACAGAGGGTCCCTCACACTTCCTTTCATTGCCAGGGCGACCGGGGCTTTGACGGGCAGACGGGGCCCAGGGGTGACCAGGGCGAGAAAGGGGAGCGGGTAAGTGGAGGCCAAGGTGGAGTGATCCGGGGGCTGGGGGTCTGGTGCTCTCCTCAGGGGCTCTGAGCACTGACCCTGACCTGTTTCTCCCCAGGGCCCCCCAGGAATTGGGGGTCTCCCAGGGCCCCGGGGCAGTGATGGTGCCAGTGGCCCCCCCGGGCCTCCGGGCAGTGTGGGGCCCAAAGGCTCGGAAGGACTCCAGGGCCAGAAGGTGAGGGGCCCGGACTCTCCCAGTCTCACTGACCTGGGATCCTAACCTCTGACCCTATGATCCCCACAGGCCCTACTTCCCGCCCCAAGTCTCTGACCCTGCTCCCTCGGCCTTTGTGTCCGACAGGGTGAGCGAGGGCCCCGTGGAGAGGGCGTGGTGGGGGCCCCCGGCGCCCCTGGGGCCCCCGGAGAGAGGGGGGAACAGGTGAGTGGGATTCCTAGGCTTGGGGTCAGGGTGGGTGACCTCTGGCATCCCTGAGCTCAGGTCACAGCTGGTCCCCCGTTGCACGTAGGGGCGGCCTGGACCTGCCGGCCCCCGAGGCGAGAAGGGACAAGCTGCGCTGACCGTGAGTGTGCCGGGTGGGCTGGGCCTGCCCCCGGACAAACCCTGACCCCTAACCCGGCCGGCCCGGGCTCCGGCCTGACTGTCCCTCGCGCTCCTGCCCTGTGCCCTTGGTCCGTCCCTGATCCTCGTGGCCGCGCCCAGGAGGACGACATCCGGGGCTTCGTGCGCCAGGAGCTGAGCCAGCACTGCGGTGAGCGGGGCGCCCCCATACTGCCCCCCCAGGCCCGCGGTGCCGGGTCAGGATGGTGGGCTGGGAGGGACGCGGGACTTCCCCGGGGGCCAGGAGGAGCGGACGATGGGCTGTGGTCCCTGAGGCCCATGTGGCGTGTGCAGGGCGGGGGGGGGGGGGAGGGCACCGAGCGGGCCCCTGGGCCTGACATGGGGCGGGAGGGGCCTCTGGCCCCGAGGGCATCTGCCCCCCCCCCCCGCCCCTCTGTCTCACGTCGGTCCGTGTCCTCCTGCCCTTTGCTCACTCTGTTCCCAACTTCTCTCCATCCCTCCTCGTCCTCCTCGGCCTCTGTGCTCTGTCCCCCTGTGCTCTCCGTCCTCCCTCTGTACCCCCCCTGTGCTCTCCGTCCTCCCTGTGTGCCCCCCCCCCCCCGTGCCGCTTCCCTGCTCCCTCTCATTGTGTGTGTCCCCCCTCCCCCCGCAGCCTGTCAGGGCCAGTTCCTCGCGTCTGGATCCCGTGAGTAGTTTCCTGGTATTTTCTGCCCCAGAACTTCCCTCCCCCAGGCCTCTTGCCCATCACCTGGCCCTCAGCAGGGGCAGGGCTGGGTGGCCGCAGTGGTGACCTGGCCTGTCTCCCCTCCCTGCACAGGGCCCAGCACCCTCTCCCTGCTCAGGGACCTGCCCCCTCTCTCTGCTCAGGGCCCTGCCCCCTCTCTCTGCTCAGGCCCTGCACCCTCTACCTGCTCAGGGCCCTGCACCCTCTCTCTGCTCAGGGCCCTGCCCCCTCTCTCTGCTCAGGGCCCTGCCCCCTCTCTCTGCTCAGGGCCCCTGCCTAGTTACGCGGACGCCAGCGGCCGCCAGCGCCTCCCGGTGCTGCAGGTCTCCCACGCGGAGGAGGAAGGTGAGGGCTGCGCACCGTGGGCGTGGCAGGCGGGGCACGGCACAGCAGGGCACACGCGTGCACATGCGCACACACGTGGGAGGCGTGGGCTGGGGCTGGCCCGCAGCGGCCCCACAGCCCCCCCTTCCCCCCGCAGACCGAGTGCCCCCCGAGGACGATGAGTACGAGGATGAGTACCCCGGGGAGGACGCCCCGGACCCCCCGGCCCCCTGGGACGGCGACGGCGGTGAGAGCGGGGCAGGCGCAGAGGGTTCGGGGGCAGGCTCCCTCTCGGCTGCCCCACCCCCGCCGCTGACCTCCTGGCGCCCTGGACCCCAGACCCCTGCTGGCTCCCGCTGGACGAGGGCTCCTGCTCCGCCTACACGCTGCGCTGGTACCACCGGGCCGCGGCGGGGGGCGCCCGGGCCTGCCACCCCTTCGTCTACGGCGGCTGCGGAGGGAACGCCAACCGCTTTGCCACCCGAGAGGCCTGTGAGCGCCGCTGCCTGCCCCGCGGGGCCCCGAGCCTGGGAGCAGGTGCGCCGCCCGCCCCGGCCGTCACAGCCCGCCCCGCGACCGGGACAGGCCCGCCGAGTTCTAGAGAGAGCTCGCCGTGGGGTCCCCACCAGCCCCTCCCTACACCCCCCATTGGATAAGGACCCCTCTCCGAGGTCAGGCCCCCACCCTTCCCTGGGCTCCCTCCCCCAGTGCCGCTGGGCCCACAAGGGTGAGGGTGAGGGTGAGGGGGTGGGTGAGGGTGAAGGTGAGGGTGAGGGGGTGGGTGAGGGGAGGGTGAGGGTGAGGGGGTGGGTGAGGGTGAGGGTGAGGGTGAGGGGGTGGGTGAGGGGAGGGTGAGGGTGAGGGGGTGGGTGAGGGTGAAGGTGAGGGTGAGGGGGTGGGTGAGGGTGAAGGTGAGGGTGAGGGGGTGGGTGAGGGTGAAGGTGAGGGTGAGGGGGTGGGTGAGGGGAGGGTGAGGGTGAGGGGGTGGGTGAGGGTGAGGGTGAGGGGGTGGGTGAGGGTGAGGGTGAGGGTGAGGGGGTGGGTGAGGGGAGGGTGAGGGTGAGGGGGTGGGTGAGGGTGAGGGTGAGGGTGAGGGGGTGGGTGAGGGGAGGGTGAGGGTGAGGGGGTGGGTGAGGGTGAGGGTGTGGGGGAGGGTGAAGGGGTGGGTGAGGGAGAAGGGGAGGGGTGAGGGAGAGGGGGAGGGGTGAGGGTGAGGGGGTGGGTGAGGGAGAGGGGGAGGGTGAGGGGGTGGGTGAGGGAGAGGGTGAGGGTGAGGGGGTGGGTGAGGGTGAGGGGGTGGGTGAGGGTGAGGGGGTGGGTGAGGGAGAGGGTGAGGGTGAGGGAGAGGGGGAGGGCTGAGGGTAAGGGTGAGGGGGAGGGAGAGGGGGAGGGGTGAGGGTGAGGGTGAGGGGGTGGGTCAGGGAGAGGGGGAGGGGTGAGGGTGAGGGGGTGGGTGAGGGTGAGGGTGAGGGTGTGGGTGAGGGGGTGGGTGAGGGAGAGGGAGAGGGTAAGGGGGTGGGAGAGGGTGAGGGAGAGGGTGAGGGTGAGGGTGAGGGAGAGGGAGAGGGTGAGGGGGTGGGTGAGGGAGAGGGTGAGGGTGAGGGTGAGGGTGAGGGGGTGGGTGAGGGAGAGGGGGTGGGTGAGGGTGAGGGGTTGGGTGAGGGTGAGGGAGAGGGTGAGGGTGAGGGGTGGGTGAGGGTGAGGGAGAGGGTGAGGGTGAGGGGGTGGGTGAGGGTGAGGGGGTGGGTGAGGGAGAGGGTGAGGGTGAGGGTGAGGGAGAGGGTGAGGGTGAGGGGGTGGGTGAGGGAGAGGGGGTGGGTGAGGGTGAGGGGTTGGGTGAGGGTGAGGGAGAGGGTGAGGGTGAGGGGGTGGGTGAGGGTGAGGGGGTGGGTGAGGGAGAGGGTGAGGGTGAGGGTGAGGGGGTGGGTGAGGGTGAGGGGGTGGGTGAGGGAGAGGGTGAGGGTGAGGGTGAGGGGGTGGGTGAGGGAGAGGGTGAGGGTGAGGGGGTGGGTGAGGGGTGAGGGTGAGGGTGAGGGGGTGGGTGAGGGGGAGGGCTGAGGGGGAGGGGGAGGGGGTGGGTGAGGGTGAGAGGGAGGGGGAGGGAGAGGGTGAGGGTGAGGGAGAGGGGGAGGGGTGAGGGTGAGGGTGAGGGAGAGGGTGAGGGTGAGGGGGGTGTGGGTGAGGTGAGGGGGTTGGTGAGGGTGAGGGAGAGGGTGAGGGAGGGGGGGAGGGGGAGGGGGAGGGTGAGGGGGAGGGGGAGGGTGTGGGTGAGGGTGAGGGTGAGGGGGTGGGTGAGGGTGAGGGAGAGGGTGAGGGAGGGGTGAGGGTGAGGGGAGGGGGAGGGGGAGGGGGAGGGTGAGGGGAGGGGTGAGGGTGAGGGAGAGGGTGAGGGAGGGGGGAGGGGGAGGGTGAGGGGGTGGGGGAGGGGGAGGGGGAGGGTGTGGGTGAGGGGGAGGGTGAGGGGGTGGGTGAGGGTGAGGGTGAGGGTGAGGGGGTGGGTGAGGGTGAGGGTGAGGGTGAGGGAGAGGGTGAGGGAGGGGTGAGGGTGAGGTGAGGGTGAGGGTGAGGGAGAGGGTGAGGGAGGGGGGGGGGAGGGGGAGGGGGAGGGTGAGGGGGTGGGTGAGGGTGAGGGTGAGGGTGAGGGTGAGGGTGAGGGTGAGGGTGTGGGTGAGGGTGAGGGAGAGGGTGAGGGAGAGGGTGAGGGTGAGGGTGAGGGTGAGGGTGAGGGGGTGGGTGAGGGGGTGGGTGAGGGAGAGGGGGTGGGTGAGGGTGAGGGGTTGGGTGAGGGTGAGGGAGAGGGTGAGGGAGAGGGTGAGGGTGAGGGTGAGGGTGAGGGAGGGGGGGAGGGGGAGGGGGAGGGTGAGGGTGTGGGTGAGGGTGAGGGTGAGGGTGAGGGGGTTGGTGAGGGAGAGGGAGAGGGGGAGGGGGTGGGTGAGGGAGGGGTGAGGGTGAGGTGAGGGTGAGGGTGCGTCTAAAGACAGGACCCCCCTTCTCCCCAGGTGCTCTCCAGCACTGAGCCCGATGGGGCTGAAGTTCGGCGACCTGGAGCGGGTCTTCCTGGTGCTAGCGGCTCGTGTGCAGAGCGTACACGTGTCCGCCCGTCCGTCCGTCCGTCTGCCCATTCGCTGTCTCGGTGACTGGCCCCGTGGGCCTGGCCGTCCCCGTGGACAGGCCCCCTTTGTGGCGCCGGCCGATGGCTCCGTGTGGGGTGGCCGTGGGCAGGAGCGGCTGTGACTCCGCCGCCCGCCCCTCGCCCGGCTGGTGACATGGTGCTGATGGGGCATTAAAGCTGCTGCTGTGAAAGGCCCCTGTGTGGCTGGCTGCTGGGGGGTCAGGGCTGCCTGCCTGGCCCGGAGCCCCTCTGCGGCCCGGTCACTGTCCTGTGACCCTCAGTCCCCAACGTGTCCCCCGAAGGAACAGCTGGGGGTCTGTCCTCACTGCCCCCGGGAGGGGGTGAGTCACAGCGGGGGCTGCCTGTGCCAGCATCCGTACCCCAGTTCCCGCTCCCCCCGCCCCGAGCTGAGGGAGATAAATGGCCCCGAGGGGCAGAGGGTGAGCCAGCCCTCGGCAGCCCCGGAGCCTGGCCTTCCCGGAGGAGGCTGCTGCTCCTGGTAGGATGGGCGGGTGGTCGGACGGGCGGGCAGGGCCTGGGGTTGAGTGGACCTGGGGGGTGGGTGAGTGGAGGTCTCTGGACCTGAGGAGGCTCGGGGTCCCTGGCTGCTGCTCCCCAAGGACCCGTCCCCACCCCTCGCCCTGGACCTACTGTGGTGTCGCGCTCAGACCGAGGCCGCCTGGCCCTGCCCTCCGGGTCTGTCTCCGCTGCCGTGCCTTCCGGGGTCTGCCTGCGCCTGGGTCTTCTCCAGCTGCCTCTGCCGCTCTGCCTCCCCCTCTCCTCCTGTCACATCTCCTCCTCCCGCCCCCCGTCTCTCTCTCTCCCCCTTCGTATACATGTGTGTACTGGACACTCGCCATCTCTGGGCTTCTCTCTTTTTTAAGGTTGTTTTTTTTTTTTTTTTTTGAAATATTTTTATTGATTTCAGAGAGGAAAGGAAAGGTAGAGAGAGAAAGAAATGAAAGAAAATCATTGGTTGGCCACCTCTTGCACACCCCACACCGGGGATCGAGCCCACAACCCGGGCGTGTGACCCAGACTGGGAATCAAACCGTGACCTCTGGCTCGTAGGTGGACGCTCAGCCCCTGAGCCACGCCGTCCGGACCCCGGGCCAATTTCTCTGCCTCTTTACGTCGCTCACTCTCTGCCTCACCCTCTGTCTCTGGCCCCTTCTCTCTGTCTCCCTGGCTCTCACTGTGTCTCTCTGTCCCTGGCCTGGCCTCAGCCTCTGTCTCAGGGTCTGGGTCCCCCCTCTCTCTGTCTCTGTCCCGACCACAGCCGACCCGGCCTCTGCCCTGAGCCTCTTCTCTCCTCACAGCCTGACTCTGCAATGCCCGGGTGGGCGACGGCGCTGATGGTCCTGGCGTTGGGCGGGGTCCTGCTGGCCTCAGCCACCCCTGTCCCGGCCCCGCAGCTCCTCGCTCAGCACTCCCCCCCGGCCCCCCGCCCTGCGGCCTCGGAGAGCGCCCCAGCCAGCCCCGCGGGGAGCCAGCCCGGCCCCCTCCCCGGCCCCCACATCACCCTCTCGCTGGATGTGCCCCTGGGACTCCAGCAGATCCTCCTGGCCCAGGCCCGGGCCCGAGCCCTGCGGGAGCAGGCGGCCGCCAACGCCCGCATCCTGGCCCAGGTGGGGCGCCGCTGAGCGGGGGGAGGGTCGCTGCGGAGCCGGACAGCACGCCTGGGCCTGGACATCTGACTCGCCACGTGGGGTCGCCGCCACGTGGGGCCACGTCACACCTGCGCGCCTCGGTCCTGTGGCCCGGACAGCTCGGACACGGCCGTGGGAGGTCACTGCACGTGCCAGCTTGTTACGTGTGGGTGCCCCACGGTCACGGAGCCCCCGGACACCACCCTGTGGTCACCACCGCTGCACCTGAGACCGCCCGCCGAGACCAGCTGCCAGGGCCCGCCCCTGCCCGCAGGAGCCCAGAGCACACGCCTCCCTGAGCCCGTTTCCTCGGCTGCCCTCGTCCCCCCCCCAAACCGTGAAGCCACCGAGCTCCGGTGCCCCCGTGTGTCGGGGGAGGGAGGGCTCTGCCTGCAGCAGCGCTCCGTGACTGACGGGGAGGACGGCCAGAGGCACCCCCACACTGACGGTGTGGGGACCAGGCAGGGGCACGGAGGCTGTCACCGCGGCTCTGCTGCCTGCCCACTCAGGCTGCCCACACCGGCCCTCGGTGTGCAAGGAGGAGGCTTCCCTTGTTTCACACTCTAAAAAACATGCTTTTTATTGGTTCAGGGAGAGAGAGAGAGAGAATCAATGATGGGCAGAACCATCGATCGGCTGCCTCCTGCACACCCCCAATGGGGATGGAGCCCACAACCCGGGCCTGTGCCCTGACCGGGAATCAAACCACGACGGGCCTGTGCCCTGACCGGGAATCAAACCACGACCTCCTGGTTCCTAGGTCGATGCTCAGCCATGGAGCTACACTGGTGGGGCTTATCTCACTTTCCTGTCTCCATTGCTGGGCCCAGAGGCCTGGCCGGGTGCTGTGGACGGGCGGGTGCTGTGGACGGGCGGCTGGGGGCGGGCAGACAGTTCCCGCTGCAGACAGGGCAGAGCGGGCGCACGGACAGCTCTGGCGGAAAGAGGCAGCCCTGGCGGACCGGCGTGGGGCCGCCTGGAGTGGGGGCCCTGGTGTTGATCCGGTGCAGGCGGCCTGGGGGCGGGGCTGCAGGGGCGGGGCCCCAGGGCACACCCCCTCTCCAGAGCCCGAGGGCGGGGTTGCTGGACTCCCCGCTGCTGGGGGTGGAACCCGGGCCAGTTGGGCTGCAGCATGGACAGAGGCTCGGAAGGAGGCAGCTCGCTGATGGACCCCGGGCCAAGGAGCAGCAGGCGGGGTAGGCACAGGTGGCCTGGAGGGGGTGGGGGTCAGGGACGGTCCGGGTGCGGCGGGGGTGGTGCTGGAAGGAGGGTGAGGCTGGTGGGGGTCTCGGCGGGTACAGGGCTGCTCTGAGGGGCACGGCCGGCTGTGGTCAGGAAGAGGGGAACACGGTCGCCTCGCGGGGAGAGGGAGCGGGCCCAGGGAGAGCTATAAATAGCGCTTTCCTTTGGCGGGGGGAGGGACCGCCAGCTGGAGCTGCTCGGGCCTCCTGCTGGGCCCTGCGCTGGCCTCCTAGGGGTCACGCTGTCCAGGTCCCCCTGAGGGGTCAGACCGGTTTGGGGAGGTCCTGAGGCTCCTTTGGGATGTTTTTCACAGGATGTGGCTTGAGCCCGTAAACCAGCATTTTTAGGACACCTACTGCGGGCCTGTGGCCTCCTGAGTTGACGAAGCACCTATTGTGTGCTCTGCCCTGCTCATGCGCCTCTCGGGGTCCTGTCCGGGATCCTGGCTGCTCCTAAGTCACTCTGAGTACCTACTGCGTGCCAGGCTGGGATCAGCAAGTGCAGGCCAGGGTTCCTGGCTCCCCGGCCACGTGACCCCGTGTCTCCCAGTGGCCTCACGCCCTGTGCAGGCTCTGGACCCGGGAGGCCCCGGGGATGCTCCTTGGCCGGAAGTGGCCGGAGGAAGCCGGGACTCCTGGGAGCTCTCCGAACCTCCAGGGGCAGCCGAGGGAGAGGAGGAGAGGCGTGAAGGCGGAGGGAGGCAGCAGAGAGCAGGGCCTGGGCGTGGGCTTGTCCGTGTGGGTGCACCTGCAGCCGTGTGCACACGTGTGCATTCACCCACTGACGTGTGGGTCTGCGTGGTATTCACCGGGGTCCCCGGCCTTCCCGCTGCGAAGGCTGGCCTGGTGGTCGGCCAGGGCCGGTCAGCAGTCAGGATGGGAGAGTTTGAGTACTGAGGCCGCCCCACAGCCCGTGGCCTGGGACACTGCGAGGTCCAGTGGACAGTGCAGCAGGTGCCCCAGGAGGCAACCAGGGCCGGGGGGCTCAGTGGGGAGACTGAAAGGACACGCTCACACACTGACATCGGCGCACGCCCCCCCCCCCCGGCCGGGACAGCTGGCTCGCTTTGGCATGGCCGAGGGGGCACAGCCAGGAGGGCACCCGCTGGCCTGAGGGTGAGGAGCAGAGAGCGCAGGTGTGGCCGTGGGAGTGGCTGCGAGGAGGGGGGCCTCTGAGGGCTGCAGGGGGCCCTGGCCTTGGGGAGGGGCCCGGCCTCTCCTGCATTGCTCTGTGGCCCCTGCCTGCTGTAGGGCCCTGGGCGGAGAGGTGGGGGTCAGCCCGGGGTCAGACTGTGTGGGGAAGAGTGGGAGGTGGCGAGCTATTGCATTTCCTAGGAAGCCAGGCCCATGCTCTCGGGATGTGGAGGTGGCTGCCCAGACATGGCCCTGGCCTCCCGCCCTGCCCTGGCTGCCCTTTCCCCCAAGCCTTTGATTGACAGCCCATGGGTGGGGGGCAGGCCTGGGGGGTGCTGGGTGTCATGTCCGCGGAGGCAGCCTTTGCAGTGAGAGCTGGTGCTGGACAGCGTGTGGGCCTAGGGTGACCGAGGCTCTGACTTTGGCCTTGGGATGACCTTGGCCGTGGCCGGGGGACAGGGAGGAGGCTGGCTGTGGCAGGAACGGATGAGTGGCTAAGAGCAGTAGGAAGCTGCGGGGAAGTCACAAGGGGCGTCCTGCTCCCAGGAGCCACCCACACCCACGGGTGTGCTCAGAGCTGCCAGGCATGAGGTGGAGGCAGCTGGGCGGGCACAGCAGGGGGAGGGGGAGGGGGAAGTGGCTGGATCTGTCGGAGGACACAGGAGACAGAGCATCCCAGGGGCGGGCGGCAGGAGCCAGTTTCAGGGCGGGCCCAGGTGGGCTCCCAGCAGGTGTATTTCTGGGAAGTGGGCAGGCCCCTGTACGGGCATCTTAAGGTCCTGGCCAGGCTCTGAAGGACTGGGTGGGAATTTGGGGAACTGATGCAAGGCAGGGGCGTGGCCAGGAGGGCAGAGGAGGGGTGCTGGGTGTACCGGCTGACCCCTGTTCACGCCCAGCACCTGGTTCGGGCCAGGCACCCTGGGGCAGAGTCTGTGGGGCCCTGTCCAGGGTGTGGTGGAGCCGCCGCTAGAGGGCAGTGTGAGGGGCTCCAGGACGCCAGGGCCCCGACTGGGAAGAGTCCACAGCATGCAGACAGGAGAGGCCAGGAGATCCTGAGCTTCCGCTTTCCACCCTGCCCCTCGCCTCCACTGCATTTGAGACAGGAGACAAGTCACATAATAAATGATAACATGAATGTGCCTGAGTGGATTTTTCAGACATTGACACATTTCATCTATGCCAGAATCTTGCAAGATTTTTTAAAAAATATTTTTTTCATTGATTTCAGAGAGGAAGGGAGAGGGAGATAGAACATCAGTGATGGGAGGGAATCATGGATCGGCTGCCTCCTGCACGCCCCACACTGGGGATCGAGCCCGCAACCTGAGCCCGTGTGCCAGGACCTTGTAAGATTGGTGACGCCCGGTCCATCCTCGGCGAATCCCCGGAGAGCGTGGGTACCAGCTCCCACTCACTTGCCCCAGGTGGGCCGGTGCTTCGCCCGAGCTCCCCAGCAGCTGAGGCGAAGAGAGAAACACGACCAATTCTGAACCGTGTCCTGGGTCCCTGTCCGCGATCAAGGGCCTTTCCCCGCTCCCGAGGGCCGTGCAAGGCGCTCCGTGGGCGGGTGCAGGGCGCTCCGGGTGGGAGGGGGGTGCAGGGCACGGCGGAGTTGACAGCCAAGACTTCAGGCCAGCCGAAACCGGTTTGGCTCAGTGGATAGAGCGGCGGACTGAAAGGTCCCGGGTTCGATTCCGGTCAAGGGCATGTACCTTGGTTGCGGGCATACCCCCAGTAGAAGGTGGGTAGGAGGCAGCTGATTGATGATTCTCATCGATGTTTCTAACTCTCTATCCCTCTTCCTCTCTGTTAAAAATCAATAAAATATATTACAAAAAAAAAGACGTCAGGCCAGTGACCAGTCACGCCTAGGCAGTCCGCCTGGTCCTGACCAATCAAGCCCCGCGGGTCCCGTAGGTCCCGCCTCATGGCATGGAAGCCCCGCCCTCCTGGTGCCCGAGGTCCCGCGTGGTGAGGAGCAGGACCCCCGGGCGAGGCCCAGGGAGAGGCCGGTACTAATCCGCGCGGGCGTGGTGCGGGGGTCCGGCCCGGGGGCCCGGTGCGCTGAGCATGCGCATCCAGGGTCCGGCAGGGAGGGCGGACGGCGCTGCGGAGTCCGAACCGAAGACCGGCGAGTTGCGCGTGCGTGCTCCGAGGCCACGCCCTCTCCACTTGGGGCGAGGTCTACGCGTCCTGGGCGGGGCCTCGGGTGGGACGTGCGTCGCTGCGGCTGGAAGAGGGGCGGGCTGAGGGCGGGGCCTTGGGTGGGACGTGCGTCGCCGCGGCTGGCAGAGGGGCGGGGCCTCGGGTGGGACGTGGGCGCCGCGGCTGGAAGAGGGGCGGGCAGAGGGCGGGGCCTGAGCGTCCTGGGCGGGGCCTCGGGTGGGACGTGCGGCGCCGCGGCTGGAAGAGGGGCGGGCTGAGGGCGGGGCCTCGGGTGGGACGTGGGCGCCGCGGCTGGAAGAGGGGCGGGCCGAGGGCGGGGCCTGAGCGGCCGGAGCTGCCGGCTGCCGGGGCGGGAGCCGCGCCTCCGTCCGCTCGGGCTCCGGGATGGCGTCCCCGCGGGAGCTGACGCAGAACCCCCTCAAGAAGATCTGGATGCCCTACAGCAACGGGCGGCCGGCCCTGCACGCCTGCCAGCGCCGCGGTGAGGGGCGGCGGGGGCGGGGCGGGGCCGGGCCGGGATGGATGGGGCGGCCCGGGCGCCCGTGGGGAGCCGCAGCAGGTGGGGCCGAGGCTGCCAGGCCGGTGGGCCGGGGCAGGACCGGGTGGTGGGCCGAGGGCAGGGGAGGCCGCGCCGGAGGAGGAGCCGGTCTGAGGGGAAGCCTCGGCTCCGGGGCCAGGTCTGGTCCCGGTCCCTCGCACCCGGGGTCCCCAGGGCTCAGGCCTCCTCTCTGCTGGGCCGGCCTGCAGGAGCTGCCTGGCCCTTCTGAGCCCGGCCTTCCTAAGGCCCCGAGGAGGAGGGCGGGGCCGGGGCCTATCGCCCACCTCTTCACCTCAGGGCGCGTTCGTGCAATTTCAGGAAGTGCGGTCTCACCGATAAGGGAGCGAGGGCACCGTGCCCTGTGGGCCTGCCTGCCAGTGTTGTGGGCAGAGGTGAACTTTGGGTGAAACGTCCGGGGGACTCGCTGAAAGACGGCCTCGTAAGGGGTTCAGCTTCCCTGGGTCTGGGGCGTTTCATCCGTGCCTCGACTGCCCACTTGTCCTAAAATGAATCTGCAACCTCTTTATTACAAAAAACACACACACACAAAAACAGAGAAATGGTCCTAGGAGTAACGGCCAGGACCTCAGAGAACAGCTAGTCCACCTCCTGGGGCAGAAATGGACATGGTGACCATGAGGCCGGGCTGTGTGCGGGGTCTCCCTGCCCCCCCCCTGCGTGGCCGTGACCGGGAGGGAGAGTGGGCTGTGCTGGGCCTGCATGGCGGCCAGCCGAGGGCCTCGGTGTGAGACCTGGGGAGGGGCTTGTGGGGCCCGTGGGTCCTGGCGGGGGGTGAGCCTGTGTCCTGCCTTCAGTCCCGGGCCCACGGCTCCCATTCCTGCTCCGGGGTCTGTGTGCAGCCGCTTCCGCTCCCGGAGGGGAGGCCCTGGACTTCGGAACAGGAGCCTCGGCTGCATCAGGGCGCAGCTGTGTGGCCCTGGGCAGGGACGGCTCCTCCGGGCCTGGCGTCCTCACCTGAGGACGGCACTGCTCCCCTGCCCCCGCGCTGCTGTGAGCTGGCCGCCCTGGGATTCCCCGCTGTCGCTCCGGCAGAGTCGGGGTGGGGAGGGGCCTGCAGCCTCGGGGAGGGGGCTGGCCCAGGTCTTTTGGCCACTCGGGTGGGTCTGTGTTTCTCAGGCTCCCAGGCTGCGGTTAACCCGGCTCTGGCCCAGCCGGCTGGCTCAGTGGCTGAGCGCCAACCTCTGAACCAGGAGGTCCCGGTTCAATTGCTGGATGGAGCCCACAACAGGCTAGACCCCTAGTGTGGGGTGTTCTGGAGGCAGCTGATCCATGATTCGCTCTCATCCTTGATGTCTAACCCTAACCCTAACCCTAACCCTAACCTTTCCTCTCTGAAATAAAAAATATATAATTTTTTTACAAAGAGGGACTCGGGGAGCTGGGCAGAGGGAACAGGACGCGTCTGGCGGCTTTTCTCAGGCAGAAGGTGGAGGACTGGTGGGTCTGCACGTGGCCGGTGGCCGGGCGAGGGAGAGTGGCCGTCGTCCCCTGTGGACAGACAGACCCGCTGCCTCGCTCTCAGGAGCTGTTCCTTCCGGCCCGCCCAGGGGCGCCCAGCCGTGCGGCTCACTGGGGCTGCCCGCCCCGGGGGCACCTCCAGAAGGTACCCCTGCCCAGCCTGCCCTGGCCTTTCTTTAACGGCAGCCTTTAACTTTGTCTCAACGTTCCTCCCCCGAGGGTGTTTCCCGGTGATTTTCAGAGAGTGGAAGGGAGAGGGAGAGACGGAGAGACATCCATGGGAGAGAAGCAAATCGATGGGCTGCCTCCTGACCAGGGCTGGGGCCGGTGGGGAGCCTGCAACCGAGGTATGTGCCCTTGATCGGAATCGAACCTGGGACCCTTCCTTTTGTCCCCAGGCCGATGCTCTGTGCACTGGGCCACACCGGCCGGGGTGAGGCCTCCCGGGACTTGAGCAAATTGTGCAGGAAAAGGAAGCTGAGTGGCTGTCTTCACGCTTCCTTCCCCACAAGCCTGTGTCCTAACCATGTGTCCTAACCGTGTGTCCTAACCGTGTGTCCTAACCGTGTGTCTGCTTCCTGGTGCTCAGCCAGAGGGTCCCCAAGGCCAGAGCGCCCAGCTCCCCGTCCACGAACTGTCCCACAGGCTGTGCCACGCGGTCAGCTGGGTCCCTGTTCTGCTGCCGGGAGCAGAGTGCCGTGACCACCCTGTACTTTGGTTCCCTCGCCGCTTCCTTGGGCTTATCTCGAGGAGCAGGTGATAGGTAACGTATTGCTCTGGCTCTCGCCCAGCCTGGACTGGCTGTCCTTCCGCGGGCTGTGCGGGCGGGGCTGCGGGGCACCGGGGTGGCCAGGGCATCCTGGGGAGATGGACGTGCAGGGGGCAGGTCCTGAGGCCGTGGAGGTCCCCCGCGGGCAGGGGGTGGGGGGAGGCCTCCTCCAAAGGAGCAGCCCCCTCCCCCCCCCCAGCGGCAGGCTGCCCGGCCCTGCGGGTGCTGAGAGCAGGGATTGTGCAAACAGCGGAGCGGCCTCGCTGGCCCCGGGACACACGCCTGGCCTGACCCGTTTCTCCCCTCGGCCAGCGGAGGCTCTGCAAGGCTCCGGGTGCCTGCCCGCCCGCCCCTGCGCCCCCTGGCTGTCTCGTTGGCCTGGCTCCGGCCCCTCTGGCCATCCGTTGTCGCAGGGCCTGCCTGGGGTCAGAGGGGCCTCGGCACCCCGACTCCCAAGGGCCTTGGTGCTGAGGTGCAGCTGTGTCCTCAGCGGGCGCTGCCGGGCCGGGCAGGGGGCACCGCTCCTGAGGGGCTCTCCCCTGGGGGTAGCGCTAGACCCTCCAGGTGGGGACGGTCAACCCGGGACCCGGCCGGCCGGCGTGGCTCAGGGGCTGAGCATCGACCTATGAACCAGGAGGTCAGGGTTCGATTCCCAGTCAGGGCAGATGCCCGGGATGCGGGCTGGATCTCCAGTAGGGGGCGTGCGGGAGGCAGCCGGTCCATGATTCTCTCATCAGTGGTGTTTCTCTCTCTCTCCTCCTCCCTTCTTCTCGGAAATCAGTAATAATATGTTCAATGAAAGTCATCGCCGACAGGACCCAGGCCTCTGCCCCCTGCCCCCAGGCAGGGCTGGCCCTGGCCACGGCGCTGCCGCCCACGGGCTGGAGGGCCCGGCAGGCCCGCCCGGCGGAGTCTGTCCCCGCGCTGCGCCCGGCCCAGCGCCTGGGCTCCGAGGGGCGGCTGAGCGTGAGCTGGGTCATGGGCGGCGGCGGTCTGTGGCTCGGTCTGCCCAGGGGCCGGGTGGGGCTGCGTCCCCCCAGCCTCCGCAGCTTCTCCGACGGGCACACGGGCGCGGGCTGTCCTGCGGGCGTCGCTGGGTCTCAGGTCTCGGCCTCTGGCAGCCTCTCCCCGTTGGGTTGAGAAGCTTCCCTCCTCCCTCACCGTGGGCACGGCTCCGTGCCGGGCGGCGGGCGGAGGGAGAGGCCTGAGCCGGAGGCTGAGCAGGAAGCGCTGGCCCCTGGGTGGCCGCAGGGCGCTGCGTCCCGCTGGTCCTGGCTCTCCCGGCCTCCCGTGCGCTCGCCGTCGTGGCTGCCGGGGCGGGGCGGTTCCGCTCGGCTCTGGATCTGGTGATGCCCAGCAGGCCGGGCTGGCGAGGTCCCCTGGGGCGGGTGGAGGGCGGAGCCGGCTTTCCCTGCCCTGAGGCGTAACGGTCAGACCGGAGAGTCAGCCAGGGAGGGTCCGAGTTAACTCAGTCCCACGCGTGCGGAGCCGCACCTGAGCGCTCAGAGGCCCGGAGGGCAGAGGGAGGGAGACGCCCGAGCCCCTCCGTCCCCCACGCAGGGCAGCAGAGGCGGCTGCGGAGGGAGAGCCGCCTCGGTCAGCGGGCTGTGCCCGGGGGGTGCCCGGGGGGGGGCCGGGAGGGGTGCCCGGAGGGGGGGCCCTGGAGGGGTGTGCCCGGAGGGGGGAGTGCCCGGAGGGGGGAGTGCCCGGAGGGGGGAGTGCCCGGAGGGGTGTGCCCGGAGGGGGGTGCCCGGGAGGGGGTGCCTGGAGGGGGTGTGCCCGGGGGGGGGCCGGGAGGGGTGCCCGGAGGGGGGGCCCTGGAGGGGTGTGCCCGGAGGGGATCCCCCCACAGTGGAGCCCTCTGACAGCCCCGCGGGCGGGCGGGAGTGTGTTCTCCCAGCTCAGGGCTGGGCGGAAGGTTTTGGTCTGTGGCTGGAGTTGCCTTCCGCTCGGGACAGCCTGCATGGCACATGCCGGGATGCCGGTGCCGGACCCCACGGGCGCCTGCCGGCAGCGTGAGACCGCGGGGACCAGAGGGCGAGGCCCCTGTGCGGGCTGAGGGGCCGGTCTGACTGCCCCCGCCTTGCAGTGTGCATGACCAACTGCCCCACGCTCATCGTCATGGTGGGGCTGCCCGCCCGCGGCAAGACCTACATCTCCAAGAAGCTGACCCGCTACCTCAACTGGATCGGCGTGCCCACGCGGGGTGAGGCGGGCGGCTCCTGGCCTGGGGCCTAGGGGGGCGGGCCGGGGGCAGGGGGGGCAGGCGGGGGGCAGGCCGGGGGCAGGGCCGGGGCAGGGGGGGCAGGGCCGGGGGCAGGCCGGGGGCAGGGCCGGGGGCAGGGGGGGCAGGGCCGGGGCAGGGGGGGCAGGCGGGGCAGGCGGGGGGCAGGGCCGGGGCAGGGCTGCCGCAGAGAGCCAGCGTCCCTCTCCGCAGAGTTCAACGTGGGCCAGTACCGCCGGGAGATGGCCAAGACGTACAGGTCCTTCGAGTTCTTCCTCCCCGACAACGAGGAGGGCCTGCGGATCCGAAAGTGAGTGCGTGTGCACGCGCGTGTGTGCGTGCTGTGTGTGCAACGTGCACGTGTGTACACAGTCGCACTGTACACGAGCCTGCACACATGGCCACCGCACTCATGCGTGTGCAGCCAAGGTCACACAGCACACAAGGACACGCACGCACATGCCTGCACACCTCACGCACACGCAGAGGCACACGCAGAGGCACACGGGGTCACCGGTGAGCGTGTTCGCACTCGGGCGCTCGGACTGGGTGAGGGCACGGGCCTCGGTTGTGCCATCAGTCCCCAGTAGGGGGCGTGCAGAGCAGCTGCTCCGCCATCGACGACGGTTCTTTCTCTTCCTCCGAATCGGTGGAAGTATTTTACGAAAGAAAGACGCAGCCAAAGGGGAGGGCGCCCGGGCAGGGGGCGGGCAGGGCGTGGCCTGGAGCCCCAGTCCTCGGGCCGCACCTTCCACACCCCACGCCCTGCCACCTGGAGGCTCCGGCCCTGGGTCCGGGTTCAGGGGCTGTTCTGGGGCTCACGTCGGTCTCCAGCCCCCACCTCCGCCCCGTAGCCATGTCCCCCCCGTAGCCGTGTCCCCCCCCCGCCTCGTAGCCATGTCCCCCCGCCCCTTAGCCGTGTCCCCCCGCCCCATAGCCGTGTCCCCCCCGTAGCCGTGTCCCCCCCCGTAGCCGTGTCCCCCCCGTAGCCGTGTCCCCCGCCCCCTAGCCGTGTCCCCCCCGTAGCCGTGTCCCCCCGCCCCGTAGCCGTGTCCCCCCCCATGGCCGTGTCCCTCCGCCTCATAGCCATGTCCCCCCGCCCCGTAGCCGTGTCCCCCCCTGTAGCCGTGTCCCCCCCGTAGCCGTGTCCCCCCCCGCCTCGTAGCCATGTCCCCCCGCCTCGTAGCCATGTCCCCCCGCCCCGTAGCCGTGTCCCCCCGCCCCGTAGCCGTGTCCCCCCCGTAGCCGTGTCCCCCCCGTAGCCGTGTCCCCCCACCCCGTAGCCGTGTCCCCCCCGTAGCCGTGTCCCCCCCGTAGCCGTGTCCCCCCGCTCCATAGCCGTGTCCCCTGCCCCGTAGCCGTGTCCCCCCCGTAGCCGTGTCCCTCCGCCTCGTAGCCATGTCCCCCCCGTAGCCGTGTCCCCCCGCCCCGTAGCCGTGTCCCCCTCATAGCCGTGTCCCCCCCGTAGTCGTGTCCCCCCGTAGCCGTGTCCCCCCCATAGCCGTGTCCCCCCCGTAGTCGTGTCCCCCCCGTAGCCGTGTCCCCCCCGTAGCCGTGTCCCCCGCCCCGTAGCCGTGTCCCCCCCGTAGCCGTGCCCCCCCCGTAGCCGTGCCCCCCCGTAGCCGTGTCCCCCCCGTAGCTGTGTCCCCCCGCTCCATAGCCGTGTCCCCTGCCCCGTAGCCGTGTCCCCCCCGTAGCCGTGTCCCCCCACCCCGTAGCCGTGTCCCCCCCGTAGCCGTGTCCCCCCCGTAGCCGTGTCCCCCCGCTCCATAGCCGTGTCCCCTGCCCCGTAGCCGTGTCCCCCCCGTAGCCGTGTCCCTCCGCCTCGTAGCCATGTCCCCCCCGTAGCCGTGTCCCCCCGCCCCGTAGCCGTGTCCCCCCCATAGCCGTGTCCCCCCCATAGCCGTGTCCCCCCCGTAGTCGTGTCCCCCCCGTAGCCGTGTCCCCCCCGTAGCCGTGTCCCCCGCCCCGTAGCCGTGTCCCCCCCGTAGCCGTGCCCCCCCCGTAGCCGTGCCCCCCCGTAGCCGTGTCCCCTGCCCCGTAGCCGTGTCCCCCCGTAGCCGTGTCCCCCCCGTAGCCGTGTCCCCCGCCCCGTAGCCGTGTCCCCCCGTAGCCGTGTCCCCCCCGTAGCCGTGTCCCCCCGCCCCGTAGCCGTGTCCCCTGCCCCGTAGCCGTGTCCCCCCCGTAGCCGTGTCCCCCCCGTAGCCGTGTCCCCCGCCCCGTAGCCATGTCCCCCCGTAGCCGTGTCCCCCCCGTAGCCGTGTCCCCCCCGTAGCCATGTCCCCCCGCCCCGTAGCCGTGTCCCCCCCGTAGCCGTGTCCCCCCTGTAGCCGTGCCCCCCCCCGTAGCCGTGTCCCCCCGGGGCTGACCGTGTCCCCCCCGGAAGGCAGTGTGCCCTGGCCGCGCTCCGTGACGTCCGGCAGTTCCTCAGCGAGGAGGGCGGACACGTGGCGGTGAGTGGGCCAGCCGTTTGGGTGGGGGAGCCGCGCACGCCCTGTGCTCCCGGGCTCTGGAGGGCAGGCGGGGCGCGGCCGCACGCACTGGGGCCTGTGCTGTGCTGCCTTCGCCCCAGACTTCCCCTGAGTGCTCCCCGGGCCCCAGCCCCCCTCCCGGCCAGACACCCCCCCTCCCTGTCACTGGGGCCTCAGGACAGAGGCCGGCACAGGGTTCGGGTCTCCAGTTTAACTAGTTCCATGGACGACCTGTGGGTCAGACGTGCAGCTGCTGAGTGTGTCCCACGAGGAGGGTGCGGCCCTGAGATCCCTCCTGCCCGCCCCCCTCCGCCCGTTCCCCCTCCGCCCATTCTCCCTCCGCCCGTTCCCCCTCTGCCCGGCCCACCCCTGCCAGCCCCCCTCTGGCCGGCACACACCTCCCCCGCCCCCCCGCCAGCCCCAGCCCCCCCCCGCCCCCGGGCAGAGGCGGTGACCCTGTGGTCCTAGGTTTTCGATGCCACAAACACCACGCGAGAACGCAGGGCGACCATCTTTAATTTCGGGGAGCAGAATGGCTACAAGGTGAGGCCTGATGGGTCAGGGCATGGAGGGGGCGGGGGTACTTTCCTCACCAGCTGGGGTTCCTTCCTGGAGCCGGGGCTGGGGGGCCCTGGGTGAGCGGCCCGCTGTGGCCCCGGGCCTCCTGACGGCCGGCCCAGAGGGGCCCCGGGCGGGAGGGCGTTCTGGGGGTCAGCCCGAGCCTGCTGACCGGGTCCCTCCCTTTCTCCCTTCGTCTCTTCCTCCATCCCTTCCTCCCTCCCTCCTCCCTCCCTCCTTCCCTCCCTCCCCCCTCCCTTCCCCCTACCCCCTCCTCCCTCCCTGCTGCCCCGCCTGCAGACCTTCTTCGTCGAGTCCATCTGTGTGGACCCCGAGGTCATCGCCGCCAACATCGTGGTGGGTCCCGGCCTGCGGGGTGTCGGCTCCCGCACCCGGGCTCGTGCCTGAGCCCCCCAGGGCCACTCGGGCTGGGGCTTTGTGGCCCTCCTCCCTTCCCCTCAGTCCCCGGGCGGGAGAAGCCTCAGCCCCGGGCAGGGTGGGGAGTGGTGGTACATTTTAAAAACACAGTTTACTGGTTTCCTAGAGGAAGGGAGAGGGAGAGAGAAAAGCATGACGGTTGGCAGAGAACCGTTCATCAGCTGCCTCCTGCACGCCCCCTGCTGGGGACTCGGCCCACCCCCCGCCTGGTTCATAGGTGGAGGCTCAGCCACTGAGCGGCACCGGCCGCCTGGGGTGATGTTTACAGTTTGAGAAGGAAAGAGACCCGGCCCTCGTCCCCGGCGCTCCCCCAAGGAGTGAGCATCGGGTTCGAGGAGATGGTCCTGGGCAGGAGGGGCCTCGGGCGCCCAGTCCTGCTCTCAGCACCAGCGAGGGAACTGGAACCGGAGCACTGGGTCCCTCCTGGTGGGACCGGCCCCGCTGACCGCCGCTCTGCCCGGGCAGCAAGTGAAGCTGGGCAGCCCGGACTACGTGGGCCGCGACGGCGAGGAGGCAGCCGAGGACTTCCTGCGGCGCATCGCCTGCTACGAGAGCTCCTACGAGCCGCTGGACGAGGAGCTGGACAGGTGGGCGCCGAGGGGCGGGGCCGGGGGTCCGGAGCGGGCGACGGGAGCCCAGGGTGGGCTGGGCGGCAGGTGGGAGGAGCGCAGCCGCGGCTCCAGGTCCGGTGCAGGCAACGCTCCACCCGAGCCCGCCGGCCGGCACGTCCCTCACGCCGTGGCCCGGCACCCGGACGGGCAGGCCAGCTGGCCCCGCGTGGTGGCGCCGGGCCGGGCGGTCAGGCAGGCCTCTCTGCAGGGACCTGTCCTACATCAAGATCATGGACGTGGGCCAGAGCTACGTGGTGAACCGCGTGGCCGACCACATCCAGAGCCGCATCGTGTACTACCTCATGAACATCCACGTGACGCCCCGCTGCATCTACCTCTGCCGGCACGGCGAGAGCGAGTTCAACCTCAAGGGGCGCATCGGGGGGGACCCTGGGCTGTCCCCCCGCGGCCGGGAGGTCAGTGCGTGTGCGCGTGTGTGCGTGCGTGTGCGCGTGTGTGCGTGCGCGTGTACGTGTGTGTGTGTGCGCGTGTGTACGCACGCGCGGGCTGCAGCTCACAGCTAGCGCAGTCATCCAGGTGATGACCTTCGTTCAGTCTAGAAGGTTCCCACCCTGGAGGGAAGCTCACCGCCCCGAGCAGACATCTGGCCTCCGCTGACACTGAGCCGTCCCGGGAGGCGTGGCGCTCGGGGCGTGGCCTGAGCCCCCGTGTCCAGGCGTGGCCGTGGTCTGGGGGGGACCCTGAGGCCTGAGCGGGGTCCTCGGCCTCAGGTGGTCGGGGCCAGGCAGCGGCGGGCCTTCTCACCGACAGTGGGCCTGGGAGGGGCGCACAGGGACAGCCCCGAGGGGCGGGCGGCCTTGTGGCCGTTTGCGTGTCCTTGAGGCGCGTGGCGGAGACCCAGGGCCGTGGGCTGAGTCCGCGGCGCCGTCCAGTTTGCCAGGAGCCTGGCCCAGTTCATCCGCGACCAGAACATCAAGGACCTGAAGGTGTGGACCAGCCAGATGCGCCGCACCATCCAGACTGCCGAGGCCCTGGGCGTGCCCTACGAGCAGTGGAAGGTGCTCAACGAGATCGACGCGGTAGGCACCGCCCGCCGGGCCGGGGGGGGGGGGGGGGGGGCGGGGAGGGGCCTGGCTGCGCTTCGGGTTTGTTTGTTTTTATCCAATCTGTTTTAATTGATTTCTGAGAGGAAGGGAGAGGGAGAGAGAAACACCAATGATGAAAGGGAGTCATGGATCGGCTGCCTCCTGCACGCCCCCTACTGGGGACCGAGCCTGGAACCCGGGCATGCGCCCTTGACCAGAATCGAACCCGGGACCCTTTGGTCCGCAGGCCGATGCTCTATCCACTGATCCACACTTTTATTATTATTTATTTTTGTTCATCCTCACCCAAGAACTTTTTCCATATTTCCTTGCCTCCGGCTCTCCCCGGACCCCCAGGCTGACCCTGGCCCGGCACAGGGGGGACAGGTGCGGGGTGCAGGGGCGACCCCTCGTGTCTCCTAGGGCGTCTGCGAGGAGATGACCTACGAGGAGATCCAGGGCCACTACCCCCTGGAGTTTGCCCTGCGGGACCAGGACAAGTACCGGTACCGCTACCCCAAGGGGGAGGTAGGTGGGGTTCGGGGCCCGGTCCCCCCGGCCGGGGGAGGGGGGATCCCTCTCCCAGACGCCCGTCCCCAGGCCCCAGCGTCCCTGTCCCTCCCACGGTGACGGCCCTGTCAGTCAGTCGGGGTGGGCGGGCCAGCGGCACCCCGGGCGTGGGGAGGGGTGCCCCGTGGCTCCGCCCGCTGAGCCCCGCCCCCCACAGTCCTACGAGGACCTGGTGCAGCGCCTGGAGCCGGTGATCATGGAGCTGGAGCGGCAGGAGAACGTGCTGGTCATCGGGCACCAGGCGGTGATGCGCTGCCTCCTGGCCTACTTCCTGGACAAGGCGGCAGGTGGGGCGCCCGCCGGGGCGGGGGGGGGCGGGGGCGGGGGGGGCGGGCTCTGACCGTCTGTGCCCACAGAGCAGCTGCCCTACCTCAAGTGCCCGCTGCACACGGTGCTGAAGCTGACGCCCGTGGCCTACGGTAAGGCCCGTCCGCGGTGCCCAGGAGCCCTGCCTCCTCCCCATCGCCCCCACACGAAGGCGGCAGAGCCCACCGCGCCCGCAGGAGCCCCGGGTGTGGGCGAGGCCCGCCCCTGGTGCCCGAGGGTGAGGATGGCACCGAGCTGCGGTCTCACTGCCCTGGGCACCGCCCGCCCGGTGTGGGAGGCCCGGGAGGGTCGGGCCTGAGGACTGAGCAGTGACTCCGTGCGGGACTCCGCCTGCACCCCTCCCACCACCTTCACCCCAGGCAGCAGCCGGGCCTCAGAGCCGCCCTGCCCGGAGGCTGCGCTGGGCTTGGCATTGGATGGGCAGGGCCTGGCGGGTGCCCAGGGCGGGGGACCCGGGCGAGGCCGCCCTCAGGACGGATGGCTCTCCCTTGGGCAGGCTGTAAGGTGGAGTCCATCTTCCTGAACGTGGGGGCAGTGAACACGCACCGAGAGAGGCCGCAGGTACCACCGGCAGGGGTGGGGGGGGAGCTGGGGGCCGGGGAACGGGGGGGGGGGGAGGGGGGAGCTGGGGGCCGGGGAACGGTGGGGGGAGCTGGGGGCCGGGGAACGGGGGCGGGGGAGCTGGGGGCCGGGGGAACGGGGGGAGCTGGGGGCCGGGGAATGGTGGGGGGAGCTGGGGGCCGGGGAACAGGGGGGCCGGGGAACGGGGAACCAAGGTGGGGCAGCCGGCCTAGAGGCTCCCTCGGGTGAGCTTGGCTTCCCGCCCAGCTGCTCTCCCCCCGCTGGGTGCCGCCTGGGGGGGAGCCCCACAGTAGACAGCCGAGGAGGGCACCATGAACTGGGTTTGTGGGGGGAGGGCCTTGCCTGCCAGGGGCCGGGCCGGGGCGGGTTCCAGCCGAGAGGAACCAGCGGCTCTGACTGTCCAAGGCAGGCGCTCCCCTAAGTGTCCCAGAACTGCTCCCTGTCACGGGTACCCTCCCTCTGAGCCCGGCACCCGCCTCCACCGCTCCAGGCCTGCTGCCCGGCCTCTGCCCGTCTGCCCTGAGGGTCCGGCCTGCCCGCCCTGCCCCGCCCCGGGGCCAGGCCACAGGGGTCCCACGGGCAGCCTTTGTGCGGGGGCCTGGCCCTTCCCGAGGAGCAGGGGTGCGGCCGGGCGCCCTCCCGCCTCTTCCTGTGTGTCCAGCAGCCACGCACCCAGGGCCGCGGAGCCTCGGCTGGGGGCGGGGGACTGTGGGGGGAGAGGGCGGAGGGCGCCGCAGGGTGGTGCCCGCGGTGAAGGCCTGTTCGTTTCCGTGCAGAACGTGGACATCGCGAGGCCCCCAGAGGAGGCGCTGGTCACGGTCCCCGCTCACCAGTGACCCGGCCTCCTCCCGGCGACCGGCGGCCGCGGTCTCTGCCGACAAGGCCGTTCCAGGCCCCGGCCGCCCGCAGGCGCAGGCAGGGACCTCCGTGCCGCCGGCCGGCACCGGGCCTCCAGTGGCCTGTGAAGTGTGAGACCCTGAATGTGAAGCGGGCGTCCCCACCGCGGCCGCGCTGCCGGCCTGGGCCCGGACCCTGCAGGCGCCCGCTGGCCTGGGTGCGAGGAGAGCCCTCCCCACCCGCCCCGCAGGGACGGGGGCTCCCACCACGGACGCCGCTGGCCAGGCCGCGTCTGAGCTGCTGGGGGAGGCGGGCTCCTGTGAGCCGTCATGGCGGCCACCCCGGGGGCCTGAGGAGGAGCCCGAGGAGCCGCTGGCCAGGCCCCACGGCGGCTTCTCAGACACCGGACGACAGAGGGAGCGTCGCCCGCCCAGCGTGCCGGCCTGGACTTGGGGGCTGCAGTGCCAGGGCCACGGTCTGCATTGGTGGCTGTGCCTGCCGCCCACGGTGCCCCCCAGATGCCCATGGTGCCCCCAGATGCCCGCAGTGCCCCCAGATGCCAGCCCCAGCCCAGACTGAGCCGAGGAGGGCACCATGAACTGCACCATGAACTGCTTTGCGCCTGCACCTTTCCTGTGTCCGTCCCGGGAACAGCACTTTTCCCGGCCGGCCCGGCCCGGCTGCAGGTGGCAGTGGCTGTGGACACGCGGGGAGAGGGGGCCGGGGCCGGGGCCGGGGCCGGGGGGTGGGGGAGGCAGTCCTCGGGGCTGCCCCGTCAGAGCCCAGGCCCCGCAGCCTGGGGGCCGGTCGCACTTTGCTGCTGAGTCAGTGCACTGGAGTCGGTGACGTGTCCGTGGACCCTCACTGTCAGCCGTGGTCCCTCCGGAGCCAACGGACACCTGACGTCCCGCCGCTCGGGCCTCCCCGCCGTGTCCCGACGGCCTGGCCTGGACGTGTCCCCAGGCCGCTGGGCGGGGAGTCGGGTCTCACAGGGCCGTGGCGGCCCCTCCCGCCTCTGCCGGACGGTCTGCGTGGGATTGGCCACACACCACACTGTGTCCAGGGCTCTTTGCAATAAAGCTTTTAGAACCTAAAGGATCCTGAGGAGAGGCTGCACGTGGCAGCTCTGCGGACCCCACACCGGTGCCCCTGTCTGTACCGAGGGCCTGGGCCCGTCTCCACACCCCTGAGCCAGAGGCAGATGGGGGGGTGGGTGGAACCCCATTAAGCGCAGGGTTCTAGGGCCCCTGGAAAGACGGGTCCCAGATGCTGGCCTCCGGGGGAGGGGAACCAGCTTTGTGTCAAGGATGGCCCAGGCCCTCAGCGACCTATGAGCCTGGGGGTCGGGGTTCGATTCCCAGTCAGGGCACAGGCCTGGGTTGTGGGCTTGAGGGGCGTGCAGGAGGCAGCTGGTCCATGATTCTCTCATCACTGATGTCTCTCCCTTCCTCTCTGAAATCAGTAAAAATAAATGTTCTTTAAAAGAAAGAAGGGGGCGGGGCAGCGTGACCCTGGCTGTTCCCACGGGGCCCTGAGGGGACGCCCACCCCACTCCTGCAGCCGGGTCTCAGCGGGCAGCCCTCCGGGCACCTGGGGGGGTGGTCCCCGCTGCGTCTCCACACCTCCTGGCAGCTCAGCACTGCTCCTGGCCCTGCCACCCGGTCCTGGTCTCTGCATTGAAATCTGGAACCATTTCTGCCCTGGCCGGTGTGGCTCAATGGATAGAATGTCCGTCTGTGGACTGAAGGGTCCCAGGTTCCATTCCAGTCAAGGGCATGTACCTTGGTTGCGGACACATCCCCAGCAGGATGTTCCTAACTCTCCCTCTCTTCCTCTCTGTAAAAATCAATAATATATATATGTATGTAAATAATAAAACATATATTATTGGTTTCAGGGGCCGGAGAGAGAGAGAAACATCCATGATGAAGAATCAGGGTCACCTGCCTCCCCATGACCCCCCCCCCGCCCCCCGGGCACGTGCCCTTGACCGGAATCCAACTGTGACCTCTCGTCCCTAGGTCACTGGCTGGGCTGGCATCTTTTAAAAAAATTAAATCTATTGCCTTTTTAAAGATTGTAATGCTTTTATTGCTTTTGGGGAGAGGAAGGTAGAGGGAGCTCCCATGAACTGCTGCTCCTTGGGGCCGGGCATCTTGGCGTCCGTCGGCTCTCTGGGCCTCGGGCATCTGTTCCCTCCTGTGCCCGGGGCTGTGCCCTCCTGTGCCCGGGGCTGTGGGCTCCTGTGCCCGGGGCTGTTCCCTCCTGTGCCCGGGGCTGTGCCCTCCTGTGCCCAGGGCTGTGGGCTACTGTGCCCGGGGCTGTGCCCTCCTGTGCCCGGGGCTGTGGGCTCCTGTGCCCAGGGCTGTGGGCTCCTGTGCCCAGGGCTGTGGGCTCCTGTGCCCGGGGCTGTTCCCTCCTGTGCCCGGGGCTGTGGGCTCCTGTGCCCGGGGCTGTGGGCTCCTGTGCCCGGGGCTGTGCCCTCCTGTGCCCGGGGCTGTGCCCACCTGAGCCCAGGGCTGTGCCCAGGGCTGTTCCCTCCTGTGCCCGGGGCTGTGCCCTCCTGAACCCAGGGCTGTGCCCAGGGCTGTTCCCTCCTGTGCCAGGGCTGTGGGCTCCTGTGCCCGGGGCTGTGGGCTCCTGTGCCCAGAGCTGTGGGCTCCTGTGCCCAGGGCTGTGGGCTCCTGTGCCCAGGGCTGTTCCCTCCTGTGCCCGGGGCTGTGCCCTCCTGTGCCCGGGGCTGTGGGCTCCTGTGCCCAGGGCTGTGGGCTCCTGTGCCCAGGGCTGTGGGCTCCTGTGCCCAGGGCTGTTCCCTCCTGTGCCCGGGGCTGTGGGCTCCTGTGCCCGGGGCTGTGGGCTCCTGTGCCCAGGGCTGTGGGCTCCTGTGCCCGGGGCTGTGCCCTCCTGTGCCCGGGGCTGTGCCCAGGGCTGTTCCCTCCTGTGCCGGGGCTGTGGGCTCCTATGCCCGGGGCTGTGGGCTCCTGTGCCCCGGGCTGTGCCCTCCTGTGCCCAGGGCTGTTCCCTCCTGTGCCCAGGGCTGTGGGCTCCTGTGCCCGGGGCTGTGCCCTCCTGTGCCCGGGGCTGTGCCCAGGGCTGTTCCCTCCTGTGCCGGGGCTGTGGGCTCCTATGCCCGGGGCTGTGGGCTCCTGTGCCCCGGGCTGTGCCCTCCTGTGCCCAGGGCTGTTCCCTCCTGTGCCCAGGGCTGTGGGCTCCTGTGCCCGGGGCTGTGCCCACCTGAGCCCAGGGCTGTGCCCAGGGCTGTGCCCTCCTGTGCCCGGGCTGTGGGCTCCTGTGCCCGGGGCTGTCGGTTCCTGCCTCTCGGGTCAGGCTGGGTCGCGGGGACCGGAGAGGAGGCCCTAGAAACGGGGCGCCCCCAGGGGCTGAGCGAGCCGGGTCCTCGGAGCGAGTCCGTCAGGCTCCGGACGGGACCGGACCCGGAGGGGGGCGGGGACAGGCGTTGGTTCTGCCGGAGCCGCCGGGGGCGCTGGACTGCGAGTGCCCGTCGCGGGGCGGAGCGGGGACGCCCCCTTCCTCCTCCTCCTCCTCCTCTTCCCTCCGGGACGGGGCGGGGCTCCGGGGACGGGGCGGGACGGTGGGGCGGGGCCGCTGTGCGGGCGGGGCTTCTGGGGGCGGGGCTCCGGGGCGGGGCGGGGCTGTGTGGCGGGCGGAGCTTCTGGGGGCGGGGCTCCAGGGACGGGGCGGGGCTGTGGGCGGGGCCGCGGTGTGGGGCGGAGCTTATGGGGCGGGGCTCCGGGGCGGGGCGGGGCGTCCGCGCGGGTCCCCAGGAGGAGCGGCGCCCGAGCCTGCGCTTCCGGCTGGCGGTCCCGCTGCGCGTCTGTCCGCCGCCGTCCGTCCGCCCACCGCGCACCATGGCGCCGGCGCCGCGGGTCCTGCTGCTGCTGCTGCTGCTGCCGCCGCCGGGGGGTGAGCGGGGCCCCGGGGGGTGAGCGGGGTCCCCGGGGGGTGAGCGGGGGTCCCGGGGGTGATCTGGGGTCCCCGGGGGGGTGATCTGGGGTCCCCGGGGGGTGAGCGGGTCCCCGGGGTGTGAACGGGGTCCCCGGGGGGTGAGCGGGGTCCCGGGGGGTGATTTGGGGTCCCCGGGGTGTGAACGGGGTCCCCGGGGGTAAGCGGGGTCCCCGGGGTGTGAACGGGGTCCCCGGGGGTGATCTGGGGTCCCCGGGGGGTGAGCGGGGTCCCCGGGGGTGATCTGGGGTCCCCGGGGGGTGAGCGGGGTCCCCGGGGGGTGAGCGGGGTCCCGGGGGGTGAGCGGGGGTCCCGGGGGGTGAGCGGGGGTCCCGGGGGGTTAGCGGGGGTCCCAGGGGGTGAGCGGGGTCCCCGGGGGGTGAGCGGGGGTCCCGGGGGGTGAGCGGGGTCTCGGGGGGGGGTTAGCGGGAATCCGGGGGGTGATCTGGGGTCCCGGGGGGTGAGCGGGGTCCCGGGGGGTGATCGGGGGTCCCGGGGGGTGAGCGGGGGTCCCGCCGGGAGAGGAGCGGGGGCGGCACCCCCGGAGCTCCTAGCCCCCCGCACCCCCTCCCGCCCCCGCGCCGCCAGACCCCGGACCCGGGGCCGCAGTCAGTCCTGGAGCTGGGGTGGCGGCTGTGGGCCCGGAGGTCCTGGGGGGGCCCGGGGGCTGGGGCGCGGCTCCCCGCCTTCCTGGCCTCTGCTAGCGGCTGGGCCCGCCCTGCCCTCCGGCCGGGGCTCCAGATCCAGCCGAACTGAACCGTTCAGTCCCCGGTGGAGGGAGGAGGGAGAGGAGGAGGAGGGGAGGGGGGCCCAGGGAGGAGGGAGCGGAGGAGGAGGGGAGGGGTCGTCTGTGCTCCTCGCTGGGGTCCCTGTAACGCGGGGGGGGGGGGGTGCCCTGGCGGTGCACCCACAGGGCCGGCCGGCCGTTAGGTGCGGAATGGGCACCCAGCCGGGAAGCCAGGGAGGGGGGCGGGTGCTTCCTCAGGGGAAGGGCCTTGTTTCCTGGGGGGCTGGGGGGGACAGCAGGCAGAGCCCTGGCCGGTCCGGGGAGGCCGGGAGAGCCCGGCCGGTGTGTGAGGTCAATGGACACTGTCTGGGCTCTGGGCCGAGACGGGGCGCAGGGTTGTGTGTGTGTGTGTGGGGGGGCACAGGGTTGTGTGTGGGGGCGCAGGGTTGTGGGGGGGGCAGGGTTGTGTGGGGCTGAGCTGTGCGGCCCAGGGCTGGCCAGGGTGTTGCCGTCCAGCCTGTGCCCGGGGCCTGGGCCGCCGGGAGGAGGAGGCCTGGAGGCCGAGGGTGGGAACAGGGTGAGTGTGGACGGCTGGGGCGAGGCTGTCCTTCCAGACCCTCTGCCTCTGGCCTCCCCCGAGTGTCCGGGCAGGGCAGGGCAGGGCTGAGGGTGGGCCTGGCCCGTCAGACCCACCCAGAAAGCTCCCCGCCGTCAGAGGCGGGGTCCTCCTGTGTGCCTGGGGGCGGGCAGGCTGGGCAGGGCTGTGCTGGGGACGGCCCTCATGCCACGCTGAGCCCTGTCCCCGCTCCAGCCCGCGGCGATGTGTGCCTCGTGAACACCGGAGACAGCCTCTCCCCCAAGACCTGCCCCGAGTTCTGCTGCGGCACCTGCGACCGCCAGTACTGCTGCCCCGACGTCCTCAAGAGGGCCGTCTGGAGCCAGGGCTGTGGCCACCACCTGGACAGGTGCGCGGGCACCACGGGTGGGCCGGGCCGCGGGGGCGCCCCCGCTCCCGCCTCTCAGCCCTTTCAAGATGGTGGCGGACACCGGCTGCGTCTGATTCTTTCTTATTTTTATTTTTTTTGTACATCCTCACCTGAGGGTGTTTTTTCCCTTTGATTTTTAGGGAGAGTGGGAAAGAGAGGGAGAGGCAGAGAGAAACATCCATGTGAGAGAAACACATCCACCGGCTGCCTCCTGCACGCGCCCCGACCAGGGCCCGGGCCAGGGGGGAGCCTGCAGCCGAGGTACCTGCCCTTGACTGGAATCGAACCCGGGACCCTCTGGCCCACAGCCCGAGGCTCTACCCACTGAGCCACGCCGGCTGGGGCAGGCTCTAGTTATTAACCTGCGGCATTATTTTTCAGTCTTAGAATGTTATCACTGCCCCAGCTTTTCTGTGATCTCCCTGATCTGGGCGTGTTCCTTGAACGTCCGTGCCTGGTAACCCGTGTCTGCCCCCCGCCCCCTCACCCCCACATTCCTGTCCGCTGTAGCGTTTTGTTTTCTGTCCGTGCCATCTGGCCGGGCGGCCGGACACCTGTGACTGTGTGTGTGCCTGACGAGGTGTTGGCAGAGGTGAAGGTAGAGACGTGAAGCTGGGTCCCTCTGGGGCGGGTGGAAGTGGCCTCTGTCAGGGGCCCAGGCGCTCAGCTCGCCGGCCGACAGTGGGCCACCTGGCATCGGCAGGTGCCCCAGACTCACCCCCTGGATTTCCCTCCCAGCCTTCCCGCCCTGGGCCCCAGCTGGGTACTCCCCACCATTCCACTGTGGAAAGCGTGCACACCGGTTTTTTAAAATATATCTTTATCGATTTTAAGTTGAGAGAGAGAGAGAGGAGAGAGAGAAACGTGGCTATGGTCAGCTGCCTCCCCTACACACTGACCAGGATTGAACCCAAAACCTGAGTCTATGTCCTTGACCGGAACGGAACCCGGGCCCCTTCGGTCTGCGGCTGGCACTCAGCCCACCAGGCCAGCCGGGCGGGGCGGTTGTTATTGTTAAATCTCGGCTGTGCCCGCAGCCACTTCCTCTTTTCCCGTCCCGCTTCTTCCTTTCGTGTCATTTCTCCTCGCGGGGGTTGTCCTGCGATGACGGTGGTGTTGGCTCTGATCTCCCTGGACCCTCTTCGCACCTGCCCTTTGGGGGTCTGCACGATTTTTCCCGCCTTCTTGAGTTTAATCCCATCTCACCATTAAGGTTCTGTTCCTTCCTGATTTATTTAACCCACGGGGTGTTTTTATTAAATTTAATTTAAATATTTTTGTACCAGATTAACTCATTTCCCAAGGTCTGAATTATTTTTGGCATTTTTTTTTAAATACTGTGGCATTAAAATCTACTACTGATTTTTTAAAAAAAATATACTTTATTGATTTTTTTTAGAGAAGAAGGGAGAGGGATAGAGAGAAACATCAATGAGAGAGAAACATGGATCAGCTGCCTCCTACACGCCCCCCACTGGGGATGTGCTCCCAACTAAGGTACATGCCCTTGACCGGAATCGAACCTGGGACCCTGGAGTCCGCAGGCCGACGCTCTATCCACGGAGCCAAACCCGTCAGGGCCTGTTACTGATTTTTAACTCCACCCCATTGTGTCTGAGAAGGGACTTGAATGGCAGCTGGCTCCTCAGATCAGTTGAGATGGGTGTTATGGTCTCACGCGTGGTCTGTCCCGGGAAGGTCCCGTGTGCACGTGAGAATGCGTGGCATGTGCATGGCTTCGTCGCCCGAGCCCCTAGGAGCGAGCGAGCCACCCGCCCCCGGGCCGCCCGGCGCAGCGGTGGCTCCCGGGCGTGTTCCGTGAGCTGAGGTGCGTGTGCCCTGGTATGTGGGGGGTGGGCCGTGCTCATCGCCGGCTTCCTCCCTGCACCCTGGCAGCGTCCAGAGGCAGCTGGAGGCGGCGGCCGCGTCGCTGGAGGAGTCGAACTCGATGCTGGCGTTCACGTCCGACATAGACACTGACCCGCTGCCGGGGTGAGTGCGGCCGGCGGGCGGCGGGCGGAGTGTCGGGGCTCGGCGGGGGGGAGGGCGGCGGGGGGCTCGGCGGGCGGGGAGGGCGGCGGGCGGGCGCGGGGAGGGAGGCGGGCGCGGGGAGGGCGGTGGGGGGCTCGGCGGGCGGGGAGGGCGGCGGGGGGCTCGGTGGGCGCGGGGAGGGCGGCGGGCGGGTGAGGGGAGGGAGGCGGGCCCGGGGAGGAGACAGTCATCGGGGTGAGTCCCCTGGAAGCGACTGGATCCTTACGCAGGGACGTTGTGTCCTCCTCGTGGGGCGGGGTTGGGAGTGACGGGGCTGGGAGTGACCGAGGTGGGTTGGCATTGGGAAGGCCAGGGGCGGGGGTTCGTGTTGACTCGGACAAGGCGGGCGCGCTGAGAGGGAGACAGTGACGGGTGGATCCTTCCTCTTCTTGGGGCCACTTCACCCTTTAGTCTTGGCATTCCATGAAGCCCAGGAAAACCAGGAAGTCCATGGTCACCCACAGATCTGTCTCTATCTGTCATCCATCCATCTATCTATCTATCTATCTATCTATCTTAAACCAGAGGCCTGGTGCATGAGAATTCATGCACTGGAGTGGGGGGACCTTCAGCCCGGCCTGCCCCCTCTCACAGTTCGGGAACCCTCAGGGGCAGGAGGCAACCTGGCGATCAGGGAAGGAGATGCCCCATCACACCTCTGCTGCTGCCACTGCCGGCAGCGCAAGCCTCATTTGGCCTGGTTACCTGGGAGCCGCCACCGGAGGCTTGCCTGCACCTCGGCCGTCCCTGGACGGTTGAGCACTGCCATCTTGTTTGTGTTGCCATCTTTGAGGGAGTGGCAGTTAATTAGCATATTCCTCCTTATTGGCTGTGGGTGCCGCCATCTTTGCAATGGTGTGAGGGTCAATTGGCATGTCCCCTCTTTATTAGATAGGATGTTTTTAGGGATTTTATTGAAGGGAGAGGGCCAGAGAGATTGAAACATGGATGGGAGAGAAATCGATTGGCTGCCTGCTGCTCAGCCCCCACTGGGGATCGAGCATGCAGCCCGGGCATGTGCCCCGACACCCACATTTTAAATCTCACGTTTGGGCGTTTGAGCCACAAGTCTCTCTGGTGTAAAAGATACACCAGCCCCGGCTGGTCTGGGTCAGTGGGTGGAGCGTCAGCCCGCAGACCGAAGGGTCCCGGGTTCGACTCCAGTCAAGGGCACGGTCTCCGGCCCTGGTCAGGGCGCGTGCAGGAGGCAACCAGTGAACGTGTCTCACATCCGTGTTTCTCTAGTCTCCCTCCCTCCCGCTTTCTAAAAAAAAAAAAAAAAAATCCATGGAGAAACAGGGTCCGTGAGGATTGAGTAAAGAATGAAAGCCGCGCTAGGCCGAGGTGAGGACCGAGAAGCCGGGGGGGAAACACTCTGATCAGGCTCCTGGGGCGGCCCTGGTCCGCAAGGCGGCTTGTCGGGTTTGTTTTCTTTTCGGGGGCGGAGGGGCAGGGCGGCACCGGCTGCGGCTTTAAGAGGCTCTGCTTCCGGCCTCCGACGTCAGGGCGCGGGTTCGGGTTCGCTTTCCTTTTCCCCCGAAGGCGGAGGCGGGGAGGGGGGGGAGGAGGGACGGGATGGGGAGCGGGGAGGCCGCGCAGGACGCCGTGCGGGAGCGGCCATGGGGTGAGAGGGCGTGGGCACCGCGTGAGTGTGTGTGTGTGTGTGTGAGTGTGATTGTGCGTGTGTGTGAGTGAGTGTGTGTGTGAGTGTGTGTGAGTGTGAGTGACACAGCCGGGGCTGAGCGCGGCCCGCCCTCCGGTCACTGGTCTGGGGTCACTGGTCTGGGCAGTGTCCCGCTCCGGCCCCGGGCAGGAGGGCGCCCACGCGGCCGTCCTGCGGGCGCGGGGGCTGCGGAAGGGCCGCCCTCCGTCCCGGCGGTGACCTCCGCCCAGCGGCTTCCTGGAGACCCGCTCTCCGCCGGCCTCCACGCCCCGGAGGCAGCCTGCGTGTCCGCCGGGCGGGGACACCGGGACCGCCGCCCGGCTGGGCCCGCAGCGGGCGGGCGGCTGCTCCCCTTCCCCTCGCGCTGCCCTGTGGCCCCACCCGCCTCCCGGGGCCGCGGCCGCCGGGCGGGGCTTGGCCCATCTGGGCTTTTGGCTTAAACCACGGCGCCGGCTGCGGACTGTGCCCACGGCCAGGCGGGGGCCGCGGCGGACAGGCGTGGCCGGGGGGCGGTGGGGGGCCGGGGGCTGGAGGGGACGGTGGGGGACGGAGGGCTGCCGGGAGGAAGCGGCGGTTCGGGCTCAGCCACACGCCCCGGAAGCGGCTCTGCCCGCGCCCGGCGCGTCCTCCTGCGGGAGGGGTGCGGAGGCCCCGGTCACACCGGCTCTTTGGCAGGTTCGGGGCCACCATAGCCATCGGCCTGACCATCTTCGTGCTCTTCATCGTCACCATCATCGTGTGCTTCACCTGCTCCTGCTGCTGCCTCTACAAGATGTGCCGCCGCCCGCGCCGTGAGCACCGCCCCGCCCCGCCCCGCCCGCCGCCGGCGCGCCCCGCCCTGGCTGGGTTACGCTGGGAAGGGCGGGGCCAGGGCGCCCGGCCCTGATTGGGTTACGCTGGGGAAGGGCGGGGCCAGGAGGCCGGCCCTGATTGGGTTACGCTGGGGAAGGGCGGGGCCAGCCGAGGTCCTGACGCGCTTCTCTTCACAGCGGTGGTGACCACCACCACGTCCACCACCGTGGTGCACGCCCCGTACCCCCAGCCTCCCGCCGTGCCGCCCAGCTACCCCGGGCCGTCGTACCAGGGCTACCACCCCATCCCCCCCCAGCCAGGGATGGTGGCAGCACCCTACCCGGCGCAGTACCCACCGCCTTACCCGGCCCATCCGGCCCATCCCGTGGGCCCGCCCGCCTACCACGAGACCTTGGCTGGTGAGTACAGGGCCAGCTCTGACCCCCGACCCCCGCTCCCGCGGTGCCCGCAGCCCACCTCTTCCGCTCTGTTTGCAGGGGATGCAGCCATGGCCTATCCTGCCAGCCAGCCTCCTTACAACCCAGCCTACATGGACCCCCCGAAGGCCACCCGCTGAGCGCGATGCAACTCTGGCTGCCACTTGATGCGTGGCGTGTGTGTGTGTGTGTGTGTGTGTGTGTGTGTGTGGCTGTGTGTGCCGTTTGTACACTTGTGATGACAAGGTGGGGACACTTCCACCAGAGTTGCTGGAACAGTGCTTTGTTCTCTTCCTCACTTCAAAACGTGCTTCCTGGAAGTCTCAAGCAGACTCACAGAATGGGGGAGGCCAGATGGGGTCATGGTCACTAGCACAGCCCAACTTCTGTGGGCAGAGAGCACCCTCCCTTGGGTCTGCAGTGGCCAGCCCTTCCCAGAGCGAGCTGGGAGGCCAGGCAGCTGGGGCCCGGCTGGGCTGGGTGTTGGTCCCCTCGTTCCCTGGGCCAGGCACTCTCCTGCCCCCTCCCGGAGACCGTCTGGAGCCACTCCCTTCCCGGTGCTGGCTGCCTGGCCCTGACACAGCGGACAGGGTGGCCTCTGTCCACCCACACACTCAGGTGTCCTCCCTGCGGAGTCTTATTTTTAGCCAAGCTTTTTCTTTGTTTTTTTTTTGCCTCTTTTCTGTTTTTAAATGTTGCTGAGGCTGAAACCCTGGTCCTAGAGGGACACTGCCCAGAGGAGAAGGACCACCTGCCCGGACAGGTCCTGCCTCCCTCGCACCCGCTCTTGGCCCTAGCTCCGCTGTCCCGGCAGCGGGTCCCGGGGGCTGCTGGCCCAGATGCGAATACCTCGGCGTCCCGTCCCTCTGTCTCCAGATCTGTCTCAACTTTGTACTGTTGATGCGTCTGAGTCTGTTTATAATAAACGCAGAAATTTGGAGCTACTGGCCCCTTTAAAGACTTAAAAAGATTGTTTTTTAGAGGATGGGAAAGGAACGTCAACGTGGGAACAAATCGTCTGGCTGCCTCCTGCACGCTCCCTCCCTGCTGGGGATCAAGCTGGCAGCCCGGGCATGTGCCCTGACCGGGAGTCAGACCAGCAGCCTTTGGTCCCCACGAGGTCGCTCAGCCAGCTGAGCTGCACCAGCTGGGGCTGCCTGGGGCAATGGGCCCGGTACTGGTTCCATCCAGCACTTGGACTTCCAGGTTTTCCCTACTAGCATTGGGCTCAGGTGTCTGACCTTCCTGCCAGGGAGGATGGACAGAGGGACACGGATGTGCCGCCCTCTGCCCTCCAGGGGCCTAAACGGACAGAGGCTGCGAGGAAGTGGAGGCACGCAGGCACTCAGGCGGGGTCTTTATTGTCAGGCTGTCCTTGGCTACTGCTCAGGCGAGCCCTGGGACAGCCCATACAGCACGGCCAACGCCACGGTCAGCAAGGCCAGCAGGCTCAGGGGGGCCAGGAGCCCCTCCCTGGGCGAGGCCCCGGGGCCCTTCCCTGGAGGAAGGATGCTGGCCCCAAGGCCGGGACTGACGTGCCTGGCTCTGCCCAGGAGTGCAGAGGCCGGGGAGGCCGTGCCCCCGTACATGGGCTCCACGGTACTGAAGGGCCTGGCGTGGGCGTCCACCCACTGCAGCAGGGCTCGGGGCCTCCACTGGCAGACGCCGAGCAGGGCGAGGACGTCCCCCTCGGCCGTGTGCGAGTCCGGGGGCGCCTGCCCGTAGAGGCGGGCGTAGACGTTGCCCAGGCTGTAGCTCTTCCGCGGGCCCGGGGCCGGTTCCGTCTGCTCCAGAGCCTTCAGCGCGGCGATGCTGTCCACACAGAAGCCCCCGTCCAGCGCGCCGGCCAGGCCCAGCGCGGCCAGCTCCGCCCGGAGCAGGGGGAAGTCGTAGCGGTCCCCGTTGTGCGCCACGAGGCACCAGGGCTGCGGCTGGCGCCGCAGGAAGGCGCGGAGCAGGTGGGCCAGGTCGGCGTCGAAGCGCTGGCGCCCGTGCGCTGCCAGCGTGGCCGTGCTCAGGCCGGTGATCTCGCTGGCGGCCGGGCTGCAGGCCTTCCCGGGAGCCACGCACAGGGAGAGCTTGTCCACCACGCGGGGCGGGGCGGGCGCCGCGGGAGGCCGCTGCGGGGCGGGGGCGCTCTCCAGGGCGCACCTGTGCACGGCCAGCAGGCACAGCTCCGTGATCTTGGGCTGCGAGAAGGGCAGGCCGGTGGCCTCCAGGTCCAAGAAGACGAGGGTCTGCATGGGGCCTGGGGGCGGGGCCTGCGAGCGCATGGTGGACGCTGCCGGGCCTGGGAGGACAGAGCGGGGTGAGGCCCAGGGACGCGGTGAGGCCCAGGGACGGGGTGGAGGCCCAGGGACGCGGTGGAGGCCCAGGGACGGGGTGGAGGCCCAGGGACGGGGCGGAGGTCCAGGGACGGGGCAGAGGCCCAGGGACACGGTTGAGGCTCAGGGACGGGGTAAGGCCCAGGGATGCGGTGGAGGTGGAGGCCCAGGGACGCAGTAGAGGTGGAGGCCCAGGGACACGGTGGAGGTGGAGGCCCAGGGACGCAGTAGAGGTGGAGGTTCAGGGAGGGGGTGAGGCCCAGGGACGCGGTGAGGCCCAGGGACAGGGTGGAGGCCCAGGGACGCGGTGGAGGCCCAGGGACGCGGTGGAGGCCCAGGGACGCGGTGGAGGCCCAGGGACGGGGTGGAGGCCCAGGGACGGGGCGGAGGTCCAGGGACGGGGCAGAGGCCCAGGGACACGGTTGAGGCTCAGGGACGGGGTAAGGCCAGGGATGCGGTGGAGGTGGAGGCCCAGGGACGCAGTAGAGGTGGAGGCCCAGGGACACGGTGGAGGTGGAGGCCCAGGGACACGGTGGAGGTGGAGGCCCAGGGACGTAGTAGAGGTGGAGGCTCAGGGAGGGGGTGAGGCCCAGGGACACGGTTGAGGCTCAGGGACGGGGTAAGGCCCAGGGATGCGGTGGAGGTGGAGGCCCAGGGACGCAGTAGAGGTGGAGGCCCAGGGACACGGTGGAGGTGGAGGCCCAGGGACGCAGTAGAGGTGGAGGCTCAGGGAGGGGGTGAGGCCCAGGGACGCGGTGGAGGCTCAGGGACGGGGTGAGGCCCAGGGACGCGGTGGAGGTGGAGGCCCAGGGACGCAGTAGAGGTGGAGGCTCAGGGACGCGGTGAGGCCCAGGGACGCGGTGGAGGCTCAGGGACGGGGTGAGGCCCAGGGACGCGGTGGAGGTGGAGGCCCAGGGACGGGGTGAGGCCCAGGGACGCGGTGGAGGCTCAGGGACGGGGTGAGGCCCAGGGACGCGGTGGAGGTGGAGGCCCAGGGACGGGTGGAGGCGGTGGAGGCGGAGGCTGCTCTGGCCCCGCACAGGCCCCATCAGGTTGCTGAGCCCCAGGACCCACCGTCAGGGCAGGAAGCCAGAGGGGCAGGTGGTGGCTTGTGGGATCTGCACTCAGCTGGGGGAGGGTTCGTTTCTCCCCGAGTACCCACTCAGTCTGGGGGCGGCTGGGGTGGGGGTGGGGGCACGGAGCCCTTGGCCTTCCCACCCGGCCCAACCTGGGGCCCGCACTTACCACGCGCAGGCAGGCAGGTGGGTGGCAGTCACTCGCACGGACACGGCACACAGCACACCGCACACGCTCTCGCTGCTGGCCCCGGAGCGGGAAGTGAAACTTAGCCGGAGCCCGCCTCCAGCTGGCGTGCGGCTGAGCCCGCCCTGCTAGTCAGCCTGCCTGGTTCCTCTGTGCCAGCACCCATGCCGCCCAGACCTCCCGGCCCCGTGACTCCACAAGGCCTCAGACCTACAGCTGGCCTGCTGGCTGGCACAGTGCACGCGTGAGAGCAAGCCAGGAGGCCGGGCTGAGGTGCCAGGCTGTGGGGAAGGCCCACAGGGGCCTCAGCTGGCACTTGGCTCCCCGCCTGAGCCCCTCCCGGGCGGCCCCCCCGCCTCGCCAGACAATGGTCTCTTCCCAGGGCTCAGCCCGGAGCCATGACTCAGGACGATTCCACAGCAGGCAGGCTCCCTCCTCCGGCAGGCTGTTGCCATAGGGACGCTCCCGGAAGGAGGACCCAGCCTTCCCTGTGTAGTTCCCTCCCCCTCGCCAGCACAGACCAGACTCAGGCAACAAAACGCGGTTCTCAAGGCAGCTTTAATGGCCCGAGGGCGCCGGGCTGCTCGGCCTCAGCCGCAGTCCATGTCGGGGTCATCGGCGTCAGGATCCGCCGCGCAGAGGTCGTCCAGGGCAGCCTCTGCGCCAGACAAGAGGGCTCTGCTCGCGGAGGCCGGAAGTGCCAGAGCGGAGCCCGCCTCCCCTGCTCCTTCCTTCCCTTCCCCTCCCCTCCCCTCCCCGGCAGGAGCTGACCCGTCCCCTCCCCTCCCCTCCCCTCCCCGGCAGGAGCTGACCCGTCCCCTCCCCTCCCCCCCCCCTTCCCGGCAGGAGCTGACCCGTCCCCTCCAGCCCAGGCCTCCTCCCTCAGCTACTGGAGCAAAGTGATACAGGCAACCAGCTGGCCAGGCTGAGGACGGCGCAGGCAGGACCCCCGCTCACCCTCGCAGCCGGTGAGGTCCGGGAGGCCGCGGAGCAGCGCGCTGACGCCGGGCAGGGCCTGGTCGAACTGGTGCAGGACGCCCACGCAGTGCACGGCGAACAGCTTGTCCCTCTGGGACAGGCTGTGCAGCAGCAGCACCGCGTCCCGCAGGCAGCGCACCGTGCGCCTCTGTGGCACCGTCCAGGAGGCCCGGCCGGCCCGGCGCACCGTCAGCCACTGTCTGTGCAGCACCACGATGAGCACCCGGACCACCTGGGTGCAGGCCGAGGTCAGGCCCCCGCCTGCACCCACAGCCTGCTCAGCCCCGGGCCCGCCGCACACTGCCCTGCCCGCCCCCGCCGGGCACGCACCTCCACGTGGCACTGGCAGCTGGAGCCGGTCACCGGGGACGAGGGGCTCTGCATACCCAGCTTGGCCAGCAGCCACACGGCCTGGAGCGAGAGCAGACGTCCGGAGACCGGGCTCAGCGAGGCTTCTTGGCTTCACCGAGCCCCACGCTCGCCTGCCTGAATGGTCCAGGACATGGGGGTGCGTCCCCCAGACCAGCTCAGGACCAACACCTGTGTCTCCCCAACAACCCGCATGCCTCCGGGACCCGGGCTCCCCTGCCCCCGGGGCGGTGTTGGCTGGTTGGCGGCCCGATTGAAGGAGCAGCTGGCAGGGGGCGGGCGTCCTTACCTCTTGCTCCAGGTGGAGCCACTGCGTGTCTGTGGCCGCGCGGTCAGGCCTGGAGGTGACGTATGTGTACAGCAGCAGCAGGAGGCAGCCGTCTGGAAGGGGGTCCACTTTCGCTCAGGGTCCTCGACGAGCTGGGAGCCCTGGACCGCTCTGTGCCCCTCTGCCCGCCTTACCCGAGTGGGAGCAGAGCTGAGGGGCCAGCGCCTCGTGGTCCGCCAGGAGGGCCAGCAGCTTCACCGCCAGCAGCACGCCGGGCAGGGCCACGTCGGGACGGAGGCACCGTGGCAGCAGCGGGAACACACACTGGAACCTGGAACGCAGGCCGACATGGACGCCTGCCCCACCCCACCTCTCCCCCACTTCTCACCCGAGGGCCAGGGCACACGGCCCCGAAGGCCCGACTCAGAGGCCAGCCGCCCACCTCCCTCCACAGGAGAGCGGGCACTGCCCGCGCCGGACGGCTGTGGCTGGTGACAGCCTTGCCCGCTCAGTGCCACTAGGGAGAGGCCGGGCCACACCCTAGCGAGCTCTTTCCTGCTCAGCCCCAAAGGGGCAGTGTGAGGCGGGGAGAGCACGCCGAGTCCACCACCCGGGGCCTGGCCCGAATGAAGGAGCAGCTCACAGGGGAGCTGCTGGGGAGCCCGGGAGAGGGGCTCGGGCACCGCTGTTACCACGGAACCGAGTCCCCAGGCAGCCGCTTGCTGCTTGTGCAGCTGCACAGCCTCGTGGGTGGGAGGCAGTCCCACGTGCCCCCCCCCTCCCCCGCAACCTGAGCACCAGCACCGGGCTGACGATTCCCAGGATGCACTAGGACGGGCCACTCTTTTAGTTTGGGGCGGAGAAGCGGAAGGTGCTGTCCCAGGGACGCCGGATCGAACGTGGCCGCTAACAGACTGGCTGCAGGGAAAGCCCCCTTCGCGTACGCAGTGGGTCCACGGCCACAGCAGCGCCTCTCTGACCCACGCCCGGGTCCCAAATCGCTGGGGCTGAGGGCCTGCTGCTACCAGCGTCCAAGGTGGTGTGCCCCACACCGGTGGGCACGGTGCCCTGCGCTAGAGCGGGCACCCTCCCAGGTGGCACCTGCCCTGGCTTTCACGCCTCCAAGGGGGAGGCGGGGTCCGTGACCAAGGGCCGAGGCTGGAGGCCCGGTGGGAGCCCACCCAGCACATGCCCCCTGGGGTCTCGGGGCGGGGCTGCGGGAAGCCCTGGGGGCTGATGTCTGCTGTCCTAGGAATGCAGGATGGCGTTTGTCAAGAGGAACGGTGAAGATGTGGTCCCTGGTGCATCCCCTAACAAACACGAAACCACCAGCCAGCCCGAGATGGGCTGCCAGGCACCTGGGTGCGGCCCTGTGCCCACCAGCTGCCCATGCGCCCTGCAGTCCTGCCGGCCCTGAGCGCCACTGCAGGAGGGTGGCAGCCAGGACGCGGGCGCCGTGCGAACAGCTGCGCTCAGGGAGGAAGGCGGGGCGGCGGCATGCCCATGCGGAGCAGCCTGGGCCGTGGGGAGGGTACTGGGCGAGGGCACGGCTGGACGGCGTCGGGAGCTCCCGGCGTGCGGCTCTGAGCCCCACGCTGGGAACTGAGGACCGAGCGCTTGTGAGCTGGGTCAGCCGCGCCATCACTCCCACAGACCCCAGGAGCGGGCGGCCTGTGGCTCAGGCACGAGGTGGGCACAGCGATGGGCACACACCCTGCACCCGCTGCTTCCTGTGGACCCTTACATGTGGTGGCGACGTGTGGTCTCCTCCTGACCCACGTCCGGGCCAGGCCACTCTCCCCAGCGGCTCACAGAGCCTTCACGTGTCTCTGCTCACCTGCTGCGCGGGCAGCATTGGCCCAAAGGAACCACTTCCCTGGCTCTCCCAGTGCCCAGTCCCACTGCCGCCACTCAGAGCTCCCGAACAGGCCTTGGGACCTCAGCCAGCTCAGAAGTGAGCAGCGGAGACAAGTCCAAGGGCCGCAGGATGACCCGCACGAGGCCAGGGAACAGAACCGCTCGCAGCGGCACGGTACCTGGGCAAGAGGTCGAGGGGAGCGCTTTCAGCTGACGTCACCAGCACCTCGAGGCATGGGCTCAGGAGGCTGGCCTGGAGGTGCCCGGGGGCTGCAGCCGAGAGAGCCAGCAGGTGGAGCAGCGTCTCCAGCAGGGGGTGCCGGTCTTGGTCCCCGGCGGCCGGGGTGGCCTCCCCAGGGGGCCGCGGGCTCTGGCTCCCGTCTGCAGCGGCAGAGCCCGCCTCCGCGCCGGACAGCAGGCGGCGGACCACGGCCCCGCTGTGGCACACCAGGTGCCGGAGCACGCCCAGCGCGGCCAGGCAGCAGCTCTCCAGGCTGCACGGCGCGTCCTCGGCGCCGGCCTCCGCCCCGGAGCCCCGGCAGGACGGCGCGGGCGAGCCGGCCGGGGTGCCGCTCCTCCTGGCGGCTGCCGAGTCCTGCAGCGCCTGGCAGTGCGCGCCCACGAAGAGCTGCACCAGCGGGAGCAGGTGCACGGCGCCGGGAAGCTGGCCGAGTGCAAAGGCCCCGTCACAGGAGTCCTCTTCCCTGGCGACCAGGTGCAGCCCCGTCAGCGCCAGGCTCTGTGCTTCCCGGAGGGCCGAGCGGGGGAAGGGCCCATCGCGAGGGCCCGTGCTCCTCAGGCCTGACACCGCAGCCCCCGCGCTAGCAACAGACAGAGGAAGGCGAGTGAGAACGGGCGGTCAGGCCCAGACAACCTGCCTCCCCGAGCCCCGGCTGCCGTCCAGCCACAGGCCTCCCAGGCTGGCCAAGGCCCAGAAGTTCTGGAAACTTCTCTCTAGACAAGCTCTGTAGGAGCCCTGCTCACCTGCCAAGCCCCAGGGGCTGCAGCAGAGTGCTGGTGGGAGCCTCAGAACCATAGCTCAGGAGGTGGCACAGACCGAGGGGCGACCCTGGGACCAACGGCTGCTGCAGGAGGAGGTTTATCAAAATGGAACCTGCAGGAAGGAGGGCGACTCTGGACGGTGCCTACACGGGAGGCCTTCTGTGGCCTCGGGGGGAAGCGGAGGGCCCCTGGGTGCCCCCGGGGGTGCCGAGGGCTCTGGGACACGCTGCTGTGGCCCCTGCCGTTCTCAGTCTGCTGCCGGTCACCACCAGGCCTCCCCGGGGCCCGGGAAGGACGGCTCCTCGGAGCGCGGCAGCCCCTGGCGCGGCCGCCAGGGCACACGGAGCCGGCGGCCCCTCAGCGCAGCAGGGACTCCGGTACCTCGAGTGTTTGGTCTCCGCATCAGGCTGCCAACAGGGCTCTTTGGGGACTCCTCTTGCTTTATGGGGTCACCTCCCAGACTGTGGGTCCGCTTCTCTGAAACATAAAATGTGAATCCAAGCACAGGCATTTCAGAAACATCCAATACGATGGACTAACACACAGATGCTCCTACTTCTGGCCAAAGCAACCCAAGATCCCTCGTGCCTTCGTCTTCACGTGAGACCGGAGCTCCCGCACGAAAAGGGAGACACTTGGTCCTGTGCCCTCCTGGCAGCGTGCAGGGACAGCGCAGCAGCCACTGCGAGCACACGCGCTGCTTCTGCCATTCGCTGCCCAGCACCCGACCAGCTGTTGTCATCAGCTGTTTACAGGCAGGATCACCGAGGCACGGGCCGGCAGGCAGGGACAGGGCTCCGCTCCCTGTCACCCCCGCGGCTCCGGGACTCGGGGTGAGTGCGGGGTGCTCAGAGGCGGCCACAGCCCGCCGGGGAGGGGGCGTCTGAGCGGGAAGGGAGCAGGCAGCAGTCTCAGTGGAGCCCTCCTGCTGCCGGATTGTCTCTGGACGGCAGGAGCAGCCCTCAGCCTGGCCAGGCAGGACAACTGGAGGCTGGGGAGAGGAACACTGTCCCTGCTCCAGCTGCTCCTGGCAGGCTCTGGTGCTGCTACGGGTTCTACATGGCCTGTGCACGCTTTGGCTCAGGTCCCTCCCAAGGTGCCCGAGCTCCCTTCCCTTCCCACGTGGCCCAGACTCAGCGATGTGCTTCCAACACAGACCGTGCAGAAGCGCCACGATGGCTCCTGTGGCGAAGCTGCAAGTGGGACAGCCCCCCCCTGAACCCCACACCCCGCTCTCCCCTCTCTGGGTTTGCTAGCTCTAGTGAAAGCCAGTCACCAGGTGATGAGATCAGCCCAGGAGCCCTGTGGAGGCGCCCGCAGGTGGAGAGGAATCTGCTGCCAGTCACATGACTGAGCCCTAGACAAGCCTGCTGGGACTCTGGCCCTGCAGACACACCGTTCCGATGGCCTCTCAGAGTCACTGGGACTGGCCCCTGCAGGCACACCGTCCCCATGGCCTGTCAGAGCCGCTGGGACTCTGGCCCTGCAGACACACTGTCCCCATGGCCTGTCAGAGCCGCTGGGACTGGGCCTGCAGACACACCATCCCCATGGCCTGTCAGAGCCGCTGGCCCCAGGGACCAGGAGGAAATGAAGGCTCGCTGCTGTTGTAAGCCACAGTTGGGGCGGTGTGTTACACAGCCCTCGGTGACGGATGGACGGACTTACCCGCCCGGCCTGCCAGCAACTTGAACCCCGGCTCTGTGTGGCAGGGCTGGGGAAAGGACGTGTTGGCGCTGAAAGACTCCTTTGTAGGGAAAGATGGTTTTCCAAATAGTGGAGAACACGCTTCCGGCTTCAGAGCCACAGGGCTTTTCCTAAGACTAGAAAAAGTTAGCTGTGAATGCAGAGGAAGGGTCATAGACTCCTGACAAGCTTGAACGTTCACGCCCGGGGATCTGGCCACAGGCGCTCTCTGCACTCATCTTCATGGTGTCAGGTCTGCAGGGACAGGAGCCCCTGCCTTTACACACAGGGATGGGCTCAGTGAAGCGTTTGACGGAAAGGACGAGAGCCACATGGCCTCACTCCATGTGGGACAGAAACCAGCCAAGGAACAGACAGCAAGCTCACAGTAGACCACACCATGGTGGTCACCGGAGGGCGGGGGGGGGGGGTCCAGGGAGGGTAAGGGTCACGTGTAAGGTGATGAGGAGACTGGACTCTGGGTGGCAGACAGATGTGTGTTGTGAAGGTGCACACCTAACATTACATGATGTTACCAACCAATGTTTCCCCAACAAACGAAAAGACAGGAGTGCAGTAAGACTTAGCAATGCGGAAATAAATATGCAAAGCAGAAGAAAACGCAAGGCGTTTTAATCCAAAGTGTTGAATAAAACTTCCATTTATGTCCGTATTTTTCCAATCCCCCAAATATTGGCCATGATTCGGTCAAACAGGTTTTCAATGCGGGACGGACGCTTTTTTCACAGGGACTGAAGTCAAAGGTTTTCAGTAAAAGAGGGTCGATTAGGAGGTGGGTTGTCACCTGAAACTAACATGATATTGAATGTCAACTGTGACTGAGAAGGAAAAAAGGATTTAAAATTTTGAATTAGGGAAAAGATGTGCTGTGTCCGCAGCTCAGGGAGCCGGCTCCTCGGTGCCACGGTCTGGTCTCTGCGTCCGAGGCCGCCTCACCCTCTGAGGGGGCAGCCACGGCCCTCTGGGCAGGGTGAGGGCCCCTCGCTCTCCTCTCCCCGGACACGAGTGAGCTGCCCATGAGGGCCAGGCCGCTCACCACCGAAAGGTGCCTGAGCCGCACCGTCCAAATGTCAAGGCTGACACGACAATGCCTGCCTCTGGGCGGCAGGGAGCGGACATGCCATCAACAGGCTCATCACACCGGCAGCACGAGGGGCTGCGGACAAGGACGCCAGCAGTGAGGGAGCAGAAGGTCCCACTTACGCCTGGGGCAGGATCAGTTATAAGACAAACGACATAAAGTGAAGACTGACCCACCTTTTCCAAAAGTCTGGAGACGGCCTCGCCACCCTTTCTAGCCCCGAGGGGGTGTGCCAGCAGCCCCGGCAGCGGAGCACGGCTAGAGTGAGGGGCTTCCTGCCGGGATGCCCCAGACCGGCCCAGCCTCCTCCGAAGCCCTCGGAAGCCTGGGGCAGTCTAACGGGCTCCGCTCAGAACTGGCTGGCACCGTCCTCAGGCTCCACTAAGCCCCGCGCTGGGCTCCCTCCGCACCGCCCTCACCTGCCGTGGGAAGTGGAGGGGACAGCTGGCTTATGGGCTCGCTCGCTGCACTGAAGCTTTGTCCTTAACTCATTCATCTCCACGTCTTTAAACTGGAGCTCAGACTGCAGCGCCTGGAGCTGGGGGGAAAGAAAACACTCCATCACATACACGTCACACGCGCAGATGCCACCGCTTCCAAACCCACGCTAAGGAGACACAGCGAGCAACGAGAAGGGAAATGTGCTAAGAAAGGGGAAAGCCTGCTGAGGCAGGGCCGAGCATCCGGCGGTGGCTCCTCTGAAAGCCAGCACGCGGAGAAGAATCTGCTGGCAGCCACTGACTGAGTCTTCACGGCGGGGTAAGTGCCGCCACACGCCAGCACAGAGCTGGACGAGGGCCGTCTCGGCCCCTGTGACCTTTCAGCGAAGGTGCCGCACATCCCAGGCTTCGGGGAAGTCAGGGCAGAGCACCTGAAGTTTCACCAAAACCAGTGCAGTCTGGTCTCCCGGCCTCCTGGTTACCTCCCGGACAGACCTGGGATGTGCAGCCCGGAGCTCCGGGCTCTGCCGAGGTCAGCGCTGGTGTGAGGACTGAACTCTAACGCTGTGTCTGACTGCTGGGCCCCTCCTTCACCATGTATGTGGAAAGGCAGCCGCTGCCTGGGTGCTGGCTGCTGCTGTCCAGCTTGCAAAGGCTGCTGGGTGAAGGGATGGCTTGGAAGTGCTGAGGGAAGGCTGGTAGCCACTGCACATTGCTCTTTTCCTCTCAGGACAGCACCCCCCCCAGAAGCAGGCACCTCTGACCATGTGACCTGCAGGAGCTGTCTCCATGGTGACAGTGACGGGTCAGGGGCAGACGCTGGCTCAGGTCAGACAGAGTAAACGTCAGAGCTTCCCCAGAACTTAAAGCTCCACAGGAGCCACGCGCTGGGCGCTCCGGCGCTGGCAGAGCGCCTTCCCAAGGTCAGAGACTGGCTGCTGGGCGGCTCATGAGGGCCGGGCCGGGCTTGAGCCATGGGGGGGTAGGGGGCACCCCCACCCTGCACGCACACCGCTTTTCCCAGACTTCGTCATGGACGCCGCCACCTTCCCTCTGGCCTAAGCTAGGTGGGCGAGTCCCCCATTCACACCTGTCCCTGGTCTAAGCTAGTTCTTCCTGCCCAGACCAGCTACCCCAGCAAGGCGGTGCCACGCCCGGAGCCCCAGGACAAGGACCCGCATCCCCGGTGGCGGGAAGTACTGAGCACAGAACTGCTGGCATCTTCTGGAAGATTCCGGCCACTGGCCGCTGCCTCCAAAGGCACGGCGAGCGGCCAGCGGTCGCGGGAGCGCGGTCACCTTCCTGGAGAACTCCCTCTCCCTGTCGCCGAGCGCCCGCGCCTTCTCCTGCTCCAGCAGGAGCTGCGACCTCCTCTGCTCCTCCAGCACCGACTCCGCCCGGTGCAGGGAGTCCCGCAGGATTCTGATTTCTCCGCTTTTGATGAGCACCTCCTCCTCCATGGCCTTCATCTGGGAACACCAAAGCGATCTTGTGAAACGTGTGTAAAGGAGGATTACATGTGCGCTTGTGTCAACACGAGGCAGGAGGCGGGAAAGCCATGTCCCACAGACCGGTGAGCGCCCAGAACACCGTGCCCCCCCCCCCCACGGCACCGAGGTTCCTGGGCCTGTTCATGACTAGCTGATGTCAGCAAGGCGGCTTAGCACGCTTGCCACTCACGCATGCAGACTGCGGAACCAGTGAGCCTTACACACGTCACAGAACGAAAACCCCACGTTATGGTCCTGTTTTCCTAGGGACCTAGGTTGGTCACAGGAAGGACATTTTTTTTTTTTTCAAAATGGCTACTGAAAACGGCCACTACGCCGTGTGCTCCGTGCTGTGGGCTCTGTGTGAACAGGAAGCTGGTCTCTGTGGGGCAGGGGGTCTGGTGCAGGGTCTCCTTTCCCGCCTTGCTAAGTGGGCGGCAGCTCCATAGGGCTGGGCTCCTCATTCAAGTCCTGGCTGTATCAAAGTCTCTTTTGTCCCCGGCTTCTGCCAGGCCCCTCGTGCTCATTATTGCGCAAAGCATGCGTAAGTGGAGGGGTTCGCTGTAGGAACCAAAGGGAGCCACCTACCTTTTCTCTAAGTTCTTTGTACTGAGCCTGAAGCAGCTCCAATTCAAAACTCTCTCCAACTGCAGCGCTCTCCCTGCTCTTCCCCGCGGCGCCTCTGGACACCCCGTCCGACCTGGGGGCGCCATGAACACCTGGAAGAAAGTTCCCAGCATTCCCCACTCCTGCCAGACAATGCTGGAGTCACTCTCGAAAGCAAATGAGAGAAGGATCTAGAAGAGATGCAGGCATTTCCCAACCTAGGAACGTGCCTCAGCTCAGAAATGACCCCGATGAAATAGCAGGTCCTGCCGTCCTCCCCGCTCAGCCCCCCCAATGCGAAGCCTCGTCTGAGGGCTGAAAGGCGCTGTGGAGACCCCGCAGTCAGACGCAGTGATTGATCACAGCCTTACTGAGCACCTGCTCTCTGCCGGCCTGGCCGCCCCAGGACAGGGTGAGCAGTGGACTGTCAGGCCGAGGAGCTCACGGACATTAGGAAGAGCGAGGGGCAAGAAGCAGGGCGAGTTCAGGGAACAGAGGAGGGTCAGTGTGGCTGACCAGGAGGAAGAGGGAGGGGACGGCACGCGGGGCCTGTCAGGCCAGATGAAGGGTCTGATTTTCCCCCAGAAACGGCGGCAGCCACTAAAGTGCGTTCAGGAGGGTGTTCACACGTGTCTGTGTGAGTCGCAGCCGACTGCGTTGTGAACAGATCACGCCGGCTGTGGTGTGAAGTCTACCTGCAGGGAGTCAGGATTGGAACTGGGAAGACATCCCAGAGCAGTGGTCGGCAAACGGCGGCTCTGGAGCCACATGCGGCTCTTTGGCCCCTTGAGTGTGACTCTTCCACAAAACACCATGGCCTGGGTGAGTCTATTTTGAAGAAGTGGCTTTAGAAAAAGTTTAAGTTTAAACAATTTGGCTCTCCAAAGAAATTTCAATCGTTGTCCTGTTGGTATTGGGCTCTGTTGACTAATGAGTTTGCCGACCACTGTCAGACTGTTGTCCAGGGGAGGGGCGATGGTACCTTAAATCAGGAAGGTGGCAGAGAGGAGGCAAAGAGGGCAGATTCGAGGTGGATTGAGAAGGTGAAGGTGCCGAAACCGGTGTGGCTCAGTGGATAGAGCGTCGGCCTGCGGACTGAGGGGTCCCAGGTTCAATTCTGGTCAGGGGCATGTACACTGAGTGCGGGCACATCCCCAGTGGGGGATGTGCAGGAGGCAGCTGATCAATGTTTCTCTCCCATCAATGTTTCTAGCTCTCTATCCCTCTCCCTTCTGTAAAAAATCAAATAAAAAAAAAATATATATACACACAAAATATATATATACACACATATATATTTATATATATAAAATTTGAGATATATATATATATATATATACACACACACACACAAAAGGTGAAGGTACAGGATTGGAGAGGAACTGTGTGTAAGGCCACGGAAAGGGAGCGTTGCGGTGACAGCTGGGAGGCAGTGGTGCCAGTCACTGTGGTGCAGGGCATCTGGGCACCAGGCAGTGTGTTCTGAAGGTGTGTTTGCCAGGTGCCAGGCTGGAGATGCTGGAGGACTGGGTCTCCAGAAAATGACTGTGGAATTGAAGATGCCTGCGAGACATCCAAGTAGAGACACAGGTGTCTTCAAAACCTTTCTCCCTTTTGTCCTAGCCGGCGTGACGCAGTGGATAGAGTGTCAGCCTGTGGACTGAAGGGTCCCAGGTTCGATTCTGGTCAAGAGCACATGCCCAGGTTTTGGGCTCGATTCCCAGTATGGCTGTGCAGAAGGCAGCCGATCCATGTTCTCTCCCATCATTGATATTTCTCACCCCCTCTCCCTTCCTCTCTGAAATCAATAAAGCATATACCTAAAAGAAAAACTTCCTCTTTTTGGGAGCCCAAGACTTCATTCATTCCCCAACTGGAAAGCATGTACGCTCCCTGACGGAAGGGGCTTCTGTCTTTTGCTCCTTGCTAAGTGAGCTGCACGAGAGAGGATCGTGGGTCGGCTGCCTCTGGCCTGCACGCCCCCTTCTGGGGACCGAGCCCGCCTCCGGGCCTGTGCCCTGGGCCAGAATCGAACCCGGGACCCTTCTTCCGTCTGCATTTTGACGCTCCATCCACGGAGCCCAGCCGGCGGGGATTTTAAAGAAGCGAAGGGGCGGGGTGGGTGGACACCAGGGCCGCGCCCCCGCGGGCTCCGCAGCCGCCGCGCCGCCCCCGGGAGGAGCCCGCCGGGAGGAGCCCCGGGCGCACTCACGGGACGCGGCGGGCGGGCACTGGCTCAGGGCCTGCGACGCCAGGATGTCGAGCTCCTCCAGGTCGTCCGCCGTGAAGTCCCCGTGGAGGCCGAACGGGTCCTCGGGGTCCGGGGCTGCTGCCGAGGGGAGGCCCCGCGCCCGCTTGCTCGGGGGCCGCCTGCTGCCCGGCGCGGGGGCTCCGGCCATGCTGCCGCCGCCGCCTCCGGAGGCGCAGAGCCGGCGGGCGCGAGGCCGCCCGTGCGCCAACCGCCGCGCGCCGCCTCCGCCGAGGCCACGCCCCCGCCCGCGGGCCAATCGGCGGGCGGCCGGCGGGCGCGGAGCGATGACGCACTTCGAACGCGCCCGCCCAGTGCCCGCCCCCTGTCCCTGCGGCGGCTCCTCCGCGGGTCTGAGGCCGGGGCTGCGCGGTGAGGCCGGGGCTGCGCCCTGGGCTCCCCAGTCCCCCCACGGGGGGCCGCGTGGGCACACGGCCCGGCTGCGGGAGCTCGCGTCACCCCACTCTGCGCACGTGAACCGAGGCAGCCAGCGGGCAGGGTTCGTCTCCGCCGCTTCGCTTCACCCCGCCTGGACCCCTCGCAGACTAGCAGGCTCCCGGGGGTGGAGACCCGGAGAGCGGGGTTGCGGGGAGTGTGGATAGCGGGAGCCGTCGCCAGCAGTTGTGCTTGAACCCGTACCTGTTTGCAGTGTGTCCATTGGAGGTCGGTCTCGGGCAGACAGTCCGAGGGGAGAGGCGACCCTGAAAGGCTGTGGCTGTGTTGAGGGCTGGGAGCTAGCTGCTCGGGCAGGTAGCAGCATTCATTCTTTTCCCGGAGCGCTTGGCTGCTGTCACCCCAAGCTCTGGCCATAGAGACATGAGCCAGGCTCGGGCTGGGACCGGGCGCAGCATTGCAGGACAGGCTGGACGGAGGGGGAGAGTAACGGGCAGTCCTCTCCGCCTTGCGTGCTTAGTGCCAGACGTGGCCCGGGAATGTCTGTGAAGGCCGCAAACGAACAGCAGATGTTGTCAGGGCCTAGCGGGTCTTGAATGCCTGCCTTTAGTTTTTGGGGTCATTGGTGCTTTCCCTCGGCTGCCCAGACGCCGAAGGCTTCAGTGGTAGCTGCTGCAGATCTGCCGAGGCGGGAGCCTACTGGGCTCGCCAGAGGGATCAGGTCCCGGCTGGACACTGCGCTGGCACTGGCTCCGGGAGGGCTTTCTCAGCAGCCGGGGCCGGGTGCCAGCTGGCAAGGCCCCGCAGGGAATGCCCAAGATGGTGCTGATGCAGGCTCCGCTTCCCAGGAGAGGGCCAGAGCAGGCTTCCCCTTTCTGTCAGTACCAAGCACATTCGTCATAAAACAGGGTTTATCAAACCTTTTCCAGTTTTGACCTAGCAAAATCTGACCATGTCTGGAGACCTGCTGGGGCTTGTTTTTATCCTCACCCGAGAACATTTTTCCCTCATTGATTTTTTTTGGGGGGAGTGGGAAGAAGGGGGGAGAGACATCTATGTGAGAGACACCGACGCCCCCTGCTGTCACTCTGGAGACCCTGTGGAGAACACATTCTGAGAGCTTAGCATTGCTCCCAGTGTGTCAGGGTTCGGAGGGAAATTCAGACTTGTGCCTCTGAGTTACCTCAGTACACATGCACTTAGCAACATCATGAATGGCCTCTGACCTCCAGGAATTAATACTGGAGGGAAGGGTGATAACAAATGTCGGGGGGAAATGAAGCACGACCTCCATTGGTGATCAGGAAGAGCCGTCGTCTGAAGGGATCTCCAGTACCCAGGAGAGCGACAGGCAGAGAGGAGTCGAAGTGAGGCAGGAGCTTGTTGGAACAGAGGCCACTGAGGCTCACGATGGATCAGGAGGAGCAGCCATGGGAAGGCAGGGAGTGGTGTCTGATCCCTTAGGGCCTCACGGTCATCGTAGAGACCCTGGCTTTTGCCCTAAGAAGCCATGGAGGGATTTGAGCCCAGAGACACCAAGTAACAGCAGTTCAGCACAACTCTGGGTTCCGAGGGAACTGGGTAGGGGCAGAAGACAACTTTGGAGGTGGCTGCAACGATCCAGGTGAAGGCTTAGGGTTGGGGATGGTTCTTGGGAGAAATATGAAGGGGTCCGATTTAATTTCCCTGATGGTTGAATGTGGGGCACTAGACCCTAGAACCAGGAAGGACCTCTCGAAGCCCTAGCGGGGGACCCAGGCGTAGGCTTGGTTTTTACTCTCAGGAGTCTCCTCCCCCCCCGCCCCCCCACTCGCTTCCCTTCATGGTGAAGAGTATATTGTCCTGCTCCCCTCCTGGAAGAAGCTCCTTGACAACAGGAACTGTCGCGGGCACAAGCCCAGCCTGTGTGTAGTAGACCACGCAAACAGCCCATCCTTCTCTGTGGATGTCAGAGAAGGGTGGCTTTTCTTTCCAAAACACAAACCCTCCCACCGTCATGTATTCTTTCGTATGTACAACCACACAGAAACGACAGCCATTTCCAGCAAGTTGGTTTAATTCCAGGTGTTACACAGAGTATCTCCAAGAACACGCTTTGACAGGATTCTGAGCTGGGCTTCCTCTGACCACACGGCTAAGGTTGAAATGGCAGAATGAGAAGTGAAGAGATGAGCCGATGCATGATTATCGTTTTTGTTTTTTTTTAATAAAAGTTTATTCTTAAATGTCTCCAAGACAACACTTCATTCCAGCTCCAGATGGCAGGAGATGTAATGACAGGGAGTCCTGACGTGAGAACAGGAATGGAATCGAGGATCACCATTGCCCCAGGCACAAGCAGTTCACTTTTTGCCAGATTTCTTAATTCCACCTGTGGCTGCAGAAGGGAAAGTGTCAGAGGGAAGACAGTGCTGGCAGAAGCCCAGCACGTCGGGCTTTACCGACGTGATTTTCCCGAGGGGGTTGGGGGTGTAGACTGAGGACTAGCAGAGCACAGGAACGGCTGTGCATAGGCTGCAGCCACACCATGTCCTGTGCTCCATCGCTGATTGGCTCAACGAGCCTCATCTCCACCAACCCACTTTACAGATACGAAGTCTGAGTGTCAGGTGTTGTTTGTTACAAACCGGCATGTGATGAAGCCAGGATTCCAACCGGGCAGTCTGACTTCCAAACCCATCTTCCTAACTGTCACATCATCACACACCACCTTCTATATGACCACCCTGGAGTCTGGTTCACTCAGCATCGCGTTTTCCCTATTTACAAATGACTCTATTTGTGGCCAACAGTGTGTAATTTAAGAAATAGTTGTAGCCGAAACCGGTTTGGCTCAGTGGTAGAGCGTTAGTCTGCAGACTGAAAGGTCCCAGGTTCGATTCCGGTCAAGGGCATGTACCTTGGTTGCGGGCACATCCCCGGTAGGGGGTGTGCAAGAGGCAGCTGGTCGATGTTTCTCATCGATGTTTCTAGCTCTCTATCTCTCTCCCTTCCTCTCTGTAAAAAATCAATAAAATATATTTTTTTAAAAATAGTTGTAGAATTGGGTATGCCCAGTATAGGAATGGAGATCCTATTGTGACAGAATAAACTTTTAAAAAATTACAGGATGTGGCCAAAACCGGTTTGGCTCGGTGGTAGAGCGTCGGACTGAAGGGTCCCGGGTTCGATTCCGGTTAAGGGCATGTACGTTGGTTGCGGGCACATCCCCAGTGGGGGGTGTGCAGGAGGCAGCTGGTCGATGTGTCTCATCAACGTTTCTAGCTCTCTCTCCCTTCCTCTCTGTAAAAAAATCAATAAAATATATATTTTTAAAAATTACAGGATGTGCCCGGCCCAGTGGTGAACATCAATCTATGAACTGGAAGGTCAGGGTTCCATTCCCAGTTGGGCACATACCCAGGCTGTGGGCTGGATCCCCAAGGCGCGCGTGTGCGCACGTGTGTGTGTGTGTGTGTGTGTGCGCGCGCGCGCGCGCGCAGGAGACGGCTAAGCAATGATTCTCATCACTGATGTTTGTCCTTCCCCCTCCCTTCCTTTCTAGAGTCAATTATATATGTTTTTTTAAAAAAGGATGCCTCATCACACCACTCAAAAAGGAATCTGCTATGTGGCTAAACAACAATGAAACCCATTGGGAGGAAAATCTTGGGGAGCCTGGATGACACTCCACCATCCCAGCCTCCACTGCCCCTCCCCCGGCTCAGTGACCCCAATTTGATGAACGTAACCAGCACTGCAGCAGCACAGACCACACCGGGGCTGCTGGGCCTGACCTGAGAGAGGCAGAATGGCGGGGGTCCGGTTTAAAAAGCACGCGGAGCAACAGCCGCCAGGCAGCCTGTGCTGCTTCCGTCCAAAGGGACCAGGACGCCAACGCATCTACCGCCGCCAGCAACATGGGCAGCGCGTCCCGGCTCTGGGGGCCGCGCAGCGGGGGCCTGGCTGGAAACCCCACTGCAGGGCCCTCTGCGTTTCTCTTCCTGCCGGAGGCCGGTCTGGCTCCCGCCCCTCCTGGGCGGCAAAGCCCAGCCTGGCCCCGGCGGACACGGAGGCCCGAGGCCTCGCCACTCACCGAGGGGCGGACCGGGACCTGCTCGGCCCGCCTTCGGGCTGATGCTCGGGGCCGGCGTGCGTCCGGCCCGGCCCTCACTTACCCAGGGGGCCCTTCCCCGCCGCCTTCGCTTTCAGCTCCTCGAGTTTCTTCTGCTCCTCCTTCTGCCGCTGCTTGAACGCCTTGTCCTCCTGGGGAAGCAGAGCGGGCGCCGTCCGGGCGGGCTCCCTCCCCCTCCGGGCGGGTCCCCACCGCCGCCCGCGCCCGTGCCCGTGCCGCCCCGCGCCGCCCTCACCTCGTCCATCTCCTTGGCCTGCTTCTTGGGCTGCTTCAGCGGCTTCTTCTTGCCACCTGCGGGCGACACGCGCACGCTCACCCGGGCCCCGCGCCGCCGGGCCCCGGCCCGCCCGCCCCGCCAGCCCCGCACACTCACCTTCGCGGCCGGACATGGTGCCTGCCGCCCCGGCCGCAGACCCCGCCACCGGAAGCCCCGCCACCGGAAGCCCAGCTCCCGCCCCGCGCCCGCGCCGCCGCCGCGCCCGCTGATTGGCTGCCACACAGGAAGTTGTGTGCTGGATGCCGGAAGTGGCCTTCTGGAGGCGGGAGCAGCCGCTCCGCGGGGTCGGCGGCTCAGGTGCTAGGCGGGCCAGGTACGGGGGGTGGCACTGGGGGTTCCGGGCCAGGGGAGGGCCGGGGCCGGGAGGGCGCTTCACCGGAAGGCGCCAGCCCCGGGCCGTGCGCGGGACGGGGAGAGCCCTGCAGGCCGAGGGGGGGCTTGTGCACAGACCTCCTTGGCGCGTGTGTGCGGACGCAGGAAGGCACCGCGAGGCTGACGCTGCCGGGAGGCGGTGGGGTGGGGCTAGATCGCCGGCCCCAGAGCCTTGGAGCCCCTCTCGCCCCCGAAGGCATCTGGGCTTTGTCATACAGCCCCGATCGCGACGTGCTGCCCCTTCTACTGATGCCCGTAGCGTTTGTGTTGAATGGGCGCCACGCGCAGGAGGTGGTCTGGGCATGAGGACGCAGCCGGGGAGGAAGCGGAGCCTGCCATGGCAGAGCTGGCTGACGCCGGGGTGGGTCAGACAGACGGACTCTGAGCCGAGCAAAGAGAAATAACTTGTCGCAGGTCATGTGACATGTCCCTGGAGGAAAACGAAGCAGAGGCAGTGGGTGAGGAGTGCTGGGGTTGGGGTGGCAATGACGGTCGAGCAGGTCGTGGGAAAGGGCAGGGAGCTGCAGTACAGACAGTGAAGCCGGGTGTGAAGGCCCTGCAGGGGGGATAGGCCGGTGTGTTCCAGCCACACCGCGCAGTCCACGCGTGGCAGTTACGTGAGCCGGAGGAGGCGTGTGCGAACCTGATCGTGGCAAACGTTTAGCAGTCTGCAGGTGTATCACAGCATCGCATTGTACCCCTGACACTTCCACAGGCGTACACGACAGTAATGTCCCATACAGCCGTGGGGCCGGTCCTTGTGGTGGGAGCAGAGTGCGGAGACCGTGGGAGACAGAGAAGAAGGCGGGCAGGAGGTGGGCCAGGCAGGCCCGGGGAAGGGATGGCGTTTGCCGTGAGAAGTGCGGACTGCTACGGGTTTGAGCAGAAGAGACGTGTCTTGAAGGGACCACAGCTCTGTCCACAGGAGACTGGGGGGGGGGGGGCGGGAGAGGAAGCGAGTCGGGGAGGAGGAGAGATTGTTGGCCCAGGTCGGACGTGGGGTTTCCATCCGCCAGACAGAGCAGGCTCTGGGAAAGGCAGGGTTGGAGGAAGAGCGACTGGAGTCACCGGCGTCCTGCCCCCGCGTGATGTGAAGGCTCCGTTCTGGGGGCTGAGGCCACACACAAAGGCCGTGTGTGTCTGGCGGGAAAGGGAGCGGGCGAGGTGGACAGGAGGGAGGCCCCAGGAAGGCCTTGCCGAGAGGAGACATGGCGTCAGGGGGAGCGGCTGGACGGGCGGAGCAGCGAGGACGGGTGGAGGTGGTGGAGGTCGGAGGGCACAGGGGCCGTGTTAGCTGGCGGGCAGGCGGAGTGGAGTGAGGGATGGAGAGAAGGAAGAGGCCGAGGGCTTGCTGGCCACCAAGGACTGGTGTTGACGCCAGGTGAGTTGGGCACTGAGGGAGGGGACCTGGCGTAGGAGGAGCTCCCAGGTGTCAGCCGAGGCTGTAGCTGCCATCTCTGCCAGGAGAGCGTCCTGGGTCCGGGACTGGGCTGCTTCCTGCTGGTCGGGGAAGAGCCGGGGGGAAGGGGAGGAAGGGGAGGGAGCGTGATCTCAGAAAGAGGCTGTTGGAAGCTGCAGGTGGGGGGGAAGGGGTCTGAGGAGCTCTGGCTGGACTGGCCGGTGGGCGCGTTGGGGGTGTCCGGAGGGAACGTGGAGGAGGGGGCTGGGAGGGAAGGGAGTTGGGGGGGAGTGACAGCCGGGGCGCCTTTCTGCTGAGCGCGCTGAGGAGGGGAGTGTGCCCGGCTGCGGACTTGGCTCTGAGGAGGGCTCTCCTGCAGGGCTGTTGGGGGTCACGGTGTGCGGTGGGCACCGCATGGGGCCTGGGGGACCTGCCAGACCCCTGGAGTGAGGATGGCATGTGCTCCGCGGGCCTCAGGGCTGGGACCCAGGGTCAGGGCAGCACCAACGTGGAACCACTGTCCGGGGATGGCCCTTCCTGCTGCGGCTCTCCGCTCAGGACTCGCTGCCAGGGCTGTGTCCCCGCCCCCCGCGTGGCGTCCAGGGGGCCTGGCGCTTCTCCACGCTCGGCGGCAGGGGCTGCCGGCTCTGTCCCTCCTGCTCTGTCCCCACGGCAGGAAGCCCCTCTCCATTCCCACCGGCAGCGCCCCCCGTGGGTCTCCCTGTCCCAGCGCCTCTGCCTGTGGCCACCAGGTGTCGCTCTGGCGCCGGCGCCGGGACGTGGTGGGGGGGGTAGGGGAGGGTTTGGCCAGAGCAGGGTGCTGCTGGCCCAGGCTTGCCCTCTCGGGAAGGGGGGAAGGGGGCTCCTCTGCCACAGCGGCTTCGGGGCTCTGGGGCTCGGCAAGGCCTGAGGGGCAGTGGAGATGCCCCGAGCCGTTCCTTCAGGGGGGAGAAGTAAGTAGGCTGGGCCCCAAACATCCGGGTGAGGCTGAACGGGAGGGGCACCCGGGAACCTGAGCTGTGGCTGTGGCCGTGGCCGGGCCGGAGGCGAGTGAAACGGGAGCCTGTGGCCTGGAGCGCGTGGGCGTGGAGGCGGGCGGACAGGCTGGGGGAGCCTAGGACACCCCGTCCTCTGCAGGGACAGGCCTGGATCCTCCTCCGGGGAGTCCGGGAGGAGTCTGTCCCCCAAACCCCCGGGGGTCCTCGGTTCCTCAGGGAGTTCGTGGGGCTTTGCCGGCGTGAACAAACTCAGGAGTGACCACTCTCCTAGATGTCAGAAACCTGGGCCCAGAATTGGGATCTGAGTCCTAGCAGAGACCTGGCTGAGGGTGCCGAAGGGGACTGGTGCGGAGGGAGGGGGAGGCATGGTTTCCTGCGCGGCCCCCCCTGGTGGACCCCGGCCCAGCGGGGTGGCACGCGTGTGGACCTTTTCATGGCAGCCGGTCGGTCCAGAGCCGACCGAGCCCAGGCCCTGACCCTGACGTGGCTGGGAGCTGACCCGTCTGTGTCCCCCGCAGGCCTCCCGATGACGGGGTGCAGCGCCCTGCCCGCCATGCAGTGCGCCGCGGGCGTGCCCCCCGCGCTGGTGCGGAGGAGCCTCCTCAGCCGGGACCGCCTGGTGACCAGGACGCTGTGCAGCCCGGGCCCCCGGCAGCCCTGTGGGGACAGGCCGGAGGAGGAGGCCCTGCAGCTGCCCCAGCGCCTGGCAGAGCAGGGCCGCGCCCTGGGCCGCCGCCTGCAGCAGCGCGCCGCTGCCAAGGCCTCCGCCTGGTGGGAGCGGTACGAGGAGTTTGTGGGGCTCAGCGAGGTCCGAGAGGCCCAGGGAAACGTGGCGGAGGTGAGGGGGCCCGGGGGCCGGGCGGGGGGTGGTCCTCTGACCGGGAATCGGGACCTGGTGGCTCCTGCCAAGCATGTGGCCAGCCACGTCCAGGTCTGCCTTTTCTTGAAGGAATTCCACTCTGGGGCAGGGTGGGGGGATTGGCGTGCCCCGGGGCGGCCGGCCTGGCTGCTGCTGAAGACAAGCTGCTGACCATTGAGCTGGCCACGAGGCCCCGCGTGGAACGGAACCCCGTGTGGAGGCAGAGGCCGCGGGAAGCTTCACACGGGAGGTGGGAAGCCTATGATTGTCAAGTCCCTTTTTTAACCCTCCCACGGTGTTTCCCACTGATGTTTAGGGAAAGGGAGAGACAGAGAGACATCCATGGGAGAGAAACATATCCATGGTCGCCTCCTGCACCAGCCCGACCAGGGCCCGGGCCCGGGAGAAGCCTGCAACGGAGGTACGTGCTCTTCACTGGAATCGAACCCGGGACCCTTTGGTCCGCAGGCCGACACTCTAGCCTCTGAGCCACACTGGCCTGGGCCCGCTGGAGGTTCTGAGGCGGTGCTGTCCCTCCCCTTGGAGGTAATGACCCCAGCTGAGCAGTGCCTCGTGGCGCTGTGTGAGGTGTCCATACGGTGACGCCCAGAACATCTAACAGTGTGGACCAGTGGTTCATGCTGCTGTACTCAGCGGCCAGGGTAACGTTTTACACAAAGTGAAAGGCGGGCTTTGAGATTAAATGCATTTCAAAGTTCCTTATCACAAGTTCTCACAGCTACGGTCTTCTTAAACTCCGATACTTTGTGAAACACTGTGTAGCAGGAAGCAAGGATTCTCCTCCAATCGCCCGCCCGTGCTGAGAGCGGGCTTCTCCCGGGGTCTGTCCGGCCGGCCGCTGGCTGGCACCGCAGGCTGTGCGCACTCTCGGCTGCTTCCCGGGCCCTCGGGCCTGTTCCCACCGGAGGGTGAGCCCGCTGGTTCTGGGGGCACGGGGCTGCCCTCGGAGGATGCCTGGCTGAGCCAGGTGCTGTTTCTGAGGCTCAGTCTTCCCGCCACATCCCCCCCCCCCCCCCCGCAGCCTTTTCTCGGCCTGTCAGCTTGGGAACGAGCCGGGCCCTGGGGGAGAGGAGAGGGGCAGGCAGCTTCCTGTCCTCCCCGCAGGCCGAGAAGGTGTTCATGGTGGCTCGAGGGCTCGTCCGCGAGGCTCACGAGCAGCTGGAGGTGCAGCAGGCCAAGCTAAAGGCGGTGAGGGACCGCCTGGACCGCATCTCCAAGGAGGACAGCCAGTACCTGGAGCTGGCCACGCTGGAGCACAGGATGCTGCAGGTAGGCCCCGGGCGGCCTCCCTCACCTGGGCAGGGCCGGAGGGAACCCGGCTGGTCCGAGGGTCAGGCCTGGGAGGGAGGTAACCCAGAAGCTCCTTGGAGGGACAGAGTCTGGGCTTGCTCAGCCCATCGCCCACGTCCTCCTGGAGCGCTGGGTGGACTGCCGGGCGTGTGCTCTGCCCCAGATGGCCGAGGAGGGGGCACCAGAGCGTGCCAGACACGCCCCTCTGGCGGCACATCCCTTGTCTGGCAAACCCCAAGACGGTAGGGTGGGGAGGGGGCGGGGGGTAGTGCAGCTGCTTTGGCCACCCCGACTCCCCTGCTCCACCCACACCAGGCGCACGCTGCCCGCACTCGCTGGCACGTCACGGTGCCAGGCCCGAGGCCGGCCTCAGGGTGAGGGCTGTGTGACCGCTTCGCCCCGCAGGAGGAGAAGAGGCTGCGCACCGCCTACCTGCGGGCGGAGGACGCGGAGCGGGAGAAGTTCTCCCTCTTCTCGGCGGCCGTGCGGGGGAGCCACGAGAAGGAGCGGGCGCGGGCCGAGCGCACCAAGAACTGGTCCCTCATCGGGTCGGTGCTGGGCGCCCTGATCGGCGTGGCCGGCTCCACCTACGTGAACCGCGTGCGGCTGCAGGAGCTGAAGGCCCTGCTGCTGGAGGCGCAGAAGGGGCCCGCCAGCCTCCAGGAGGCCATCCGGGAGCAGGCGTCCAGCTACTCCCTCCAGCACCGGGACCTGCACGGCCTCATCGCGGACCTGCAGGGCCTGGTCCGGGCTGAGCCGGCGCCCGGCTCCCAAGGCGGCGACGCAGACGCGCTCTCAGCCGCCCTGAGAGAGCAGCTCGGCCTCTCCCGGCAGGTCCGCTCCTGCCTGGACGGCCTGCGGGGGCAGCTGGACGGCCTGGAGAAGACTTTGGGCCAGGTGGCCGGGGTGGTGCAGCTGGCGAAGGCCGCAGACCCGGCTCTGCCCGGCGCGGCGCTGGAGCCGGGGGGCCTGGTCTTGGTGCTGCCGGACCTGGAGCAGCGGCTGGAGGCCCGGGTCAACAGGAACACCATCTACAGCACGCTGGCCACCTGCCTGACCATCGTGGCCACCATGCCGATGCTCTACATGCTGTTCAGGGCCAGCTAGCCGCCCCGCGCGGAGGGCCTCGCTGGCCGGTGTGGACGCGGCAGAGGGTCCTGGTGGTGAAGTGACTCGTGGGGACACGCCACCTCGGCCCGAGTGCAGGCACGCCTGTGTGGAGCGTGCGTGGCAAACACACTTCCTTCGTAGGCAGTGCTCCTCTCTATTAACTGAAAACTTTGTGCTAACGTCTCATTAAAATGTCTGAGTTTATGTTATTTAAAGTAATTTATATCAACTGTTTTACTTGTTGGAGATGGAGATTCAATACTCGAGGGTTTGCAAAGAACTTACATACCAACTAGGGGCCTGGTGCACTGGGGGGAGGGCCCTCAGTCCGGCCTGCGCCCTCTCGCAGTCCGGGACCCCTCACTCCTTACCGCCGCCCCCCTCCCCTGTGGGAACGCACTGACCACCAGGGGCCAGACGCTCAATGCAGGAGCTGCCCCCTGATGGTCAGTGCGTATCATAGCGACTGGTCGTTCCACCATTTGATCAATTTGCTTGTCTTTTATTTTATGGGATGTGCATTGCCCACGGACACCGGCAGTAGGATAGTGAAGACCTGAGGGTGTGAGGAGGAGGGTAAAGGGGGGGATGGGAGATATCTGTAACACTATCAACAATTTAAAAAGTTAAAGCTATATTTAAAAAATAAAATAAACAACAACAAAGACTCAAGGGCTGGTCTGGAATTGCGGACTCTCCCCCTCAGCTCCTCTCGTCTCACGGTCGCCTGGGTCTGGACGTTTTGTTTTGGGTTCCTGCCTGCCCTCTGCTCGCCCAGCCGCCCGGTCAGGAAGCCTGGGCGTTCCAGAGGGAGCCCCGCCTGCTGCCTGGCGATGGTGACCGTGGTTACCACCCCCCTGGGTCACTCTCCGCCCGGTGGGGAACCCGCTGGTTCTAATGCTGGACAGACACTCCGGGGGGCAGGGCAGGGCTGGGGGATAAATATTCGGAGACAATGAGGGGACTGGGGCCGCCTGGGTCCCGGGTGCAGTGCTGTAGGTAGCACTGGGTGCCACTGGGCTGAGTGTCCCCCTGCACACCCCAGGGATAGCCTTCAGGCCTGAGCAGAGGTCAGCTTGCCGGCTGGAGGTGGCGGGAGAGCCTCCCAGAGGTGGGCGGTGCCTGGCAGGCATGAGGCTGACTACCCTGAGGACCTCTGACCCGCTCTTTCCAGGGGGAAGGGCGACCTTTGACCTCCGGGCCAGCTGACGTGGGTGTTCTTGTGTGTCCAGAGTAAGCACGGGCGGTGGGGAGGCACTCGCACTCCCCCCGAGGGGTGCCCCCTGGAGCCAGTTTCCCGGGAGGAGCCCTCCCTCCTTCGAGCTGTGCTCAGTCCAACTGACCCCCCCTCTGCCCCCCGGTGCTATGGACCGCCTGGTCATTCGGTCACTGCACCCCTGGCAAGGCTTTCTTCGCTTTTGTTTTTACTGATTTCAGAAAGGAAAGCAAGAGAGATAGGTACAGTGATGATGAGAGAGAATCATTCATCAGCTGCCTGCTGCACACCCATGTGCCCTTGACCAGAATCGAACCCAGGACCCTTCAATCCGCAGGCCAGCGCTCTATCCACTTAGCAACACCGGCCAGGTCCCCAGGATGGAACAGATGACACGGCCTCTAAACGTGGAATGTGCAAAGTCCTGACGGGCAGCAGGGGCCGTGTCTGTGGACAGATGAGGGCTACTGTGGGGGCTGCAAGTCCCAGGTCCCCTTTGGGTGCGGGAGGTCCTGCAGGGATGCACTGGGACAAACCGGTTAGGGGGAGAGGGTGCAGACGCTGCGGGCTGCGGGGGGGGGGAGCTGTGGTCTGGCTCGGGACAGCTGTGGGGTGGGTGGGGCATACGGGGAGAGCAGGAGGCAGAGGAGCTGGGGTGCAGATTGGTGGGCACCTGGGGTCCTGATGTTGGAGGCCTGGGGGGGAGGGGGGGGAGAGGGGGTGACCGGAGATGCTGGGAGGGGATTTGGGAGGCAGAGTTGGGTAGACTGAGTGAAGGTGGACTCTTCCTTTCTGTCCTCACCAGAGGACACTGCCCACTGCTTTTAGAGAGTGGAAGAGGGGAAGACAAAAGCACATCGATGGGCTGCTGCCGGCACGAGCCCCGACCAGGGCCCAGGCCAGGGAAGAGCCTGCAACCCAGGTACCTATCCTTGACAGGACTCGGACCCGGGACCCTTTGGTCCGCAGGAGGACACTATCCACCTAGCCAAACTGGCCAGGCATGACGGCAGACTGGATGGAAGCTGGCAGGTGGGAAGAGGGTGCTGGTGGTGGTAGCCCTTTGGATAGTAGCGTGTGGACGGCCTGAGCCTTCCGGTTCTCTCCCTCCCTCTCTCTCTCTCACACACACATGCACACACACACACACACTCGCACACACAGGTTCACACACGGCCCCTGGGTTTCCAGGGTGACTGTGGGTGACCGGTGAGCCCCCTGCCCCAGGCGCCAGGACTGGCCTCCCCAGGGGGGTCGCGGGCGGGGGCACACGCACTCGGCCGGCAGGGGGCACACGCGGGCCGGGCGGAGCGGGAGCCTCTGCCCGCGGCCCGCCCCTTGGGAGGCCAGGTATTTGCTGCCGGGAGTTGGGACTTGCCCAGGGCTTCCCGGAGGGGCAGGTCCGGGCCGCCGAGGAGGAGGGAGCGCCTTCGCCGCGACTCCCGCAGCCGCCGGCCTCCGAGGGGCACAGCCCCCGCGGCCCCTCCGCCCCCGGTGAGCGCGGCGTGCACGTGAGGGAGTGTGAGTGTGTGAGGGCGAGGGCGAGGGGGAGGGAGAGGGTGAGGAAGAGGGGGAAGGGGAGGGGGAGGGGGAGGAGGAGGGAGAGGGTGAGGGTGAGGGCGAGTGTGAGGGTGAGGTTGAGTGAGGAAGAGGGTGAGGGAGAGGAGGTGGGGGAGGGAGAGGGGGAGGGTGGGTGCGGGGAGGGGCCCCGGTGCCCCCGGAAGCGGTGCCTGTGGGTCCGGAGCCCGGGCTCCGGGTAAACAAACTTGGGAGCCGCCGAGCCCGGGCTGGAGGGAGGGGCGGGCAGCGAGCAGGTGAGGGCGCGGGTCCCGGCTCCTCCATCCGGGTCCCCTCCGCCCGGTCCCCCTCCGCCCGGGTCCCCTCCGCCCCTCCCGGCGCAGGTGAGGCCGGCGGAGCGGGGGACCCAGCGCCCCCGCCCCCGGCACGTCGGGGCGGGCAGCTCGGGGCTTCGGGCCGGCGGCGGGCGGCGCGCGCTTTGTCTCTTTGTTCCGCGGCGGCGGCGGCGGGGGAGCTTCCCGCCCTCGGCCTCCGGGTGACGGCGCCGCCGGCCGGGCGCGGAGCGGAGCGGAGCGAGCGGAGCCCCGCGCTGGTCCCGCCGGCCCAGGCCCCGCGGCGGTGAGTGCGCCGGGCCGGGCCGGGCGGCGGGAGGCCGGGCCGGGCGGCGGGAGGCCGGGAAGTTGGACGCTGCTCCGGGAGGGAAACTCGCGGCTCCGCCCGGAACGCGATTGGGAGACGGAGGAGGTGGAGCCGCCCGCCGCCCCCTCCCCGCCCCGGGCGGCCGGGGGTCCTGCCGGCCGCCCGCCGGGTCCTGCCCGCCGGGTCCTGCCGGCCGCCCGCCGGGTCCTGCCCGCCGGGTCCTGCCCGCCGCCCGCCGGGTCCTGCCCGCCGCCCGCCGGGTCCTGCCCGCCGCCCGCCGGGTCCTGCCCGCCGCCGGGGGAGGGAGGTGGGAGGTCCGGGAGGAGCCCCGGGGCCTCGGGGCTGCAGCCCCGCAGGTGCGGGTGGCGGCGGGTCCTCCCCGGCGGTCCTCCCGGGTCCCCGGGCCGCTCCGTCACCGAGTGACCCGCGGGCGGGGGCCGGAGGCGGAGGGGAGAGCGGCTCCGGGTCCGAGAGCAGGGCGGTGGGGCAGAGGCTGTGCGCCCTCGCCGGTGAGGGGCGCCCAGGCCCGCGGTCCGCCCTGCGCCGGCGGGAAGGGGCCTCGGGCGGAGGGGGCGGAGGGCGCGCAGGGCGCAGAGCGAGGCCGAGGCCGGGCGGTGGGGCCAGAGGTCGTGCCGCGGGCGGGAGGCCCCGGCTGTGCCCGTCGGGCCGGAGGCTGCGCTCCCCGCGCCGCGCCGGCTGCTCCTGAAGGTCGGGCTGCCCGGCCGGTGCGGCTCAGTGGGTAGCGCGGGCGGCCTGCGAAGTGAAAGGTCCCGGCTCCCTTCCCGTCAGGGGCAGGCACCTCCGTGGCCGGCTCCTCCCGCCCAAGGCCCTGTCTCTCCTTTCTCTTCTACTCTCCCCAAAAATCAATGGGAAGATATCCTCGGGCGAGGATTAAAAAGACAGAAGAACAAAACCCTGGGCCCGCACCTGCCTCCTGATGCTGGAGCTCAGAGAACGCTCCCAGGAGCCCCTGCTGTCCCTGTCCGGGTGTGGGGCCTCCTGCTGTCCCCGTCCAGGGTGGGGGAGCCGCAGGGAGGACGGGGCCTTGGCTGGAGCCACTGATGCCAGGCAGGTGCCACGTCATGTGTCACGGCCAGAGCAGAGCTGCCCAGCCACCCGGGGCGTGGGCGCAGCAGCCCGGCGGGCTGGGGACGGGGACCCCAGGGAACGCGGGCTGGGGGTGGGGTACTGAGGGGAAGGGGAGTGGGCACTCCAGGCGGAGGATCAGCCGTGGGAGAGCAGGGAGGAGGGCAGGGCCTGCGGGTCAGGCGGGCATGGGATGGGGAGGCTGGGCTGGAGGTTCCACCTTCCTCACAGGCCCAGGGGCCCCAGAGGCTGGGTGGGGGCCAGGAGAGGGATGGGGGATTCGGCCTGGAGACCCTGCAGAGGGGACTGAGCGGGCCGGGCTGCGCTGTGGCTGTGGCCTGTGGCAGAGGGGCCGTGCCCAGCGAGGAGGAGGAGGAGGAGGAGGAGGAGGAATCGCCGCCACCTGTTCCCGCCCCAGCTCCCGCGGTCACCGGGTGCAGGCCGGGGTCAGCGATGGCACAGCCGCCTTCCCCAGAGGGTCAGCCTCAGCCTCAGCCTGCTCTTCCGGCGGCCTGGGGCTGTCCGACCCCGCCCTCCCCTCCTTCTCCCTCCCCCCGGGCCACCCCGCTGGGCTCTGGCATTCGGGAGTGTCTCCGTGGCTGCTCCCGGGCTGGAGAGCCTTGGCACAGACTGAGCAAATGTTTGTCCGAGACCCAGGGGGGCGCTGGTCTCACTGGACCCTCTGCCCCGGGCACGGCCCCGGGCGGGAGGGGAGGGCAGAGCAGAGCAGCCCTGCCATCAGGCACACCCTGTCCTGCGGCAGGCGCTCCCCGCGCCCTGGAGACCAGTGGGGGCTCCTGGGAAGCTCTCCTGGCTCCGGGCTCCAGGGCTCTGGGGTCCTGGCTCCGGGCTCCGGCTCCGGGCTGGGCTCACGCTCGCCCCGCGCCCCCTCCCGCCCCCTCAGGCGAACAGAGGAGCCTTGTTCCGCGCCCATAGAGCGGCCCTGTTCTCTCACTCAAAATGGAAACCCCCAGCTATTTCGGGAGCTGTGCCCGGCCGGGCTGTGGCCTCGGCTCCACGGGCCGCTGGACCCTCTTCCGTCAGAGCCTCTGCCCAGCCCCGCTCGCTCCTGGCGGCCTCGGCGACACCCAGGGCCTTGCCGGGAGGAGCTGGCCTGGGCAGAGCCTGGCAGCTGGGTGGCGGGAGGGGCTGGGCAGCGTGGCCCGGGCACAGGAAGTGGGCGAGTGTCTCAGGGCCTGTGGTGCGCGGCCTGTCCCCCGGCTTCACCCGCCTCCTGGCCGGGGGCCACCGGGCCGGGACGATGGTGTTGCCATGGTTTCCTGGTCCTCGCAGGCCGTAGCTGGGGCCTCTGGGGAGGGGTCTGTGCGGAGAGCAGACACCCAAGGTTTGGGAGCTCCGGGGATGGGGGCACAGCGGGGCATGGGGTCTTATTCTAGGCAGTGGTCGGCAAACTCATTTGTCCACAGAGCCAAGTACCAACAGCACAACGACTGAAATTTCTTCGGAGAGCCACATTTTTTAAGCTTAAACTTCTAACGCCACTTCTTCAACACAGACTCACCCAGGCCGTGGGAATTTTGTGGGAGAGCCACACTCAAGGGGCCAAAGAGCCGCATGTGGCTCTCCAGCCGCGGTTTGCCCACCACTGTTCTAGGCCATCCATCCGCCCGCCCCCTCCCTTCTCCACACCCGGTCCTGGCCCAGCTTTGACCTGCCGGGAGGAAATGGCAGGAGCTGGCCTGGCCCGCGGCCGTGTGCCTGGCCTGTGGGGTGTCTGGATGTGAGCACGCCTTCGGTATGCGCCTGTGTGAGGGGCGACCTGTGTGTTTCTGTGTGTCGGGAGCTTGTCTCCGTGTGGACGTGCCTCGGTGCAGGTGGCTGCGTGAGGGTGGTGTGTCTGCCTGTGTGTCTGTGTGTCCAGATGGTGTCTGCAGGCATCTGTGTGTGTGAGCACGCATGTGCCTGTTGGTGTGTGTGAGCGTGTGTCTGCCTGTGAGGGTGGCGGTGCGGGCCGGGGCAGCCGGCGCGGGGAGGCCTGTGCCCGGTGCCCGGACGGACGGGTGGCGTGCACGGAGCGGGCGGGAGCCTGCCAGGAAGGGAGCGAGGTGGGGGGCGGGGGCCGGCGGGTCCCACCGGGCCTGCCAGCCGCGGGCTCCCTCCTCTCGCCCTTTCCCAGGCCCCGGGCTCCGGTTCCGCCGCCCCCTCCCTGTGTGGGCGCTGAGGAGGCGTCCCCTGTGGAATGCGGTGGTGGCCGCGGGCCAGGCTGGGCCCAGCTCCACCGCAGGCCGGGCCGCGAAGGGTGCCTTGTGCTGCCTCCACACGCCTGGCTCACGCGCTGCTTCTCCCGGCAGGTCATGCTGTTGTCTGCTGCCCCAGCCGGCCCCGCCAGGTGAGCCTGCCTGCCCCCCCCCCCAGGGCGTCCTGACCTTCCCCCCGCATCCTGACCTCCCCCCCTCCCGGGCGTCCTGACGCCCCCTCTGTGTCCAACCCCCCCCCCCCTGTGTCCTGACTGCCCCCCAGGCGTCCTGACCTCCCCCGGGCGTCCTGACCTTCCCCCCGCATCCTGACCTCCCCCAGGCGTCCTGACTCCCCCCTCGGGCATCCTGACCTCCCCAGGGGCCCTGACCTCCCCCCCCCCCCCCGGCGTCCTGACTGCCCCCCAGGAGTCCAGGAGATGCGGGACTCGCACCTCTATTCGGGGTTCTGCAGGACAGGGCCCCGCTGTTCAGGCCTCCTCCCCACGGCCCTGACCCCCTCCTCTCTCCAGCCCTTTGGTTCTGTGCTCACTGCCTCCTGGACTCCTGCCTGAAAGCCCTGCCCCCGCTCCCCTTCCCCCAGCTCCTGCTCCTGCCCCCCTCCCTCTCCCCTGCTCCTGCCCCCCCTCCCGCCCTGCCCTGACATGCCAGTGGCTGAGGGGCGGCTCCCTCCCTCCTGCTGCCCAGGAGCTGCCAGCTGGGCAGAGGGCCCGCCCTCCTTGGGCTCTGGTTCCTCCTTCCCATCCCTGCTCCCTCCTGCCCCTTCCGGTATGTCCCCGGTGATGGTGGTGACCAGGGCAGGCGGTGAGGGGGAGGGGCAAGGTCTCCCTCCGAGAGGGCAGTTGGGAGGTCCCAGGAAGGACCTGCCCAGGCCTGTGTGTGGCCTGGGCTCTGCCTGGACCACGTGCCTCTGCTCGCCCTGCCCTTCCCCGGTGGCCACTGAGCCCGCCCCGCCTCCCCCCAGGTGACCATGCCGGCCCTCGGCCCGGCCCTCCTCCAGGCGCTCTGGGCCGGGTGGGCCCTGGCCCTGCAGCCCCCGGCCCTGGAGGCCTTCGCGCCCAACGGCACGCAGCTGCAGCACCTGGCCCGGGACCCCGCCTCCGGCACCGTCTACCTGGGCGCCACCAACTTCCTGTTCCAGCTGAGCCCGGCGCTGCAGCTGGAGGCCGCTGTGCCCACCGGCCCCGTGCTGGACAGCAGGGACTGCCTGCCGCCCGTGGTGCCCGAGGAGTGCCCGCAGGCCCGGCCTACCGACAACCCCAACCAGCTGCTGCTGGTGGGCCCCGGGGCGCTGGTGGTGTGCGGGAGCGTGCACCAGGGCGTGTGCGAGCAGCGGGGCCTGGGGCAGCTCGGGCGGCTGCTGCTGCGGCCGGAGCGGCCCGGCGACACCCAGTACGTGGCCGCCAACGACCCCGAGGTCAGCACGGTGGGGCTGGTGGCCCGGGGCCCCGCCGGCGAGCCCCTCCTGTTCGTGGGCCGGGGGTACACCAGCCGGGGCGTGGGCGGCGGCATCCCGCCCATCACCACTCGCGCCCTGCGGCCGCCGGACCCCCAGGCCGCCTTCTCCTACGAGGAGACGGCCAAGCTGGCCGTGGGCCGCCTGTCCGAGTACAGTCACCACTTCGTGGGTGCCTTCGGGCGCGGGGCCAGCGCCTACTTCCTGTTCCTGCGGCGGGACCTGCAGGCCCAGGCCCGCGCCTTCCGGGCCTACGTGTCCCGCGTGTGCCTGCGGGACCTGCACTACTACTCCTACGTGGAGCTGCCGCTGGCCTGCGGGGCCGGCCGCCACGGGCTGCTGCGGGCCGCCGCGCTGGCCGCGTCCCCCCAGGGGGCCGGGGGGCAGGTGCTCTTCGCCGCCTTCGCCTCAGCCGCGCCCCCCGCCGCCGGCCGGCCCCCCGTGGCCGCGGCCGGGGCGGCGGGCGGCTCTGCCCTCTGCGCCTTCGCCCTGGACGACGTGGACCGGCTGGCCAACCGCACGCGGGACGCCTGCTACACCCGGGAGGGCCGCGCAGAGGACGGGGCCGAGGTGGCCTACATCGAGTACGACGTCAACTCGGACTGCACGCAGCTGCCCGTGGTGAGCCCCGGCGGCCACGGCCACGGCCACGCAGCCTGAGGGGGAAACGGGGGGTGTGGCTTCCTTTGTACCTGGGTGGTGGGGGACCTCATGGCATTCAGGGGGACGGGGGAGGGGAGGGGTTGGGCTGGGCATCCAAGGGACTGCGTTTGGGTAAGCGATGGAGAGGGTTTTGGGGCTCTGGGGGATGCGGGACCGCCACCCAGAAAGGGGTGGGACTGGGTCCTGTTGGGATAGTTTTTTGAGCAAGAGGGCAGGTGAGGGCGAGGCTTGTCTGGCTCTAGCTCAGGATTCAGAAAGGGAAGAGGTGCCCAGAGCGGACTGGGGACCATGCAGGCCGCGCGGGCTTTGGAAACATGGTCCAGGAAGAGGCTGAGCTCACACACCTGGAAGCAGCGGCTCCCAGGCCAGGGGTGGGCGAAGGTGGGGCCCAGACGGGTGGGCGTCCCACCGAGGAGGAAGGCGCTACTGGAGACCGGCCGGGCAGGGGGGGTACGCCGGGCAGGCAGGCTGAGGCGGGCTGAGTGCCAGTACGGGCTGTGGGCGATATCAGCGAGGCTGGCACAGAGCCTGGGGCAGGGATCGGGGTGTCTCTGGGGCCCAACCGAGAGGACAGTGTTGAACTGGCGAGGCCGGGGAAGGCAGGGGCTGGCCGGGGAGGGCAGGGGGCGGGCCAGGGTGGGCCGGGCAGGCGGGGCGGGGATCCGGAGGGCTCACCGGCTCCCTGCCCCGCAGGACACACTGGATGCTTATCCCTGTGGCTCGGACCACACGCCCAGCCCCATGGCCAGCCGTGTCCCCCTGGAAGCCCGGCCGGTGCTGGAGTGGCCGGGGGTCCAGCTCACGGCGGTGGCGGTGACCGTGGAAGACGGCCACACCATCGCGTTCCTGGGGGACAGTCAGGGGCAGCTGCACAGGGTGAGTCTGCCCGGAGGGCCGGAGGGGACGGGCTGCCCGTGACCCCTGAGGCCTGGACAGGGCATCGGGACACGACCCCAGCCCCAGGCTCCCCTTCCAAGGGCTGGGCCGTGTCTGACTGCGATCCCCACCCCTCCGGCCCCAGGGCTGGTGGGGAGCCCTGCGCTGCCTGCCAGTCACTTCCTGCGGGCAGCGGGGGGCCCGGCCTGTGGCACGGACTGTGGTTTCCGATCTCAGGTGCTCCTGGGCCCGGGTGGCGACGGGCACCCGTACTCCACCCAGAGCATCCAGCCGGGCTCCCCGGTGAGCAGGGACCTCACCTTCGACGGGGCCTCCGAGCACCTGTATGTCATGACCCAGAGCACCGTGAGTGCCGGCGGGCGCTGGGGCCGGGGAGGGGGGGCCTGGCCCCCAGGGCTGGGATCGCCGGCCTCAACCCTCTGTGCTGTCCCAGCTCCTCAGGGTCCCGGTGGCCGCCTGTGCTCAGCACCCGGACTGTGCCTCTTGCCTCGCTCACAGGGACCCGTACTGCGGGTGGTGCGTGCTCCTGGGCAGGTGGGTGTTGCATGGGCCCCTGACCTCTCCCCAGCCCCAGCCTCCTCCCCTCCATGCTCCTGCAGTTATAATTGCCCTGTCCAGGCCCTGGCTGGTATGGTTCAGTAGATACGAGCGTTGGCCTGCGGACTGAAGGGTCCTGGGTTCGATTCTGGCCAAGGGCATGTGCCCAGGTTGCGGGCTCCATCCCCACAAGGGGGTGTGCAGGAGGCAGCCTATCCAGGATTCTCTCTCATCGTTGATGTTTCTCTCCCTCCCCCTCCCTCCCCCTCTGAAACCAATACAAACGTATTTAAAATGACAATAATAATAACAGCCCTCTCTAGGATTCCTGGTCCTTGGCTCTTGCCTCTCAACCCCCGCCCTCTGCCTGCCCCAACCTCCGACTGTCCTCTGCCCCAGGATCAGGGCCTGGCCAGGCACCCCCAGCCCAGTGTCCCGGCCCAGCAGAGGGTACTGCCCGGTGTCCTCAGGCTGAAGGTGTCCCTACCCCGTGAGCGCCCCCGCCTGGTGGCCCCGGTGGACACTGGTCGCTCCCGCCAGGTGCAGCCGCCGGGCAGAGTGCTCGCGGGGCCAGGGCCCAGCACCGTGGCTGTGGAGCTTCGGGCCGGAGCCGGGCTGCCTGCAGGTGGCAGCCCTGAGCCCTGCCAGCATCAGCCGGGAGGAGAGGAGGGAGGTGAGTGAGAGCGAGGCCGGGGAGGGCTCTGGTGGTGGGTCCGCACCGTGGCTGTTGGTGTCAGACGTGCTGGGTGCCCATGGCCGGCACAGGCCACTCTCGGCCTTGCTTCCACTGCAGTTACTGGCCAGGCCCGAGGCTGCCTGTGAGAGCCGGGCGGGTACCAGCCCAGATCTGCTGCCCATTGGCCCCGACCTTGAGCCCTGGCCTCTCTCGGCAGGTTTTCCTGTCGGTTCCTGACCTGCCCGCCCTGTGGCCGGGGGAGTCCTACTCCTGCCACTTTGGGGGGTACCAGAGCCCGGCCCTGCCCACCCCATCCGGGGTGAGGTGCTCCTCCCCAGACCCGAGTGGGGCCCCAGCGCTGCCGAGAGGAGCCGGTGGGTGAGAGAAGGGGCCGGGCCCCCCCAGCCCTGCCTGCCTGCTGCCCTGCTCCCGGGGGTGTGGGTGGGCCCTGAGCCCCCCCACTAGTCCCCAACCCCCAAAGTGCCCATTTTATTCCCAGTGGACTCTGTCCCCCGACCCGGTGTGCCTTCCCACTCTGTGTGGTCTCGGGACGCTGGCCGGGGGCCTGGAAACCCCGCCCCCTCCTCAGCGGGCCCCCCCCCCCCATTGCAGACCACGTGTCCGTGAGCCTGGAGCTCAGATTGGGCGCGGTCCTGATTGCCAAGGCTGCCCTCTCCTTCTACGACTGCGCGGCCATCACTGAGCTGCACCCGTCTGCACCGTGAGTGCCTCCCTGACCCCCAGGCCCGCCGCCCACGCCCACGCCCGTGCCCTGTGCCCACGGCTGTGTCTGTGCAGGTGCCAGGCCTGCGTGCGCAGCCGCTGGGGGTGTAACTGGTGCGTCTGGCAGCACCTGTGTTCGCACAGGGCCGCGTGTGACTCCGGGCCCGTGGTGGCCAGCCAGCAGGTGAGCGTGGCTTGGGCGGGGCCTGCGGCCCGGGTAAGCAAGCGCTGCTCCACGCCCGGCTTGCCCGCCCGCCCCATGAGGCTGCGGGGCCCACCTGAGCGGCCGCTGCCGCCCGGAGGGGCACCGGCAGCTGAGAGGCAGCGAGGCCCTGCCCCTCGGCACAGACCCCGGAGCCGCCCTCCATTGGAGAGTTAACGGGCTGTTTGTTTTCTCTTCCCCTTGGTCTCCTCTCCTCACACATCCTCTCCTGCCTGCTGCCTGCTGCCTGCTGCGGGGCCCTCCTGCCTTCCTCTGCCTCCCCCAGAGCCCCCCGCTCTCCCCGGCCCCTCCCACAAAGGATGCTCCCACCCTCTCCCCCTCCCCCTCCCTATCTCCCTCCCCCTCCCCCACGACCGCCGTCACCCCTGCCCCTGACACCCAGCCCGTGGAGCCCTCCTCAGCCCCCTCCTCAGCCGCAGCCTCAGAGACCCCACCTGGGACGGGGCCCTCCGTGCTCAGCACCGGGGGGCCGTGGGCGGGCCCCAGCCCCACACCGGCCTCGGCCACCACGGGGTCCCCTCTGCACGAGGGCCCCCTCCCTCCCAGCCCCCCGGACGGACCTGGAACCACCGTCCCCGCTGTCACTGACGCCGAGCCCACGGCCACCCCCACGGACCTGGCGGCCCCCCAGCCATCGCCCTCCAACGCGGACCCCGCCAGCCCCGGCCCCGGCACCCTCCCCCCCACGGGGCCCCCGGACCAGCCGCCCAGCGCCGCTCCCGCCACCCCCTTCCTAGGGGCGGCCGGCGCCACCGAGCCCGGCCTGGACTGGCTCCCGAGAGAAGGCGGCCCGCGGCCCGAGGCGGACGAGTGGACGGGGGGTGACCCGCCCGCCTTCTCCACTTCCAGCCTCCTCTCAGGCGACGGGGACTCGGCCGAGCTCGAGGGCCCGCCCGCCCCCCTCCTGCTGTCCGGCCTGGACTACCAGCTGGACGGCCCCGGGCCCTGGGAGCTGGTGAGGCCGCCGGGAGGGGCGGGGAGGGGCGGCGGGGCCCGGCCTCCGTGCGGGGAGGACCGGCGTGGCTCCATGCCTGCCTGGCTCGGTGCCCGCAGGACGAGGGGAGCTGGGGGGCCGGTGCCTGCCCCTGCGTGGACAGCGTCCAGGGCTCCGAGCTGCTGCCGGTCCACGTGGAGCGACAGGTTCGGCTGCTGGGCAGGAACCTGCGCCTCCTCCAGGTGAGGGCCCTGGCCGCGGCGGGAGGCTGGCTGCTGGCAGGCTCACAGCCCGGCTCAGGCCCTGCTGCTGACGCTGCCCGCGCCCCCAGGACGGCCCCGGCCACAGCGAGTGTGTGATGGAGCTCGAGGGCCGAGAGGTGGCGGTGCCGGCCCAGGTGCGGTGCGAGCTGCCTCCGGACACGCGGTGCCACGTCACCTGCCAGCAGCACCAGGTGCGCACCTCACCCGGCCCCGCCCCGCTCGGACCCTGCCATCCCAGGGAGTGTGGGGCCCCCTCTCTGACCTCTGACCCTGTGCCCCCGAGGGGTCTTGGTAGCTCTGACCTCTGACTCTGGTCCCATGGAGTCCCCTGCACCCCAACTCTGATCTCTGGCTTGGGGGTCTCACAAGGAGTCATGTTGGTCCTTTCTCTGACGTGGAACCCAGGGCCACCCTGCGGACCGGTGGCCTCCCCCCCATCGCCCTCACAGCAGAGGCACTGCCCCTGCCCCCTGCTGCCTCCCAGCCCTGCTCTGACCCCTGCCCTCCTGTCCCCGCAGCTCAGCTACCAGGCTCTGCAGCCAGAGCTCCGGGTGGGGCTGTTTCTGCGCCGAGCCGGCCGCCAGCGCGTGGACAGCGCCAGCGGGCTGCACCGTGAGCGGGGGGCGCGGGCGGCGGGGCTGCGGTGGGGAGGGGAGAGGGGGGCCCAGGCTCCCCATGCCCCTCACCCGCCTCTGCCCCCAGTGCTGCTGTACGACTGCTCGGTGGGACGCGGGGACTGCAGCCTCTGCCAGACGGCCGCGCCCCGGTTCGGCTGCGTGTGGTGCCAGGGGCCGCGCCCGCGGTGCGTGGCCCGGGAGGCCTGCAGCGCGGCCGGGGCCGTGGCCACCCAGTGCCCCGCGCCCCGCATCCACTCGGTGCGTGGAAGCCGCCGCCCGGGAGGGAGGGGCCGCCCGGGAGGGAGGGGTGCGGGGGCCCCTGGCGCAGGGGGTCCCAGGCGCGGTGGGCGCTGGGCCGGTCCCCCCGGGGGCGGTGTGAGCGGTCCCTGTCCCGGCAGGTGGAGCCGCTGAGCGGGCCGGTGGACGGGGGCACCCGCCTCACCATCAGGGGCTCCAACCTGGGCCAGCGCGTGCGGGACGTGCAGGACACGGTGCGCGTGGCCGGGCTGCCCTGCGCCGTGGACGCGCGGGAGTACGCCGTGTCCAGCAGGTGAGCGGGCGGCTTCGTGCTCAGGGCCGCCCCCTCCCCTCCCGGGGCGCCCCTGCCCGCCCCCCCACTTGGTCCTGGTCGCCGGCTCAGGGCTGGGGCTGCGGCCGGGCGCCGTGGTCACTCATCGCCAGGCCTGGCCCAGTGCTGCCAGCTTCGGCGGGCGCACCCTGCCCTGCCCGGCCCCCGCCTGACCCTGTGACCCCGGGAAGCTGGTGGATCCCCGGATTGCAGAGCCTCCAGGAGGCCCCCTGGGGTCCCGTCCAACGCGGAAGGTTCCCATCCACCCCGGGAGGACGGGGCAGGAGGCAGCCCTGGGCGTGGCCTGGCCCCAGCCCGCCCTGTGCCCCGGCCGCCCTGTGGCCCGTCAGCCCTGTGCCCCAGCCCGCCCTGTGCCCACGGCCGCCCTGTGCCCACGGCCGCCCTGTGCCCCGCCAGCCCTGTGCCCCAGCCCGCCCTGTGGCCCGGCCGCCCTGTGGCCCGGCCGCCCTGTGCCCCCGGCCGCCCTGTGCCCCCGGCCGCCCTGTGCCCACGGCCGCCCTGTGCCCACAGCCTGGTGTGTGTGACGGAGGCCAGCGGGGAGGAAGTGACCGGCCCCGTGACCGTGGAAGTCCCCGGAAGAGGACGAGGGGTCTCGGAGCTCGACTTTGCCTACCAGGTGCCTGGCTGCTGAGGGGCCACCGCCTCTGCTGGCCCCGCCCGCCCACCCAGTGGCTCCTCCCGCCCACCCAGTGGCTCCTCCCATCCATATCCGGGCTCCTCCCACCTCCCCTGCTTGCCCCTCCCACCTCCCCTGCTGGCCCCGCCCACCACCCAGTGGCTCCTCCCAGCCCTCGGGTTTCTGGGCTCGGCCGGGCCTCCCTGTCTGTGGTCTGACTGTCCGTCCGACCGTCCGTCCGTCCCGCAGGACCCGAAGGTGCATTCCCTGTTCCCGGCCCGAGGCCCCAGAGCGGGGGGCACCCGCCTCACGCTGCGCGGCGCCCAGCTGCTGACCGGGCGGCCCGAGGACCTCCGCGTGGTGGTCGGAGAGCGGCCGTGTCCGCTGTGAGCGGCGGGGGGCGCTGTGGGGGCTCCGGGGGGGGGGGGTCAGCAGGGCAGGGCGCTGAGGTCCGGGTCCCCGCTCCCCGGGCCCCTCCCCGGCCCCCCTTCCCATCCACCTCCCCGGGCCCCTCCCCGGCCCCCTCCCCGGCCCCCTCTCATCCCCCTCCCCGGCCCCCGGCCCCCCTCCCGGCCCGCAGCCGGCCCACCGCCCCCCGCCCCCCCCAGGCTCCCGGGGCCGCAGGCGGGGCAGCTGCGCTGTGAGACCGGCCCGCACCCCGCGCCCGCCGCGCTGCCCGTGGCCGTGTGGTTCGGGGCGGCGGAGCGGAGGCTGCCGCACGGCGGGTTCGAGTACACGCCCGACCCCAACGTCACGGCCGCCGGCCCGGCCCGGAGCTTCCTCAGGTGCCGCCGCCGGGGCTGGAGGCGGGCGGGTGCGGGCGGGGGGCGGGGGGGACCCGCTGTGCCGGGGGCCGGCCACAGACCACGGCGGCTCCTCTTGCAGCGGGGGACGCGAGATCCGGGTCCGAGGCCAGAACCTGGACGTGGTCCAGACGCCGAGGATCCGCGTGACGCTGCCGCCGGGCGGGGGCCTGGGGCGCAGGCGCCGCGTGGTCCCCGAGACTCCGTGCCCCCCCGGAGCCCACTGCGGCGGCCACGGCCTTCAGGTAGGACACCCCAACCCGGGGCCCCCCACCCCCATCCCCATCCCATCCTCACCCCCTAGCCCCTCCTCACCCCCTACCCCCACCCCCCTCCCCACCCCCATCCTCACCCCCTACCCCCTCCCCACCCCCATCCTCACCCCCTAGCCCCTATCCCCTCCCCACCCCCATCCTCACCCCCTACCTCCTTCCCACCCCCTCCCCACCCCCATCCTCACCCCCTAGCCCCTACCCCCCTGCCCACCCCCATCCTCACCCCCTACCCCCTCCCCATCCCCATCCTCACCCCCTACCCCCACCCCCCTGCCCACCCCCATCCTCACCCCCTACCCCCATCCCCATCCCATCCTCACCCCATCCCCACCCCATCCCCATCCTCACCCCCTACTCCCTACCCCCTCCCCACCCCCATCCTCACCCCCTACCCCCATCCCCATCCCATCCTCACCCCCTACTCCCTACCCCCTCCCCACCCCCATCCTCACCCCCTACCCCCATCCTCACCCCCTACACTCCCCACCCCCATCGTCACCCCCTACCCCCATCCCCATCCCATCCTCACCCCATCCCCATCCTTACCCCCTACCCCCACCCCATCCCCATCACCCCCTACCCCCCACCCCCTGCCCACCCCCATCCTCATCCCCTCCCCCCCACCCCCATCCTCACCCCTATCCCCTCCCTACCCCCATCCTTACCCCCTACCCCCCTCCCCACCCCCATCCTCACCCCCATCCCCACTGCCAGCCCTCCCCACCCCTACCCCCTCCCTACCCCCATCCTACCCCACCCCCACCCCAACCCCACCCCAAGATACCAGAGCCCCCTTGGCGGCCAAGGCCTTCAGATAGGATTCCCCATCCCCGCCCATCCCTCCCCCCTCCCCACCGCTACCTCCCACCCCCTCCCCACCCCCTCCCACCCAGGACGGCCGTGGGTGGGCACTACCTTTGCGGCCCCCCCGCCCGCCCCTCCAGGTGGAGGAGCCCTGCCGGGTGAACAGCTCCCGGCTGGTCACCTGCCCCACGCCCGCCCTGCCGGGGCCGCCGCCGGAGCGCTGGGTGCGGGTGGAGTTCGTCCTGGACAACCTGGTCTTCGACTTCGCCGCGCTGAGCCCCACCCCCTTCTCCTACGAGGCCGACCCCACCCTGCGGCCCCTGCACCCCGAGGACCCCACCGCGCCCTTCCGCCACAAGCCGGGCAGCGTGCTCTCCGTGGAGGTAGGTACCTGCTCCGAGTGGCCGCGGCCCGGGGCGTGGCCGTGGCCCCGGGGGCGGACGGCGTGGCCGTGGCCCCCGGGGCGTGGCTGTGGCCCCGGGGGCGGAGGGGGACAGCGGGGCCGTGGCCCGGGGGGCGTGGCCGTGGCCCTGGGGGCGGACGGTGTGGCCGTGGCCCAGGGGCGTGGCCGTGGCCCCAGGGGCGGAGGGGGACAGCGTGGCCGTGGCCCCGGGGGCGGAGGGGGACGGCGTGGCCGTGGCCCCGGGGCGGACGGCGTGGCCGTGGCCCCGGGGCGGAGGGGGACAGCGTGGCCGTGGCCCGGGGGCGGAGGGGGACAGCGTGGCCGTGGCCCCGGGGCGGAGGGGGACAGCGTGGCCGTGGCCCCGGGGCGGAGGGGGACGGCGTGGCCGTGGCCCGGGGGCGGAGGGGGACAGCGTGGCCGTGGCCCCGGGGCGGAGGGGGACGGCGTGGCCGTGGCCCCGGGGGCGGACGGCGTGGCCGTGGCCCGGGGGCGGAGGGGGACAGCGTGGCCGTGGCCCCGGGGCGGAGGGGGACGGCGTGGCCGTGGCCCCGGGGGCGGACGGCGTGGCCGTGGCCCCGGGGGCGGAGGGGGACAGCGTGGCCGTGGCCCCGGGGGCGGAGGGGGACGGTGTGGCCGTGGCCCCGGGGTGGAGGGGGACAGCGGGGCCGGGCGCAGGCAGAGGGCGCGGGCTGCAGGGCAAGGCCAGTGGCGGGCCTGGCTCCGCCCTTCGTGCAGCGAGGGCCCAGGGGCTGGCGGTGGAGCCAGGCCTGGCGCACCTGGCGGGCTGGTCACCTGGCAGGGCCTGGTGCACTGGCAGGGCCCGGCGTGCCCACGGCCTCTGGGTGAGGAGGCGGGAGGGAGGCGGGCAGGGCAGGGGTTCGGCGGGGCCGGCCGTTGAAGACACCCCGGGACGGGGACGGGGACGGGGCCTCACGCACGGGGCCGGGCCCGCCCTCCCCGGTCGGGGGAGGGTCTGAGGGGCCCAGCTCGCTGGGGGAGCTCCGAGCAGCCGCTCAGGGACGGCCTTGCAGGGGGAGAATCTGGACCTGGCCATGTCCAAGGAGGAGGTGGTGGCCATGATCGGGGCGGGCGTGTGCGTGGTGAAGACGCTGACCCGGCACCACCTGTACTGCGAGCCGCCCGCGGAGCAGCCCCCCGCCCTGGGCGCGGCGCCCGACGCACTGCCCGAGTTCACGGTGGGCGGGCGGCTGGCGGGGGAGGGGTGGGGGGGCCGGGGCGGGAGAGGAGGGGTCCCCCGGACGGCGGGGGGGGGGGCCGGGGCGGGAGAGGAGGGGTCTCCCGGGCGGC